TTAGCAGGTCTACTAGTTAGGTTAGCAATATTAGAAATTTACTATATACTTTTATATTATAATAAAGAAAATAAATCTTTTAGTTATAGAGAGTTAGTAGCTTATAATAAACTTTAATAAGCTAGGTTTCTTTTTAATAAAGCTATAGGTAAAATAACTTTATATATTAATATTAAATATTAATCTTATTCTAAAAATAGTTATAAGCTTTAAACGCCTTTAGTTTAGGTTAAAGATATATTTAATAAACCTCTAAATTTTATACAATTTTAATTTCAAGCTTTAATATTAATTTTAAAGCTTTAGTATCAATTTTAGATTTTTAGTATTAATTTTAAATTCTTAGTATTTAAACTAGATTAAGGAAGTAAATAAGATATATTAAAACTATTTTTATATTCTTTTTATTTGCTATCTTTTTCTTTTTAGTTATTTTTTTTTACTTTTAACTTTAGTTAATTATAGCTAGTATTCTATTTTTATTAAGTATAAAAAACTATATAATAATATTTAATACTTATAAACATTATAGGGTTTCTAGAGAAATATATTACTTTTACCTTTTTTTCTAATATATATTAATTATATTAATAGTATTCTAGTAATTAATAAAATAACCCTTTATATAGTAATAATTATACTAAAGAGTATAGCTTAGCTAATAAGTATAAAAACGATAATCTTATTAATATATCTTTAAGTTAAAAAAAACTTAATAAAGTAAATATAACTTCTAATAGAAATAGGTAGCTTTTATATTTAATAGTTATATCTCATATAGTAAAAAAGGCTGCCTTATTAAGTTGAATTACCTTATTAATATAGAAAATAATTAGAAATATTCTTAGATATACCTTTTTTTAAATTTTATTATTAGTAACCCTTAGGCGGTAGTAAAGCTTTATTGGGCCGCTAGTTATTATTATATAATAATTTAAGCTTATCTAGCTAAGCTTGCTCTTTTGCTTTTTATAATAATATTTCTTTATATAATAGTAATTTTTTTTTATTATTAAATATTAATTCCTAAAATATTAATATATAATATTATTTTAATTTAAAAGCTTGGGGCAATAAATAATAATACTATTTATAAACTAATATATATTATTAGGAGAGAATTATATTTATTAATACTAGATATAAAAAAATTCTTATAAATTTAATTCTTTTACTTAAAGTAAAGATTATAGCTAAAGCTTTAAATCTTAAAATATTACTATAAATAGATTTAAATAATAAAATAAGACTAGATAAACTTATATAATTAATATAAAAAGAGATAGTATTTAAGTTAAACGCTAACTTAAATAAATTAAATAATAATATTAATTTAAAACTTAACTTAACTAAAGTATAGAAAGTATATTATTACTAGCGTTATTTATAAATATAGTTAATAATTAGCTATTTTTTAGATTTTTAATAAGCTTAGTAAAATTAAAGCAAAATTAATAATTCGAATATAATATATTATTAAGAATTATTATACTTTTAATAAAATAAAAAATTTAATTTCTAAAAGTATAATAGAGCTAATTATTAAAAAATAATAGATAGTTACTAAGGACATTAACTTTATAAATTATACTATTATTATAAATTGTTTTTTAAAGTTTAAATATTAGTATATTTATACTAATTTGCTATAGCTTAGAAATATAAAAAAAAAGTATAGATTCCTTAGTAATATTATTATAAAAATGTTTAAAAACTTGTTTTTTACTAAACCTAAATATACTATAGGTTTTACACCTATAATAGCGTATTTATTTAACCTAATCCGACTACTTTTAATCTAGTTACTATATATAATACTTTATATAACTATTTAGGATTTCTAAATAGGTTTTAAGGAAGTAGTTTTTTTTTAAGTTTAAATATTTCTAATAATAAAATATTTATTTTTTTATATTCAAAGCTGCGCTAACTAGTATTATATAGAAGCTTAGAAGGATATAAGAGAAAGCTAAATAAAGTAGTCTATTTTTTAATAAATATTTATCTAGGTTATTTTAAATAAGAGAATTAACTAATTTAAAGGTATTATACTTAAAACTAAAGATAATAAAAAAAAATTAGTAATAGTTTAAATAAGTTAGAAAGGGAGCCCAATTCTAAGGATAGTAAGGATATAAGTAAGGGTATAGGTAATATAAGTATTCCTTATATTTTAATATATTAGTAAAAAACTAATTAATAATAGGAATAGCGGGACTTTTATATAGATATAGATAATAGTAATATAGTAGGTAAGAATAAGGAAATACTAGAGTATTTATAATATAGGATAATTTAATTTATATATAATAAGAGCGGTTTAAATGCTCCTAAGGAGCCTAAGTATATAGATATAAAATAAAAAAGTCTTAATAATAGTTTATTAATATATACTTACGCTATTGTTTAAACTTAAGATTCTAACTTTATAATAGCTTAATTTAGACTTCTTAAAGCCTTAAGAAGTTAACCTTTAACCTTATCCTTATATATAAATTGCTAGTATAACAAGTGTATTTATAAGTAAAAGTCTTAAAGTATATCTATTTTAAAGCTAATATATTATAGGAAATAGTATACTTATAATATATTTTAATATTTTAAGAAGAAAGGGAGCTTATAAATAGTTTTAATATTAAATACTTTATTTTTCAAGTTACTAGATATAATAATAAAATAAAAATAAATATTATATAAGTAAGCTTTATAAAGAAATATAAGCTAAAGGAAAATAGCTATATATAGTACTTTAGCCTAACTTAGAAAATTATTAATAATAAGTAAAGTTTCTAGTAATTTAAGAAGTAGGCCTTGCTTATTAAAGTTGTAAGAGGTTAACTAGTAAGTAATAATAATAAATAGTTATTGTAAAGGTTAATTATATAAAAAGGATTAAAACTATATATTATAATAAGGGTACTATTAATAAAAAAATAATAATATAAATATTTTACTATAAAACTTAAATAAACTATAATTAAGTTAGTTTAAGCTTTAATCTAACTAATACTTATATACTATAGATTATAAATATAGTATATTTAGTAGTAATATATAAATAAGTTTATAAGTCTAATTTAGAAATATTTTTAAATATTTGAAATTAAATTAAATTTAGCTTTTTAATAAAATCTAATTATTTATTTAAGTTACTTAAAGATAGCTATTTATATATATATAATAATATATTTAAAGATAGTATTAATAGTATTATATATAATAATAATACTTAGAGAGAATTATAACTATATAGGCTATACTAGGGAGTACTATATTTACTAGTACTTTAATATAAAATCTATTTATAAGAAAAGTACTACTAGCTACAGTGTTCCCTAGCACGGCCTATATAGTCTATTGAAGTTTATAAATACATATTTTTATTTTCTATTAAATTATTTTTATACTTTTTAAAATAATATTTAATTTCTAAATTTTTTATACTTTAAATATAATTTAATAAGTAAATAAAAAATAAAATAAAAGTAGGAATATTTAAATAATAAAGTTAGGTTAATTATAAATTATATATATAAATATTATTTATAATAGTAATATATTAAATAAATTTAATATATAAATTATAATATTTAGTTTATAGCTTTTTATAAAAATTTTATTAAGTTTATTATAGAAAATATTATTTATATTTATATTAATAATTAAATTAAAAAATAATTAAATTAAAAAATAAATTTTATTATTATTAAATATATTAAAATTAAATAATAAAAATTTATAATAAAAAATAATTTTTAGAATATAAAGCTTTATTTATTTAAAAATAAAATTTATTATTAAATATTAATAAATTAAAACTAGATTATTAAGTTAAAATATTTAAAAATTAGTATTTTTAATTTAGTATTTTATTATTTAAATCTATAATATAAATATAAAAAAAGTTTATATAAAAGAAAAAGTTAAAAAATTAAAAAAAATAAATAAATATTAATTATTTTATATATTATATTAATTTTTAAAATAATAATTTAATATTAATTTATTATATTTTAGTAATAATAAAAGTAATAAATAATAATAATTTTAAATTTTTTTTAAACTTATTTTAAATAATTTTATAAAAATTATTTATAAATTTAAATATAATAATATTATAATTTTCAACTTTAAAAATTTAAAAAAAATTTAAATTATAATTTTTTTAAAATTATTAAGCTATTATTTAATAATATATTTAAATAAAATAATTATTATAAATATAAATTAAAAAAAAAATTTTTTATTAAAGTTATTTTTATATTAAAATATTATATATTTTTTAAAAATACTCTAAATTTAAAATAAAATATTTAAATTAAATATTTAAAATTTATAAAATATATTTCTTTTACTTATAATTTTAAATATATTTTTTATTAATATAATTAATAAATATAAAAAAATATTAATAATATTTAAATAAAATAATAAAAAGTAAAACTTTTTAATAAATTATTTAAAATATAAATATAATAAAAAATAAAATATTAATATAATATTTAAATAAATAAATAAATTTTATTTATTTAATATTTTATTATTTAAAATTTTATTAAAATATTATTAAAATATTATTTAGTTTTTAAATAGAAATAAAAAAAAATTATTTATAAAGTATATATTATAAATTAAATTTATAAATTATATTAATAATAAGTTTAAATATTAATTTAAATTTAAATAAAATTTTATTAATAATTTTTAAAGTAAATATAAAATATAAGTTTTTTATACTTTAAAAAAATAATATTTTATACTTTAATATTTTTTTCTTTTAATATAGCCTTAGTATTATTAATTAAAAATACAGGATTCTTAGACTTTCTGGTGCAGACCCCCTGCAGGGGAAGCCTGGAAGGCCCCTGTAAGGGCGCTAGTTCCCCCTAAGCAGGGGGTCTAAAGCTTATGGAGACAACTTCCATGGTGAAAGGCTGAGTCAAATTGAAACGATGCAATTGACCTAGACTGACAAGAGAAACCTCCATCAACCTATCATCATGACCTCTGAAAACACATCTCAGAGGTCTAAAGAAGAAGACGCAGGAATATTACCCTCTCAAGGGATTGCAGTCGATCTTCACAAGTCGGGCCAAGACCCCAGGCCCACTAATATTAGACATGTGTATGCCATCCGGTGATCACCAATTGTAAATCCATGTTGACTGTGTGTGGTAAAGATCTGCACCAGCGTACGAAAGTCCCTTGAGACATCATCGCCGCAATCAGTCCAATCCTCGAGCAGTGAAAGAGACACTGCATGCCCGTTCCGAATACACAAACAGCCAAGACGAAGGTGGGGGTGCAATACATCGAATTAATCAATACATAGTCAAGCAGGAAATCGGTCGGGGTTCTTTTGGGGCAGTCCATCTTGCCGCCGACCAGTATGGGAACGAATATGCAGTCAAAGAATTTTCCAAATCAAGGCTGCGTCGGCGCGCACAGTCGAACATCCTCCGAAGGCCGCACGCAGCCCGCCAGAAAGGGGCAATTGCATCAGGGCTTGGATTCAGTGCAATTATTCATCGGCAGTCGACTGCAGACCTTGAAGAGTCGGCGGAAGCTGGCAATCCGCTATACTTAATCAACGAGGAAATTGCCATCATGAAAAAGTTGAACCATGGAAATTTGGTAGCACTCATCGAGGTCCTCGATGATCCCTCGGAAGACTCGCTTTACATGGTACTCGAAATGTGCAAGAAAGGCGTGATAATGAAGGTTGGAGTTGATGAAATAGCGGATCCGTATGACGCAGAGAGTTGCCGCTGCTGGTTTCGTGATTTGATACTGGGCATTGAATATCTGCATGCGCAAGGTGTTATACATCGTGATATCAAACCTGACAACTTGCTGCTTACAGAAGACGACGTTCTCAAGATCGTAGATTTTGGAGTTTCTGAAATGTTCGAAAAGCAATCGGAGATGAAGGTTGCGAAGGAAGCAGGTTCGCCTGCATTCCTACCACCGGAGCTTTGCGTTGCTAAACACGGCGATGTGTCTGGTAAAGCAGCAGATATCTGGTCGATGGGTGTCACTTTATACTGCCTGATATTTGGCTGTCTACCTTTTCAAGAGGCGAGCGTGTTACGACTTTACGAATCGATACAAGGCGATGAAATCGAGTTCTCAGATACAATTAAGATTGATGACAACCTTAAAGACATCATACGCAGACTACTCGACAAGGATCCGTCCAGCCGTATAACGATGGACGAGCTGAGAGTAAGTTTGCCACTTCTATGAGGCCTCAAAGATAGTGACACCTTCATAGGAACACCCATGGGTGACGAAAGGTGGCAAAGACCCTTTGCTATCTGCCAAGGAAAACACAATTAACATGGTGGAACCTCCAACACAGGAGGAGAAGGACCATGCAATTACAGGCAATCTCAATAACGTCGTCGTCTTGGTAAGCACCAAGATTCAGGAATCTAAATCCTTGTTAAACGACGCTCAGATGAAAGCTGTGAAAAAGTTCAAAAAAGCAATTGCTAAGAAAAGACCGCCGGTCTTTGACGGCATCTTGGGACGCGACCATAGGATTGTTCAGCCTCCACTTTCCATGGATGATGAGGGATTCCAAAAGCCGTCTTTGATCCACAAAACGCGAAGTATGGACGCTCACGATCGGCGCCCGATAGAGACAGCGCTGGTAACAGAAGGCTTACATCGAGACATTGATCTAGGTAGCAAGCAAGGCTCCACAGCCGATAGGGAAGATACCAAGATCTCATTGACGAAGAGCCCTACTTGGTCAACACCAAAACGGCCAAGCGACCCAGGTTCGACGAATCTTAAGCGTGAGCTTGATGCAGAGCCAAGATCGCATCGTATCATCCACTCCGCCACTTTCCCCTTAAACCAACACCATGGCAAAGGCCACGCGCATGACCCCCTTGAAGATCATCTGTACCTGAATCTTGGACCTACGGCTTCTTCACGCCCACCCTCGCCACCAGCGGTCAGCGAGTCTCCACCAGCGGCGGATATCGACATCTACGAAACCGCTTATCGGAAGGAGGTTGAGCGCCTACGCGCGCAACAAGGTAGATCGGCAACGCTGTTCTTGACAAGGAGAGTGGAAAGGTTGGAGCATTCTCTGAAAGACCACGGTCTGATTTCAGGGGCCAGCCAATCTATTTCCAGGTCTCTGGGCGGCTTCACAAAGGTTATTGAAGCTGCTCAGTCAAAAGCCGCCGACGATGTTGCTGTTGCAGATGACGAAGAAAGCGAATTAGAGCAGGGCCTTCAGGATGTTGACCAAGTGACAAAAGGAGCTGCAGACAACGAGAGCGCACAGCCAGCCCCGGAAGGCAGAAAAGGGGGTGACTTTGGATCGCTATCAAAGTTGGTCAAACAAGTACGATCCAAAGGTGTTGGAACGAGTGGTCAGGATTAGCCTCAACGATGGTAGGCTGAATTGACATCGCATTGGGGTGGCAACCTGAGCTCAAGCACAAGCACAGGCCAATGGTATGATACAAGCATGGCATAGCAGCGTCGGAACAAAGTCATGAAGCGTGGCGTTATTGGAACAATTGGGCGCAAACTTTTCTAAGAAACAAAGTTCTTCAGCAAGCAAACAGAGGGGTGGGGCTTCCAGGAACCCTGCTATTATTATAGAAGACCCTATCTCGTTATCCATAGTTGACACTCAGTCCTACAGCTTACGTCTAAGCCGATGCGATGTGTACTACGGTAGAAGGTGCATCGTGTCCGATTTCACGTAGAACAAAGAGGCAGCAGGTGTGAAATAACAAGTGGAAGAATGTCGTGCCGGCTAGCGTCCAATGAAGACGGGAGGCTTTTGGTGGCGCTAGGACACTTCTGCCTTGTCCTAGTTGCCCTTGTTCACTTCCCACATCGATTGTAACACCTTGGATCTTTCCAATACTTAAGACCCCTCTCTTCTTCCGTCTACAACGCTTCTACCTCATCCACCATCCATCATCAATCATCCACCATCCACCAGAACTTTGAAAGTAGAACCATACAGTCCCTGCGAAACGCTCTCGACTTTCCCTTCAACACCCACCGTCTCGCTTTCAGCTTACATCATGTCTGCTGAACCTCAACAGATCAAGCTTCAGAGCTCTGATGGAATCGAACTTACCGTGGATCGTGTCGTTGCTGAACGCTCCGTTCTCATTAAAAACATGATGGAGGATATCGGCGATCAAGCCGTCGCCGAAGCCGTCCCCATTCCTAACGCAAGTACAACCTTGGCTCCGTGTCTTCCTAGCTTAGCTAACGCCTCTCAAGGTCAATGAAGCTGTGTTGAACAAGGTCATCGACTGGTGCAAGCATCACAAGGACGACCCCCCTGCCGCCAACGAGGATGAGAACGACTCGCGCAAGAAGTCAACGGACATCGATGAATGGGACCAAAAGTTCATGCAGGTTGATCAAGAGATGTTATTCGAGATCATTTTGGTATGTATTCTATCTTCTGTACGATTTTACCTTCCAAGTGTCATCGCTAACTAAAATGTGCCAAAAGGCCGCAAATTACCTCGATATCAAAGCACTACTCGACGTCGGCTGCAAGACGGTTGCCAACATGATCAAGGGCAAGTCACCTGAGGAGATCCGCAAGACATTCAACATCCAGAACGACTTCACGCCCGAGGAGGAGGACCAGATTCGCCGTGAGAATGAGTGGGCTGAGGATCGTTAAAGGGGCGGCATTGCTGTCCTCAACGAAGATCGTCATCCCCAGTCTTCTCACTTACAGTCCCTACATTCAGCTGCATGAGAATGGAGGCTATGATGCGGAGCTTTATGCATGGCGTTGGGCGAATTTGCGCGGAGAATGATGCAATTCAATCACAGACGGAGAACGAAGAACAACCTCAGGCGCATGCATGGAGATTGCAAATCAGAAGCTCAAGAAAGATCAAATGAATGCAAATCCATATTTTTCAATCCAAGGACTTTTCCGTGATTACGGAGCGGAATGGCAAGGTCATAGTGGGTTTTTCCATGCATTACTAACCTAACAACCCTGAAGCCATAGATTTGAACTTTTGACCCATTGCAAACTATAACGCGACTTTTCCATGAAATGATTCACAATAGGATTATAAATTGATTTTAAGCGGAGAGAGAGGGTAGAAAGATAGAAGGAAGAAAAGGCAGGACGGGGAGCAAGAGAAAGAGCAGGCCTTTTTGTTGATGATGAAATTCTGATGGCTATGATAATGCTTGTAGACGACCAGGTCTACCCCTTGGGTGAAGCCATCTGTTCTTCCCCTCGTCCATTTGCATGACGTCCCAAACATTCCAGATGCCCCATCAGAGTTCTTCGAGTTCGGCGTTCGACGTGGTCTCTACTCATCTTTCAATGCCCAAGCTCTATATTCCGATCCTAGTCTTCCTCCAGTGCCTTCGCTTCGCGTTGTACCTGCATAGAGAAAGGCCAAATTAGCCCGATTGCTTCAATCCTCATTTTCGTTCTCTGTGCCTAGACGATGACTCTCTCTCTCTCTCTCTCTCTAGAGCTCCCCGCAATGCTCAAACGCACCGTATAGTGTTGCCAGTCTTCAAGCGAATCCATTGTGGAATAGGACGGTTTTGCTTCTGTGCCTTGGCAAGCTTTTGCTTGGTCCGAAACGACTTGTGAGACTATCAAATTGCGTCAGTGATGGATCATCATAATCGTTTTCATTCCAGAAGTTTCTTACAGGCATTTTAATAACAAGTCGATCGTTCTCGCGTCCAAGGTGGCGGTGTGGTGTGGTGTGGGGAGGGGAGACCAAACTCGTCGTAATCGTGTAGCGAGCGATAGGGCTGAAAAAGGGCGCTAGTGGAAAAACGCTCCCTTGGCGTTCGGTTACGGCATTTACAATAAGGTACGCCTTAGTAGCTTGAGTAGGTAACATGCTGCGACAGGACCCTGGCAAGCAATTTGACTCAAAGAGTGCATACAAACCTCACCCCACGCGTACTTGCAAGACCGAACAAGACTCATTCTTAATTTTTCGCTGACAGTGTGCATAGAAATACGGGTACCCTGAGAACAGTCATGATTCGACTTCTCCAAGCTTGTTCAATATTTATCTCGAAAGCGATGGATTTGGCGAGCGGAGAGCTGGGTTCCGGGCACTATGCGCTCCCCGGGTTTAGCGCGAGTTTCTGCTCGAACGAATTAAACGAAGAACGACCCCTCGGGTAATTCGCATCCGCCATATGCGTGTACAGTAGGTGTCGTTCAGCATAATTCGTTCGCCTTGATGATTCAGTCATGTCCCACGCGTGCTTGCTCTCACACATGCGAGCTCTGTATCGACTCATCATCACCCAGCAACCACTCCTGCGTTCTGCTGACCATCCTCCGTGAATCACCTTTCCTTGTGCATCTTGTTTGGCATAATGCGCCTGCCTAAATCGTCTGCCCAACAGTAACAGGCTCCAAGTACCGTACCCTTGATGCCTAAATACCTGCCTTGCCTGCCCTTGTCAAAGATTCCCTACAGGAACTAAAGTCAATCACCATGGACAACAATGCAGCAGAACTGAACCGTGCTGGCAACACAATTGGCACCGAAATAGAGAAGAAGCTCTCTCGGCAAGAAAGCCGAAGTGCTCTTCACGATGGAAAGTACACCGAAAAGCCTCTCCAGGCTTCTTCGAGCGCTTCGGGCTCATCCTCCGAAGATGTCGTCGCCATGGAGAAGCTCGATTCGAAGATTGTCCACATCGGGGACGTCACGGAAGACGATCCGTATGCCCATCTCCCAGAACACGAGAGGCAGATCATCAAGAAGCAATTGGATATACCGGCAGTCAAGGTGACGTATAAAATGCTATACCGATACGCTACGTCTTGGGATTTGGTCATCGCCGGTCTCAGCGTCTTCATGGCTATTACGGCGGGAGCAGTGATGCCTTTAATGACCATCATCTTTGGCCAGCTCACCGGTATCTTTCAGGGCTTTTTTCAGGGGACTGTATCGGCGGATCGTTTTAATGACCGACTTGACCAATTCACGCTCTATTTTCTATATCTGGCTATAGGAGAGTTTTTGTCGGTCTACATCTGTACGGTAGGTTTCATCTATACTGGAGAACACATCACACAAAAGATTCGGGAGCAATATCTTGCAGCGATACTGCGCCAGAACATTGCCTTCTTCGACAAACTGGGTGCCGGCGAGATCACCACGCGAATAACAGCGGACACCAATTTAGTTCAAGACGGCATATCGGAAAAGGTGGCGCTTACCATTACCGGTATCTCGACCTTTGTGACAGCTTTTATCATCGCCTTCGTAAAATACTGGAAGCTCACACTCATTCTCACCTCCACGATCTTTTCCATCGTAGCCATAATGGCTGGTGGCTCGTCTTTCATCATTAGATACAACAAGCAGTCCTTGGAATCCTACGCTCTAGGCGGCTCGGTCGCAGAGGAGGTTATCTCCTCTATCCGAAATGCCACCGCATTCAGCACCCAAGAAAAGCTGGCCCGACAATACGACGAGCATCTGAAGAGAGCCGAGATTTGGGGGCTGAAGCTCAAAATTTCGCTGTCTCTGATGATTGGCGGCATGATGACCATAGTCTATCTTAATTACGGGCTCTCTTTCTGGCAAGGTTCGCGATTTTTAGTGGCAGGGGAAATGTCGCTGTCTGACGTGCTCACTATCATGCTTTGTATCATGATAGGTGCTTTCAGCCTCGGAAACGTTGCACCAAATGCTCAAGCCTTTACAACAAGCGTCGCAGCTGCTGCTAAAATATATAACACGATCGATAGAACGTCGCCATTAGATCCCACCGACCAGGTGGGCAAGAAGCTAGACCGCGTGCAGGGGACGATCGAATTGAAAAGCATCAAGCACATCTACCCCTCAAGGCCAGAGGTCGTTGTCATGGAAGACATCAATCTGAAGGTACCAGCTGGAAAGACTACAGCTCTAGTTGGTGCATCAGGCTCTGGAAAATCGACCGTGGTGGGCCTCGTCGAGCGCTTCTACGACCCAGTCGGCGGCAACGTTTACCTTGATGGCCACGATATCAGCACTTTAAATCTGCAATGGCTTCGATATCAAATCTCGCTGGTCAGTCAAGAGCCCGTACTTTTTGGGACGACGATATTTGGCAATATCGCTCACGGTCTTATCGGCACAGAACATGAACATGTGGGTGAAGCGAAACAAAGGGTACTTATCGAGGGCGCAGCAAGGATGGCAAATGCTCATGATTTCATCGCTAGTTTGCCGGAGGGTTATGAAACTAACGTAGGAGAGCGAGGATTTCTACTTTCAGGTGGTCAGAAGCAACGCATTGCGATCGCTCGAGCTATGGTCAGCGATCCAAAGATTCTGCTTCTTGACGAAGCGACTTCTGCTCTCGATACAAAGTCAGAGGGTGTAGTCCAGGCGGCGCTTGATGTCGCCGCCCAGGGTCGCACAACGATTGTCATAGCACATCGTCTTTCTACCATCAAGACAGCTGATAACATTGTCGTCATGTCTGGTGGCAGGATTGTTGAGCAAGGGACCCACAACGACCTTGTCGAACGTCAAGGCGCCTACTTCAATCTGGTGCAAGCTCAGCAAATCTCTGCCCAAAAGGAGGAAGAAGCTGCGCAAGAAAGCTCAGATCAGGAAAGCGTAGAGGAATCGCTTTCCAAGCTGCCGACGACTACCAAGAACCTGAGCTCTCCACAAATCTCTCGCCACCTCACAGAAAAATCCGTTTCGAGCATGATTTTGAAAGGCAAGGAGGCAGGCAAAGGAGACAATTATTCTCTTTGGACAGTGATTAAGTTCATTGCCGGGTTCAATAGGACTGAAGTATGGTTGATGACTACAGGTCTCTTTTGGTCCATCATTGCCGGAGGTGGGAATCCCACGCAGTCTGTCTTCTTCGCGAAGTCCATAGTAGCGCTTTCATTACCGCCAAGCAAGTTTGGGCAATTAAGGCACGATGCTAATTTCTGGTCATTAATGTACCTGATGTTGGCCATCACCCAATTTCTGGCTTATGGGATCTCCGGCGTGGTATTTGCTTACTGCTCAGAACGACTTGTTCATCGTGCCAGAGATCGAGCGTTCAGGGCCATGCTTCGACAAGATATTGCATGGTTTGACCGCGAAGAGAACTCGGCTGGAGCTCTGACCTCCTTCCTGTCTACGGAAACAACTCATTTGTCTGGTGTAAGTGGAGTGACCCTAGGCACCATCCTTCTCGTCAGTACCACGCTCATTGTCTCAATCATTATGGCGGTTGTCATTGGATGGAAGCTTGGTTTGGTGTGCTCTGCAACTATACCTCTTCTGTTGGTCTGTGGATACCTCAGATTCTACATGCTAAGCAAATTTGCGCAAAGGGCTAAGAAGGCTTACAAGAACTCTGCAGCCTATGCATGTGAGGCGACCGCTGCAATTCGCACTGTTGCATCTTTAACACGGGAGGGTGACGTGTGGGAGCACTACCACCAGGGTCTTGTTGAGCAAGGCAGGAAGAGCTTGACATCTATCTTGAGGTCATCCACACTTTATGCGTCATCCCAATCACTCATGTTTCTCTGCAACGCCTTAGCATTCTGGTACGGTGGGACGCTGATAGCGAGCAGAGAATACAGCGAGTTTCAATTCTTCTTGGTGTTCTCTGCGATCATTTTCGGCGCTCAATCAGCAGGAACGATTTTCTCCTTCGCACCAGACATGGGTAAAGCCAAACAAGCTGCACAAGAACTCAAAAAGCTATTCGATCGTGTGCCAGAGATTGACTCCTGGTCACCTGACGGTCAGCCGCTCAAGCACGTGGAGGGGACCATAGAGTTTCGGGACGTACATTTCAGATATCCCACCAGACCTGAACAGCCTGTATTGAAGGGTCTGAACTTGACAGTCAAACCCGGCCAATATGTAGCTCTTGTAGGAGCAAGCGGATGTGGAAAGAGTACAACTATCCAATTAATGGAACGGTTCTACGACCCGCTCTCTGGCGGCGTCTACATCGATGGACAAGAGATATCAAAGCTGAACCTAAACGAATATCGAGGCTTTCTCGCCCTCGTGAGTCAGGAGCCAACGCTATACCAGGGCTCCATTCGAGATAATATCTTGCTAGGAGCGGATAGAGAGGATATACCAGAGGAAGCAATCGTGCAGGCCTGTAAGGACGCCAACATCCACGATTTTATCACCTCTCTGCCTGAAGGGTTCTCCACCATTGTTGGCTCAAAGGGCAGCATGCTTTCTGGCGGGCAAAAACAACGGATAGCCATCGCACGCGCCCTATTACGGGATCCTAAGATCCTCCTCCTCGACGAGGCCACATCCGCATTGGACAGTGAGTCTGAAAAAGTAGTGCAAGCTGCCTTAGACGCTGCTGCGCAAGGGAGAACTACGATTGCGGTCGCGCATCGGTTGAGTACGATCCAGCAGGCAGATATGATTTATGTCATCGATGGGGGAAGGGTGGTGGAACATGGAACGCATAATGAGCTGTTGCGAGCTAGGGGAAAGTATTTTGAATTAGTAAATCTGCAGAGTTTAGAGAAGATGGTCTGAACCTTTTGGTTGAGGGTCACGGGCTTGGTTTTCATGCTTCTTTGTCTGTCTTGAGCGTATGCGTCTTGTGAAATTTCTGTAAGAAAAGGCATAGCGATGGTGTATGTCTCTTTCGATGGCTTCTACAAATACTCGACCATAGTGTAACGGACGTCTGAGCTCCTGAGTCTTATAATTGATGGAAATTTCGTTCTTCAGATCTTGCTTGTTTCGCTCTCAGAGGAAACTAGCAGACAAGGACTTTTGTTGAGTTGGCATTTCGAGATGCTGCACATATAATGACCGAACCTCAATCTCCGTTTCCCACGCCGAATTCTTCGTAAACATCTACCACTCTGACACCTCGCTGCTCGGCAATGATGCCCATTAGTCCCTGGCCTACGTCTCGAATCTCATTGTACTGGTGAAGTTGCTTAATGTGCCTGTCGACTAAGGCTCGAGGATCATTTGTTCTGCATCCCCATTGCAGATATCAATATTGCGGGAAAAACCAAGAAGAAGATGGCTGATTTGTTTGTGGTTGGGGAAGATAGGGGGTCTGCTCGAGTAAGAGCTTCAGGCAAGAAAAGAAGGTGTGAGAGAGACGCGATGAGGGTGGCTAAACCGGGAACGAGTAAGCCTACCTCAGCTTTGAAGTCACTTCAGCCTTTTGGGCTTCAGTTACGCGGATTCGTTGTTCGAGATGGGCAATTTTGTTCTTTAGCTGTGTCTGAGAAGAGATTTAGTCGGTCTTAGATTAATGACTTGTGTTAACAGGGTATTTCCTGACGTGGGAAGAAGTTTTGTGGGAAAATTACAATTTTGTGACTGAGAGAAGGACACATGAATGAAGAAGTGGTGGATACGAAAGAGGAAAGGAGAAGGAGAAGAAATATATGTGAAAGACGTACGATCTTCTTTGCTTCTGCTGGATCCAACTCGATTCCAAGTTTGGAGGTTGCAGGTGACGCATCCTGCGACGGGTATCCATTAATCCTGAGAGACTGTTCTGATATGTTAAGGGCGTTGTCAGGCTGAGAAGAGGTCATGTTGTCTGAAAAATAATTGCAGCAAAAGCGGAAACTTGTGGCTACTCGACAACGAAGGAAAAGGGAGTAGGCAATGGACGTGCAGCCACTTCTAAACGACTCTTTGACTCGACGTCAAATTGATCGTTAAGAATTGAAAACTACAAGCAAAGGTGACATTCGCTCACAGATCTTAGAATGTATATATTCAATAGATGAATGGAATTCAAGCCTCGTTCTTGGGAAAAGGGGCAAGTGCAAGCGGAGTGGCCGCGTCCGCTGACGGCATTCCGCCCACTCCCTTTCCCTCTTGCTTCTTTACAGGTAACTGGAATCTGCAACCCATCGTCAACTTGTGTGATTCTGTGACCACATGTTCTCGAAAGCCTCGGTCATGTCCGGATCCCATGTCTCTTTCAAGCAATCATTGTGAACATTTCCCAGCTGCGTCCGGCCGGCAGTGGTCAGCACCTTCCTGTAAATCGTTATGCTTCGACTTACCGTCCTCGCCATCCTCTCAACACTCGTTAAATTCGCATATACACATGAACATCATGAAGACGCAATACCAGAGGGCCAAGCTGTCTCGCCTGAACCTATCGTTCGCCTTCGCTGCCCTTTCGTGCCTCTTTCTTCTTGCTAACAGTCCCAGGACTCAATACTATGGGCTCACATCCTCATCCAGATCCTTGCCTTCGGCATCATCTTCCCCACCGGTATGGTCCTCGGTATCGTGCACTCGCACTGGCACGTCCCCCTCCAGACAATCGGCGCCGTCCTGGCGATCGTTGGATACTTTCTCGGTCACGCACATGGAGGCAGGCAATTCAAGCATAACATCCACGCATCTTTCGCTACCTGGCTGATGCTGCTCCTCATCGCGCAAATAGCCGTTGGGGTTTACCTGAGACTGCACTTGGAAAAGGGTGGGCACGCCAGAATCCGATGGGTTGTGGTGATTGTGCATGGGACGATGGGCAAGGCGATGCCCGTGGTCGCATGGGTACAGATGCTATTTGGTGGTATCACAGCGCTGGGTTTCTGCCGAGATGATCATCTAGGACAGTGTCTTGCGCATTTCATCATGGGCTCAGCTTTCATTGGGTACGGGATCATCCTGACGATACTGCTACTTGTGGGACAGCTGTGGCTTAAACGGACGGGGAGAAGTCAGGAATTCTTCGATTCGATAGTGATTGCTGCATGGGGCTGCGTCAACACCTTCACTGAGCACAGATGGGGCACCGCATGGGTCAAGAACGATATACAGCACACGAGCATGGGAATAGTCTGGTGGTGCGCAGGTCTACTGGGAGTCTGGCTCAGCAGGAAACGAGATGGACGACCAAAGAGGAACATCTTCCCCGCACTAGTCATATTTTTGACAGGATGGGGAATGGGGTCTCATCCGCAGGCATTAGAATTGAGCACACATGTTCATTCAATGTTTGGCTATACGCTTATGGCTGCGGGAGCCATGCGAATTATTGAAGTTGCGTTCGTACTGAGGGATAAGAATACTGTCGACGACAAGGACTTGGAAGAGGTCAACAGTTTTCAGTATCTTACGCCTTTCGTGAGTTAACTCCTAGGACTTTATTGACCAATTGCACTAACACACGAAGCTACTCTATGCGTCTGGCTTTCTCTTCATGGGTGCAACCGAGGAGCAGATGGCTATGCTCGCAACCGCTCACGTAACGCACGTCTCCTACATCCTACTACTCTACAGCATATCGTTCTTACTTTTCCTTTTCGTGGCCATGTTGCTAAACATGTACGCTTCGCATGTTTGGCCGATCGATCGCAATCCTGTCGTTCTACCTAAAGCAAATGGTCGGGCAAATGGTCATATCAGAGCGGATAGCCAGAGGCTTCGAGACGCCGAGGAGTTCGAGTTAGAAGGCCTCATGAGCGATGACGAGGTTGACACTAGCAGACCGCGATAATACGGGAGCGTGGGCAGGGATTCTAGGGTGGGTCATCCGGCATGTGTAGCATTTTGAACAAAACAATTGAAAATTCCAATCCAGACAGCCCCGTGCTGCTGCAAACTCTCACTTTCACTACCCGGCGATTTCCACGGTCTTCAGCCCTATTCCAGTCGTTGATGACTCAGCTTTCTTTGGCGCCAGTAGCTCTTTCGGTCTCTGGCAATTTTCGATACATATCCCGGTTTACTTGATAGACCCCAATCTGATTCAACTTTGCGGTGCATCAAGATGCCTAAAGCAGAAGTTGGAAGCACGAAGTATCTGAGCAATAAGCTCAAATCCAAAGGTCTACAGCGTTTGAGATGGTGGTGCGAACCGTGCCAAAAACAATGCCGTGATGCCAACGGCTTCAAATGCCATACACAATCAGAGGCACACGTACGACAGATGCAAGCCATTGGAAGCAACGCAAACCAAGTTATTTCCAGTTATTCGGCAGATTTCCAAAGAAATTTTCTTACGCAGCTGAGAACGGCTCATGGAACTAAGCAAGTCCTTATGAATAGATTCTACCAGGAGGTTATTGCAGAGAAAGAACATGTGCACATGAACAGTACAAGATGGTCTTCGTTGACAGAATTTGCGAAACACTTAGGACGGGAAGGCTTAGTACGGGTTGAGGAGAACGACAAAGGCTTACATATCACGTGGATCGACAATTCACCGGAAGCTTTGAGAAGAGCAGAGGCTATTAAAAAGAAGGAACGGCAAGATAAGGGCGATGAGGAACGAGAGCAGAGGTTGATACGAGAGCAAATAAGCAGAGCAAGGCTTGATGCAGAGGCTCGTGAGCGGGACGATGAACTACAAGAAGGAGAACTGAATCGGGCGCAAGGCGAGAAGATCACGCTCAACTTCGGCATAAAGCCTTTGCAGCAGAGGGATCTTGTGTTTCCTCTGACTGAACAAGAGGTTCTTGCAGCTGAAAGGGAGCATCACAATGCAACGCCAAAATCAGAATCCCCACCCACGGGAGTGCCCACTCCGCCACCAGAGAAAGTCAGCCTCAAGCTGAACGCAACGAGTAAGCCTAAAAACGTTTTTGCTGCAGTTTCCAAGAAGAAAGTCTTGAATAACGGGAAGGCTGCTGTGAAGGAAGCACCTAAACGACCTATGAGCGAAGCCGAGCGGATTATGAAGGAAGAGATAGAACAAAAACGAAAGCGAGAGTCACATGGTCGGCCTGGGTTGAACACTAAGCGGCCGAAGTTGTTTTGAAGATGTTGCCTGCGACGCGAATCAACACCACTTCAAACATAACCAAGCTGGAAATGAGTGGGCTCATGGCCCTTGAAGTTCTAATCTAACTAGACATCTCGTTTGTCGATAAACCCCATGAAAGAGGCTGACATGAGACTCACGTCCGTGATTTTCCTCCCGCCATGGATCTTTTGACCTGTGTGGTCCATTACAACTTCATGCCTCCGAAGCATCCTTGGTGCTGAACGGCTGTTCGTGATCATGACAAGTCTATGTGTCTAAGTAGAAGCGATGAGAAACGGATTTGGTCTAGATACCCCTTATAGTCTTGTCCATAGATTTGATGATGTTGTATTCTCATCAATCGATTCCTTACACGTTAACTCTGCTATCCCCAAGCCAATAGGCGGCTGCCAGATAGCATTGGCCTTTAAAGGGTAGATGCCGCAGATAAACAATACCTGCCAGTTCTCAGCCCTACGGCGAAAGCACAAATGCCACGATTCCTCAACTCCTTCCACATTGAAAACACCACTCGCTGCCAGAGCGGCTTCAATCAGTATCTCACTTCTATTTGACTTTCAAATGTCAGCAGTAGACGCTTTTTGGCAGGCCCCTCCTGTTTCCAGGTTCGTCATTTCAAAGCTTCGCAGACCCAGAGGACCCACGAAGTCAATTTTCTGACGAGGCTGATCCTCTAGAACTCTGACAGCGCTCACTCTCACCACCTCAGTGCTTGTGTATGGCGGTTTGCTCGCAGGATGGAGGGTGATTTTCCATCCCTCATTCATTTTGAAGTTCCCGAAGCCTGAAATATGGCGGTTCTTTACTCCGTTCTTTGTCACTGGACCAGATCTAAACATCTTGTTTGATACGCTCTTTTGTCAGTAGCTTCCCCTGCTGAAAAGGCAACCTCGGAGGACTAATGTCTGATCGTTATGCAGTGTGGCAATACTCAAAAGCCTTAGAACTTGACAATCCGAGATTTTCCCAACCTGGAGACTTTTTCGTTTATGTCCTGTTCCTAGGCATCTTCATCATAGTAGGTGGACAAACTTATCCTTGTTCTCTCATACATACTTGTGCTGTGTCTCTCTCTCACGGGTTTTCAAATGCAAAAAAAACCAACCTCGCCTTTCTGCCCGCTCAGCCTTTTCTAGCTGCAGCGGTTCCTGGTGAGCGAGGAAGATCGCCCTTGCATCTAGTGTAGTCTCGTCATTCGCATATCAATCCAAAAGGAGGCTACATGCGGTGTGAGCATGGTGGAAGTGTCAAATCAGAAGCCTACGTCTCCGCCAGCGAAGCGTCGGTATTTTGGCTGTCCTACATATCTTTGTATCGCAACTTGACGCTGCATTCTGTGCTTCCTTTTCAATACTTTCAGCACCCAATTGATTGTCCTTTCACGAAAGCTGACAAGGTAACAGGCTACGGCAGGAGGCTTGCTAGGTGGGAGCATTTTTACGCAAGGTCAATGCTCAAAAATGTGTTTGCCGAATCGTATGCTTACATTTGACCTAGCTCTAATTTTGGGCTTTGCCTATACATTCGCACAGGACAACAAATTCAAGAAAGTCTCCTTCTTCGTCATCAAATTTCAAGCAATCTGGCTACCATGGGCTATTCTTGGGCTTACACTCGTCCTCGGTGGACCTAATGCGGCAATGAGACAAGTCACTGGGCTTGTTGCCGCACATCTATATGACTTTCTAACCCGGATTTGGCCTGTGTATGGCGGTGGGAAGAACTATGTCGTGACTCCGACTTTTGTCAAACGGTGGTTTGGCGCTGACAAGCGCGGTTCAACAGTCAAGGCATATGGGACGGCGATCAGACCTCAGAGCCACACAGCAAGTCAGGGTTCTTCCTCTGGATTCAGCTTTGCAAATTCATGGGGCCAAAGAGGGACAGGCAGAAGATTGGGAGGCGACTAACGCCAAGCCACTGTGTGATATGCTGTAGAATTGTATGACGACAATATGTATAATGACTCGACTATGGACAGCGCACTTTTACAAAATGATATTGAAGTCCTCCTTGTCCTCCTTGTCCTGGACTAACCCAATCTATATTTGAGGCAAGCGTTAGCGCCGGCTAAACTTTCCTAAATGACTCGCACAAAATTTCCCAAGCTCTCTGCGATTTTCGAGCTTAATTACACGAGAAGCTTCAAAACATACCCATTGAAGAGAGTACGGCCCAATCTTTTGATTCGCCGCTTTAGCGGCAGTTGAAGATGGCTGCCGAAGGCGTAAAGAAGGAGGAGGACAAAGAATACAGCATCAAGCCCGAGAACATTGGCCCAGTTGCCGACACCAGCGATTGGCCACTGCTGCTCAAGAATTACGACAAGCTCCTTGTACGCACCGGACATTTCACACCTATCGCAGTTGGCTGCACGCCTTACAAACGCGACTTGAAGTCATACATCAGCTCCGGTGTCATCAACCTCGACAAACCTTCCAACCCTTCCAGCCATGAAGTTGTTGCGTGGATGAAGCGCATGCTACGGTGCGCGCGTGATCAGGTCTAATAGCTGTCATGCAAGCTGATCAGATTCTAGGGTTGAAAAGACAGGTCACAGTGGTACCCTAGATCCTAAAGTCACAGGCTGTCTCATTGTCTGTATTGATCGTGCAACTCGTCTGGTCAAATCACAGCAAGGCGCGGGGAAAGAGTATGTCTGTGTCGTACGAATGCACGACAAGTTGGCAGGCGGGGAAGCACAACTCTCAAGAGCTATACAGATGCTCACTGGGGCTCTGTTCCAACGACCGCCACTCATATCCGCCGTCAAAAGACAGTTGCGCATTCGAACCGTCTATGAGAGCAAGCTGTTAGAATTCGATAATGATAGACACTTGGCTGTCTTTTGGGTCAGTTGTGAGGCAGGGACGTACATTCGAACCTTGTGTGTGCATTTGGGATTGCTGCTAGGGGTAGGAGCGCATATGCAAGAATTGCGACGAGTCAGGAGCGGCGCGATGAATGAGCAAACCGATATGGTGACATTGCATGACGTACTGGATGCACAATGGACCCAGGATAACAATCGAGACGAGACATACTTACGGAAGGTCATCCACCCTCTCGAAACCCTGCTTGTCACATACAAGAGGCTCGTTGTGAAGGACAGTGCTGTCAATGCTGTTTGCTATGGAGCAAAATTGATGATACCCGGGTTGTTGAGATACGGTAGGCGAAGCTAAAATTCTATTAATTCATTTCAACCTAGCTTACGGTCAAATAGAGGACGGAATCGAGCTGCATGAGGAAGTAGTACTTATGACGACCAAAGGAGAGGCGATTGCCCTAGGGATAGCACAAATGTCAACCGTCGAATTGACTACCTGTGATCATGGAGTAGTTGCCAAGGTCAAAAGATGCATAATGGAGAGAGATCTTTATCCGAGGAGATGGGGCTTGGGGCCGACTGCTTTGGAGAAGAAGAAGCTAAAGTCCGATGGAAAGCTAGATGTAAGTTCCAGGCAGCGTGCAAATAGGTATTTGCTAACATAAGGTAGAAATTTGGCCGACCAAACGAGAGCACGCCCGCCAAGTGGAACGCAGAATATAAAGACTACGCACCGCCTGTCGAGGATGGATTCTCCAAACCCTCAAAGAAGGCTGAGGAACCTAAGGCACCTGATTCAAAGACCGATGATCAAGCTGTAGCTGGAGCAAATGCCGCATCACCCAACCAGAAAGCTGGTTCACAGCAAAACGAGAAGAAGGAGAAGAGGAAGCATCGTGAGGATGAGACACCAGAGCAGCGTGCTGATCGCAAACGCCGGAAGAAAGAGAAGAAGGAAAAGAAGGAGAAAAAAGGCGTAAAGGAAGAGCGTGCCGGTGATGAGAGTGATTAATCTTTAATCCTCCTGCATCAATGCGTTCGAGGAAGGGTGAATGGAACTTTACCATTGTATGATACATTGCATGGTGCTGCGGGATACATACCCAACAGTAGGCTGAATCAATAGAATTGATATGCACAACGGGTTTTCAGGAGCATCAGATCAATCATCTTCTAAATGCGTGAATCGTCGTTGCAAAGTGGGTTGCGGAGCTATTAATAGTTCGCTGGTGGGAGCTTTCAGACAGTTGCCATCTACAGCACAGATTCAATACACAGAACCATTAACATTTAGACACGATCACTTCCAGAGAGCCAGAATGGCTGCAGAACTTGCGAGTAGTCGGCTTGATCATGATAGCCATCTATTACTCGTAAGCCCACCAAATCTATCCCCCCACCTTCAATCACTTCTATACTGACCGGCCTATCTCAGGAACAACCCCTTCTCCGCCTCCCTCAAGAACTCCTCCGTAAGAATTTCAAGACGGCTCAGGGCCACCTTGAGCGCGAGAATAAACAAATCCTTCCTCTTCTCAAGTCAGCCGCCAACGCCTCCTTCCAGGGAGCTGACGATACCACCACCCTCAGTTCCCTTGATGGCATGATCACCCGGCTTAATACCCTCAAGCGCAAGATCGAAACGCTGCATGAAGAAGAGACGGGCCTGCATGTAGCTAGTAGACGACGCTTAGAGCATCTGAGCGATCTTTACAAGTTGGACAGTCTGTCGGATGTGAAATATGATGAATGGAGCCATGTCAGATTGAACCGCTTGCTAGTTGAGTATCTCGTGCGGCAAGGGTACTCTGATACAGCAAGAAGTCTGGCGAGGGAGAAGGGCATTGAAGACTTGGTGGATTTGGACGTCTTTGGGAGGTGTGAAAGGATTGCACATGAATTGAAGATGGGAAGCTTGGAGGAGGCTCTTGGATGGTGCGCGGAGCACAAGGTCATCATGAGGAGAAAGGATGTGAGTACCCCGCTCATGTTGGGTGGAGATACAATAGAAGGTACGTGGCTAATCATTGCAGAATAAATTGGAGTTTGAATTGCGGTTACAGCAGTACATCGAGCTTTGCCGGCAAAGAAAATTGGTTGAGGCACAACAGCACGGCAAAAAGCATTTTCCACCACATTTAGAGAGTCAGAGCCAGAAGATATATTTCGCTGCTGGTTTACTGGCGTTTCCCCCAGATCGACAGCATCAATATACAGTATGTTTTCTTTTCTGAAGCAGACTTTCGAGCTGACAATATATCACAGAGTTGGTATTCTCAAGCACGGTGGGACGAATTGGCTGCCCTTTTTACAGAAACTCACCATCACCTCTTCTCGCTTCCGTCACGACCACTTCTCCTGATCGCTCTCTCTGCCGGTCTCTCAGCGCTTAAGACCCCGTCTTGCCATTCAAAGCACACTAGCAGCGTAGCAAACGCCAGCTCTACGACAACTTCGCTCTGTCCAATCTGCTCGGCCGAGCTGAATGAGGTTGCGAGAAAGTTGCCCTATGCTCATCACACCAAGAGCTATGTCGAGGCTGATCCAGTCGTTTTGCCGAACGGAAGAGTATATGGTCGGGACCGATTGTCTGAGTATTGTAGGAAGATGGGCCTTCCCGAAGATGAGATCAAGGATCCAACCACATCCGAGTTGTTTCATGTGAATGAGTTGGTGAAGGTCTATATTACCTAAATTCATATTCTTTCAATCGATGTGTCACAGTGGTGCATCGTATAGCGTTAGCGAATGGCATAACAACATGATGCAACGAACGAGTCATTGGTCACTATCCGAATCACTTTCATCTCGTTTTCGTTTCGCAGACGGAGGTGCGCGATCTTGTCCCTCATGCGACTCAAAGACATACGTCCTCGCTGGTCTGTCTTCTCCCTTCCATCCGCCACTACCCTCAATATTCCCCAAAGTTCTCGCATGCTTATATCCAGGATAAGCTCCGGCTTGAAATCTAAAACTCCTCTGCACCTTTAACCCCACATGTCTTGCCAAATCCCTCACACTCCAAAGCTCATAGGGTTCGCCTTCAAAGATTGTCAAGATGATTTGACCATCATGTGCAAGCAGCGGTAGCGCAGCCCTAAAGAAGCCCACAACGAGCTCCTGGTTGGCTCTGACCTGCCGATTCACGTCCTTGGTCAACCCACCGACGTGCGGAAAGTTGAAAACAATGCGGTCCCAATTGCCTCTGCGTAGGATCTTGCTTCCGCTGCCAATATGCCCAGGGTGGCCAAGCTTCGTGGCGTCAATGTTGTATTCAACTTTGCAATTCTCAGCTTTTGCTATAGTGGTGATGGTGGCAGCCACTTGAGGGTACTTGGAAAGGCTGGATGATTGCGAGTCGAAACTCGTGGCGCACAGACACGTGCAGCTGTGATGATCGATGAGGGCGCGAGAAAAAGAGAAGTCGCCTTCGCCGATGAGGAGGATGCGATGATCAGGCGAGAAGGGGATGGTGGGGGGTTGTTTTAGCTCGCTGTTTTCGGGTTTCCTGCTTGGCGTCTTCTGAAATGGATCAGATTGCTTTGACTTGGTATGTGCCTTGGATGATTGCTTTTGGCGTTTTTGGCTTCTGTGTTTGCCCATGCTATAGATGGCGACGGCCTAATGTTCTAAACATTGTGGTCAAGGTCTCCGCAACAGCTCCGCATTTTAGCGCCTTATTTTTAACCGCTAGCGAATACAGTAGTGTGGACCGCAATGAACGACCATCGGTGATCAACCAAGTGACGAATTGAACATGATCCATGTCGGATGGCAACAAGAATCCATCTATTGAGGACCGGATCGAAAAGCTCCAGCAGGAGCTCGCTGATGCTCGAGCGCAGCTGAAATCGCAATCGTCGTCGTCAGATATCGTCAATGTTGAGAATGCCTTACTCAACAACGTAGGACCCTTCGATGTATCAAAATTTCCATCGCACCACCTGCTACACTTGACAGATACAGCACTTCCTCTCGGCTCTTTCGCATTCAGCAGTGGACTCGAGTCCTATCTTGGGCATCATCCACCCGCTCACAATGCCAAGCCCAATACACTCCCCCACTTCCTACATACGAGCCTGACCTCAGTAGCTTCCACCACCCTGCCGTATCTGATCGCCGCGTTCAGGCACCCTCAACGCTTGCAAGAGCTTGATGATTCACTCGACGCATGTATACTCTGCCCAGTCACCAAACGGGCCAGTGTGAGCCAAGGACGGGCACTGGTAACGATATGGGAGCGGTCGCTGAGGGCCGAAGCAGGGAATAGCGCGGCGAAACAGACGCTGCGAGATTTCAGTATAGCCTTAAAGGCGCCCACGGATGCTAAAAATAGGGAGGTCGAGTTGTATGCGCACTTTCCGCTCATCTATGCGGCTGTGTGTGCTGCGCAAGACTTGAGCTTGCATGAGACAGCATATACGTATCTGTTCAACCACGCTAAAGCGGTCATGAGTGCCGCGGTGAGGGCAAGCGTGCTGGGCCCGTATGCGGCGCAGAGCCTGCTTGCTTCGTTGTGGTTGAGAGGTGAGATTGAACAGGTAATGGCGAGAGAGTGGGGAAGAGAGGTGAAGGAGGCTGCACAAGCTGTTCCTGCGCTGGATGTCTGGGTCGGGAGGCATGAATTGCTTTATTCGCGGATCTTCAACTCGTGACATGGTTAGCTTTGAGGTGAAGCGTGCGATGGCTGCTTAGCTTAGAGTCTGGATCGTCATTGAATTGGTATCTAATATTCGTTGTGTTGCACGTCCTTGCCGGTTTCGTGGCTTCGCCGGCGCCCTACGCAATGCGATTTCGCTAGATGAATGCATGTTGATAGTACAAACCAATCGCTCATAATATTTCTTTCAACTGTGACTTCTGTGCTGCCGTGAGACTTGGGGGAAATTTGACCTTCACTTCCACGATCAAGTCTCCTCGTTCGCCTGGCTTCTTGCTTTTGGGCATACCCCGCTCAGGAAACGTTTCTCTAAAACCTGGTCCCGTTGGTCCACCGCCGGACACAGGTAGCTGCTTTCCATCGATGGTGGGGATTGTGCGTTTCCATCCCGTGAGAGCTTCCTTCAGCTCAAGTTCAATAGGAGCAATCAGATTGTCGCCTTCACGTCTGAACGTTGGATGATCTTTCTATAGAATCGTTAGCAGCTTGTTGTGAATGTGTTTACGAAGGCTTCAGGGCTGTGAAGTCGGAATATAGCCACGCAAAATCTGGCACCGGGCATCTAAGGTTATACCTGCCCCCATTTCGCCCCTACAAATTTGGCGTGGCCATGTTCCGACCAATCAACCCTCGGGCAATGCCTACCTCTGAGATGATGAAGTGTAGATCCTGTGTCCCTGCCTCGTCTTGATCCCCTACCCCTTTGAATTTGATCTTGGTGCCGGCTTTGTAGCCTGGCTTGATATCGACATCTAGAATCTTGTCCTCTACAGCCCTCCTCCCCGTTCTTGCATCGAAGTTCTTCCGTTTTATCTTCATCTTCTTATGCGTTCCCCTGTACAAATCCTCTAGGGACACTGGCAGCGTTTTCTCAACGGTGGTGACCTCAGGTGTAAGCGCCCGTCTCCTAGAACCTGCACCCCCATACGACTCCTTCCGTGACATTCTTGGTCCCCCACGACTGCCTCCACTAGAAGAAAATTGCGAAAAGATATCATCATCATCGCCCATGCCCGCACCGCCGCTTTTGAAGAAACTCGAGAAAATGTCGTCCGGATTGCTGAAACTGAAACCACCCGCGCCTGGCCCTCCGCCTGAGCTGAAGTGAAAGGATCGAGTTCCCCCTCCACCACCCGGCATGCCGCCGCCGAACATTTGCTCAAACCCTGCGGGTATGCCTCCTGGTCCAGCGCCTGTGCCGGGGCCTGCGCCTCCTCCACCCGGTGGTGCTTGCGCTCCACCCCCGAGAAGGAAGTCGAGGCCGTATTGATCGTACACTTTTCGTTTTTCGGGGTCTGACAAGAGCTCGTAAGCCTGTGAGACTTCTTTGAATTTCTCGCCAGCTTTCGGATCATCTGGATTCTTGTCTGGGTGGTGTTTTAAGGCCATTTTCCTGCCAAGTTCGTCAGATCATGCCAGGAAAGGCTGACGGGGTGAACGTACCGATATGCTTTCTTGATCTCATCTTGGGTCGCATCAGGCTTGACACCTAGTGAATCGTATAATTTAGTCTCGGACACCATGGTGGGCAGAATTAGAGGTAAAGATTAGACTGTGAGCAGCAGGAGGAACATAAGAATAAAATAGGTGATCAGTGGGTGCTGCGGGTGAGGAGGTACAGAATTGATTTTAATTGAGGTAGTATAGATACTCCACTGGGAGAACGCACTTGGCTTTCTCAACCAGAGTCCCGAAGAACTATTAGAATCATTGGAAGAGATTGAATTATTGCTTGTGAGCATTTCTCCTGCAGGCCCCCGAGCCTCGTTGGGTCGAGAGGCTCACCCGGCCGCGTTCTAGGTAGAAGGTTCTCGAAGGTTCTAAAGTCCTCGGGCTTGGTTCCCCTGAAGGGCCCCTTGGAGCAGCCCCTGACCTTGCCGGAATAGGGCTCGATTATTTCGCAACTATGGACACAACATCTTCGTCTGCCACAGGATGGCCGAGTCCAACCCGTTGAGGGACGTGTCTTGCACTTGCCCCCCATACTAAGGCATACTTGAATGTCTCCTTTAGTGTGCGATGAACTTGGTCGCAGACGTCGTCAATTGTAGACTTGTTGCGAACAATAAGCGCTTCGCTGAAGTCCGGCTCGTCGCCTTTCCTTTTGGTGTAGACTCGAATCAGTCGCAATTCTTCCCAGCATCGCTCGACAACATCTTGGATCCCCAGATCCAACTCGCAGCTCATGACGGCCGTGTTCGGCTCCCGAGCCAGCTTGTCCAAAAAGTCCATCGAGACGGAATCAATTTTGTTGTAGACGTAAAGGCTGAAAAGTCAATGGACGGTATCACTGATGCTAGCCAACAACATACCATTTGATGTATTTTCTGTAATCTTTCATGATGACGTCGATGAAGTCGTCGACCGTCGCTAGACTCTCTGAGCAGATTTTGATAACGTGCTAAGGCAATAAACCAACCGTTCTCATCCCTCACGAGCACCTCGCAATTGAGCATCTTGTAATCCCGCAAGATGTTGTAAAGCATTTTCTCATCGAGGTTCTTAGGAGGCGACTGAAACGTTATTTTCATACCTCCTGCCTTCTTTGCTTTGAGATAGATGTTGCTATTACTATATTCAGCAGCTGAAGTTTGAGACCACAAGTTCTCTCATACGGTGGTTCACGGTTCAAGCGAATCCCCACAGCCTCAAGTTCTTGCTCAAGTTGTGATCGCTGCTCTGCGCGTTTGGTCGCATCAAGAATCATCAAAATCAAATCGCTTGTCTGACAGGATCAGTACGAGTGATGCTGCCCAACGACTTATCAAAACCTTTGCTGCTGAGATTACCTGTCTACCACGTCCTTTACCTTCACTTGCACCTTCGATGATGCCAGGCAAATCCAAAACCTGTATCTCTGCGCCGCCATACTCAAGGACGCCAGGGATGGCCGTTAAAGTGGTGAAAGAATACGCAGCTACCTCACTCTTTGTCTTTGTGATTTTGGACAAAAAGGTGGACTTGCCCACAGAAGGAAATCCGACCAAGGCAATTCGAGCGTCTCCACTCTTGCTGACATCAAAACCACTGCCGGCCCCTGACCCAGCACCCGGTGCAGGCTCGAGTAGTTGGGCGCGAAGACGTGCAAGTTTCCTGGGATATATGAAGGGAGAATCTCAAGATAGAAGCAACGATGAAATACCCTTTGAGAAGACCCAGATGATATTCTTTCCAACATCAATGATTGAGGGAAGCATTGTATGCTGCATCACCTACCTGTAGCTTTATTCTCTGAGTATCGCTAATCAGTACATGCAGTACCTACGTGTACTCGTCCATACTTTGCGTTCTGCGCATCTCATCCTCGATTCTTTACTACTCAGCAAAATAGGATCAAATAAAGACATCATCATCTTACTCTTTGATTTTGTCCGTAATGTTCACCATTTTGATGATTCCAAGTCAGTGCTTCTCTAGCACAGCTATACTTTGCGTGGATGCAATGCCAGTGATTGAGAAAACCACCACACTGCAGAGAAGCGACTTTAGCGCGCTAAACGCAAACGCTCTCACTGCCACAACAGTCAACGGGCCATTTTTGATTTCCTTCAACATATTCTATGCATATGCCGAAATTGGGCTGGGTGAAGTCTCATGCGAATTATGGGGCATCCACACTGATGACCGAGGTCATCAAGTGAGATCGTCAGTGAGCCTAGGTGCGCCATGGTAAGTTGATGGAATCTATGTCGTGAAGGTATGGCCGGCTCCACCACAGATTATTCAGAAATTCAACGAGATGAGATTGAAGCCTTGCGCTCAATTTATCCAAATGATTTTGTCGAAGGTGAGACTAAAGTGGGAGCGTGGAAAAAATATTCGGATCCATCGTTTCGAATATCCTTGAGACCCAGTCTTAATGATCGTGAGAATTTTGCCATTACTCTTATTGTGTCATTGCCATCTACGTATCCTAAAACGCTCCCAAGACTAAGCTTAAAATATGAAGACAATGTCAATCAGCCAACTAGAAATGCTGCCGAGAAGGTCTTGAAAGATATACCAAAGACTCTAGTAGGCTCGGAAATGATGTATGACATTACGACGGGGTTGCAAGATATATTAGATAAATGTGCGCAGGTTGATACTGCGCAAATACCCACACTAGACGAGGAGAGAAACGCGAAACAAGAAAATGCAAAGATACGCCACGCAGAATTAGAAGCCGAAAGACAGTCGAAAGCTTTGGAGGTAGCTAATAAGGAAGCTGTAGATCAAGAGAGCCAGCTACTACATGAACTTGCGCAGCAACGGAAGGCCAAAGAAGAGCGACGGACTACCAGTCATCGAGATGTCTCAAAGGCTCTAATTGAGCTAGACGATGTCATAGATGGTCTAGCTTTCGAGAGACCGTCCGCCAAAGTGATAGATCCATCCGGTAAGACTTTGACCCTGACTGCGATCTTTCAAAAGACGCAATATCGACACCGTTTTACAAATCGGCTATTTCTAGTCAGGCCAAATCAAGCTCTCGAAAGCCCAGCTAGCGACCCATTTCTGTGTCTGAAAGAATGCAAATGCGCCGGAAATGATCCCTCCTTCAAACGAATGCTCCAAGAATTGGAGCTTCGACTTGAGGCTCAAATGCACCGTACATCGCATCCTAATGTAGTCACCACCTTGAATTTTCGCATACAACGCATTGAAAATGAGAACTCGAATCAATGGCTGATCAGTATCCTGACGGAATTCACGTCGAGGGGATCGTTGTACGATTTGCTTGACGTCGTAGAAGGTTTAGACCCGAAGAAAACCAAAGCCTGGTCGATCCAGCTGCTAGAAGGACTCCATCATTTTCATCAACAGGGTTCCGCGCATGGAGCCGCGCACACCTCCAATATCCTTTTGTGGAAAAGTGAGGCGCTGACAACAGTGGTCAAGTGGTCGGATGGTACTTACGCTCGCAGCTTGCGTCGACTAGCTAGTCACCCGCAGCTTGATATTCCCACAAGTTGGAGAGCGCCTGAAGATCTAGCCTCTGGATCTGACCATGAGGTAGCAGGAAGCACAGACGTGTGGTATTTCGGTCTATGTCTCATGCAAATGGCGTTTGGTTCGGACGTTCTCCGACAATACGAGACCCCAACAGTCGCTTTGAACGACTTGGAATTAACGCAGAGCCTGAAGTCTGTCCTACAAGGAATATTCCATCCAACCATCAAGAAAAGACCGTCCTGTTGGGACCTACTACATTTTGAGTTCTTCCGGAACGACGACCCGTTTCTAGTTGAGGAAGCGAGCACATACCTAGTGACGAGACCTCGAACACGACGCGAGTCAGAACCTCCAGCCGAAGCATCTGAATATGCCCGGAAATTTGTTGAAGAAGGGCGCCTAGGCCGTGGGGGGTTTGGTGAAGTCTTTCGCGCGAGGAATAGGATCGACGGCCAGCTATACGCTGTCAAGAAAATCAAAGCGAAATCTCGCGCAGCGCTCGATCCTGTTATAAGCGAGACAACAGTGCTGTCTCGTTTGAATAATCCTCATGTTGTCCGCTACTTTTCGTCCTGGATCGAAGAAGACGCGCTTATTAAGGCCCTGAATTCTTCCGATATCAACACTTCTCGTGAGACAGATACAGGATCACTCAGTAGCTTTGACTTCAGGTCCATCCTTCCGCCCAGTTCCCGTGGCCTTGATTTTATCAGTTCCAACCAAGTCCGTTTTGGTAATGCAGAAGAGTCTGATGGAGACTATGAGAGCGACGAAAGCGGCACTGAGTCCAGCGATAACCCTTCTGATCCAGCGCCCCGTGATGAACAGCATGCTGATCAGCTGTCAAACTTGAGCTCGACAGGGGACAGCAATCATGAGGTCGGAAGCAACAAAGAACAAGCGCATAGCGCCTGGACAATCTTGTACATTCAAATGGAGTACTGTAATCAAGAGACGCTGCGAAATCTCATCAACTCTGGCATTCAAACAGATAATGATGAGAGCTGGAGGCTGTTCCGGCAAATTGTGCAAGGACTAGCTCATATACATGCAGCATCCATTGTCCACCGTGATCTAAAGCCCGAAAACATTTTCGTTGATAGCCACGGAGATTTGCGTATCGGCGACTTTGGTTTGGCTCGTCCAGGTGAGCAGTACACTGCCGGATTGGCGAGGACTTCCAAAGCAATCACAAATTTCACCAAAGACATCGGAACAGCCTGGTACGTCGCCCCAGAAGTACGATCAAGCAGCGCCAGCAAGTACGATGAAAAGGCAGATTTGTACTCGTTGGGCATCATATTGCTCGAAATAAATGTAGCCTTTAACACTGGTATGGAGCGCGCTGAATCCCTGGAACCACTCGCGAAAGAAGATCATAAACTTCCACAGGCTCTTGCAGGGCCAGAGAAAATAACTCAAGCTCGTTTGCTGATGCGCCTCATTGCATTTGCGCCATCACAAAGGCCAAGTTGCGTGGAGTTGCTTAGTGAAATCCCTGTGCAAGGGGAAGATCAAACAAGTCAATTGCTTCGCCGTGAAGTCCGTGATCCCAACTCGAAATTGCGAACTGAATTGGTTGCCGGATTGTTTGCCGGAATTCCAAAAGCTGAAGTTCAAGTGCGAGAAACCCAGCTGGCATTAGATATGGGCCATAGAGTGAAATTGCTAGATGGGACATCTGCGATGTCGCAAAGCTTACCGGATCTAGAGCTCCAGATGAAAGTGAAAGATCGCTTAATGGCCATATTTCGTTGTCATGGTGCAGTCGAACGAACAGACAGTCCAGCGATGTTCCCCCAACACCCATACTATACGGCATCGGATGTTGTGCGCATTCTCGATCCTGCAGGGAAAATGCTACAACTGCCATATGATCTAGTCCTACCAAATACCATTCTGATTGCACGTTCTCCAAGGAAAGACTCAAAGACCTTTGCTTTTGGAGATGTGTACCGGCCAGACTTAAGGAAAGTCGATCCCAACATATATTCAGAAGCAGACTTCGACGTCATTGGATCAGATGCAACAAACTTGATTATGGACGAGGCGGAAACGATCAAAGTCGTTGATGAGATCGTCGACGAGTTTCCCAATCTGTCAAACAGTATCATGTGCTACCACATCAATCACTCAAGAATATTAGAGGAGATCCTCTCTTTTTGCGATATCCACTGTTCGAAATGGTTTCAAGTAAAGGAGACCTTAAGTAAATTGAACGTAGGCGACTGGACATGGCAGCGCATCAAATACGAATTGCGGACACCTCCTCTATCCATCGCCGCTACAAGCCTTGACGAGCTTGAAAGGTTCGACTTTCGCGACTCTGTTGAAAAAGCAATATCAAGCTTGCGTTCAATGCTCCCGAAGACCGCAGACCTTGAGGCCTCCCTCGTGCACATGCAAACACTTGTATCATATCTCTCTCGCATGAAAGTAAGGCGAAAGGTCTACCTTAGTCCTTTGAGCAGCTACAATGAGAAGTTTTATCGCAGCAACCTCCTGTTCCAATGCCTGTTCGATCGCAAACGAAGAGCTGTATTTGCGGCAGGCGGTCGCTACGATAGGCTCATTCGCGATCACCAAACACTATCCTCACGCGAATCATACGTGCACGGTGTCGGCTTCCAAATGACTTGGTCAGGCTTGTGCGCCGGCATGGCTTCCTATCTCAATACCCAGCAGAAGTCCAAAGCAAAGAGAAAGCCGCCAATTGACATTGCATCATGGATTACGCGACGGTGTGATGTCTTGATTGATTGTTATGATCCAGATCTTCTCGAAAATGTGGGCGTCCGGATCCTAAGCGAGCTCTGGGGCCATCAAATTAAGGCGGAGCTGGCGAGCGTGCAGGATGCTACTATCACTAACGCTGCATTCACGAAGGCGTCACCTCTGAAGGAAGATCCCAATTGGATTGTGCTCATCAAGTTCCCAGATGTTGTGAAGGTCAGGAACTCGTTTCGTCAGGAAGACACAGAAGTAAGAACAGTGGATTTGATCAATTATCTTCGAAGCGAGATTCGGGAGCGTGATCGTAATGAGTCACGGCATCCACCCAATTTGTATAGGAATGTCAGCCAGCAGGAAAGGCCCGCAAACGATCAAGAGCCCAACGTCAAGGTGCTCCTGTCACAAGCAAAGGGGAAGAAGACCAATAGAAAGATCATCGTGGAGGAAGCTCTAGCACAAGCACAAGAATGGCGCAAATCCCTGGTGGAGCATCCTATCATAGCCGTTGAGATTAAGGAGGAGATATTTCAAGGCATTCAGCAGGCCCGTCTCGATGACCCTGATGCGTGGAAAAAATTGATCCAGACCGCCCCTGCTGGTGACCGCCAATATCTGGGGCAAGTACAGACAATGCTCAGAGAACAGCAGAGTACGACTGCTGCTTTTTTGTACAATTTTCGAACGAAGGCGATCTTGTACTATCCAATAAGGAAGGATTAAAAATGTTGGACAGCTTGTTGGGTTCTATTACCATTCGGTAAAGACATCTCCTTTCGTAAGAAGTTGCAAGGCTATGTAAGGTAGCCGTGCTGTAGATAAATAGTCATGACGTTTGGCTAGCATCTTTAACTTCGAGACTTTATCAGTCACTATCATCATCGCTCCCGTAAGCAACGAGAGCTGGTTGACGGGTTTCTGGAAGAGGAATAGGACGAGCAGCTGCTACCTCTTGATTAGCATCGCGTTGTCGTAATGTGGCAATAGTTGAGCTCTTCAAGATGCCGTTCTCCTGCGCATTTACCGCTTGTTCCGGAGTTCCATTTTCGAGCATCTTCTTCCTTTCACCACCTTCGAGAAATGCCGTGCCTCGATCATCACTCTCCAAAGCTCTGTTCCTAGCATACCATACATCGTCAGGCGCTTCATACCCTTCCAAGCCGAATCCACCCTCCAGCTTTTTCCTCTTTCTGGCCTCCGGATCTCCTTCAATCTCCTTCACGAATTCCGCCGGGAGTGCTCGTCGCACAGCTTCGGCGGCCTGTTCCTCAATCGCTCTAGCCTCGCGTTTCTGCGCCTGAGGATTGGGATCGACAGTCGCCCATCGCACGTTCAGGATTTCCTCATGATCTAAGCTTTGATGTGCCATGGCCTCCTTCGCGAACTGCGAATTTGCTTCATTTGTATATGTCACAAATGCCACACCCCTTGCTGTAAGACATCGAACGCGATCGATCTGACCCCATTCCTGAAAGTTTCGTGCTACGATTTCTTCTATATCATCTGTAACATGGATCCGGCCAACGTAGAGCGTCCGATTCTGCCGCATAAAACTCCCAACGCCTCCCATATCGTCACGATAATCGCTGTGCTGTTTCTTTGCGTTAGTAGGATATATCTCTGTGGATGAAAGATAAACTTGTACATACCCGATCGCGCCCAAAGCAATCCATATTGGGTTGAAAAGTATCAAAAATCGTTGGCAGTCTATGAAGATATTCACAATCCTGGCCTCTCGGACATATTCCCCTAGCAAAGAACAAGCAGAAGTAACTCCCGACGACTTTGTCAGCACGTGTGTATCCGCTGTCGAGTTTCACATTGCAGCGGCCTGCTGCATGCGTTTTTGAAAGGTACTATTCACGTTCAATATCTGCTATTTGGAACATTGACTAGAAGTCTTGAAACTCACCTTGTCCTCACGATCTCCACCACTCCATTTGTTGAACCATATGTTGAATATAGTGCCAGTCTGCGGAGCTTCAGCAGCCAATGACTTCAGGGTAGCAGGATCGACTTGGGGTCTCGCGGGTCGCCGCTTCTTGCGTATTATCGTTTTGGTTTTCTTCATTCCATTATTAGGTTGAGATGCTTCTTTTGTGATTTCTGTCTCCTCATCATGATTTGCGACTTCTGTAGAGGTGGTTGAAGAAAGTATGCCTTCGGAGACGAAATCCGCGGATGGTAGCTCTGAGGGCAGATGTATAGGTAGGGAGTCAACTTCTGTCATGGTTGAGGTGTGTAAGTATTTCAACTTGGTGTAGAGGTCTTGCTGGCAGTGAGTGTTCTAAGCTTTCAAATCCGTGGGTAGGCTTGCTTGCAGATTGGCGGCGCTACTGGTATCTAGTGGCGGAGATAATGAGGCTTTGGATCTTGTCTCCGTCCCGAAGATCCCCCGAAATGTAAACACAAGGAGTGGCACCGTTCAAACAAGCTCAACTGGCCAAATCGCTACTCTACTATCTGGCTCCAGAAGTTCTCCAATATGCTTGACTGGTCTGCAGGCCCACTTCGCGCTGCCGATGCGCTTTCTGCTCCCCTCAGTGAGTCTGACCTGATGCGCCCGTTGAATGGGAATTAACAAGAATCCATACAGACGAGGGTGTGTCCTGCATTGATGAGCCCCCAGATACCCCGGCGCATGTGTTTGCGCTTCGTGCTTTTAAGACCGCCATCTTTGGGACCCCTCATCCTGAACAACAAGTGACCGTGGGAAAGCCCGAGATCGTCGCCAAGCGCAGTAACAGAAAAAAAACCCCGCAGCTCTCAAAGGGACAAACGCCTCCAAGCAAACGGGTGAAGTGCTGAACTTGACTGGTGAATCGAGGAGAGTGTCAGACGAACAAATCCCATCTCCGACGAAAGGAATTCTCTTGACACCCGGAATTGGGACCTCGCGCAGAAAGAATGTTTCATTCATGCATTTTCAAGAAGAAGTGGGCTCTTCCAATGTCGGAGATATTGAAGCCGAGGAGGTGGCCTCTAGCCAGGATAATTCACCAACCAGAAGGAGGCATAAGCGCGACATGCGACCACGGCCATCGAGTCTCACCAGGAAACTTGTTGGAATGTCGAAGCGAGAACCAATTGAGGCGGTAGAGATGGAGCAGAATCGCTTGCAGACCTTCGACTCGGCGGTCCAGTTAGAATTGGAAAACGATGTCGACCACGCAGTGCAAACGTCTCCTGACCATACACTTGACCTTTCGCAGCCGCGGTCACAGTCAGGCCAGCACTGGAAAACAGAGTACGATCAGTATCTGGGAAGATCGAGAAGTGAAATCAAGAGGGTCTTGCAGCACGGACAAAATGTCAAATCTTATGCAGTTCAAAAAGACGCTGAGGCAGCAATGCTTAGTGAGAGATTGCGGTTTGAGGAAGCGAAGGTTCGAGCTTTAGAGCGCAGGGTATCGAAATTGACAGACCAGTTGGATGTAGCCCAAACACAGGATCCCAAGGGCCAAGGTGAATACGCCAGACTGGTGAGCGAGCTAGCGCAGCAGACAGCTCTCGTTGCCAGGCACAAGAGGTCATTAGAGCGACATGAGGGATTGGCGTTTGAAGATTGCAGCTGCGATAGCAAGATTCCCGTTCCAAGAGCGCATGGCGAAAGCTTAGAAAAACAGCTGAGGAGCTTGCGCGAAGCAGCCCAAGAAGCTGGGCAGAGGGCTGAAAAAGCCGAAGCCGAAAACACGGCCCTAAAGCAATCCCTCGCCCGGGTCAAGGAAGAGATGATGGGCTACGAATCTAGACGGAAAACAAGAGAAGAGCGATTGAAAAACAAGGAAGGAAAGTTCAAAGCTGCGAAGGACCTTGCTGAAGATCAACTCTCCCATTTGAGGCAAGAGCATCAGAAGCTGTTAGAAAGTAGGAAAGAGCAGTACACTCCCTCAGCCGGACGAAGCTCAAGAATGGGGCAACGATCATCAAATGGCAACAAGTCTCAATTGCAAATTCAAGGGCAAAGGCACCAGATCTTGTCACCAAAGTTGCTCAAAGAAAATCAACGACCAGGAAAGTCAATCTCTCCTCGGAGGAGACGACAGCAAAACCCGGCTATTGATATCTGGACAATGAGCAGCCCCAGAGGAGACAACAAGCATGATAAGATAGCCAAGACACAGGAGATATCAGACCTACCACCTTCCAGCGTCAAACAGGATATACAGAAGGCGCTCAAAGAGATCAACCTCAACATCATCCCCCACCAGAGCTTTGGGATGTCGTCATATACAACTTCTGAGAAGCCGCTTGGAGTGAGTCCGGGTGCCATCGGCAAGAAGGAACCGCTTGGATACGAAGACGGTGTCCCCGTTTGGATGGAGACATCACCCACAATACCACAACACCTTGCCTCATCGCGTGCCAAGCTCCAACAGCAATCCGGAGGTTTTGACTCTGCTGAAACGCGAGAAACGTCGTATCCGACCATTGGCCGCTCGGCGTCCATGCTGTCCGGGTCCAGAATTGGACCTACAAGGATTGACTCGATAACTTCCACCAAGAGCAATAGAACGCCGATGACTGCTGAGGGTAAGGCTGCGGCGAGGGCGAGGTTGGCCGAGAAGAACGCTACGAAAAAGCAGCCTATCGAAGGAAATTGATCCTTTGTAAGAGAAGCGCAGGACTATAATTGATGTAGCGTTGAGTCGAGGTGTTTGTTGGATATACGACTTGGATGAGCGCCGCTGCTGAACACGGACACAAAATCAACTGGAAACCATCTCAGTATTTTGACTTCAAATTTGTCCACGCTTCACGTTGTGCCCTGGTAGTTAATTTAAGGGCATAACCTGCCCTGTTTCTCGTAAGCTGGGAAGCTGGTCCGCCATTCTAGAACGCCCATTGCCACAGGACAGTGAGATAGATCCGGCGCCTTCGCTATGCCCAGAGATGTACTGCATGCCATTTTGCCCCGCATGAAAACCTCCCGATGATGATCAAATCTTCCTCGAATGATACAGTTCGCTTTTCATTCGATGCCTCCATCCTCGTCATCCTCCATCTCCTCCTGTTCCTCTCCCTCCTCATCATCCTCTTCCATCTCGAATTCCTCGTCCGTATCACTTCCCCCAAATCCTCGATCGCTCTCGCCACTATCATTCCAGAAATCCGCATCATGTTCTGCCACCTCCTCTTTTGGTCTCTTCACTGTACTTTCATGTGTAGGCATCACAAATCCTTTCGGCACATCTTCTAGACTCTTCTCCACGTCCTCTTTTACTCGTTTCTTATAGCCCTCATAATCGCCCCTCAATAGGACCCCTGCGTCCACGTTTGCGGGACTCGAGCATTCTGCGTCGTCCAATAGCGAGACGATCGATAGTAGCACAGATTCCACCCGTTGGACCGGGGACCAGCGTTCCGCGGCTTTCTCGCCGGACTGCTCGTCATCGCCGGGCGGGTGCAGGATACTGATGCAGAGTTTGCCATCCGAATAGATGTTAGGGTGGTACAGTGGACGAGTGAACTGGAATGTTGGCGGGGAGTAAGGGTAATTCGAGGGAAAGGTCATAGTGGCTTTGAAGTAACCGCCGTAATAAAGGGATGCGGGGTTGATGACCATGAGGGCGATCGACCAGTCGGTTATGGAGTCATCTATTAGCTGTGGGGAGCAAAGATTATTTAATTGTCAAGTAAAAGGGAGAGACGGAAGAGGGGCAAAAGGAGGAGTTTTACTTCGACGTTCACCCACTTCTCTTGAGAGAGAGCCTTGAATTCGTTCAGGAGAATACGTTCTGCCATATTCTTCGTGATGCGTCAGTATTTCCGGATGAATCTTGCGAATGTTCAAGATTGGTTGAGCAAATGTTGCAACAAGAGGACAATTCGGCTGGAGTAACAAGGGTATCACAGTGTAGCTTTGTAATGTGGTGGTACTACTTGGAACGCAAGTGTCACCGGGGCCTAGCTTCACATGGTGAGGAAACGGCCATCGCATTACATCATTTGTCTGTCATCTTGACACACGGAGATATTCAGGGTGTCAGCAGGCGTAAGGCAACGCTCGCACTTCGGAGGACGATCTATCTTGACCGTTCCCTTCCCAACATCGCCTATCGATAAAGGGTTTCCCGCCCAAAACGGACAGGCGCTAGCATTTGGGTGAATTTGGATAGCAGATGTTCCACAGATAGTTGTCTCGGCAGAATCTTGTAGCCTATACTTTGCAGAACGTACTAATTGGAAAAGAACCAAAGTTTTTGGCAAATAATCATCAGAGTAAAAGTATTCCATGCGTCTGTCATATACTACCTAGACGACAACTACCCTAGAGTAAAGATTTTGATTTTAAGACATTCAATTTTGAAGGGAAAAAGAGCCCCTATGCCGTGTGTGTACAATGGTTCAAAAGAAGTCCCCATGAGGAGAGTGTCATGTCATAATGGTTGACAGGCTTAAATCGGCACTATCAGAGCGCATGTGTGAACTATTGAGGTGGCATTGTCATGCGTTGGTGGATGTCGTCGCCTCAGATCAGGAATTTATCCATGTAGTTCAGTGAAGTCAAAGTGATGACTGGTACAAGTAACACGTTGAGCCACCCATGGTCAAGTTCGTAAATGCGTAAAAGAATATTGCATCGTTGAGTTTTCTCTAAGAACATTTCATTAGTGTAAGACAATATCCGCCCTAGAATAATTTTCTCTCGCTTTATGCGTGGAAGATCATAAGCTAATCGTAAGTAAAGGATTTGCTGCTAAAGAATCATTTTCTGTCTGGTCTCTAGCTCATTGTTGCTTCTGGCGATTTCTGCGTCTCGTGGTCATAATTTGGCATCTCTCGTGGTTTTTGGCTTTGTTGCTCGCCCATGGTTGTCCCTTGTTGCAATGTCGCGCTGCTCTGAGCTGTCTCAAATTGTGTGGGAGCACTCAGAGGTGGTTCTTGGGCTGTACCGCTGTCTGAGCGTACGGCTTGCTCTTGCATGCCCCGCAGTAGGCTCTCTGAAGCTGCAAATTCAGAGGCTTGCGTTTCTGGAATGGTGCTTCGAGGAAGACGCTCGGGAGTGTCAATTTGCATCTGCTCTCCTAGGGCAGTACCTGCTGGTGGATGTGCACTGCCTTCTACGAGAGATTGAATGGGTGGTTCCATCGGCCCAGTTTCGACCTTCTGCTTCTTGACTTTTTTCCTTGGGCCCGAAGTCTCCCCAGCTTCTCCAGGTTGCTCCCCTTCGGTCGACGGTCTTGGAGTCTTTGGTTTCCTCTTTGTTGGCTGGTAGACTTCCCCCGTGATGCAGCTTCGGCCTCTCGTAGTTCCCTTTCGGCTTTGCTTGGTCGGCCCCGCTTCTTCCCTGCCTTATCCGGCGTTTCACCTGCTGGGTATTGTGTCGTCTGGAAGGCAGCAGGATTACTTGGCTCGTTGATTGGCGCAAATTGATAATGTTGAGGCTGTGAAAAGGTCACCCGTTAGTGAATTTGTCTCTACCTGCTGCGGCAGCCTTGCATAGTTGGCCTACATTGTGACCTGGAGGAATTGGTGCAAGGACACCTTGATTCATTCTCGTAAGCAGAGAGTACTGATTTCGGCATGCCGCAAGCGATCGGCCTACCACAAGCGTCAGTCAGCCAGGAAAGAGGAGAGCCCATCCGAGATATCGGGGCTCTATCACAAGTCCGTTGAGGAACATGACATAAGAAAGGATCGCAGTCGCACCGTTTGGCAAAGCAATGTGACTCCATTGTGGGGCGATGTTCCTCTCCAAGATAATTTGTACCAAATCTGCAGGTCTGATGGAAGAAGTCTTCAGGATCTCGGCCAAGAAGTAGCGCTAATGTAAGAAGAGTATGTAAGTAATTGTTTATCGAACCATGCACTCTGCACGGCTCAGCACTTGCATGCCGATGCAGCCTCACGATGGGCACAATCCTCACCAGCTCTTGGTCGTTGAAAGGCTGCTCCGGGGGTGGAGGCATCTCCTGATCTGGTTGGCCAGCCAGAACCGCAGCTTGAGTCACAGACGCGGCTGCTGGGGGTCACGCATCGAAAGTGCAGTGAAGCGAGTCGGGGGAGGGGGGTCAAATGTCGACAAAAGCAGCAAGTGGAAGATTAAAATCAAGTAAAAATCAAAGGAGCAGAAAAGAGAGACATGAATCATATGATCGCCATGGCGATGGTAAGAAAGGACGATATAAAGAACGACTGCACTTCTGAAATGGAGAAGTGAACTGGGGGAGGTTTGAAGATGATACTCGGAACGAACATTGGTGAGGGAAAGCTCCTTAGTACTTAGACCTATGCAAGTCGCGCGTCAAAAATCTCCCGTCGCTAGCTAATCTGTCGTGGGCCCCAGAGCGTGCATGAATAGCGAAGAACCAACTTTTCCTGCCCCAAGGAGCTGAGAGTAGAGCTTCTGTACCCTTCTTTTGCGGAAGGTGGTTGACGAAGAGCCGTGGTTCATGATAGAGAAAACTTGTCGAGCGATCAGGGATGTCGTCCAGCATCTGACTCCGATTTGTTCGATTTGCTCTCTCGCAGATGAAGCCTTTGCGACACCAGATTGGCCGAACTATCCCTGTCGTCAGATCCTCCTAGCGTCCCGTCCCTTTCGCCTCCTTAACAGGTCGAATCAGCTTTGCCCGCCCATCGCCGCCGGCCAGGAGCAGGGAGCCAGGCCAGGCCAGGCCATCTTTGCCTGGGATATGGCGAACATGCGGTTCGTGCCAGCGCCATGCTCATTTGTCTAGAGAATGGACAAGGTCACTCCAGCTGCTGCCCTGCCCTGCCCACACTGCCTCCAACCCGCAGCTGGTCGTACACCCGACGATCACGGTGGTGGTTGTAATGGAGGTAGGGACCTGGTTGGACTAAAGCACCAAGGCGTGTTTCATATTACCGTATGCATCATGGGATAAGTAAGCTGGGCACGGCATGCTGAAGTCCTCACTGCGTCTGTGGAGAGGCCTTTGATGAGGTTGAGCAGGAGGGAGCTGCTTCTGCAGATTTGTGGCCTTTATATCTTCTACAATTTCCTTTGCCGAATTGAATGGTGCCCAACGCTACCTAAAGACTACACCAACATTTGCCGCAAAAGGCCCGCCGTGTCTGCTGGGAACCTATGATTTGCCTCACCGCTGCTTTGGGGCAGACGACAGAGAGCTATCGAGTGTTGGAGCGATCCAAAATGGTAAAGATCGATGCCACTTGCAGCTCATTATACGAGCATTGTGAGGAGTAGTACAGGAGGGTTCTCTCTCTTCTCTCTCTCTGCATGGCTGATAAACCGTCGATCCGTGTCATTACCACATTCGGAAGTGGTTGGCGAGACTTACTCTCGATAAAAATGGTGCAATGGTACTCTTTTACACCATGTCATTGAGATAATACAGATGACGGAGACTGTATTTGCCCTACCTCTAAGCACCCGAAGACTATTTAAATCTTCAAAATTGTCGCACTGTTGTAGACAATCCATCCATAGCTTTATTTGTACATGAAGACTATTTGAATGAATGAGAAGTCTGTCAACTTAGGATGCTCTTGTGTTAGCTGTCTCTTCCCGAGAGGCGAAAGGTGTTCGGCGGTCCTTGCGGGTCCACATCCATACTTCACTTTCACATCGTTGCTACGCTTTGCCACTGCTGAGAACTTGATGCCACAAGGACTGAACGTAGGACGATGGGGAAAGAGCCGAGCAAAGGATGGGTTTCGCCGATGGACTGCGCTTAATGAGGTCGTCGTCTGTTTCTAGCTAGGGGTGAATTTGGCTCGATTATTTTTGTTCTTGCATTGCACTTCCAGTCATTGGTTCATCATCTGTTCTGTCATCAAGAAGATTTTCAAGGCTACATGAGAGTTGATCGCCTAGAGTCTCGACAGCTCAGGCGTTTCCCAGAGTCGGCCGTCCCGGCGTCAGAAACCGATTTTGCTAGAAATACCATCAGAGCTTAACAGTACCACCCACCTTACGTGCACTTTACACAATACGTTACAACTGACAATCTCGATTTTGTAATCTAGCCCTACTGATGTAGCAATGTGCTACAGCTTCCGCACTCCTTCTACATATCCGGTGCCGTGACCCAACCTCGTCTTTCATCAACCGAAAACCCCCATCGGTCCACATCACGCATGATGTCACATAACAAGCTCCTACGGCAAAGCGCTGTCATAGAATCAGAGCTTGTGGAGCTGAAACTCGAGAACGGCCTAAAGTCCAGAGAGAGGGACAGGTCGCGACCCAAGCCAAAAGCATCTTCACAATCCGCGAATACTGTAATGAAGTCTGCATCCCATTCACCAGTGAAAAAGGAAACCGGGTCACATTCATCCACGCCGACTGAAGAAAAACAGGAAGCTGTAGTAGGTGGCGATGTTACACTCAAGATGGAGCCAGGAGAGCCCCTCAAGTTGGCACGGACTGCATCGCAGAAAATAAAAAAAAGACCCCCGCATTTGTACAACGATGCAAAGGATAGGACTATGGAAGCACAAAAGCATTTTGATATGCTGCCGGAATGCACCTACTCAAACAAGTCTATTGGCTCTACGGAACATGGCTCTATGGACTGCGACTGCGAGGAGGAGTGGGGTAAGCTCTCCGATACTCAAGTGGCATTGTTTCAAGGACCGATGAGACTAATCACTCGTATCCGTAGATGGTGTTGCTAAGGTGAACGCAGCCTGTGGGGACAACTCTGACTGCATCAACCGTGCGACGAAGATGGAGTGTGTGGGGGATTGCGGGTGTGGGTCAGAGTGCCAGAACCAACGCTTTCAACAACGACAATTTGCCCCAGTCACTGTTTTCGAGACTGACAAGAAAGGCTACGGTCTACGGGCTGATGCTGACATGGATCCTGATGACTTTATATACGAGTACATTGGGGAGGTGATAGGAGAGACCCAATTCCGGAAACGCATGATCAATTATGACGAGGAGGGGATCAAGCACTTTTACTTTATGTCTCTCACACAGGGCGAGTTCGTTGATGCGACAAAGAAAGGTAACCTCGGACGTTTCTGCAACCATTCGTGCAATCCTAATTGCTTTGTGGATAAATGGGTGGTGGGGGAGAAGCTCCGTATGGGGATTTTCGCGGAACGGAAAATTAAAGCCGGGGAGGAACTCACATTTAATTACAACGTGGATCGCTATGGCGCCGATCCCCAACCATGTTACTGCGACGAGTCCAACTGCACTGGGTTCATCGGTGGTAAGACTCAAACAGAGCGCGCAACAAAATTGTCCCATACGACAATCGAGGCGCTTGGCATTGATGATGGAGACGGTTGGGACACGGCCGTGGCCAAGAAGCCTCGGAAAAAGAAAGCTGGAGAGGACGACGAAGAATATGTCAACAACGTTCAGCCCAAATCTCTGGATGAGCATGGTGTTACTAAGGTCATGGCTACCTTGATGCAGTGCAAGGAGAAATGGATCGCCGTCAAGCTTCTCAGCCGTGTACAAGGAGCCGAAGACGAGAAAGTTCGCGCGCGAGTCGTCAAAATGCACGGATACCAGATTCTAGGCTCTAATCTTGCATTGTGGAAAGAGGATGCAAATGTAGTTTTACAAATCTTCGATATACTGGACAACTTTCCTAGGATAACGCGCAACAAGATTGCCGACTCCAAGATTGAGGCGACGGTGGAGGGACTCAAAGGTAGCCAAAGCGAGAAAGTGGCCTCAAAAGCTGGCTACCTCCTCCGGGAATGGGCAACTTTGGAAGTCGCTTATCGTATTCCACGGAAGAAGCGAGAGATTGATACGGCTGCAACACCGGAAAAGCTAAATCGCTTCGCTCTACGGGGCAGCAGAGACGATCGCAAAGCTCGATCAAGATCTGGCTCTAAGGAAGGATCTAGATCAAGTTCCAAATCTATTGAGACTCCGAAGGGGCCATCAGCGCCCAGTGGTCCGAGGAATAATTTTCCCCAGCGACAGCCTGGCTTCCATGCAGCGCCTCGACCGCCATACCGCCCACGTCAATTCAACAGCGGCCTACCTGAAGGCTGGTTCGCACACCAGGATCCGGCTGGCAGAACGTATTATTTCAACCTACAAGGTACAACAACCTGGGAAAAGCCAAAAACGGCAGTTGCGGTCCCACCACCGCCAACCAAGCCAAAGTCTGCGAACCAGAAATTGGAGGACATAATCAGCGAGATTACTAATGCGAAGGGAAACACGCCAAAGGAAAAGGTGCCACAGTCAACTATAATGCAGCCTACAGCAAGCAACATTAAAGGCGACATTAGTTCCGGACGAGAAAAGTGGCGGGCTCTCCCTGAGGAGAAACAAATGAAGCTTTACGAAAACACGGTGAGTGACTTTCTTCATGTGAAAGTTTAGGTCTGCTTGCTAAAAGTCACCATAGATCTTTCCCCACGTCAAGTACGTTATGGATAAGTTCAAAGGTAAACTGCCCAAAGACGACCTTAAAAGATTCGCGAAAGAGATCTCGAAAAAGCTCGTTAGCTCGGACTTCAAGAATAAAAGAGTTGATGATCCAACGAAAATCAATTCGAAAAGGGAGAAGCAGGTCAGGAGTTACGTGAAGGAATATTTCGACAAAGCTGCCAAAAAGCACAAGGAGCGCGAGCATCGCCGAGCAGAGCGGAAAGTGAAACAGGCGATTGGGGTCAAGGAGACGACCTCAGCACCTACCGCCGAAATAATGACTGTAGAGACCCCCGGTGAAAATAGCGATGGTGACGAGGAGATGATGGTGTCTGATAAGGAGGACAATCCTAAGCAAAACCCGAAATCGACCACGCCGCTGACGCCTATGGATCCCGCTGCAATTGTGGAAAGTCTGAAAAGGAAAAGGAACGACCCATGCGAGGCAGACGGCGTGCTGGTGGATGATCCTGAGGCTACACCAAAGAAATTGTTGAAACCAGAGGCTCCTCCGCCCCCTCCGCCCCCGCCTCCAGAGGGGGAGGGATCCTTCCAGAGCCCGATCGGACCTCCTTTTGGGGTGACAAATGGATACCATGGGGCGTATGACTCGCCGATGTCTCTGGATCGTGAAGCGGCCTCGGAAGAGCCCCTTACAGGAGAGCAAACGGCGGACGATGCGCCCCCATCACCGACCTCGCCTGTGCTAGCGAGCGCCAGGGCGCGGCCCAACGGCGTCCAAGGGATTGGTGATGTTTTGTCTGACTCGGTCATTGAGAACGCAGCGAGCTCGATGATGGGTCGGTCACCTACGCACGAACCCTCTACAGACGACTTGGAGCACACTCACGAGCGACGAGCAATTGAGACTTAATGACAGCCAAGATCGAACGTGTAATGCGCGTATCGGAGCTCAATCTGTGACGACTTTGAGCTCCGTTGAGGGACCTGGGGGAGAAGCGAGGTCTGCTATTGGATTTCAGTCGATAGATTCTACAAGCGGCATTGCATTGGAGAAAAGCATGGGCTAAGCTTGATTGATACCCAGATTCTTCCATATATCTGTTAGTTGTAAATAATACGGGCGACCTTACCCTCTGACGGCATATTGACAATATTCTTAGGATCGCTCTCACTGAATGATTGATTGATTGATTGGTTCTTAGAATACCCAACCGGTCGTAAAGACCAGTTATGAAGCGTATCTAATTACTAATACATATCCTATCCAATCAGACATCTTTAATTATATCTATATACTATCTATCGTGGTAGAGGAGAGCCTCCTACCCTGGCTTTTTACTATAATAAGCTTTGTTAAATAGCTTTATTTTTATATAATCTTTAGTATTACTATCTAACCTATATCTACCTATATATTTAATTGTCTTTCTTGCTTAAGCTAGACTGCTCTTATTAGCAGTAGCCTATTAATACTCTTTTATAGTAAAGAGTTAAATTCTAGTATTTTATTTATTTTTAGCTATTAGTATTATAGCTTTTTTTTCTAAAAAGTAAGCTTTTCTATATATAATTTGCATAGAAAATACTCTAGCGGAAACAACTATTAAAAGCTAGTCTAGTATATTTTTATTTATTAGTATATCCTCTATATTAGCTAATAAAGTGGTTTATTATCTTTAAATACTTTATTGTCTACTAACTCTTTATTTAATAGTAATATATAAAAGCTCCTTTTCTTACTATTATAGATTATAATAATAGCGGATAGGGATATCCTAATTAGGCTTAGCTTAGCCCTACTTGGCTTGGCATAAGGCCCTACTTCTACTACAATCCTTAGATAGTTTAATAATCAATTTATTATTAACTAACTATATTGCATATATTGCTTATTAAGGCTTGTACTTAGTGCGTTTCCTTATAAATAGTAGCAATACTAAAAGATTAAGTATTGTTATTATCCTACTAAATATTAATGTCCGGAAACAGCCCTAGCATCTTAGTAGACTACTACTGAAAAATCGCCTTTTCCCCGACCCTTTTACTAGGCTAGTCGGTTTAAAAACAATAGAGAAAAACAGCTATCTTAGTATAGCTCCAAAACCAGTATAGGGAGCAATAATAATACGCTTATAGTAACTAGAAAACAACTAATTAGAAGCCTTTACAATAAATACCTAGCTTATAGCAATAATGAAAGCAATGATATTAGAATAGCTAGACGAATAGAAAGCAATAATATTAGAAAAGCTAAATAGATAGGAAGTAATAATGTTAGAAAGGCTAAATAAACAGCTTAGACTAATTAAAGACAAGCTATAAGAGTTGGATACATAGGCTTTAGAGCGTGGATTACGTGAGCTATTACTTGAATGTAATTCCTAGGGTCAAATAGGTTAAAAAGAGATAGAGAAAGCGGCTACAATTATTCCTCCAAGCTTATCGCTCTAAAATGCGTCTTCCTAAGACAAAATATACTAAAAAGAGATAGAGAAAATAGTTACATTATTATTATCCTTATTAGTAAACTGCTTCCGCTAATTAGATATTAGCTATTTTAACGGAAATAATTATAATAACGTATATAGCTTTATTAAACATATTAAAGTAGTAGTAAAAGTTAAAGGAACAAAAGTAATATTAGATTATATTATAATTTTATTCCTAGGTAAAGATCCTTTAATAAGTAGCTTAAATAAAGCTTATATTTAATAGTAATATAAGCTTACTAACGAATATAAACGCTAGGTTTTAAACGTAAACGACTTAAGTATTTTAGTTAAAAATTTATAAGAATATTTTAGGCAAACTAATAGTTAGCTTTTAAATAATTTACTAAAAAATCGCTATATAAAATAGGATACTACTAGCAACAAAGATGCTATTAAGTAGGCTAACTCTTTTATAGTTACTGCTAAGCGCTTTAAACTCTTAAATTATAATACTATTATAATAGCTTATAATCGTTTTAATAATAAGCTAAAAACTAGCCTCTAGCCTTTATATTCCTACGTAAACTATACTAATTTCCTAAAAAAGTTGGCTTATCTCTAGCCGATTTAGTACAACATTTACATATATAAGTAATAACGACGATCTAGGCCTAGTCCCCCTAGCAACCGACCTTTTTACTGTCTACTGTAGCAATAAAACCAGCTAATAAGAGCTCTTCCTGCTCCTCCTATTTATCTAAGTTTGTCTAATTAATCTTTAAATCATTTTCCCTAAAATTAAAATTTCTAACCTTAATATTAATAGTACTAATCGGCACTACTATTTCAATAAATATAGCTAGCTTACTATATAAATATAAAAGAAGGAATACTATTTGTAGCTATTTACTTTGTTGACAGATCTAAATAGGAGTAGGAATATAATTTAGTAATAGATACTTACGTCGGCGTAATTAGTCCTATAGCTTATAGTTTTAATTATACGCTACGCGATATAGGAAATATATATAATAATAAAGAATACATATCTATAAACGCCTAGTTTACTATAGAGAACAACTATTGCTATAATTATATAGGCTATATATATTATTATAATAATTAGGTTCTATAGTTTATATAGCTTTTAGTTTATTAATTGCTTTTCTACTAGTTCTAAACAATTTAAGCTATAATTTTTTAGCTATATAGTTATTCTACGATTTTGTATCTCTAATTTTTAAATTTGATTTCAAATAACCTCTAGTTTTTAATATTTTTTTCAACTAATTAGCTTCCGCTTATTATTGCTTTTTTTATACGTTAATATGCTCTTCCGATATAATCTTTAACCTAATTAGCTTAACTTTGCTGTCGCTGCAGCCCCTTATAAAATAGGCTTTTTCCCTAATATAATATAAGTAGTTTTTGCCTAAAACTCGACTAAATTAAATAGGAAGGATTCTCTATAAAAGCTAGAATATAAATAGATAAAGATAAAGCTATACTAATAATAAGGATATTATTTTTTATTATTTTTAGTAGTATACTATTACAGATTATAATAATAGTAGATAGGGATATCCTAATTAGGCTTAGCTTAGCCCTACCTAGCTTAGTATAAGGCTTTATTTCTACTATAATTTTTAAATAGTTTAATAATTAATTTATTATTAATTAATTATATTGTATATATTATTTATTAAGGCTTATACCTAGTGTGTTTCCTTACACTTATTTATAGCTTTACTTTTATATTAATAAGATTAAGTTATTTTATTTTACTAAAATATATTTATTATAGTTAAGTAATAGGCTTTATCCTTCCTTTATAAGGGCGGTTTTTATGTAGCTAAAAAGATATATAATAGTGTAATTGCTAATAAATAAAAATTAGCTATTAATATATTTAGAGCTTAAAGAAATATATTATTTATTTATTTACTTCCTAAACTATTTATCTTTATTTAAATAGAAATTATATAGTTAATAGCCTTAAAGCTACTAAAGGTTATAGTTATAAAAATTGTTGTTTAGCAAGTAGATAAAGCCTTTAAAGTTGTCGCTACTTACAAGGTTAATATAGTTAATATGCGTAGAAACCCCTATGTAGTGATCTTTTATTATGTAGATCAAACACTACAGTTACAAAGTGCAGTTTAACCTCTTGCCTAGGAGGTGGGTCTCACTGAATGATTCCTTTGGGTAATTTTGGTCCGTATATACGATCCCTCGGATGGTGAATAATCTCGACCCGCGGGCCTTATCGGCTAGTGCCTGCAGGGCGACGTCAGACCGTTGCCAAGCGAAAGGGCAATCGGCATGCCCCGCGCCCCGCAGTCTTATATGACATTTGTGCCACTCTCTTTTCCCTACACCAATCTGCCTCTCAGACGGTCGACACGAAAGACAGAGGACCGTAGATACCTTGAACATCTTCGTCACGACCGGAAAGCTCTGCTGCGCCTCTCTAAGCTTCAAGGTTGAAGCCGAGACTCACCTATTGTTGGAGCACTATTGTCCACCCTTTCATGAGCGCGACCACTCTACAGCCAATTTAATCCAGACAACAACCTCTGTCCAAGGCCGCTATGGCCTCTCTCCTTCGGGCCTCTTCTCGCCTTCATCCGTTCTCCCATTTCAATCCCATTCGCTACATCACATCAACCAGCAAGCAGGGCGCATCAGCAGCGGCTGCCAGCGTACAGGAGTCCAATGGCGAGCATGCCTTCTTCCCTGATGAGCCACAGCACCCAACTGTCCGCACAGCTATACCAGGACCGCAAAGCCAGAAAGCAATCGCAGAGCTGGACAAAGTCTTCGATACGCGAAGCTTGAATATGCTAGCCAATTATCGCAACAGTTTTGGGAACTACATTGCGGATCCGGATGGAAATGTGTTGTTGGACGTGTATGCACAGATAGCATCGATACCAGTGGGATACAGTAATCCGAATCTGCTTGTTGCTGCCCAATCGCCCGAGATGGCCAGCGCCATGATCAATCGACCTGCCTTGGGCAATTTTCCACAGCATGACTGGGCCAACATACTCGAGACAGGCATTTTACGAGTAGCACCAAAGGGTTTGGATCAAGTCTTCACTGCGATGGCAGGTTCGGACGCAAACGAAACCGCATACAAAGCAGCTTTCATGTGGAAGCGGCGGCAAGAGCGTGGAGGACCCGACGTCGATTTCTCAGCAGAGGAGATTTCTTCCTCGATGAACAATCAGAAACCCGGGTCGCCAGACATGTCTATTCTCTCTTTCCGCACCGCCTTCCATGGCCGGCTTTTCGCATCTCTCTCAACAACCCGCAGCAAACCGATCCACAAGCTCGACATCCCTGCCTTTGACTGGCCACAAGCCCCATTTCCCCACCTCAAATACCCCCTTGAGCAACACGCGCAAGAAAATGCAGAGGAAGAAGCTCGTTGCCTGGCAGAGACCGAAGATCTGATCCAAAACTACCACAATCCTGTCGCGGCTGTCATGGTCGAGCCCATCCAATCCGAGGGTGGTGACAACCATGCCTCCGCAGACTTCTTCAAGGGCCTACGTGCCATCACGAAGAAGCACAATGTTCTTTTGATCGTCGACGAGGTGCAGACAGGCGTCGGAGCAACCGGCAAGTTCTGGGCGCACGAGCATTGGAATATGGATGAGCCGCCGGACATGGTGACATTCTCCAAGAAAGCTCAGACCGCGGGGTACTATTATGGGAACCCGGAGTTGAGACCCAACAAGCCATACAGGCAGTTCAATACCTGGATGGGCGACCCAGCACGTGCGATCTTATTCCGAGCCATTATCCAGGAGATTGAGAGACTGGATCTCGTGGAGAATACGGCGCAGGTGGGTGAGTATTTGTACAACGGATTGGAGGGTTTGGCGAAGAGGTACCCAGATCAGGTGCAGAATCTAAGAGGAAAGGGGCAGGGGACATTCATTGCGTGGGATAGTCCGAGGAGAGAAGATTTCTTGAAGAGGGCGAAAACCTTGGGCGTGAATATTGGTGGCAGTGGGGGAAGAGCGATTAGGTTGAGACCTATGTTGATTTTCCAGAAACATCACGGTAAGTCGCTCGCACCTTTCCCACTTGCTTTCGGAAACTGACAATGCCGCTTGTGCAGCCGATATTTTGCTCGAAGCAACTGAGAAGCTGATCTCCACATGAGCTAATGAGACGAGTTCTTGTATGACGGTGGTGGACGGTACGAAGTCATAATAAGCTCTTGAACAATTGGATGCAAGTATAATTCTGCAATTTCATCTTTGCAATTACGTCCAGACTATTGTTTGTCTGTTCAGCGCGATGTGTCCTGACTAGCTAACCTCAGCTGTCGGCATATTTCGATTAGGCGTGATCTGCGCCGAGGGACATAACACGTTCAAATTGGCAAGAATTTGCGGAAACCATCTGTTTCAATCCGACGACGAGCACCAGGTTTCGACGCAAGCAAGCAGAACACCTCCGAACTCGAGCGGTAGCCGAAGCTGAGCATAAGTCAGGTCAGAAAATGACGAGGGAGTGTTGGTGAGCGCATAACAAAATCACTCAATTGACCAAGAGTTGCGCGAAAGCGACGACAGAGAGAAGGGCACCCAGCTTGCACAAAGCTACCTTTCTTAGTCCTTTTTGCTCTTGTTGCTCTTCTCGCGTGGTTTCACGAATCATTATCCGCTAAATCGCTCAAGCAGAGCATTGTGGTAGCCAGGAGGGATATCGTTCGAGCTTGGCGGCTGTAGCCAGTCGCCAGTTTTCAGAACCAACCAAAAATAATCCGAGACGCGGGAGCCGTTGGACATATCGCCCGACTGAGAGCCCAGCATGTTCAACTTTTCCATCCTCGTCTCACTGGGTTTGCCATGCTGTTTCAACTTGCAACGCCGTCGACAGTCGACTGCAGTTGCGCAAGTGGAAAAAGAAACATGCCAGCTGTGCCTTTCTATTTGCATTGCTATTTTCCGCCGCACATGCACTTCTTGAGAGCTGTCGTCCACACATGCCGTTCTTGTGGGTCTTGCTTTGCTCCATCAGCTCCGTCGCCGCTTCTCGTTCGCTTTCGCTAGGAAAATTTCTTCGGTGATATTTCCAGGTCTGAGCACGTGCTGGCCCAAGCAGCACAGATGGGGGATTTGAGGATTCGTAGGAAATATAGATCGCAAAAGCACGAACCTGAACGGCAGCTTTACATCTTCTTGCGCTCGGCCACACTGGTCTTCTCTGTCCTCACGCTGGTTTGCTTTGCGGTTTTGGTGACGTGGAATGCGAGGGAAACGCCGACTTATGAGGGATGGAGGTGGGGAAACTGGGACCTGCAGTGGTGTTTATTTGTTCCAGTGAGTGAGCCATCGTAACGCCGGGAGATGTTGTGGCTAGCACAGTGGCTGAACGAATGTCGCAGGGCAGTTTGTCGATTTTTTGGAGCGTGACCACTGTCGCCAAACTTCTCATAACGACAAGATTGATACATACCAAGGCAGACATCGGTATTGAGTTACTAATCGCAATCTTTGATGTGTTTGCAATTATATACCTTGCGTCAGTGAGTGGGCCAATGCAATGGTGGATCGATGGCCAGATCATTAGAAACTCTGTGACTTATGCTGGTGCTTGGGAAACGACGGGCGTTGTGGCATTGATACTGCACTTGTGAGTCACCAAGCTTGCGTCGATAGTTTAAGAGACTGATTGCTTTCCTAGCCTTTTACACCTCAGTCTCTTCGTGTGGGCATGGCGGCGCAAGTTCATCTCCTGCGAGATCACAAAAGACTCGTTGAGAGGACCAATTTCGTTCCGAAGGCACACAGTGAGTGGTAGTCTCAAAGACGTCCAGATTGAAACCCAGGAAATGGACTTTGGGAATTGGCTAGAAAAGTACGACAACTCGGCAAAGATCCCCACTGTGAGAGCGAAGGAAGCAGGATTTGAGCTACCACTGCACATGACTCAATCCATGCAGCATATCAATCGTTACGGCAACAGCTGGGAAGTTGCGTCCATCAATAAGTTTTGAATGACTTTGCTGGGTGAATTCCAGACAAGATGATGACAAGGAAGCCCTGTTTCTGAGTCTCGGCTTGCCGTTCAGTCTTCATTTGAGTTGTTGAAAGCAGCGCCTTCGTAGCTGTGCATTTATATCAATCTCGAAGTGCGAAAATGGTGGAAGGATCTCCCATTCTTCGCAAAATTACGAGCGAGCTTTCACCACGGCTCTTCTTCCTCACTCTTTCCAAGCAAGCTTTTCGAGTTCCTCAGCCACCTGCACCACTTCATTCGTGACTTCTTTCTTCTCCTGGCTCGTCATTTTTCTCAGCACATATGATGCGACATCGCCGCTCGCACGACTAGTCGGTCTTCCAATACCGACCCCGAGCCTCCAAAATTCTAGACCACCCAGACTACCCACACAGCTTTTAAGGCCATTGTGACCTCTCGCACTTCCCCCCTTTTTCACCCTAATCTTCCCCAAAGAGTTTTCCAGATCATCGTGCACGACCACCAGTCGCGCGAGCTTCTGCTCATCCACGTCCAGGTCACGGATAAATTGCCGCCATGCAGATGCTACAGCCGGACCCGAAACATTCATCAGAGTGGGTGACTGCCAAAGGAGAGCGTCTTTCCCTTGCGAGATGTAGCCGTTTCCGTGTAGGCGTGAGCGTGCAAAAGGGGGACATCCAAGGTGGGAGGCTAATGATGTGAGAAGAACGTGGCCGGCACTATGCAGCGTATTGGCATAGGAAGGACCTGGGTTGCCAAGGGAAGCTACAAGCAATGGACGCCAGGGCATTTGCGGGGAAGAAGTTGGTGAAGCAATCGGAGGTTCAGGATTCGGAATGAGGCTGCTAGCGTGCCTACGGACCTCGGCTTTTGGGTGGCCACAGGTGCCGGAGCCTTTGGTAGGCATATAATCTCCTACCTGGGATGTTTCTCACTGGAATGGAAAGATTATCTTGAATATGGACATGGATCGAATGATTGTAATGTAGGAAAGGTCGTTGTGGAGTAGATAGCAAGGCTGTGGTCGTGGGTTTTCGATTGAGTCATTGGGCTTGCCTTTCTGCTTTGTCATCGCATTTCCCTTTGTTATCCTTTGAAGGCATCAAATCCTCCCGGCCCATTGCTTCAAAAGTGATCCAACCGTCGCGGCGTAGGTTGAAGGTGAATGCCCTGGTTCTGTGGACACAGAGCGTCAATTGCCATGCCAGGAACCATTCCATATACTCTTCCATGCATCATTCAAGGTCCTTCCCTTGTTTCCGCATACTCCGTGGCAATTACCATATCCCAAAACAGCTAACAACTATTTGCATCTGGAATAGCCTGTAAAACCATTTGAGACTACGTCGATGTTCGTCAAGACGTAGAGCTTGCGGCTAGTAGTCAGCCATCTTTAACGTCGATTGACTCAAATGCTGTCTTCCTTCCCTTGCCTGGAAAGTTCCGAAGGCTTTTTGCTGCAGAAGGCTAGGCGGAAAGTGTTGTTAGCTTTCCTCAATCGAATCCCCAACGTCAAATATGTTGGGCTTGAGCATGGACCCGTTCCAAAAATCCAGTGAGGAAGGATGGTTGTAGACAGCAGGTCATTCTCGTCAAGCGTCTGAAGTATGTTTGCCTGACTTTGGCAACGAAAATTCAAGGTGTTCTGATGGCGCCGTACGTTAGTTGTCCTATCTCATGATCAGTAGTCCAAACCAAACTTTCGCGGTTCGAGGTACCGCTTGCCCTTCATGTCACAAGCATCCATGAAGCTACGAGGGCAGGTGCGGCTACAGCTAATACGACAGCGCTTCGAAGGGATGTTCCAGTATTATTGAGATCACGTCCTGGGAAGTTGCAGGCCCACTGGTCTGGCCCCAGGTTTCTTATTTTGCCGTATGTTTGGTTCAAGCCATACCGTTCCAGGGGACACGAGAAGCCCAACGCAGCCGGACAACTACGGACAAGATCATAGCAGAGATCCTGGCATGGCAAGAGCTCTTTGTATGTTCCTGGCTGGATCTTCTCGTCTATGAGCGGGTTGCGGCTACGGTTGATAGACAGTCGCTTCTCATCTCCCTGCTTGTACAAAGGACCGTCTAATCTGACACCGCGAGGTTGAAGATGTTCACCATCATTGGAGGAGTCTTCACAACGTGGAATTGTCACCGCACAAAGCCAATCTTTGTAGGCTCTTTTACAATCGTCGCAGGTCACGGCCAGCGAATATTGTGCAGATGCTGTGGTGTCACATGCTATCTGGGCCATGGATTTGACGAAATTTTCGTTGAGCGATCTAGCTTGGTCGTCATAGAATCTCGATAGACTCGCTAGATCTGAAATTGTATCTGGATTGTATGGCACCGCATATGCAACGTCAGAGCAAAACTCAAGACCAGTCAAGAGTGCGCAAGTATCAGCTGATTGGCATCCTGTTAGTTTGCTCACCTAGAAGCGTGGTTGACATGACTGACCACTTTTGGTTGTGAAGTTTCTCCAGCCCCACACAGTGCCGCCGCCGTTGATTTTGCCGCCGCCGATGGAGTCAGACTTTCCGCTTGTGCCTTCCAACGCTACGACTGCCAGATACGAAGTGCTAGCATTCAACGACTTGACGACGAATTGCTGCTTCAGGCCGCCGTCTTTGGTATTGATGATGCTCCGATCTACGTCTGTTGCCTCTGATACTAGGGCGTTGCTTTTCAAAGCGCACATCGACCTACTCAGACCCTGAAGCTGAGGGTCGTCCGGGGTTGACACAAAGATGCTGTACGGCGGCGGTCCGTCTTTCCAGAAACTGAACACTGCCGGATTCCCCGTCGCATTGCAGCTTGTAACATTGTTCGTATGAACGATCGCTCCGTGATTATCACCGTCTACGAATCTTGAAATTATCGCTTCGCTGGTTTTCGCATAGAGATCGTCAATTGAAGCTGTGATTTCGTAGTTGTAGTTCCCCGAAAAGCCGCTGCTGGAGGCCGGCGCGGCCACACCGATGTATACATCACCAGAGATTGATATTGGGTCATTAGGATTCGTGCTCCCATACCCGTCGCTTACAGAAACTTCATGATCATGGTTGTTTGCATCGGGTCTCTGATTCCCAGCAGAGGTCGAAATATAAAGCTGCAGCTGATCGGGGCCTGTACTCGCGGATGGCGAGGTAGGATTTGGCTGACCGCATGTGTTGATTGTGACGAACAATCCTTGTCTTTCTTGCCTCTTCTTGAGCTCTGGATGTTGGTCGACCCCTCCAGAGTTGCCTGATTGACATTGATCAAAGGTAGACGGCAACCTTGGGTTGGGAGGACCAGGTCGCCAAGCGGTCTTGGGGAACGTCCAGAATTGACTCTTGCCAGGATCAATGTTCAATCGTCCAGGTGCATTATTGGATAGACTCTGAATGTCGTCTGAAGCTCGTCCGATAATGCTTCGATCTGCTCCAAAGAAATCCGGCAGGTAACGTTCGATAAAAGAACTGTCCCCAGAGCTTGGGTCTTGCGTGTTGCTGAAGTCTTCTTTCGCTAACTCAAAGCCAACAACATGCAATGACAAGATCGTTAGAATAATGATAGTGTAGAGCTGGGCAAGGAAATAGCCATTCGGTGTGGGGGAGCCTGGTGCCCGAGACAGGCGCATGAGGAAACGATAGGGGCAACTCCGTTAGGAGTGATCATGCGGATTAGCTTCAAGGCACAAGTGCGTCAGACATCGAAAAGGCCAATATAATAAATCGTAAAAACTGTAGTCAAACGCTTAAGCCTGCCCTCGTGCATCAAGGTGAGAAAGTCGTGGCGAAAAGAGCGGGCCCTCGGGGCGTTTCCTCCGCCAGAACGCGCCGACACTCCATTTTCAAATATAGGCACTGGTGATCAGAGATGCGCAGTTTTCCCGCCGCAGGACTAGGAATTGGCGTAGTTGTCTGGGGGTTAATATTCGCTTAACTAATTTCTCTACTTTCGCATATATGCCATTCCTTTTTTCAATCTTCTGACTTCTCTTTTACTATTTCCAATAATACTTGAGGGTTGGCTACGCAGCAAAGTACTACTAACTCTGCCCTTTTCGAGACTCCCTCGGCTGGAAAGCACCCGAAAGCGTACAAGTTTTATTTTCACTATTGCGTACCATCCCCACTAGGGCCTGATATTTCGAGTTTGATATGAATTGGGAAGACCATTTGCGTTTTACTTTTGGCCTAATTTTATTTTCTCTCGTTGTAAAAGTCAATCTTTCATCAAACTTGTGTCAAGCATGACCGAGAGGTTAGTCATATTGTTGATTGGCAATGGAGGGAGAGAGGATGCTCTGGCCTGGAGACTGAGTCAATCAGCTCGTGGTATGGTATCAGATCACTTTCATCGCAACGTTTATCACTAAAATCCTCCCCAAGTCTCCCAAATATACGTAGCACCCGGCAACGGAGGTACTGCCCGAGGCCGTGACAAAGTCTCGAACATCTCAATCTCCTCTGATGATTTCCCCGCCCTTGTTCAATTCTCAAAAGATCAGGCAATCAACTTGGTGGTTCCAGGGTCTGAGGCTCCTCTGGTTGCCGGCGTGACCGATTATTTCAAGAATGGTAGAATTCCTCTGGGTGGTTGAGTGTCAACTAATATACGCCAGCAATACCCAACATACGTATCTTTGGTCCATCTAAAGCAGCTGCAGTCCTTGAAGGATCAAAGACCTTCTCAAAGAACTTCATGAAAAGATACAAGATTCCAACAGCACGTTATTCTAATTTTAGTGACTACGAGAAGGCTAGTAACCATATCGCAGATATCGACTATGATATTGTCATCAAAGCTACGGGGCTCGCAGCAGGAAAAGGTGTTATCATACCAGCCTTTAAGGAGGAAGCACAAGCAGCATTGAAGGGCATGATGCTGGATGAAAGATTCGGCGATGCAGGTAAAGAAGTAGTGATCGAGGAGTAAGTTACACGTTTGGAGTGATTTCGTCGTAGCAGAGACGCCAGGTCGAGCTTTTAGAAAGTCTCGATAATGCCTCGATTTCCTTACCCAAAAAAGCATTACTGACTCTAGACTCACCTTAGATTCCTGCGAGGCGACGAGCTCAGCTTTCTTTCTTTTTCAGACGGGTAAGATATCGATGCTGACGTCAAATGGGCATGTAATTGACAAATTTTTTAAAGTTATACAATCAAGTCGCTTCCAGCGGCCCAGGATCACAAGCCAGTCTTCGATGGAGACAAGGGACCTAAGTCAGTAATTGTGAAAATGTTGTTGAAACCCTTGACTGAACTTGAAATGCAGCACTGGAGGGATGGGAGCTTATTCCCCAGCGCCAATCGCTACCCCCGACTTAGTAGAAGAGATCCATCGTACAGCACTGCAACCTACCATTGATGCAATGCGGAAGAATGAGCACCAGCCATTTATCGGCCTTCTGTTCACAGGCTTCATGATCACCAAAGATGGACCAAGAGTTCTCGAGTACAATGTGCGCTTTGGGGACCCCGAAACGCAGACCCTTCTACCTCTCTTGGATCCAAATACTGACCTTGCCGAAATCATGGTTGCTTGCACTGATCGATGGCTGGATGGTGTTGATATTAAGATCAAAGACGGGTCCTCTGTAACCGTCGTTGCTGCGGCGGAGGGTTACCCCGGTTCTTATCAGAAAGGCGAAAAAATTACCATCAACCGTAAACTCAAGCTTAGAAATACTGATCACATCTTTCACGCTGGTACTTCTATGAACGATAGTACTCTAGAGACCGCTGGCGGCCGAGTCGTTGCTGCTACTTCCACGGCCGACTCGCTTGAGCAAGCTTTGAAACAGGCTTACAGCATTTTAGACTCGATTACGTGGCCAGGCAAGTACTTTCGTAAGGATATTGGTCATCGAGCACTTGCCACCAATTCGCCCTCGGAGTCTCAGGAAGGCTCTGCCATGACTTACGCCGGTGCTGGTGTCTCCATTTCCACTGGGAATGAGCTGGTCAAACGAATCAAGCCTTTGGTACAGTCAACAGCACGTCCAGGCACCTCGGCCGTGATAGGGGGTTTTGGTGGAACCTTTGATCTCTGTGAAGCCGGCTACGAGAAACCGCCGCGAACAGTCACATGTACCGATGGAGTAGGAACAAAGCTCATGATTGCGCAAGCGATCGGAAAGCACGATACTATTGGAATCGATCTGGTCGCCATGAATGCAAACGATGTGGTTGTCCAAGGCGCAGAACCCCTGAAATTCACAGATGTATACACCTGCGGACGGCTAGATGTTGATATTGCCGTCGACGTAATTAAAGGTGTTTGTGAAGGGTGCAAGCAGGCTAATTGTGCCTTGGTTGGAGGTGAGACGGCAGAAATGGCTGGTCTTTTACAGCCAGGGGCCTATGATATTAACGGTACCTGCGAAGGGGCTATACCGTGGGAAAGGAAAGAGTTGCCAAACAAGGCGGCCATGAAAGAAGGTGACATTCTGCTGGGTCTTGCAAGCAGTGGATGCCATTCTAATGGGTTCTCACTATATCGTAAAATAATTGAAAAAGTAGGGTTGCGATATACCGACGAAGCACCCTGGAATCTGCAGGAGGCAGTCGGCGAAAGTCTCTTGACACCAACTCGTATCTATGTCAAATCTCTGCTCAAGGCCGTCGACAAGGACCTGATCAAAGGCATGGCTCATATCACAGGTGGTGGACTCATCGAAAATGTTCCCCGCATGTTGCCATCAGAGCTTGCTGCACAACTGGATGCAAGGACCTGGGAATGCCCAGCTATACTACGGTGGCTGAAAAAGGCTGGGAATGTCAGCGATGAGGAGTTCTGCCGAGTTTTCAATACCGGTTTGGGTATGGTCTTGGTTGTGGACAGAGATGTAGCAGAGGAAGTCAGGCTGCTGCTTCGGCACTATGGGGAAAAAGTTTCCAACGTTGGCCTATTGAGCAAACGAGAAGGCCCTGGATGTGAGGTCGAAAATCAGCATGTATGGAATACCTAACGTTATGATGAGGCATCATACGCATCTGGAGAAATGAACCAAATTTGTCAGCATCTAAGTTGGAATCTCTGGCTCTTTGAAGAATGAACAGATTTAATAGGGCTACAAATAGCGAAATACTTGGAGGTCACGAAAAGGATTGAGCAAAAACAGCGGTGAAAGACCTAACCTTTACGAAATGTTGGCGACTTACTATTGAAGCGAAATTGACGACGATGCCCAGTGCATAGCCAGTCGCCGGCCATTGACCAGGTCGGCTCGTGCCCACCGTGACGAACATATCAAATTCGTTCCTCAGCAATTTTTCTCTCTCCCTCTTCATCTCCCTTCACCTCTCCTTCCCGTCCTGTTCCCTCCCAGTCCTCTTGCCGACCCTCCGCATCCTCATCACCAACCTCCCCACCTTCCCCTTCTTTTTTCTCCTCCGCCTCCTCTTCCCCCTCTCCATCAGCCAAAGCCTTATACTTCCTCCTTCTCTTCTTCGCCGCACTCCCCTTTCTTTTCCCCCTCACAGCCTCCCTAATGGCCTTCCGACTCCCCACCCCCTCTCCCGTTCCTCCAACTTCTCTTCCAACAACTTCCTCGCAATCTTCCGATTCTGCTCCCGCGACCTCGTAGCCTGAGATTTCACCACGATGCCAGTAGGGAGGTGCTTGAGTTGCACGGCGGATGAGGTCTTGTTGATTTTTTGCCCGCCCGGCCCGGAGCCTTTGAGGAAGGTCTCGGTGAAGTCGGCTTCTTTGACTGTGAGGCGAGGGGGAAGAGTCAGAGACTTTGAGGTCAGCAGACGGGGCGTGCTGAGGTGAAGGCAAGGGATTAAAGGGTGTGTGGTGAGAGCTGGTTTTGCGAGGCGGAGAGAGTGGACGGTAGACAGCATGTCTAAGAGCCTACTGGGCGCTACATGGCTAGCTGAGCTAGGTGAGGTGGACTAGCTGACACCCCTTGATGGCACACAGTTCGCTTTGCTTCTTCCATGCGTGACGCTGTTGCAATCGTCACAGAAAGGAGATGAAGAACGGGTTCAACTTTTGTCATGGCATGATCTTTGGCGCCGGGTAGCGGAGGGGGGGGATATTACGCCATCGATAGAAAACTTATGTATTTGACCCGATTTGTAACAAGAGACTTTTCGATCGAAATTTGGATGTAAGTCTTTGCTTCCCGTAAGAACTTCTCGAAAAAGCCCTAGGTGGAAAAGATGTTAGGCTTGTAGCTTTCTGTCAAGATGAAGGCTCTGGGGAAAGTTACGGTGATGTGTGTGGACAATATATAAAGCAAAACATCACAAACGCCTGATGGTGAGAAATTTCGATGTCTTGCGACCGCAATATAGATTCCTTTCTATGGTCATAACCTCTTTGCATACACTTAGTATTCAATAGAGAACAGACCCTCCCGGACAATATGAGCGTAATTGAGACACCTGCACTCCATCCTCTGGAAACCCACTCGTGCCAAAGGTGATCGTTGGCGGTCGGATGACAGCAAACGCGGCAACAGCTTGCAACTTCTGCCAAAATGATATCACCTTTCCAGTGGTGTGGGCTCCTGTAGACGTATGATGATCCCTTCGTCTTCGATGAAGAGACAGCCTCCAAACGCTGTTAGGCTTCGACTCAGTGATGGCTCCTTCTGTTTTTGTCTGCCACCATTTGCATGGATAGATATTTCAGTCTCCTCGAATAGGTACTTGACTCCTTCCAGATAATCCCATTGTCTTGCCGGAGAGTGCCATTTGCGTAGGCGTGTGTTCTCTTGTTTCTGATAGTCGCTATTCCCACCTTTGTCTTCTTCTCCTTTCTCCCATATGAAACTTCCTGGAAGGCACACTACATCCCAACCTTCTGCCATGATCTGTGCCGGCCCGTCGTCTACTGCTAGATAGCCGCCTTTTTCTACGACGATAGTCTTCTTAATAAAGTCAAGCCCCTGAACGCGAAGTAACCGGTCATGAGATTCTGACTCCAAATCATGATCTAGGTCGTAGCCTCCGAACTCGTCCTCGTCCCCATTGCGAAAGCCGTCTGGAATGATGAAGTTCATCTCGTCGACCGTTCGATCCTGCTCAAGTAGAGCACAGCCTCGCTGTATCGCCATCCTATCAAGATGACCTTCTTCTGGAATCTTCACCATATGCATTTTGGGCAAGTTCTTCGATCTGCCGTTCAAGTCCTTGTTGTCGGAATCTTTAACAGGCCATCGCATGTATATAGGTGCATGCACGTCCAGCTTGCGGATGCGTTGGCGGGCATGAGGTCCAATTGTAAGGAAAAAGCGAAGAAGGCCTTGCCATCCACTCCTTCCTGAGAATCTCCATCGGTTCTCCCCCCAGAACATTAGAGCTGCTTCTCTGTACATCTGGCTGCAGGTGCCTAAAAGTCCAACAGCCATCTCTTTTCGGACATGATTCAGGCCCTCTTGATGACGAACCTTGAGATTAAGTGGCGTAGGTTTAGAATCCTCTGCAGCGATGGGGATGGTCCATCTGTGAGGCCATAGATCGATTGGATCCTCACGAACTAAGGCGTAACGGTAGATTTTGTTTCGAAGCTCGGGAGGAAGTGAAAGAAAGGGTGACTGAAGCTGCTGCTTTGGTCGGCGAGGCCGTCCCATGTCTGTCGAATTTTAGTATCTGCTTCTAGTACTTTCAGTCAAATCATATCGTGGAGATTATGAAGCATGGGAACAGACCTGTTAGGGATTTAAGGTGTGCACGTGCTCCACCGACTCCCAATTATTGTAACATGATTGTGCACTTGAGTCGACGTTCATCAATCAAATCATATCTTTCAATGGTATTTTCAGGTTCAGTATTCGCGGAGAACATTCAAAGACTTGGTGTAGAAAGCAAGCATGTGGTGACCTTCCATTCAGGCGTTCACCGCTTCCCGAACGGTTGAGACAGGATAGCTCATTTCGTACGGATAGACCAGGAAGCAGCACAGGGAGAAGAGAGGAGAAGTGGGTAGAAAGTCGAGCCAACAATCAAGGTAGAGTCACATCGAATGGTCCAGAAAGGACGTTCAGCCTGGTGTGCTGGTGAGCTGGTGTCCTGATCTTTGTAAGAAAACTTCCTAGCGTTTCGCGGGTTTGGTGGGTGCTCCTTGGGTTTGGGTGGTCCCGTATCGGGCCCCTCGGGCGTCACTTTAGGCAGCGCTAGAGTAGAAAAGCTCGGGCCGCTTAGAGTAGACTGCCAAGACCTCAGTCATCCCTCCGCCCTTGGCTCGTGCTAAAAAAAAGGAATATTGGTGCAAAACAAGGCGTTGATCACCCTTTAAACATCTTATTTCCATAAATAATAGTACGATCAGTAATATAAGACTCGTTTATCTTATTGTGAGCTTTTAAAGAGTATGAGCTGCTTGTATGTGAAGTTATATCAGAAGGTCAAGTACGTCGATTTTGGTGGGGGACCGCCAAGGCAATATTCCTTTTTTTAGCACCCGAGGGCCGCCCAATAATCCACCATCAACCATCGACCATCGACTATCGACCAGCCACTTCCTATCTCCTCCACAAACGATCTAAACTCGACATTTTCGTAGCTTGGATATCCTCAGGCTGGTAATGCCCAGTACACCAAATCGCACCGCCTCTGAGATTTCCTCCGCAAACCGCGAAGCCCTCAAGGGCGGATCGTACGGAGCCGCAAAGTGGGGCCTGATTGGTCTTAGTCTGGGCTTTGCAGGCCATTTTCTCTCGCCCATCTATCGTGGCCTGACCCCCCAGTTCAAAGTCTACCTTCAATTATCCGCGATGACTTTGGGTGGGATGATCGGAGCGGAAAGGAGCGTTAGAAATTTCGAGTTTGCCCAATTGGCAGAGAGAAGGAGGAGGAAGAATGAGGAGGTTTGGCATCGCTATGACAGTTTGCTCGAAAGTGATCCACGGCAGAGTGTGGCGACGAAGGACAGGAAGGGGCAGGATTGACCAGCGTGCGACGTTAATGATTCGACCATTGTGTGATTATGAAGTAAACAGAAGACTAAGCAGGAGAGCTATTGCTGCGCTAAGGAGGACAGCTTGAGTACGCGGTAAGGAGCAAAAGAAATTTGGGCCTCGGGGTCTCAAAGCTGACTTGAACGGCCATGGAAGTAAGTGATCGACGCTTCTTGATCTTGCTCTTTCACAGCCTTTTGGTACCTTTCACCCCTGGCTCACGCAGTACTATTGCTCCGTGAAATTCACCATGGTGACAGCGCAAAGATTGAAGTCTGAGAGGGACATTGGTTATACTGTCGAGCGAAGAGCGATGAACAGGTTACGATGCTTGAGCTTAAGAACAGTCTCTCTTCATTCTGAGGAAAGTCTGGCAATTGTCGTTATAAGTAATTGTACATCGAAGTCCGTCCCATCACAGGACTGGAAGGTAAAGTACACGAGGCTCTTTGGAGTGAAAGCCCAAACCCAAGACAACGTCACGAAATTTGGTTTACTATAATGCAGGGTGTCATCCCTATGGCTGGCCCAAGTTCAGGAACGCCCTGTTTCCATTGCACAATATTGTTCACTCAGTCGTGACACCGTATTTTTTTCTTTTTTCTCATCTCCACGGTATTGATGGAGCTTCATGCAGCCGGCTATTTCGACGGCCGCCTCCCTCCCTACTTGATAACCACATCAAGCAAGAGTACATCTCCCTCACGCCGAAAGCCGGTCTTCCAACAGCTCGTACCGATCTTTCTTCCCCCCCTGAGCCTGAAGTAGGGTATCCGATGTACTGTGCGGCTGAGTAGCACATCAACACCGGAATAGGAGCCGCCTTTCCTCCTCTTTTCGCCCAGCAGCAGTACGCGGCCGTATATCCACCACATTGTCAAGCCTACGAAGCCTGCTATAAGAAATCCAGTAGCTGTCAGAAGCATCCAGTGTCTTCCCATCCAGAAAATCAGCCGCGCGTCCTTGCCATGCCATGAGCTACCTCCGTGCCACTTGAAGAAAGCCCACGGCTTCTGATTGTACTCATCCCCCATGAGAACCCTGACTCTTCCTGCTTCACTTCCATCCCATCTTCTGAGACCTTTGGCTACGTCTGCTCCACTACCAATGGCATTGCCTACTTGGGTGCCAAGCTCGGCCACATTCCTGCCCCTACCCTTCTTGTACTCCTGCCATATGACGGATAAGAAGAGTGGTCCGGTTGAATACATCACCGTAATGTAGGGGAACTTCCAATTTCGGTTGTACGGTATCAACGACTCGATGACAAGTGTGAAGAAGGGATGATGGGGTACGCTACCCATAGCGTCATTGGAGATGCCCGTCGGCTTGGTACGGCGGACCCAGGAAGGATACGAGAGAAGAGGGTCGAGACGACGATTACAGCCCTACCAGATAAGACGTCAGTCTCCTGCAGGATCAATGGATTGCGTAGCTGAAGCCAAAGACAAACACAAACCGAGGATGAACTACGGGGATCAGAATATTGGGGTACGACGTACATCATCAAGATCAATGTAGATCCCGCCGTAATGTGCAAGGACAAAGTATCTTATGGCATCTGCCCTCTGAATCGGCTGGTGGTAATCGTCAAAGGTGGAGAGGAACCAAGGATATTCAGTTGCGATCAATTCGCGGGACTTGGCATCGGTCCATAGCTAGAGGGCAGAAAGTCAGTGTCACCGTGAGAGGTACACCAAAAATGGGACTTGGCAGACATATGGCCGGCTCTACTTTGCAAAACCGCTTGCCTTGCGCTCATCCTAGTCCAAGGGGGTTACCGACGCACCTTGTATTCGTAGTCTTCGTGTAGATCCAAGCAACTTTTCTGTGCCTCGAGCCAATGGTCCGGAACACTTTCGTTCACATAAGTCTGATGTATTATTTTAGGTATCAGTTGCGGCCGTTTGTCTATCAGGGGCGAGTTCGGGGCGGGGATCTCTGCAGAGTGAATCGCATCGGCGGCGCCATCTTCGACAAGGAGCGTGAGGAGTGTGAAGACGGAATGAACCAAAAAGGTCACTAGTATAACGTTGATGGTGATGAATATTAATACAGCTCTCCGCATGCTGAGGATGGCAATTCGACGAAGTGGTTGTGTGTGAATGGGGCGCTGTGTAGCGGAAGGTTCTTTTGAGTGAAAGAGTAGAGGCGCGTCACTTTGGGGAATTGGATAGTGCCAACATGCGAGGCGACAGTGTGAGTATGGAGGAGGCCGAGGGATCAGGGCGGGAGAGAAGATGTCATTGAAGAGGTTATTGTTGTTCGCCGCAATAAGGAGGATTCTACCAGGGGGGTCCTTGGTAGTGCCTAGGGGAGGCCGAGCGTTGCTAGAATAGAGCCCTTGATCATGCGCATAGTATTAAAGTGGTCTAAGTTGGTAACATTCTGTAGAAAAAATGGGAACGTTGGGTCAAAGGAGTGTGGTATTAACAAAAGGGAAAAGCTAGTTAGTTAAAACAGGTGGAGATGTTCAGAGAGAGGAGAAGGCTTGGACGGTGGCGACCTCAGCGTTATAAGAGCGATTTTGCGCGTTCAGCTCAGCACGCATGCCCGTCATCCCGTCATCCCATGTACAGACAAGACAGCGTATTTTAGCGGCCCTAGCAGCAAGCAGGCGAATTCTGCGAGATTAATCGTTGCTTTCCAGCCTTCTCAGTGGGGGGTTATCCCGGCCAAAGAGACGACGAGAAGGCTTTACCTCGAACTAAAGCTGGCCAAGACTCCTAGCCCACTGAGCCCAGTAGTAGGAGGAGGAGGAGGCTATGGCTGCTAAACTTATCCTCCGTGCATCTTTCTATCTGCATTATTATTATTGCATCTTCATCGGGCTCCAAAGCCCGCGCCCCTGCATTTGCTGCCGAGGGTGCGTCTGTTTCCAAGATGCAACTGCTGCGGGCCCCAATCAGCTGCCATTCCGCGCCTTTCCAGAGCTGCCGCTAGAGCTGCTCAGCGCAACTGCCAAGCAATCGTGCTCGCGGCGGAGTTCTGGGCTCTGGCCAACCGATAGCAACCCGCTCCATGACGGACATTAATATTATTATTATCATGATTCCATCTTGACCATAGGCTCAATTGACTTTTCACTCGGAGTCTGAGCAAGCTGGGAGGATTCGTTTATGCTATAGCTCAAAGGGTCTCCATCTTGCGACGCCGCCAGTCAGCTGCCTGTCAGATCGTCTCATTAGAACAAGACTGGGGCTTGTCGCGAGCAACTGTTTTATCGCGAATCCTGATGCTGGGAGAGCTCGTCATGGTGCAGATCCTCGAGGTGTTAGGTGCATATGCTCCGGCACAACATACCCCGACCCTTTACACTCCCCTTACGAGGCCTTCACCTGAGTGACGCGTCGCTGACGGATGAGCCTCATCGTTGTTTTTGACCCTCCTTGATACCACGTCTTCAAAGTAGGGACAATGACACGAGTGCGAAGGAGTAGTCAGCAATGCAGAGTTACCGCACCAGTACATCATACCTGACTGCGCCGACTTTGGTCGAGTCACACTTGGTCGTCCGACCACGTCAGCTTGGTCTGGCAGCTCTGCGACCCTTCTCCGCTCTTACAGCCACTTGACCGTCCTGAAAGGGTCGACAAACTCATTCTGCCGATTGATGGTTATCTGTTGGAGCGCAACTATGCATTAGGATAGGAATCATCCTTGCTTTAACATGACTATTCTGCGCAAAGCCGACTACTTTACGGAACATCTGTCGTCTCCTGCAATCGATTTATCATCGCGAAGCTTGCTATTCTATCAGTACTTCTAAAATGGTGCTCTGCTGGTAGATACTTGATCACCCGTTTTTCGGAGCAGTGATGCCCTTGTCTCTCTATATTCAAACATCCTCGTAATCATCAATGACATGAGCCTTCGTCAAATAATCGGACATGAGGCCCTAACCGCCCTCTTCAACACTCTTTCATTGCTTCCGTAATTCAAGAGGGCTCTCTGCGTCTTCCGCATCGTCTTCAGATCCCTCGAACGGATCCCATTCTTTCCCATCCACCAATGGGGCCTCAAGTTGTCGATCGACTTCTGCCCTCGGCGTTTTCTCCATGCTGAAATCCCGTATGGCCGTCTCCAGACTGTCACTTGTGCCCGGCCTGTCAAAGTCAAGTGGCCCCGGTGACTTTAAGGGCAAGCCTTCCTTCAAGCTATAGTTCCTTGCCAAGTATTCCTGGAGACGCGCAATTTCCTTGTCCCATTGATCTGATAAGCTGCCCAACGCAGCTTGAAGATCAGCATGCGGTACTGAGCTGGAGGGAACTCGTTTATGGTCGGCCTTTTGCCCTGACAGTGTTTTACCCAATGTCCTCTTCACGGTCGCTTTTGTGGAGGACATGGCTCCTGACCCAGCTTTTGCGCTATCTTGCAAGCTTTCCGCTTCACGATCAACTTTTCTCAGTGCCCACGCTCGATCGATTTCCATGTCGGACAGATACATGAGCGTTTCGTTCCGTTCTAGACTATTGACGAGCACAGTGAAAGCCTGCAAAGTGATCTCGTTACTCTCGCAGTGAATCTCACTCAGGCTATGATTTTCCTCAAGGACAGAGGCAAGTGTACTGGCTCCTTGTAGGCCTAGTCTTTGATTCTCAATGCGAAGAACCTGGAGTGTGTTGTTGTGCTTTAAGCCAAGTAAGGCAGAGTTCAAGCCGATGCCCAAACTTGAAGCAACCAAATGCGTTTGCTCGCCACTGATGTCTAGGAAAGTCAGTGAATTGTTTGAGACAAAGAGGCGCCCCAGTGCTTCGCATGTGGCTATATTTGCGTCCGAAGGTAAAGTCACTTGAGAAATATCGAGGTAGCTTAAGCCGATGTTGACGGAGACAGCGTCTAGAAGTCGCTGGTAATTATGCTCATTTTGGTAGTCAATCATTCGTAATATTAGCTGTGAGGGACATTTACTATGATGGATAGCCTCGACCAACGCGTCGTGCCCATGTTCAAGCCGATTAGACGACAAATTCATACGCAAGTCTCGAGGAAAGCTTGACATCACCGAGGATTCAAGCAGTGTTGCAGCATCTTTCCCGGATAGTTGGCATTCGTCAAGGTCTATCGATCTCAAGGAGGCAGATTGTGAACTTTGCAGGTAAGCAGCGAGGGCGTCTACGCTCTCTTCATTCAGTGATGTTCTACTCAAACGAAGGTCTTCAAGTTTCCACTGAAGCAGGATTTCTAGAGACAGTATTGGTTCAGAATTCGACAATCTTGGAACATCTGACAGGTTGACTTTGCGTAGAAAAGTGAACGACCTAATTTCGGCACAAAGAATCTGAGGGTCAAGCCGCGCCGGGTTCCCTGAGAGATCGAGTGACTCCATAGTTGAAGATTGGTGGGAAAGTGCGTTCAATACCGTATTCATGCTACGATCGCCGAGAGCGCAGCACCCAACATCTATTGCGCGAAAATGGCATGAACGGTCGATCGCGGCCGAAAAAAAGTAATCCAGGTCTGTCTCGGAGAGTGTGGTACCGTTCAGAACAACCCAGTCGATATTGGTCGCATGGTTTGCGCACAGAGGGAACAGTGCTTCACATATACCGCACCCGAGGTCGTCCCTTAATCCCGCCACGGATGAAAGGTCGCCATTAAGGCAATAAGAGAAGTCTAGCCGGCGTAGAGAAGTACTGTTCAAAGCTAAGGCGCGCACTTCTTGTACTAGCAACGTCGTATTGCTCTCCTCTTCATGTTTCAGCTGTTCGCCAGAACGAGTCCTCCATGCAACATGTTCTGATCCAAACGGGTCTTTGAGTCTCTGCAGGTCATCAAGAGCAACGCCGGCAAATGACAACGTACCAAAAGATTCGTTGTACCGTAAAGCTCGTACAACAGCAATGAGCTCTAGTAAGGTGTATTTATTACCGTCTGCTCGTGGGGCGAGACAGAACGCTGGTCCATCTTCGCATTCAGTGTTGACCGTATAACGTACGAATGAGGCGTCCAAACCATATGCCGCACAATAAGCTGCTAAAGTACGGTTCAGAGCTTCATTTTCTTCATCGATTGGTGGGATCTCTAGAAAGTCTTCATCCATTACCTTTGGTACATTCCAAGTAAATGGCTGTTCGGGCCATTTGGGCCTAAAGAAATCTGTAGTCCTTCTAGTCGACAATGCAATATCATTTACGCACGAAGAAGCGAGGGAGAGCGAGAGGTTCTGACGCAGTGGAATGCGGAATTTAAGAAGAAAAGAGTCGTCATCTTGAGCGACCGTAAACTCTGTAAGCGCTGCCATACCGTGAGAGATTCCATTCAGATCGGAGAGCGAAGTGTTTGACAGGGTTCTTTGGCCCTTTGGTAGTGGAATAAGGTGCAGCTTGAAGACTCCGATGGCTAGTATACATACGCTTGACGTCAGTTTCGTAAGGTCATCAGAAGACGATCTTGTGGCTCCTGTTTTGCCAGCACGCTGGACCACCCGAAACATATGGAATTGATGCGGATCGTAGTCCATGTCTTGCTCTAAGACTCTGGCAGTGTACTCCACCAGCTGCTGTGAAAATTGTACAGGATCTTTGAGACGTGCATTCATTGCAGCACCCTGAATTGAGGATAGCCACAGATCATGATCTCTCGGATCATGAAGTTGAAGTACTACGCTTGAAGCTTGCATGGCCTCCTCGTCGAGGTACGAAACTTCAATGGAGAAGTAAGGTTTCCCATCGTCCAATCGGTAGATGGCTACTACTTGATTGAGAGGTACAGCTTGCAGTCCCTCTCCTTGAGCATGGAATTCATGGACCGATCCACTGCTAGAGAGCCGTGAATGTCGAACGCCGCTAGCACGGCCCATTGACGAAGGTATACAAGGGAAGATTTCGGCTGCCCGGCTCTGGCTTCTGAACTTGATCAAGTAGCTGTCCGTCAAGACGAGATACTGGCTTCTCTTGCGAAATACGCCACTGGCAGTTTGGACATCCCCATGTAGCAGCACTGGGCTAGCAGCCAGTCCTAAGAAAAACTCCGACTGAGAATGAATGGACGAAGGTTGGGAGGAAGTCCGTGACAACTCATTGTCATCCTCATCTTTGGGTGACAGCGCCCCTCCTCGAAAGGAACCAAATAGACTTGATGGGCGCCCTGATTTTTGTAAACTTCTCGGCCTCGCTTTTTGTACCAGTCTGTCAATACTGGACTTGTGCTTGATCTGTCGAGGCGCGGTAGAGCTGGGAGAAGGTACATCGTGGAGAGATGTTGGCGAAGATACGCCTGGAGAAGGTGGAGCGACCTTTGGGCTTATACGTTTCTTGAGCAATGAAACAGGCGATTGGCTTCCTGACGGCTCATTTATTGGCGTCAAAGGGCTCAAGGGCGGCTTTACGATACTGAGACTCTTCCTGCGACGCTTGTCCGACATGGCCCCACCCTTCAAGCTGCTATCTGTGATCACCTGCAGCAATCAGCAAGACCGGACAAGATACAATGCTGAAGGGTTGGTTCTATTGAGGAGCATGGTAGCGAGACAGCTGGCAGTGATCTCATCTTGCGTTGACGTAAAGGATACGTGGGGTGCTGATTTACTGAACAGGGCCTATTGGGCTGTTCTGCTCTCGAAATGCTTTGTGCCTGACAATTTAAGGTTTATGGAGGTGTGCGTCATTTATACACGTGATCATTACGCAAGGTGTTGTAGTCGATCTACGGCAATACGTGAATACGTGACAAATGACCGCGTAAATAAATACATGTCACGTAACAACAGTGCTGGCATTATATTTGTCACAGTCCTCTCCACGAGATCTACATCTGCGGGCTCTGGATTAAAAGCACTTTACAGTTGATCAGAGCAATGATGACACAGGCAGCAGAAACAGTGCTGAGCACCTCGCGAGCAGAACGACACGCTTTCGTTTGATCTAAGCATTCGAGCAGCAATTGTAACACCCCCCAGAGCCAACGCTCAACATGGAACTTCTAAGGGGGCAAAGCTTATAAAGCACCAAGCATCTCCAATACGTCCGACCCTGGTAGACCAGATCCTGGTCCTTTCGGTCTTCTTGCTTCCACGGCTGCCGGTGCTGTGCTAGCCACTGGTGCTCCTGTTGCTGACCCCCTCCGGGCGGCTGCTGCATCATCTCCAGCATAGTAAAACCAGGCCCTTCTGAAGACAGTCGTGACATGCTCGGGGAGATAGAGGGAGGCAGCAATGATTATCATCGAGAGGAAAAGAATGAGGAAGGAGTCTAGAGAATTGGTCAGCGAATGAAGCAACTGAGTCAACATAAGGAGAGTAGCTTGTATACTGAAAACAAATTTTTCGGTCGGCGTTAGCATGTACAAGGAGAAGGTGACTTCATATTGGTATTTCTTCCGTTGCAACCATTTGAAAAGGTCTGAAGCATATGCCATTGGTACGAAGCGCCTCGAAGGTGGCAGAGATCGTTGAGCTTTGGGCCGAAGGTGAATTTCAGAACGAGTTGCTTGCTATTAATGATCTTGAAATTACTTTCATCTGCAATGAACCAATTGCACATTGCTCTGCATTTCGTGCTTTTTGATCTTTCAAATAATTTCAATGGCCTGTCACTTCTGCTGGACTGATGTTGTTAATCAGCGGCTTAGCGAGGAAATGCCGGATCAGGGGCTTTTTAGGGTTAGGGGTAGGGCTCACACCTTATTGCTTACCTTATTGATGTTCACACTTCACATAATCACCATGAGATACAATCAGAGATGGTACCATTCAGCCACTTGGCGAGGCAGCCAGAACCCTTGACCCGGGCAAATGAGGTGACCATGATTCTTCCCTATACATTAAATTGGATCGGTCAGTAGGTCCCGCGAACGGATCTGTACAGGTCAGTACGACATTCTACTGTCGCCTGCGTACTTCGCAGGCTGAGCCTGTTACTGGACCGTCTGAACGTATATGGTAAGGAAATGGCTATACCTTGGATATGGTGGGAAGGCAAAGGCTAGCAGGAGATATGGATCTAGTAGGTCATCTAGGTCGCCAGTGGAAGATCCGACCACAATTTCGAGCAACACCTTTGGCCAGTCAAAGTATAGGTGCTCAGTGCGGCATCTCACACTTAACAAGATCAAAGCAAGTCCTTGTTGAAGATTCACTATCCTTGGAGGCATCGTCGACCTACCGTCCCCTTCCCCAAAAACGTTCTTTATTGGTGCGTTTTAATGACCAAAATGGCGCACCTTTTGTTGGACTTAAGCTGCATGAATTCGATGAACGTAGGTTGTGGGCATCTTCCTGCGTTTCACTTTGCTTTCCCACACGACAAGCGTGCACATCGCTCACATCTCCAAACCGCTGGTTGCTTAGTTCAAGGGTCTACCACTGTGTCGTTCGACCTAGAAGCTTGATTTCCTGGAGTGAATGCTAATCTACGCGGCCATCGACTAGAGCACCACTGCACCACTCGATTGTCTCGCGCGGCATGCGGCTATGGCTACCTTGCGCCAGCCTTTGCTCTCCATTTTGATGTCATTTCACTTGTCTTAGTGATAAGAGCGGGAGCAAGGTTGAAACGGATGGTGAGGGCTGTGCAAAGGCTTCTAATACTCGCAACAAGATGATCTTGGCATTATGCAGCAGCGTCGATTATCTATCGCTCCACTCGCCCATTGATAACAATCCAGCTATTCCTACTCACGTACAGATGTTGCTTGGCCTCTAGTCATATTATCATGTTGACGACTCTTACGACTGTTTTGGTTGTCCCTACTGATCCGGCTTTACCTCCTCCGCCAGGCATCCAACCAGACTTCCAAGATCCTTTCACGCTTAGCCCCTACCACATCATCTCGGCGTGGTTATCGTTTGGGATTGCCGGTAGTTTCATTGGCTTACGGCCATGATCCGTATTACTAAACAGGTCACATGGGAAGACTGTATGCATGAGAGAATCCTTGAGTGCATGTCTGTAGCTAAAATGCGAAAAGATACGTGCCTTCTTGGCTTCGTGTGTCTATACCAGATCATTTTTCTCAGTGGTCCCTGACACATGGACTAGGCTGGGTCAGCCACACTTAATGCCATTGAGTCCAAAGTCGTTGGTTCGGGTGAATCCCAGACCGCTTTTACTGGCTGTTGCAAACGCTCAACGCAATGAATACGATCTTCTGCATTATATACACCTACCTTCATTTCGATCTTTGCTTGCAATCCACGCCAAAACATATGGAGTCCTCGGGTTCCAGGAAAGTGCCTTAATGTATATGAACTTCATATTGCCTCTGCAGCTTTCAACGTGTGCTCAGATTTGGCAACGTTTTTCGTTCCGCTATGGCGGATATGGCATTTACCCATGCCTAGGGCTCGGAGATTGGACGTTTCTACAATCTTCTTTACCGGTGGTCTGTAAGTCCTGCCTTCACTTGCCCGTACTAATCCGCTATTTTTCAACAATTATACACTGCCTGTGAGTGGATCGCTAAGCTTCTCCTTGCGCAATCAATTCCAGTATTTGCTGCCTTGTGTCAGCAATTTTTCTCCTTTCGAGCCCCGATTATTCTTACGTAAAGCTTCGAAGTGCCATCGCCGTATACCCCGAGCTCTCTTTGGGTATCATCTGCAGCTGCCTCGTCGTCCTACCCCGCCTATACAGACACTTAGCCGCGATTCCGCCTTACGGAGAGGAGTTGCTCCCTAGCGATAGACATAGAATAAAGGCAATAATGATTGGTAGTGCCACGAAGCCGATGAAGACTGGTCGTAGAGTGGACGAATGGGATGTAGTGACTCATCGAGATATGGTCCACGGTAGGGATTATGGCTTTTGACGGACGGTAAAGGTGACAGCGATAGTTCTAGATCGACACCGACCGCATGGGAGAAGAGACGCAGAATTGACGCGATTGCATCTCGACGACATGCCTATACGCAAAGCAGCGCAGACTTGAAAATCCGAAAAAGGCCGTGATTGGGAATACAACGTGGGGTGGGTCTCACGGAAACCTGTCGGCGTATTTCAGTGAAATGCTGGGGGTCGCATTTGATGCGATGACTGTGAATAGCAAGTGTCAAATTTTGCTTGTTCGAATTGGCACAGGCAAGGCGTGTGACGACCTGATCGCTAAAGCTGTAAGAATTGGGTTTCAGCTTTTGGTCATGCATCTATGTCATCTTACTCTGCAGCTTTTTAAAAACGTGAACATTCAGGATATATGATCAATTGCAGGAGGGGCCTGTTAGCCGAAACCAGCAACTCTTCATGCGGTGACTTGCAGATGGTGGTTTTGATCCGCTCGAGGTCTTTCTCCAAGCAGGAAGCTTGCAAGCGTAACAAATTGCAGTCCAAATCCATCTTTATGAAGCCCCTCAACCATACAATCATCCAGAGCGGCTCATGAACTTGCCTACGGAAGCAGTCGAGAATGTCCCTACTTCAACGACGTGCCATTGGAAAGGTAGAGGACCTATGTACAAGGGGTTAAGAGCAGCAGATGCAGATCAGAATTGAATATATCATTTTCTACCCCTCTTCTCCTTGTTGTCCTTGTTTTCTACTCGCATGCGGCCGCATAGTTACCAGAACGGTCAGTGGTGGATCGAATGCTGTTAGTTGTGCGGACCCTTCCTTGCAGATTCACCACCACTCACTTCTATTGCACCACCTAAAAAGCTAAGACTGGTTGAGCCTGGAGTTTTCGGGTGCCATGCCTCATTTTTTAAGGACAAGCTAACTCGGCGCTTTGGACTGTTTTCATACTCGACCCTGCCGTGAGATCCTTGCATTCATAGTCGGCAACTCCAGATGAAATGCTCAATGCGTTTAAGAGACTTGACGGGGCATATTGACAAGTCACATATTGCGATCAGTCATTAGGTGCCATCTTTCCACCTTTCCCTGTCTTCAATGCCCCGAAGAATTTGACTTATAAAATTCTCCTCAATTCTGCAAGTAGACTGCAAATGCCGTGGCTACTTCCGCTGACAACCGTTCTCGTGCATTAGTTGAAATGGTACCGTTATGTCGCCTATCAGCAGCCTTTAGATATTCGCTGACCCACGCCTTTACATCACCTATCTCCGGCCATTGATCTCGGACAGGGCGTCTTATTGTTGTCAATTGAGTGAAGCCGACACCGAAGCTCATGTCTTCAGGATCCTGTTCAACGATAACATCATCTGATGTTGTAGGCACAGGGGGTTCTCTAGAAGCTTCAACAAGGCTTCACAGGTGTACGCCCAACCCTTTTTATATTTTCCCGCAAATGCAGAAGAATCGGTCAGAGTTTTTGTTAGTGATATGACAGCGGTCTTCCGATCAAGTGGTCGAAGGATTTTCTGTGTATCTGGTAGTATTATGTTAAGATACAGCGGCACGAAAACACTTGAACGTCGTTAGGAATACCCTCATTGACATGATAGTGGAAGACGTACTCAGCTTGGACTTGATCGGCTACACTGATGAAGAAGTCGGCACCAAGACCAGTGTCATCCTTGGCAGAGATGAAATGATAGAGCCGCACAAAACGGGTGGCAAAGGTATCAGTCCGAGAGCTCTGGAGCCTCGTGAGAAGAACTTGCAGTATGATGACATAGTATTGCTGCAGTGCAGATCTGCTGATCATTAGCGTGTGGGTCTCAGAGAAGGGTGAGTGCTCACTGTGGAATATAACTGATGATAGATTCTAACATATCAAAGCCGTATGTCTCATTGGTTTTTGTCGAGACTAGACGCTGAAAGATCCCTAGCAGTGTATCCAATTGGTTGTTTTGTACCATGACATTGGCACCTCGAGGAATGATGGCAGTCACCAGTCTTACCAAGGCTGGCACGTTGCCCTTTGACGACCACGGTGTGGGATTGAGGATTGGTGGGATGAGAGATTGATAGTATTCTGACAGGGAGCCCGAGGGATTGGCCTCAAGCAATGCAGCGAAAAGCTGAAAAACATATGGGACAAATTCTGTTCTGATAAGCAGATAATACCAAGTGAACGGGGTGAGACACACCTTGCACGTCATTTTGCAAGACTGTTGCGAACGGGCTATAAAGATCTGTTTCGAGTTTGTCGGGCAGTGTGGAAGCAGAATATCTAGGATAATCAGCTTGGGAACTGGCGCTCGTTATCTAGGAAAACTAGCTTACCGTATGAGCGCTCCAACCGCCTCAAAGAGGTAGTAGTTGAACTTTGGGTTGCTTGGGTTTTGACAGCTGACCTGAATAATTTTTATGAGGTGCAGAAGGATTGTCTCGACGCTTGGAAGCATGCCCTCTTTGATAACGATCAGGACTCTCATTATGCATCGCATCAGGAACTCATTTTCCTGCAATTTTGCTGGCTGCGAATCTCTCTCTATCAGTCCAAACAGATGCTCTAACAATTGAGGGGCAAGTCCCTCAACGTCGCTTCGGCCAATCACTGGCTGTTTTGAAACATTGCTCAACGCCATGGTGCGTTCAAGCGCAATGGCTGCATATGTGTATACAACGTATTCCGATGACCCAAGGTGTTTGACCAGGAGAGGGAACGCTTCTTGCCATTGGCCTGCGGTGATCTGGCCACGGAAGGTATAAAGGTACTTGATTGCATCAACTTTCAAAATCGAAGGAGTGCCCTGATCGGCTACCAACTCAGTCGCGATATTCCTTTGAAAGAAGTCCACAACATTGGCAAAGTCATGAATACTCGTGACTCCTTGGCTTGCAGTGATGGCCCCTTTGGCAGCGACTGCAGAGTACAAGTAGACAGCAGTGTCCTTCGACTTCCAATTGGAAGATCTGTCCTGATCATATTCAGACAGGTAATGATCTATGTATCGAAGAGCAACAACCCCAACTAAGGCCTCGAATTTCGCCATTAGCTGTCTCAGGAAGTTTATAGCGGATCTTCTTCGTGTATCACTGTCGGATCCTTCGAGATCCCTCCGAATGAACTCGATAGGTTCATCTTCAAATAACTCCACATCTGAATCCCGCAGGTTGAGGTTCGGTAGAATCACACCTTCGACGACTTGCCCAAGGGTGTTCTGGTTGTTGAAGGCTTGGGCATGTTCTGCACTGTGGGTAACGGCAGTCAAAAATTGTAGAGCTTTACTGACAAGGATATCCATTTTAACTTCAATGCCAACCGTGGTAAGCAGATTCCAAGAGCTTTCGATGAAAGGGGCTACGTGTTGGCCAAAAGCATCCTCATATTTCTGTACCCACATTTCCAACAACTCCAGTATGCTGGCCTTCACAAGCTGCAAAGGCCCAGCTTCAGTGTCATCATTCGTATCTAGAAGCTTATTCTCATACACCAAATACTTGTGCAGAAATGTTGTTACAGCCGCCAGATTATCTTCGAATATCGGAGGCAGATCCTGTACCGATAAATCGTAGAATACTTTGACAATGAGATTGAGAGTGGTAAAAAGCTCCCTCAATGTCTTCTGCTCATTCTGACTTTGCGAAATGAGGCGGTCTGTCGACTGAAAACCAAGGACTCACGTTAGCCTCCTCTTTGTAGGGACTCAGGGTCCGAACGTACTTCAATCAAGGATAAAAATGGAGTGCCAAATTTGCCAAGCACGTGATTGATCTCGATGAATAGAGGGTCAGAGCGATAAAGTGGCCTCCATCGCTTGAAAATAGAATGTGCGACTTGTAAAACACCGTTGTTCTGTTGTGAGTTATCAAGCGTGAGGCGCGAAGCCAGGTCCTGTGATGGATCAATATTGCCTCGAGTAGGTCGACATCAATATTCGCGGCCTCGTACATCAACTAGAGTATCCCATCTTTCCCAGAAATCACTATCCGCTATGACGCTGATAGCGTCACCAAGCTGGTTTTGAACATTTGGCGGTACGGATATCATAAGCCCAATAAGCTCGCTTTTGATGGCAATTACTTCATTCTGGGGAAGTTTGTGTTTCCCATTCTCATCCTAGAAAGCCTTAGTATGCTCTACGTCGATCTCGCGGAGTGTGAACCTACTACCCAACGCCTCTTGATCAGGTTTTTGAAATAGAGAGCGCTTGCAAGCCGAGCAGTATCACCGGATGTGCCTGTCGCGACGATTTGGAGGAGTGATAGGGCAAATTTGGGCTTTTTCTCTTCTTGTAGGAGCGCGATCTCAGCTGGATAAATCTTTAGCAGGTAGACAGAACAACCTAAAGACTGGGTAGATGAACAAACCTTGCTTGTTCTTAGTGGGATCTAAGCTAGCCTCCAGTGCCTTTGATAGTTGCTGAAGGTCCAGAGCCATATGAGCAAATGGTCCACTTCAAGGCCGGCAAAGATGTACAAGATAGCTTTTTTCGTCGTGATGCTGTAGAAAGTTAGAAAGCAAACAGCGGCGGGGTTCCGCTCCCGCTTTGGTCTCCCCAGCGGGCAGTGGGGGAGTTCCTTGATCTAATATATGGACGGCGTGTCGAGCCTCGGGCGAATGTGGTTATCTCGACAAAATAGGACGCCTAGATGGCGTGCTCTGACTCAACGTTTCACCTGTTTTGCGTGATTCGCGGCCTTCTTGTGTTGTACCGTGCTCCTCACTACATAGCGTGGTGACGTCCAGGCGTCTGCATTGATGAGAAATGCATCGCCGTCTCAGACGCTATTCTCTTTGAGCAGTATCCATGGGTAGCGCTAGATCAGAGAAGGACTCGCCTATGTTCCGACGAAAAGTCTTTCTCCGTTCGTACGTTTGGCGACCACATGGCACCAGACGATGCCAGAGCAAATGCTGCAGCAGCGTTATCCGGCTCTCATCATCATGAAGGCAACATCGACGCAACAGCAGAGCTATCTCAGCTCAACATGAATGTAGCCGGGCCGCAGAGTGACCGGTATACCGCCGCTAAGTGGAAAGTACGTTGTGAAACCGAGCTCAGCATGAGCGTTCCTTGGCTAGAGAGAATAAAGGCAGTACGGGTCATTGCAGACGAAGTGCGACCTTATTCCGAGGTGGAATCTTTGGCCCTTCTTGAGAATGTTCGTGATATGGCTGCTTCAAGTGCCGACCTCGAGGCCAGGCGTGTCGTCTTCTGGCTCTTCCAAGCGTTAGCCTCGATTCCCATTTCCCAACAGTTGCAAATACAGCTCTTCGATTTGATCACGATTCCTGTGGATGATACTCTGGCGTACGCTCAGATTTCTGCGCTTGGTCGACTGGCCGAACAAGAATCTCTGGCGGAAGACCTCCAGGCCAACATGGCCACTCATATTGTAGATCGCTTTAATAGCCTGTTCACACAAGGAGAAAAAGCTCGTCATATTCAGCATGTCAACCCGAATGCAATGTCTGAATCAGCAGACGGTGCAACGAGAAAACGTCCGGAGGAGGAAAAGGCGCTTCTGAAAGCTTTGACAATACTGAGTGGCATGATCAAGATTGGCGGTCAAGTACTAGACTTTCGTCGCGCGACGAGCCTCACTGCCATGATAAGTGACTTTTTGGGAAAGACAACAGGCAATGCGATAATGATAGGTCTTCTGCAGCTTTCTTCAGATTGCGTGGTCCATGTACAGATGCCGGCAAACAGTCTCCAACAATGCTTACACATACTGTGTGGTGTAGCTCGGGAGGAAAGGTACAAGTTTAGAGCAGAAGCTGATAAAACGCTCGCTGTGTTACTGAGATTCAGAAGACAAGAAGTTATACTCGCAGCCAACGATACCATTTTTCAACGACTGCTCCACTCGTTTCTCGATGTGATAAAGAGCGACCCCCCCAGATCAGGAGAAGAGACGGACCTTTGCCTGTCTTTTGCTGAGGGCGTGGTAGACATTTTCTTAGAGATATTCCAAGTCTCGGCTCGGCGAGCTGTCGCAGTCTATAATATTTGCGTTCAAATTGCGGCTGTTGCAAGATTACCAAATGTCAAGCTAGCCGTGATGAAGCTTCTCGTGAGGGTTCGCTGCGACTTAGATTATGGCGTGCGTGTAACCAGAGATACAGAGAGCGAGGACAATGCTGCAATCTTGCATCGAATCAAAATCGCAAATGTCCCTATTCACATGCCATCATTAAGTTCTGATCAAAAAGTAGCCTCAGACTCTACATCAACATCATCCACAGGCAGTCGATCTCGAAAATCAAACACTTATGGACAGTCCAGCTCTCGCTCTGCGGCAAGACCTCCCGGCAATCAGACTGGCTTCCTCAGAGCAGAAGAGAAACTTTGGGTGTATGAAGATGAATTTGCCTGTCCAACTGAGATACCAAGCCCGGTCCTTCTGCTGCAAAGTAATGCAAGTAATGAAGACGATACGAGTTATATTAATATCGGACGATGGTTGAAGATAGTGATTGATGAGATCAAAACATCCAGAGACTGGGAAATATACAGTTACATCTTAGTGCATTTACCATCCCAGCTTCGCAATTGTTCTTTATTTCAAGGTCAGGCAAAGCAAATCTCGGAGCTGCATGATCTACTCAACGAAATACTGAGCGACAACACTTTCCTCGAGCCCCCAGAAAGGACCGGAGTTCGCAGAGGAGATGTTGCACTTTGCCTGTATGACGCATTGATTACTTTACTGGGGTATCGGGATTTCATTGGACTCCGTCAGTGGAATCGTGCAGTTTCCACAATCAGAATAGGGATTGAGAAATGGGATCGAGTTGGGAAATTCGCTATGCAAGCCCTTACGATATGTTGCTATGAAATACCCAACATCATTGAGAATCATTTGACTATGATTGTTGAAATGATGCAGAAACGAATTACTCAGTCTGAGTTTGCCACAGACATACTCGAGTTTCTTGCGGCATTGGCACGACTGCCTGATGCATATGACAGATCTAACTTCAGCCTTCACCAGAAAATCTTTGGCATATGCATACGATACCTCCAGTATTCTCGTGAGCACCGAAAAGGCGGCTCCGCTAATAACACCGTCAACAAGACTCTAGGCAGCCGTACCAGCGGAAGTTCAGGCGAAGGTTTCAAGTATCACAAACAACCGCTGGTGCCGTTCGTGGAACGCAGGGTCTACGAATACGTCTTCACAATAGCCTATCAAACTATGATATTCTGGTTTCTGGCTCTAGATGTTCATGAACGCGCTCGACATGTCGCCTGGATCGCTCAAGAATTAGCGCTCAAAGTGGCGGGAGGGAAGGAGGAGATGGAGCAACAGAGTCTTGTCTTCCTTGATATGATGCATCGAACAACGTACTCTGATCTTGGAGAGACTTATTCTGCGCTTCAAACTGCTGATCCAAACCGGAATATCATTAGAGGAATGTGGTTATTGGGTTTAAGCGTTGTTGCCATTGAGGTCGTGTGCGACGAAGACACTGGCAAACCTAAAATTTCCCAATTCACCAAGCGTCAAGCCTCGGGAACAACTTATGCAGTCTACTATCATAACACAGAAGAGAGACCTGCACATCAAGTAGTGGAGACCAGTGGGGCGCTCTTTGATCAATACCCCAACCACCTAATGCTCCAAATGTTCTCCACCGTCTCGCCTATACCCACGCCCATGCAGCCAATACCACTACCTAGTGACGACGACATGACTAATCGGGTAATAAGACTATTCGATGCCACCGAGACCGTGGATGGCCATAAAGCTGCCGTCATATATGTAGATATCGGTCAGACCCAAGAAGGCGAAATTTTAGGCAACAGGCAGGGTAGCGAATCATTCGACGCATTCCTTTCAAAGCTTGGGTTCAGAGTTTCGCTCAAAAACGCAAAATTCAATACCCAAGGTCTAGATCGGCAGTATGGGAGCGACGGGACCCATACTTATGCGTGGCGAGATCGGGTTAGCGAGATAGTCTTTCACGTTCCCACCATAATGCCTGATGATCCCGATGACGAGGGGTATGCGAGGAAGAAGTCCCACGTGGGCAATGATCACGTAAAGATCATTTTCAACGATTCTGGCGTTTCATACAGGCCCGGCATTTTCCCCTCTGATTTCAACAGCGTGAGTATAGTAATAACTCCCGAGGCTCCGTCGAAGAAACGAGGTGTGTCTAGGATTAAGAAGCCGTCTATTTTGGACAAGTCCAACGACCGCGAATGTTCTGATACTGAAGAATACGGTTATTTCCACGTACAAACCCTCACATCCGAATCATATCCGCCGTTTTCACCAGCGACAAACACCAAGGTGGTCTCTGCCGGCGCCCTCCCGTCTCTCGTTCGTCAGTTGGCCATTACTGCTTCAGTTTTCTGCCAGGTCTGGCATCGCAATCTGGGCGAATACACGTCTTGTTGGCGTTTTCGATTGCAGCAGATTCTCAAACTCAGAGATAGATATGCGAATGCGAACGCTTCTGCGAATGTCGACTATCCTCAGGTGGCAGAAGCTGAACCCGCCACATATACTGAAGGGGGCACCTGGTCTGGCAACGTGGCTTTCGGCGGCATTGCGGAAGCGAACAAACTTGCATCTAGCTTGGATTTCACACGTTGGACAAAATAGATGTCTATCTTTTGGTCGCAGTTGTTCGACAAGGCTTGCAGCTTGGCCCGGAGGACACAAAAAAAGCAAGAGCATTGATTAAACCCACACCCTTTAGCGAGGCGTCTTAAAAGAGTTCCAGTATCTGCAATGTACCATGATCCATAAAAGTGATTTGAAAAGTTGGGCAAAAGTGTGTGCTAGACAGAGCTACTAGAAAGTGTTCACATCTGGGAATGTATGGACACTTCATGTCCCGTGATATACCTTCGATAGAATCAACGCAGCGATGCACTAATGCCTCCTCAGATCAAACCATTTGTGCCGTGAGCATAGCCTTAGAAAGGTAATCCCGTGCGTCAAGTCAGAGGAGGGACCTTTGTTTTTAGTATTTTCCTTTGTCAAATATTTTTCCAGCACGTGGGCAACGCGCTTTCATCTGGACCTACACGTTTGATGCAAACGGAACATAGTTTCAATTTATCATGAGCCCTGAGTTCCTAGCTGCGTGGTTCTCTCGTCTCTTTGACATCCTTCCATTTTGATTCCTTTCCAGCTTGATCCTAGCAGGAGCACGTTCCTTCACTACGTCAAAATGAATTTTCAAATCGCAGCCTTCTTGCTTGTCGCCTTCATAGCTGCTTCTGCACAGGCCTTGGGGAATGGAACGATATGTGATAAATATACACAGTCGCTTTTGGGAGAAAACAGCGGTGCCAATCAATACCGTACGTTTGGAAGTCCCGTACCTACGTGAAGATCATACATTCGATCATCCTCCTGGTCAGATCGTCAATGAATAACGACTCATTGACCGCTTGTTCTTCGATCTCTAGCAATGCTAATTCCAAAACCGAACGTCTAGAGTTAGTGAAGTCTGTTGTGAATACAGCGATTATTGGGAGCCACAATGAAACCCACGCAAAGACTGTCGGTATCACAGTCACTGGTATTCTATCTCCTGGAGAGTTCAATAAAACCAAGGTCGATCTCCTTCCGTATTTCACCGGCGGATTGAACTCGACCAATCGAGCCGGCAGGGCTGTCGCCATCAATTTCTTGGACGACGGAGGTGCAGCACCATTGATGCAAAACAAACCTGCGAAAGGCGAAGGGTCAGCGCAGTAGTACGTCGGGAAGGCCACCGGACTCCATTCCTTTTGCTTACAGTGACAGCAAACTCATCAGCAATCTCTACTCTTATTTTGGAGTCCTCCTAGGATGCTCAAATCTAGGCAAAGACGGGTTTCCAGCGTACCAGGGTGAAAGCAGCCAAACCAAGGTTCATCAGTGAGCTCATCCAATCGATGCTGAGCGACGCATTCCTCCCTGCTGACAGACGCTGACAGATTCATGGATCTCAACTCGGCGCAGATAGGCTACTTCGTTTCACAGGTCATGCTGTCGGCGAAGTCATACGGCGTCTCTTCGAAAGACATGGAAAGTGTGGTAGATAGACTTTCACAGGCCTTCGCATTCAAGTGTGCTGTGCCCACTGTCATTGATCAGACGCAGAGTCCGCAACTGCAGTCTATTTGCTTAGCGAATGAATGTCCAACAGCACCCAAGGGCAATTGTGAGCCCTATGGTGCAAATATTGGCCCACCGAAGAGGACAAACAGCACATCAATTGCTAACAGCACAGTCAAGGTCGGGGAACCAAAGGCAACAGAATCTCAGACTGGCAGGACGAAAGGCAAAAGCGTTGGAAGTGCACTGAGGACGGACCTTTGGTGGATGGCCTCGTTTGTGGCGCTCTCATGCTTTACCTCATTAATCTAAGCTGCTGGGAAATCGCGTTTGCAGAAAATAAAGAAAATAAAAGGATGACATTTAAGATATACAGCTTATTGATCGAGTTTGCTATGCTCCAGAGACTGCCTTAGAGGAGCTAGGGTTATATGAAATGGTTGCCGCCTCATCTTGAGCGAATGCAAGCATACCTAGATCGCTTCTTGTGCTGACGCACAAGCGCCCTCTGTCATGCCTTGGTAGGTGTAGAAAATACATCCCAGTAGCACTTCTCATGTGGTCTTTTCTTCCGACTTCTTTGCTTTTGGACCGCGCAGTTTGGGCTCGGGATTCTCCTTCTTTGGCCTTTGTGATTCTTTGATGGCACTTGCTCGGGCAACGACTTCTTGTCTCAAATCTGCTCTGTATCCTTGTTTCGCAGTATGATTGACTACCCCTTTATAGATCCTTAAACAAAGTTGTCAGTCTCTCACTGGGCCAGAAACACCTTCTTCTCTCGAGACTAACTTTGGTCCAGACGTATTCTCGGCCCACGTAATCTCATTCCTATTTGCGGCAGGACGATTGGGGTGTTTCGTTTTCTTAGTCACCAATTTGACACCTCCCTTCTCGGTAGGGTGGAGGCCGACAGCCTTGGCGAGTGACCAGTTAGTCTTCAGCATAGGCCGGCTGGTATTGGGGCGGTTACCTTGTTGTTCACAAATCCTGCGTACTACCACGGTCAATTAGCTCCATCAATGAAAACAGAAGTGCAGGCTCTATCTATACCTTTCGAGACTCCTTATTCATCAAATTAAGAGGGTCTCGTGAGAAGCGAGACCCACCGCCGGATTTGCGCTTGACCAGGTAGGAGTTGTTGTTTCCTGCTCCCATCAGCTTCTGACAATCATACACTATGAACATCGCTCACGGCATATCTCCCAAACGAGGTCTTGCGAGATATTTGAGGTGAGGTGGTGTTCTGCCATCTCCAGTAAATGTTGGCTGATGTCGTATGGTGGAATTGTTCTTGGTGCGGGCAGATGCCCTGAGAGGGCACTTGCGGGAGAACCCGCCCGCATCTTTGCCGAGCTTTTAAGCATTTGAACCCCGCACGGTGCTTCCGGAACTGCCTGACTACTCTACTCAGTACGTATTCTATCCGGCCTACTCAGGACGTTATGAAAAATGCTTGGAAAATGCTTTGAAAATGGCTGACAATTCAAATCATATGTTATCCAAGCGACATCCTTCTCATAATACTACGTTCAGCACCTATCCAAGGTAGCTTCGTTCGCTGGAATCAATATGCCAAGACCTTGCGTCTTGTATCCAACGTTGTAGACTGTTGATTTCTTCCATTATCATATCCGCAATCGGCGCATCTCCAGCAAATATCCAAGCCATGGCAGTCCTGCCATACCCAAAAACAAAGGACCCTGGGGAAAGCCTTCGCCGAATTCTGGATCAATGGCCAGAGCGCCCGGGTAGAGAATGCCACTGAGCGCAGTTGCGCCGTAGAGGCTTCCGAAGATTGCGGCCGTTCGTAAAGAAAATGCAGTAGCGGCGGTATAGGGCTGCCATGTGTAATAGATGGTCAAAAGACCAAGGCAGAGACCGGTCGACATTGTTTGCCCATTGTGAAATTTCGCGTGCGGGGGCCACTTGGGATTCTTCACGTGAGTCTTATTCCAATCTGCCACATAAGGCCCAATTGCGGTCGCGAGGCCGGTAAGGGTAAGGCAGATACGACCAGGGGTAATAGCAGGCATCATCAATTAGTCAACAGCCAATAGTGAAGCACAACAGCAATGGCGTGAAATGTGCCTCCTCAAGAGGTGTGCCAAAGAAATGACAAATGCGAGCGGACAGTGACGGAATATCGTATGGATACTAGAGTTGACCTAGTGACCGGGCAGATATACCTATAAGCGACCGGTCCCGAGGGTGCGCAGACTATATACTGATATCGCATATATTTAATACTAACTGGGGAAAGGGGGCTGAAATGGCGGGCCGGTGATGGCGTCGGCCCGTCAACCTCCAAATGGAACGTTCAGACTGGTGAGAGTCGCCGTTCTTTGCTTGGGACAAGTCACAGATGGTATGAAATAGGTGCAATGGATATCGTCGCAGCTGTGTCGGGTTATGTCTCCAAGATGGTCACCTCTGGCGATCATGCGTCAGGAGTTTCGTCGTCTAAGATGAAGATCCTTCTGCTTGACAGTGAGACAGTGCGAGTCTATACACTCAAGCTTGAGCGAGCTCTTACTAACGCGATCTCAGGTTCCAATTGTCTCGACCGCTATAACTCAGTCAGCCCTTCTCAATCATGAGGTCTATCTCGTCGAGTGAGAGGGTTCCTCTATTCAGCTCTGAAAGCACGCTAAGATCCAAAGCCGCCTCGACAATGCCTCTCGAGAGAAGATGCGACACCTACGTTGTATCTGTTTTGTAAGGCCCTCGCCAGACTCTGTTCAAGGCTTGATAGATGAGCTTCGAGAACCAAAATACGGCGAATATTCGATATGTGAGTACTGTGGGCGCAACCAATCCCCTAATTGTCTGATAAGGCTACGTAGATTTCAGCAATGTTATCAAAAAGTCCACGCTGGAGCGCATGGCTGAGGCTGATGGCAATGAAGTCGTCAAGACTGTACAAGAATATTTCGCGGACTATGTGACTGTGAACCCAGATCTGTTCTCTCTCGACCTTGGCTTTCCAAAGCAGCGCATTTGGAGCGGTAGCCCAGACACTTGGAATACTGACTCCTTGCAGCGGTGCAAGGAAGGCGTCATCGGCATTTTACTATCCTTGAAGAAAAAGCCGCTGATACGGTACGAGAGGAATAGCTTGCTGGCGAAGAAGCTAGCAACGGAGATCCGCTATACAATGACACAGGAGGAGCAACTATTTGACTTTAGGAAGACTGATACACCCCCAATACTGCTAGTACTTGACCGCCGAGACGACCCTATCACGCCTTTGTTGACTCAATGGACATATCAGGCGATGGTCCATGAGATGCTAGGCATCCACAACGGCAAAGTCGATCTCAAAGACGTTCCAGACATAAGGGCTGAGCTGAAAGAGGTCGTCTTATCCCAAGATCAAGATCCTTTTTTCAAGAAGAACATGTATCTGAATTTTGGAGACCTGGGAGGTAATATCAAGGAGTACGTCGAGCAGTACCAATCGAGGACGAAGAGCACAGCCAGCATCGAGTCTATCGCAGATATGAAACGCTTTGTGGAAGACTTCCCTGAATTTCGAAAGCTTTCGGGCAATGTTAGCAAGCATGTGACCTTAGTGGGTGAGCTGAGCCGACTCGTGGGTGCAGATGGACTGCTGGATGTAAGCGAACTCGAGCAGAGCTTGGCCTGCAACGACAATCATGGGACGGATCTCAAGAATGTTCAACGACTCATACAATCGACTCAGATACCCGCATCTAACAAGATCCGTCTTATTGCATTGTACGCTATCCGATATGAACGGCATCCCTCCAATGCCTTGCCAGTCCTCCTCGATTTGCTTGAGGCGGCTGCTGGTATTCCGTCCTGGCGGGTGGATATCGTACGTCAGCTTCTTGCCTACCATCAATCTCTCCAAGCTGCACCCGCTGCGGGCGGCTTTTCCGACTTGTTCGAGTCCTCATCGATATTCTCCGGCGCGAGAGATAGATTCAAAGGACTTAAAGGGGTGGAGAATGTCTACACGCAGCACTCTGCGCGACTGGAAGCAACGCTGCAGAATCTAATCAAAGCGAAATTGAAAGAGCAACAGTACCCATTTGTTGAGGGTGGCGGCTCGACACGGGATAAGCCACAGGACATCATCATCTTCATGATCGGGGGCGCAACCTACGAGGAGGCTAAGATGGTGACACAAGTAAACGCTAGTGTTCCTGGAATTCGAGTAGTCTTGGGAGGCACGACCATTCATAACAGTGCCACTTTCCTCGAAGAGATCGAGGATGCTGTTTCAACTTGGCCGGAGGGTCGACCTGCCACAGCGGCGGCAAGGCTGAGACGGGAGGCCGGGCGATAGTAGTGTTACGCCTTTGCTGACCTACGATGGCCAAATGGGTTTCGCATGACCCAACGCAAAGGGACTGACGTCCCGTAACACAGATTTCGAGATCAATTACCTGCGACCTGAATGAAGTGGACCCGATCTACCCAAGCAAACAACTTGGCCATGGAAGATATGTATCCGCAGAACTCAGACTTCCATTACCAGAGACAAGGGCTGTGAAGTCTGGACATTCTAGCTGCTTGCAAATATTGATTTGCGCAGGAAGTAGAAGATGCGCCTCGCGGATTGAGAACAGGGAAGGGAATATGAGCCTCACCGGGATAGGCAAGAGGCCTGAAGGCATAGAGGTTTGAAAGCAGCGAATTGAGGGCAAAGCCTTGTTAGAAGCGGTGTAAGAGCCGCCATTCCTCGTACATATGACGATTTTGAGCACATCGGTAGGAATTTCTTCAAGCTACGGGCTTGGCCTAATTCCGCCCCCCTGTCCCCTGTAATTCTCGTTATTTTTCGTAATATTTCCTTGACTGGTCAATGCGTACCAATCTAGTCCACATTGAGGAACAATGGGGGAAAGCACCAGGATGAGAATTTCTACTCTCTCGGCTCTCCTCTTCGTCCCTCGTTCTGCGACTCAATCATTATGGATATCGTTTTGGAGGTCTTTGATACGGTCTTCTTCGATAGATTCTGGGCCGCTGTCTATCCTGCGTCTTCGTTAGCAGCTTACAAGGAAAACCCTCAACATGCATCCACTCCAACCTTCTCGAGCATGCGCGAGATGCCTACTTCGATTCAGCCCGCCACCAAGTTCTTCCAGCTTGAACCGTCCCGATACGCCTACCTGAGCGAATGGCCGCGGGACAACATCTATCGGCAAGGAGCTTCTCTGTTTCTCATCACATGGTAATCCCCCGCCCAACCTGCCAATTTGAACGGTCACTTCTCACCCCCGCTCAGGATCTTCGGCCTCGTCCTGTACTTCATCTGCTCAACGCTGTCCTACTACCTCGTCTTCGATCATGACACCTTCACACATCCAAAATATCTCAAAAACCAGGTACGGAAGGAGATACGACAGACCATGCAGTCGATGCCGTTCATGTCTCTGTGCACTGCGCCGCTGTTCCTGCTTGAGGTCCGCGGATTTGGCAAGCTCTACGATGAACCCTCGGATGCTCCGTTCGCTCTCTACAACATCCTGCAATTCCCTCTCTTCATCTGCTTCACCGACTTTTTCATCTACTGTATACATCGATGCTTACATCACCCGCTGTTCTACAAGCGCTTGCATAAGAAGCATCACAAGTGGATCATGCCCACACCGTTCGCTAGCCATGCCTTCCACCCCTTAGATGGCTTCTCGCAAAGTATACCGTATCATGTCTTTCCCTTTCTCTTCCCTCTGCAGAAATTCGCCTATGTCGCTCTCTTTGTCTTCATCAACATTTGGACGGTCCTAATCCGTAAGATTCGCCTTCCCCATCAATTACAAGCTCAACACACTGACGCGATACTCTAGACGACGGTGAATACGTAGCAAATTCTTACGTCATAAACGGCGCGGCTTGTCACACCATGCATCATCTGTACTTCAACTACAACTACGGCCAATTCACGACCATTTGGGACAGGTTGGGTGGCAGCTATCGCCAGCCCAATGAGGAATTGTTCAGCAGAGAGAGCAAGATGAGCAAAGACGAATGGGAGCGTCAGACGCTAGAGATGGAGAAGTTACAGAAAGAGGTTGAAGGCGATGATGACCGAGATTACGGAGATGAAAGTCGAAGATTGCAGAAGAAGGTGCTGTGAGATGCACCGTGCTAGCAGATATCTGGGCGGCACTGCGGTCGTTGCGCGTGATTCGAAGACCTATTGTGGATGGCACAAGAGGATTAACTGGGGTCGCGCACACACCTATAAAGTCATTGCATGCTTGGATGACACTAATCTCTCGGCGCTGGACGCCACAGTATCAAGACTTGGTCTCGTTGAGGTGGAAGATCGATCACCAGTATGCATTAATGTTCACGGGAGCGTAATGTCTAAATGAGGATCGTATGGGCTTTCTAAAGATTCACATCTAGTCGAGGCTGGACTTTCATCATTGGCACACCTGCGCATGACGTGGAAGCGCATCTCTATATGCTATGTTCGAGAACCCTGTTAACGGACCTTGTAGAATTCAGAATGTAGCGATCGCGGTACTGTGCCATCATTTGCCCCATCGGGCCCAAATCCTGACTACCTATTTGACCAAAACCGCGATGGACCTTTTTGCCAGCCTCCGGCAGATGTAGAATACAGTCACGAAGAAAGGTTAACAGAGCACATCCCTCTTCTGAAGGACCAGGATATCACGTAATCTGGTCGAAATCCTCCACCCCATTCTGCTCTGGCAGTTGATCCTCCAAGTCATCACCATTCTGCTGCACGCCGTTAACAACACCATTCTCAACACCTTCCATCTGGCTCTGAGCTTGCTGTAGCAGCTCTATCACTGTGGCTTCCTCAACCGCTCTCTTTCTTCTTACAACCCTGAGCCACCTTTGGCCCCACTCTCTCATTAACTGCTCCTCCTCCATATCCTGATTGGCGCCCTCAGCCATAGCGTCGTTGCTACCTTCTGCAACGCCAACTAGAGCATCTTCAGTGAGCGCAAGTAGCTTGCTCATCTCCTCTCTTTCATTTGTTAAGGTCGTGTCCAGGATGGCACGCTGCTCGTCGGTGAGGTCAGGAGCGTTTCGTGCAATAAGGATCTGGCGGACGCGGCCGGTGACTTTTGCTAGTGTGGAAGCGATCATCTCGTAGACATGGGCCTTTGCTAGTATCTTGCCCTTGCCCAGCTGGTCGTGTAACGCCCATTGGACGACGCTTTGGGGGGTAAGGATTGTGTAGTTGAGTAGCTTATCTATGATGGAGACCCCAACACCAGGCTTGTCATGCCAATAATCCATGACACTGGTGATAATCTGCCGACGAGCGCTTTCCGATTGAGGGCCAATAGCGAGGAAGTGCTCCTTACAGCGCTCTATCTGGGAGAGGACATGCGAAAGAGACTTGCTGCCGAGGTAGCAGATCACAGTTGTGTACGCATCTGTTGAAGGCACAAGTGGGTCCTCAACCTTGAGCGAAGATGCCGTCTCTTGAATGCTGTCGAGTGCAGCTTGCACCTCATTGCCGGGTGCCTTCTTTTTGAGAAGCTGAAGCAGTTGGCGGCCTTGTTCAGCGTATGGCGTTTCTGAATGTTCTTCGTCAGTCATCGTCAATCTCATCACTCAAGCTTTCAATTGCTTACGATCATCTTGGTATTTAAAGGGAGGAGTGTCCTCTTCTTGAGCTTCGCTTATGAGAGGTCGATATGGCTCAGGCAAGGTACCACGAATGCGGGCAGCAAAACTCAAGCGGATCTCTTTTTCAAGAGCCCCTGTAATGAAAGCCTTCTTTGGATGCACAGCGGTAAGAGCCACATCATCCACCCTAATAGCGCATAAGTCTCATCCTGCCATCGGAAAGACCACGGAAAGGGGCTTACCATTCCGTCCATTTCCACGTGAAGCCGAAGTTACTGAGGTGATGAGAGAACCAGTCCATAAAGCGATACACTAATTCGAGGTCTAAGAAATCCACGTTTTGGTAGAGCCATCGTATAGCCCGTCCGAGACTCGGAGCAATAGCAGCGGGAGCAATTTTGCAAGCCTCGGTAAGAACAGAATGATAATACACAAGCTTGTGCTCTGATGATGGAAGCTGGAGCAGTTGCGAGAAAACAGCGTCAACCACCACATCTTCAGGTTTCCATGTCGTACTGCCTTGATCCAAGTTGCGTAACTTGTCGAACTGCGTGGCTCGTTTGACAAACGTATCGGGAGCGAAGTAGCAATCGACGTCAATCAGAAATTTAGCTGTGGCGTTGCGGTTGAAGTCCACGATATTTATGGTGTCTATGAGAGAATCACGGACGAGGGTTGAGGCTATATCGGAGACTGGCGCCACGGTCTCAATCTCCTGATCGGAATAGACAGAAAAGTAAATCTCAGGTAATCTAGGACGTGTGCCAGCCGTGACAGGCGATGGTATCATAATGTCAGGTAGCTTATGTTTTGCGACGGACTCGTCACCCGTGTTGAAGCCTTCCATTGGAACGTAGGGTCTGGGAATACAAGCCAGCTTCCATCCCTGGTCAGCCTCCGCTTGTAGTTGCTTTTGTAATAAAGCAATGAAGCTTAGTGGTTCTGAACTCTCTCCACTACTGGTCACCGCGATTGGGTTGACGAGCGTGTAAAGAACGTGAGGGGTGGACGCGATCACCTCAGTCTTGTCTAGAATTGCGAGTGCTTGATCTTTTGATGAGTTCGGGTTAATTGCCATAACACATGGCAGTGCTAAGAGAATGATTTTGACTAGCTCTAACCCGAGGCTCTAGATTCACCAAGATGAGTATATTATCGCAGAACGTCGAAAGCCATACTTACGTCTTCCGATGAGGCCGTCTGCAAATCCACGGCTCGCGCGAAGAGTTCCTCAAATACTGGAAATATACCATCTCCCTCGAGGATCCGCTGGAGGCATCCTAGGAATCTAAGCAGATGCTTGACTTCCCGCCAGGCACCTGCGTTGAGGTACTCCTGCAGTCTCGAAGTTGCTCTTTCAAGAATTTTCTGGGACAAGTCTGGCTTTTGTTGGTCTGTTGCAAGGGTAAGACCGGCAATAAAAGGGATTTTCAAAGGTTGCTCCAGAACACTAGGCTCTCTGTTAGGTCAATTTTTGCGGAGGCTCAGGAGGTACATGTACAGTTGAATGCTTAGATCAAGGTATACAGATTTAATTTGCTCATCTTCGTGATTTTCGACGATGATTTTGGCGATACTAGCAATCTCCTCATCATTTCTCTTGAGTGGCTAAGGCCTAGGTCAGGCGCGATCGATAGGAGGATCCAATTCTTGAGGCCTTACCGACTCAGCAATGCTTAAAAGCTGTTTTCGAATCTTTACGTGTAATGGCTCTTCGTATCTCCGACGCTGTGGCCTGCGATCATAGTCATCATCGCCTTGTCAATGTCAGCCGCAGGACAGTCATTCTTGCTCGCAAAGTCGAACCCCTAAATCGCCGCTTGCGATTATTGTAGCCCCCATGGTGTCCACTGGGCCGTCGCTCGTAGTCTGCCATAGCTGCAGATACCGCAAACAGATTCGTCTGATAAAAGGAATTAGGGGTTTTGGCCGAAGGCTGGCAGGTGTAGAGCTAATATGAGAGGTGATTGTACAAGAAGCCTCGCAGGCGCGCGCTTCAGAATTGCGGCGCTGTGATTGGCTTAGCGCATCAGCTGTGGACCACCATGAGTCTTTGCTCTGCCTTGAACCGCAATGACTCTGCAACAATGCAGCTGGTTTAAAATCGTGCTCTTGTAATCGTTGCTATAAAATACTCCCGTAAGTTGCTAGTTTGGTTGTATATCATCTGGTTGTTTGGTTGTTTGATTATACAAAACTTTTTCCACTCAAAAAGCAAGAACTTTTTTGTAATATCAAGGGTATGTAGGAATTCATTTTAGGATGCCAGGTAATACTTGAGTTGAGCCAATAATACCTTTCAAACACTATCCTTAAGGCAATAAATGAAAATAAGGAGATAACTCGAATTCTATACTCGGCAGACCCAGAGATTTTCCAGACCCTCCAGATTCTAAGGCCGAATTCAACCAACAAGAAGGCAGTTTGGACGACGAGTCTGACGATGATCTAGATTCAGCTGAAGACGTCCCGATAGCTAACGCCTGAAAGGCTTTCGATCGCGCATAGTATGACCTCCAGGAGCTAAGAGCATCGGGCTTTCAATTCTCCATCAGGAAAGGCGCAAGAAATATGGTCGTAAGAACGCCCACCGGCCAATGATGTGGTATACATCATTCTCAGGGTTGTAGTGCTGATCGAATATGAATCTGGGCTAAAATCTTAGTGGGGCCTACAACGTTCGCTATAAAGCCTTTGGCTCCTCATAACTTATTTGATCACAATTTTCAGTAATTTCGCTTCGTAATCATCAATCAATGGTATGTTTATAATGTTATTCTTAAAGCATTCTAGTTGCAAAAGTGGAAGAAAGGTAACAAATCTTCTGGTGTTTATTCAAACGTGGTCTCTGGAGGTTTTTCTCATTGCCACGTATCTCAGTCCGCCCATTCAGTAACCCTCCCCTGATAAGAAGAAGTTTTCTGCAACTCGTGTCGGCGGCATTTATTCTTGCTCAAAATCCATGAACTAACTTGTTGACTGATGACCTAGCCTTCATCCCTGATCCCATACTTTTAGCCGCTGCCGAATTCGTAAGTAAGAGAAATAAAGGCACTCGTTTCATACAGTAGTGTTTCCGAGTCATGCCGTACTTTTCTGTGCTTTCTGCTTGCAACACGCACAGGCGGAGAAGACCTAGACGGTTTCTTCGCTAAGCCAGGGCGGGATAGTGTTGGGAACGATGAAATGCGACCATCGCCCGATCTCGATAAGATCTCCATAACATCGTAATCCGTTTCCTCTCATCGTATGCCAAACTCAATCTAACTGAGCTCTCATTTCGTCTCGACTCATTGGCATGAAATTGTCAGTGTCCAGGCCACGGGACAAAAGCTCCTTGCGAGCATGTAATGGAACGAGTTTCGTGTTCTTTTCCGGAGCAATGGACAATTCTGGGCCACAATCAGCAAATTGAGCATCATCGACTTCAAGACGCGACGTACCTTGGCGAGAGAAGTCGAACAGGGGAGGCAATTCTCGAGGCGCGCCTCCAGGGTGACGAGAGTCAGGAAAGCGACAGCTTGGATCTCGAAGTTCGTCAAAGAATGGATGTACCATGGCGTCAATTGCAGAAAGGCGCTGGGCTGGGGTGTATTCCAGCAGTAGCGAGATTAAGTCGATGGCGTCTGTGCTGGCTTTACGAAAAACCTAAGAGGAAATAAGCGGGCTATCCTGAATTTGACTAAAGGGGGACATTTCGTGGACACAAGTATGAAAGACAATGACATGACTGACCTTGCCAAATGGATGCGGCTTGATTTGAGGAAACTTGTGCTCCATATAATTTGGATTCATTGTGCGTATTTGCTCCCTGGTTGGAGTTCCTAGGACTTTAATGATTTCAACCAGTTGGTCGATACCTGACTCGCCTGGAAACAGGGGTTGGCCAAGCATGAGCTCCGCCATGACGCAGCCGGTTGACCAGACGTCTAAATAGTATGGTTAGGATAGATTCGGTCGGTCATTCAAAAGAGAAGGCTTACCAATTTTAGTGGTATAATTTGTTGCTCCGAAGATCAACTCGGGCGCACGATAATATCGGGAGCAAATATACGACACGTTTGGTTCATTTTCGACGAGTATCTTTGCACTGCCGAAATCGCAGAGCTTGAGAACCCCAGTATTGGGGTCAAGGAGAAGGTTTTGTGGTTTGATGTCTCGGTGACAAATTCCCATGGAATGTATGTACGCAAGCGATCGGAATAGTTGATAGATGTAGATCTTGATTTCTAGTATCGGCATCGTCGTTTTCATTTTGTTAAAGAAGCGGGAAGCGCGGTAGACGGTCTCAGGGACAAATTCGAGGACGAGATTAAGATAGACTTCCTCCTTCTGATATCGTTAGCATCGCCAGCCGTAAGTGGGAAAGACACATGGCAGGGTACCCGATCTCCGTTGGAATAATAAAAAGCTTTGAGCTCCACAATGTTCGGATGGCGTACAATACGCATGATTTGAAGCTCCCGATTCTGTACCATGTCAATACCTGGCTATATCATAGATCTTGCATCCGACGAACCTTGAATCTCTTATCTTGGAGCACACGTTTAATCGCCGCATCTTCATTGCTTGGAGCGAGTTTGGTTTGGAAAACAACGCCAAAGGAGCCGTTTCCGACAATCTTGCACTGGGTGTACTGCATTTCCTTCGTCTCTCCCGTCAAGCCATCCTGGACTTTTTCTCTTATGACCTCTGGAATCCTCATCAGTCTCGGCCACAACCATTTCCCATGTCATAAGGAACTCACCACCCATGCGAAGATTGTTGAGACCCATCCCGCGATTCTGTGACATTGTTGTAGACTCGCCGTTATTGCACTATCTAGGAGAGGAGGGGTCCCGAGTCTGGAAGAAACGGCTGAAACCCAGTGAGCTTTGTTTGGGGATGCGTAGTGGGCGAAGGAAGCTCGCAAAGAATATCGGGTGGGGGTGGTGGTGGTGTTGGTAGGACGCGAGGCTGACGATGTGGAGGATGGTGAATGACAGTACCGGGCCGAAAGTGAATAGTGGTGGCTGTGCAATGCCGACGTCAATAGGCGGTCTCGAAAGATCAACTGCTCTGTGTGTTGATCCGGGAGTGTTAGGAGTGAAGGGGGCGCTGCGCTGAAGCGGCGGAGGGTATTTGGGAGACAGTACAGCTCTCGTGGGTAGAGGATCGACTTACACTGGCCTGTCCGACCAGAGTATGGCTCGAGGAATCGATGAGCGAGGTATGATAAATAGGGTCGTTGGAGAAAGTGACGAGAGGTTTGGATGCAATTTCGTCTGGAGCCTTTGCCCGTTGCAGATGGGTCAGGCGACTACGATTGACTTCGCGCCACCCTTCGGATCTGGCTCACTGTGGCTGCTCTGACCGAGTTGAGACGGGAGGCCACTGCGCAGGAAAGGGTGGTACAATTGTTGGCTGTTGTTGAAGAAGCAAACTGGTAAGGAGCGTGCAGACTGTAGGTTGATTTTTGACTATAGGATGATGCCAGAGTGCACTGGGTAGATTTCCCAGGCCGTTGGATCTCGGATCGCTAGGCGAATTTGACTACCTTAGGAACAAGAGGGGGGAGTGTGACCTGGACCAGCCACAAGCGGGGGAGGATCTGGGCAGTGGGGACAGGAAAATAGGATTATTTATTATTAAATGGGCGGGTGGATGGCCATAAGATGAGGCTGCCTGCCTGCCTGCCTGCTGCTGCTGCTTGCTTGTGCGCGTGCGTCTGGCCTGAGACAAGGAGCAAAACGCAATGCGCCGTGAAGAATAATGGGGATTGTGGATGGTTGGTTGGTCGCTGTCACTGGCGTTCAAAGCATACGCATGGTGGGTTCCTGATTGAGTCGGGGGTTTTATGATCACGTGCGTTCCAAGGGAAGAGTCTCAGGGTGTCGTGGTGCAGGTCATTCATCAATCATGAATAATTGACAATAATGACACCAAGGTCTGGGGATTCATCAGGATTAAAGTACCGCTGGCAGCTATGCTCGTTAGCACTTAGCAGCAGCCAGCTTACGGGCGGCATTTGGAGGGGGAGGGACGTGGGCTTGCGGGTCCGCTAGCAAGGTCTTTCGAGGTCATGGGACTGACTAGTCTCCACTGAAAGCATGCCCGCTCCTATTGGCTTGCTTGCTATTCCTGTGCAGAAGCAGTCACTTGTAGACATAATAATAAACAAACAGCCAGAGTAATTATGCTATGCCCTAGCCAGCGAATGCAGCACCGATACCACCTTCCAAACACCACGCTGCCTATCCTCCTCCGCATTACCCGTCTCAACCAGAGCAGCCTGTACTTCCCAGCCCCAGCTGGTACCTGGATGGTGTCCAATGGCAACGTGCGTCTCCCTAGCCCGATGAGAGCAATCGTCAGGGACCACCGCCACAACAGCAGATCACGAGAGTAGCTCTGCTTGCCCCTGAGCATGACGAATGAGTTCCATCTGAAGAGCTTTCCGCAGCAGCACGAAGAAGCGGTCGATTTGCCTCCGTCAAGCTGCAACTCTCCGGCCTGAGCTTAGGTCGTGTGTATGGGTGTGTGATCAGAACCCCTGTCCAACAAGTATTTAAGCTTACCAGTCAGAGCCTTGAAGACGCCTCCGAAGCATTGATACACCGGCCAATGGTAGAGGGAGCCCGCCCGGGTAAAGGCATCTCACTTTCAGGTACCACCATCATAATATTATTAACGAGTATCCTCGAGAGCAGTATTGTAATTTGGGTTGAAGATATGTCGTGCATTTGCCCCCCCCTTCCCGGCCGGCTATCTGTGGGCTGTGGCTCTTGCCGACCTCCACAGGTGGCTTGTGCGCCAGATCACTGTTTGAGACGTTGTTGTCACCGGCACTCAAGACTGACCTTGTGGTCGTGACTCCAGCAGACTTCATCGTGCAGGCCCTACTAGCCGCTTCCCCATACGTCAGTGTAGGAAGGATGGGGTGGACCATCAGCGATCTTGCATGGCCGACCAATTGGACGAGCCAAGCGGAGCGGGAATTGCACCCGTGGCACTGGCATGCATTAGGCATTATTCAGTCATGTATTGTCGCTGTCTAGTAGTAGCGAAAGCACCGGCAAAAGCTTGCAGCTGGGAAAGTCATAGTGCTTATCCAAGCATCTGGGCAGGAGGGTCCCAGGCTCCGAGCAATGCGGATGCAGCTAAGATTCATCGCTTCCCCCGCCCATCCCGGAAAACGATCTGGTGTACTTCTACTCTACTACTGCAACTGGGCCTGCAGCTTAGTTCCCGGGAAACGTCATGGAAGCAGCTGCGTTACTCTTGAGCCCTGTAACATGCGATGCTGCGCTGCCGCCGCATCATCTGATGTGTAAATCGGGCTAGCCATCCTCTTCATCCTCTACCCGGTTCCATTATTCAGCTGCAGCAGCACCAGTACCTGAAGCAAACGTGCTCTAGGAATTCCTGGTTCCTGAGTTAGGGCAAATTGTGGACTGCTGGAAGAGTCTGCGTGTTCCATTGGTGTTTACAACAGTAATCCATCCGCGTTCGCAGAATCAATAATGATGAAGAAGGGCCATCGGAACTTTCCCGTACGTTGGCGGACTGTCCAAGCTTCTTCCAGTCCCATTTTGCCTTGAACAACAGTCTGGACATGCGTGGCGCCTTGTAAGCCTCGAGATTTTTCTGAAGAAAACAAATCCTGAGGTAAGTTTCAACGAGAGCGGGATCTCTGAAGACCATTTGTAGTATTGAGTATGAGTGTGTATAGGAAGCATGTTTGAAAGACCAGACGTACCCCAACTCAGGGATGTGCTGTCATATGAAAATTATGTTTGATTCATTTGATAAGGTAGTGTCTCATGGAAAGTGCGCCCTTTTGTACATACGCAATCGCTTAAGCCGCTGATTTATCTACAAACCTGTCATGTGACCCGAAGTGGTGTATCGTGCCAGTTAGAAGACCATCGCAACCCGGGAAGTTTCTAAAGACTCCGGTCGTAAATGCTGGAGGTACATGCGAATCTCCAAGGAAAGTCGAGGGGAGTATTGATAGGCTAGGAGTCTACCGTGAGGATTCAAGGTTGCAGCGCACACTTGAACCAGAAGGCTGGTTCGAAGTTTGCATGCAGTCAAATTAGAACAGTACAGAGGGTTCCGATGCGCTCGGTCCTGCCTGGGTCTGAATAGCTTCAGAAGCCACCTCGAGAGAAACAGCCATTCCAATCTTTGCCGTTGACTGGACAAGTGTCAGTATTGCGGTCAAGAAAGACGACAAACGTCTTGAAATGGTCCTAGAAGAATTCCTACCTTGAAGTGATCTATTTCTCCAGCGAAAGATATCTGCACTGGGGGAAGTACTCTTCTCTCCAGTAGACAACTCAACTTCCCCGTACTATCAAGTTGAGCTTTGAAGGACGAGGTCCTAAAATCGTACTTGGCGCCGACAGTAGTGGTCCCGACTTTACTTGCTCCAGCACCCATCAGACCTCCACCTCCCAAGCCTGGTGCGAATTGAAGATTGAGTTCTGTGCCTGCCTCGACCTTGTCCGATAATCTTCGCCAGTAAGATGTACTCAACATCCCCTGGCCCGTTAATTGGGCGGTACCTATCCAATCCTGGCCTTTGTATCTTGCACAGTAAGTGAGTATTGTTTCTGGGCCTTGGTTCATTCCAAAACGCTGCCACACGGCTTCCGCACCCAAGGCAAGGCCAGGGGTGACAGATTGGAGATAGCCACCGACAAAAGCACCACTTAGACCACCGTCAAGGATAGATGGATTCATTGATTTGATAGACGCCGTGAAATCTTTCCCTGAATAATCTCCGTCCAATTGGACTACGCTTGCCTGGCCTGGGGTCATCGATGCCTGGCTCTTGGTCACAAAAGACTTCGTCCAGCTCTTATTGAGTACGGCCATTAGTTGGCCATCGTTGTCAAGATTGCCTTGCATTAGCATCTGTAAGCCGTTAGTCCACGCATTGTGCCATTTAGGGGATTTTTTCGAGGCGCACGCTAGGTGTTCCGTATATGGCAGAAAATCCATACGGAGGGTTCTGCTGCGACCCCAAAGCAAATGCATGTGAGAACTGAAATAGGGGTGATATGCTCAAAGGTTTGTTAAGCTCCCCTTTGAGGCCTGTGAACATGAACTTGGTGAGAAAAACGTCGGTGTCGACCTCTCGCTTTATTTTATCAAATGGTCCTGGATTCGAGAGACCCAAAGCTTCCCTTCGCTTTGAGAAAGCTGTATATGTGTTACGGAACAAATTGATCAAGCCGTTGTCGGAAAGAAAAGGGGGAAGCACGCCGTTGCCCTTTGTATCACCCATACTCTCAGGGAGACAGCGCACGGCCGTCAGCCAGGATAAAAACGAAGGTCAGAATGGCGCGTGCAGATACAGGTTCATGAGGTGGGCGGTTAGGGAGAAACGTTTGTGTTCATAAATAGCCAAAGCTCAGTAACCGGAATATTTGAATGAAGCGCGCAGGTTGTAAAGCTCGTCCTGAACCCTTAGAGGTGTAATTAACATTTTCCACATGCACTAGGCCATTTCAGGAGTGCGTTATCGATAACGACATCCATGTCTCGAACTTATACTCGAGGAAGTCGAGGTCTATATCGGCAGATCTTAAGTACTTGTATAGGGCTCGCTGTTGCCAACCAATTATATCAAGTGCCAATGTCTACAGTCGCTGAAGCTCCCTCAAAGCATCTGCCCTCAGTTGTTACCTCAGACCTCTCGTACTCTTTTCCAGGCGGCTTAGGGCTTCGCAACTTGACGTTCTCCTTGCCACCTCGTAGTCGGACGCTTCTTGTTGGCGGTACCCATCTTCCTTTCACGAATCAATCTTTTTGGACCCCTATGCTAACAAGTGGATACCATACAGCTAATGGATCGGGCAAGACCACGCTCCTCCGTCTGCTGTCGGGCAAACACATGGCACCGAATTCTACCGTATCCGTCGCGGGCCTTGATCCATTTAAAGAAGGTCTAGAAGGCGTATGCTACCTCGGCACCGAATTTGTAAATAATCCAATAGTTCGTACCGATATGGACGTACCAACTCTCTTGGCCTCAATTGGCGGCGACTTTTATAAAGATCGACGGGACGAGCTCATCGAAATCTTGGACATTGATGTTGGATGGCGAATGCATGCAGTCAGCGATGGTGAAAGACGCCGGGTGCAACTTGCAATGGGGTTAATCCGGTGATTTGCGATGACAACCCCTTGTGGTGGAAATCATGCTCATACGTTCTTGCCCAGACCATGGACCGTGTTGCTCTTGGATGAAGTAACCGTAGATCTCGACCTACTCAGTCGAAGTGACTTCTTGTCGTTCTTGAAACGAGAAACGGAACTGAGGCCGTGCACAATAGTGTATGCGACTCATATATTTGATCACCTGGCGGATTGGCCGACGCACTTAGTGCATTTACATTTAGGGAAAATCAAGGATTGGGGCGAGACGGAGATGTTCGATATCGGCGGCATGCGGAAAAGCGAAAACAGCCAGCTGGGAGAGCTCATCTTGAGCTGGCTAAGAGAAGATCAGCGGGAAAGAGGACCAAGGAATGCTTAGACAGACATTGACGTCACATCCGGCAAGATATGAGGATTGTAATGCAAACTTGGTGGCAACTTTTGCCCGACTAGCTGTAGCTCACATAACCTCCTGGTTCTTGAAACCTTGTCGAGTAGACCTTCGAATACAGAGCAGACGCGCAGTCTGCCAGAACAAGGGTTCTCGATTCGAAGATCATAAAGTCTAAATCCAACAATCACCTCTTTGATTCTGAGCTTTCTCGAGTTACCTGATCATCAACCAGTTCATTGTACGCATTTATAGTTAGGTGACACCATTAAATGACCAGCGAGTATTTTCTTCTGTCAATGTCCTCGGATTTTTTGTGATAGATTGCGACGCTATCATCGTATAGTCCCATAGGCAGAATGCTGTTGGTATCCCGGCGGCATGCCAGGAGCACCGCGACTTGCTTGAGCCAGTCCCGGTGGCGGAGCGAACCCAGGAGGAGGTGCACCACCAGCAGCTGGAAAAGCTGGCTGTGGTTGTGCATTGTTAAAGCCTGGTGGTAGGAAGCCTTGAGGTGGCCCACCGTAGCCAGCTTGGGAGGGGGGCGGTCTGGCTGGAAGCCCAGAAGGCGGCGCAGGTAACGGCTGGGATGGCGGCGGAGGACGTTGCTGCTGTGGAGGATGAATATTCTGAAAGCCGTTTGGTATCCCTGCTACAGAGAGGCTTCCCGGTCGGTTTAGATCGCTGTTGAGCACCGCCGTAGGTCCTGTTGGAGTGCTACCGGTAAAAAGTCCTGCTGGCAGAGGCTGTACAGTGGGCTGTACACCATGCTTCGTTGCTTGTGCAGCCAGCGTACGCTCGGCTTGATCGCCATGGCGCTCGCCTTTTCCATCTTTTTTGTATGCATACTGAACCGATATTTCCTTGTTCATTAGATATTGTCCATTCATGTTGGCGACAGCATCATCCGAGGCGTCAAAGCTGGCGTATGAAATGAAGCCATAGCCTTTAGATAGATTGGCATCGTCCCGAGCAACCTATCAGATTTAGCATCGTAGGCCGTGCATTAACCCAAGAGCGCACCTTTGGGGCTGTCACTAGAGTGCCAAATCGGCCGAAAGTATCGTAAAGCGTCTGTTCAGAGACCATCGGATCGAGATTGCCCACGAATAGCTCTGCGCCCACCTCTACTGTTTTTTGTTTGTCGGCGGATGCTTTGTTGACCCTGATGGGCTTGCCATAGAGCCTAACCTGGTTCATTATTCTTGCAGCATATTCTGCGTCCTCCTCGCTGATGAACTCAACGAAGCCATAGCCTTGATGAGTCTGTGTGACGCGGTCTTTGGGCAAATGTACATTGACAATACGACCGGCTTGCAGCATCAGCTCCCAAACTAAGCTATCTGTGACTCGCTCGTCGAGATTGCCAATGTATACAGTCGCTTCTTTGTCCTGTTCCCTGCCCAAGTTAGTATGATAAACAATCGGAGGCAGCATAGCATACCAGTGACGCGCGCCAGACATCTCGGATTTTCGTATCAACCACGTTGGTTCAGGGAATAACGAAGCAGGCGGAATCTCGAAAAAGACATGTAATTAAAACCGTAGCGCAAGACAAAAAATTACGACGATCGAAAAGTATGCAGTCTTCATCATATAGAATCTCACCTTACTAGGATCCTTTCTAAGTTCCAACAGAAGTTCAACGTGAGTCATGAGCATGTGGCAACTCTCGGAGGACAGCAAAGTATTCTATACCCCTGGCATTGCGCCCCAACAAAGACTGATCACATCTGCAGGAAAGAATATCAAGAACTCTGGAAGTGGCGAGAGTTGCGGTGCATTAGTATGTACTCTACAGCAAGCCCATCTTTCTGTGCCTTCCATTTAACAAGAAATAGTGGCTATCTGCCGTTGATCATGTATATCGGTGTGCCTCCATCGCGACGCTGAAAATCATCCTAGCTAACAGCGAAAAGGATATACCTGGAGTAGCCCGAAACCGTCATTGTTCCAGTGATTATGACCAAATTCATATAATTAAAGCAAACACTGACTCGAGCCAAAGACTCATATCTCCGTTTGAATGAGCCAAGCAAGGGATCGAAAGACGTGTTGAGTCCTGGCCATGAGCGTCAGGGTCAAGCATGTGGAGCCTGGCTTTGTCTCTTCTGCAGACTCAAATTCGTGGAATGGAGCGAAGTACGGGGCGCTGGTCGAATAGATAATCTCGCCATTCAATTGTAGCTTTTGCGTCATGTTCTGGTGTACATAGTTTTCACACGTGTATATAAAATCTCTTTCCCGCCTCAATACCTAGTTCTTCCTCACCTCGCCAAATGACATGAATGATGCATCACCACGGCTATCTCAATCCTTCGTTGAGTCGATTGCGGGCTTCGCGGCTGGGGTCTTCTCGACATTGGTAAATGGCGTGGAAAGCTGCAAGGACTTACTGATCAGAGCTAGGTTGCGCATCCTCTAGACATCGTTAAGACTCGACTGCAGGGTGCGTATGACCAATTCAGCCCCAGAGTCGTGGACACTTATAAGATGTCATAGTTGAAACAAGAACATCTGCACGGCTAGGAAGCTCCTTTCGGATCCTGCGCCAAATTGTTCGAGATGAACGAAGCATCACGGCATTCTACCGAGGCCTCACGCCGAACCTCATCGGTAACTCGGCCAGTTGGGCACTTTATTTTGTGTGCTACGATAGAATAAAGATGGGTATGGTTGCAAATCGCGGTACGGGAGACTTGTCCTACTACGACTATTTCCTGGCATCAGGCGCCGCGGGTACGTGTCAAATTGGGCGAGAAGAACTTGCTTATGAGCTTACAGCATCTGGCAGGAGCTCTCACAGCGCTATGTACAAATCCCGTCTGGGTTCTCAAAACGCGCATGCTATCGACGTCATCGTCACACCCCGGTGCATATCGATCAATGCTGGATGGCGCTCGACAAATTTACCGGGGTGAAGGTATCATGGGCTTCTATCGGGGCTTACTCCCTTCTATGTTTGGCGTTTCCCACGGCGCTTTGCAGTTCATGGCATACGAGCAACTCAAGAAACGCCGTGCAGAGTATCGTCAGCTTGAAACCTTTGACTATCTCCTGCTCAGCGGCCTTGCTAAGATCTTTGCGGGAAGTGCCACTTACCCATATCAGGTTGTTCGATCGAGGCTGCAGATGTACAACGCAGACAGTACGTACAAGGGCGCAAACGATGTGGTGCGTCAGGTCTGGGCACGAGAAGGCATGGCTGGACTTTACAAAGGATTGGGACCAAATCTGCTGAGAGTGATGCCTAGCACGTGGATCACATTTGTAGTGTATGAGAAAACAAGAGCCTATCTGCAACAGATTGCCGTATAGAAGTGTCGCTAAGGTCACTTTAGACTCGTCATTGCATGAGATCGATAGACTTAAAATATCATCCACGCTTATGGCTCGTACACGATGCGTCCAAGCCCAAAGTGCATGCACCATCACACTGGATGCTTGACCACGAAAGGGCTTGAGCACGGCGACAGATCAGACTTCTCGTGAAGGTTGAGGTCTATTTTCAAGAGAAACGACGACAGCAATTGTCCATTGGCGTTTCAGACCTTTCCATTCTAGCCTTCCTAACGCCCGATATAGAATTGGGCATATTGGTCCAAGCGGCGTGTGGGCCATCAACTTGGGAAGAATACGCGACCGCGCGCCGAAGGAAAATAGAAAGCGAGAGATAGAACCCCTTCCTTGGCCAGCTGTTCCGATTGTGGTGCTCTATCAAAGGGTTTGCATTCTGTGTTTGCAAGCACGCTTCTTGCGCTCATGTTGTTATCGGCTCAACATGATATCCAGAAGGGTCTCGCTAAGATAGTTAGATGTGTGCCAGTCCTCTCTAGGTCTAGCTGCGGATGTGGCCGCTCTAGGGGCCGAGCAGCCCACCTCAAGCTCGCCGTGTCAATCTCTCTTAAAGTAGCGTGGCTCCGTCGTCAACTCCAACAATCTTCTCCCTGCCACTTACCTCAGGTTCACGATCATTCGGCCTCATCAGTTCAACCCACCATTGATCTGTATTTTATTCACTTTCGGATTCACTGACTTCGACAGGCTGCTTTCAGTCCAGCTCACTTGCGGCTAGCCTTTGGAGCATCACGTCTGCGGCCTGGGGTCCTCTCAGCCTCGCATTGACTGATCATCCAAGTTGAACAACCACTTCTCGTCAGATAGCGATCGTCAGAGCAGACTCGTCCCCTACGCGCCTGTAACGTGCATCGATAATTCTCCGATCGCCTGAGCGTCACGTCTGCGGCTTTTGTTTGCGACAAGTATCCAACCCTACATTAGCTTTACCCTTTTCTCCGGGACGTGGAGTCATCCCGCGTATCTGCTTTCCCCTTAATATTGGGCAGGCCAGTCCATTTGGAAGAAGCATAACATCTAGCCAACATGTATAATGCGCATCGAGGGATGGCACAGCCTGCGCCTAATCAGCGCCTGGAGGAATGCTTAGTGGGCATTAGAGAAGAGTTCGCAAATGCAACAAGCAGTGCTGGTGAAAGTGATCAGAGGAGTGAGTTCCCGTTTCTCCCTTTCTCGGAGGCGGGAGTGGGCTCTTTGCTCGCTGCCTTGGAGCCTGAAGGCTTCTCGACCTGTTATGCACTTTGAGCCCCTGCCTGCACGTTGGATCACCAATTTAGATTGATCGACTGACTCACTTATGTCACTGTAGTGCAAGCCCAATTGCAAGAGATGGAAATGGTTAGACAAAGGGTCTTTGAACTCGAGCGCAATCAACAACTCATCAAGCAGAAGTTTGTTCTCCACACCGACCCTCTAGATCCCTGGCTTACGTTGGAATCAGATATGAGGAAGACATTGCGCGCTTACGTCACGAGCTCGAAGCGCGTGGTGGACCACCTTCGCACCTAGGAGTGAGTGGTCTACCCGGTCATGGCACCGCCCATGGAGGACCAGCACCTCCAAATATTGGTCACGGCCCAAGCAATCTGTTTGGTGGAATCATGTCAAATCAGAGCGGACAAGGCCAACCTGGTTTGGCGCCTTTGACCCAAGATCAGCAGCAACAACAGCAGCAGCAGCAGCAGCAACAACAACAACAGCAGCAGCAGCAGCAGCAACAACAGCAGCAGCAGCAGCAGCAGCAGCAGCAGCAGCAGCAGCAGCAACAGCAGCAACAACAACAGCAACAGCAGCAGCAAGGTCCCCCACCACACCAGATGCCCCAGCCACCACAGCCACTGCAGCAACAACAGGGGCCGTACCAGAGCAGCTATCCCCACCAACCGCTAGTCAATGGTAAGCAAAATCTCCTTTCCGCCCGCAAATTCTCTCGAAGCATGCTACGATCCAGGTGTTGATATGCATTTTGTCAGGCTATAATTCTCAGAATCAATTGGCATCTCCTGGGGCGGGCAAACCACCTCGCAATACAATCGGACCGCGCGGTCACGCAAGTACACCTCAACAGAACCAGCCTCTACCTTATGGAGGTCTGTCCCCTCCTCCTATGAGTCGTCCAAGTCCTCCTCCTGGCCCACAGTATCCTAGCGTGGGCAACGTACTCGCAGATCTGAATCCCGACGAGCTGAGACCCGATCAAAAGCGTGAGGGGCCGGACTGGTACGCAGTCTTCAACCCTGCTATCCGACGACAATTGGATATTGATTTGGTCTGTAATCTTGCCCACGAAAGTGTCGTTTGCTGCGTGAGGTTCAGTCATGATGGTACCAGAGTGGCGACCGGATGCAATCGATCTGCGCAGATCTTCGATGTAGCGACTGGGAACAAGCTGACTACTTTGCAAGACGACACTGTCGATAAAGATGGTGATCTTTACATTCGGAGTGTATGCTTCAGCCCTGATGGTGCATTTCTCGCGACCGGCGCAGAAGACAAACAAATTCGAGTTTGTGAAACCCGGGCCTCAATCTGACTCTAGCTAATTTTCTCAGGTCTGGGATATTCAAAGCCGCACTATCCGACACACATTCGCTGGTCATGAGCAAGACATTTATTCGCTGGATTTCGCACGCAATGGTCGCCTCATCGCTTCAGGCAGCGGTGATCACACTGTTCGGGTTTGGGACATTCAGCGTGGCGGCGAAGTGCTCACCCTCACTATTGAAGACGGCGTTACTACCGTGGCCATTTCTCCTAGTGGAGAGTATGTAGCCGCCGGCTCACTTGATAAAAGTGTGCGAGTGTGGGATATCAATACTGGCACTGTCATGGGTAGACTTGATGGACCCGACGGTCACACAGACAGCGTCTACAGCGTCGCATTCTCACCCGATGGTGAATGTTTGGTAAGTGGAAGCTTGGACAAGACGATTAAGATGTGGCAATTGGCACCTGACAACAGAGGCTTGGCTTCGCGAGGTGGTCGGTGCATCAGAACGTTCGAGGGGCACAAGGTATGCTTTTATACCCTAACCACTGAAACGCGACTTGGCTGACCATCTTTAAGGACTTCGTGCTCTCCGTGGCTTTGACTCCGGACAACGAATGGGTACTTAGCGGGTCCAAAGACCGAGGGGTACAGTTTTGGAACTCGAGAACCGGTGATACCCAATTAATGCTACAAGGCCACAAGAATTCTGGTTTGTTCTCCATGCATTTCAAGTTGAAATCGTCGAATCTAACAGTGCACACTATCAGTCATCTCCGTTGCTCCAAGCCCAATTGGTGAGCTGTTTGCCACTGGTAGTGGCGACATGCGTGCAAGGATTTGGAGGTATGTTTGTTGTGAGCTAGAAGCAGCGATTTCTGCTAAGACTACCGACACAGGTTCTCGCCATACCGAGGGTAATTTCTAACATGTATATACGCTGCACACGCGAGCTTCGACGCACAATCCGGAGAAAGGTCTCTACCTGTGCATATCAGAAGTAATGTTTGGGTTTGAAGTTGGTGTCTGGTGGGAAAGTGGTCGAGGCAGACCACTCGTCAAGAGGCTCATTGTATATTGCCAACCACAGATGTATTCGACATCATTATTCAAGACGCTAGAGATCTCATCCGCACAGCGCACAGGGATCTCTCCATTCCTGATTCAATAGAAATGTTTGCTACGAACGGTCACTATCCCAAGTAACAGTGACAGGCAGTCTATTTCATCTGGCTTATATAGCTTCCAGCGGTGCCGGGCAGAAGATGTGCCGAAACGGAGAAGCGGCGCACCCGGCGAAGGCTTATCTTATCGGCCATCCGATCTCTAGAGGATGTTGATGACCGACGGGAGGCAGCGGGGATTCAGGCATGGACTCCGATGGACAGCTTATATATCCTCTCAATGCATCTTATACCCTTTGAGATGGAGAACATCCTCCCCACTCGTTCTCGTTATCTTTTATCACTATGAATACTAGTTTGCATCGATAGCTACAAAGCATGGATACACTACTGTTAGCTTCCCTACCAGCAAACTTGGCCTTGCGCACCTATCCGCTCTCCGCTGTACTTCCATGATAAGTGCTAATAGATGCACCAAATAGCACCGCCGATGTCGCCGCAAACAACCCTCGCTATCGACGGAAGTCGAGCACTTTCGTTGATGCCATCCACGACATGCCCGAGACTGGAGAGTTAGCCCCGGCGCAGCTCTACAGCACAGAATCCGGACGTCTCTTCCATTCTGGGAGGATTGTGATAGTCACGGTAGGCCTGCCTGCAAGAGGGAAGACCCACCTCAGCGTTGCGCTCGCGAGATATCTCAGATGGCTTGGCGTGAAGACACAAGTCTTCCACCTTGGTGATTACAGAAGAGCTCATGTTGGGCCTGGCAAGGATGTTCCTGAAGACTATTTTCATGTCAATGCAAGTCCAACCTCGGTGCTCATGAGGCAAAAAATCCTGAAGAAGTGTCGGGACGACATCTATCATTTCTTGAACAATGAGAATGGTCAGGTCGCTATATACGATGCTGTCAACCCCCTAGCGGCTGGGAGACGGAGTCTAGCTAAGGAGTTCTCGAAACATGAGGCTCAGACGCTTTTCATTGAAAGTGCATGCGATGATGAGAGGATCATTGAGGAAAACGTGAGAAGCGTCAAGATATCTAGCCCTGATTATGTGGGGTGGGATGAGGATGAAGCGGTCAAGCATTACCTAGCCAGAATGAAAGCGAAAATACCTCATTTTGAGACTATGGATGAATCTGAATTGAATTACATCAAAATGATAAATGCAGGGGAACGAATCTCCGTGAACAATTGCAGCTTCGGGTATGTAAGCCATCGCATCGTATTTTACCTCCTCAACCTGCACATCAAGTCGAGGCACACATATTTTGCTCGCGCAGGCACGTCGAATGAGGAAGACTCTTACAAGGTCGACGCATGTTTGTCGCAACAAGGATTAGATTATGCGAAGAAGATGAGTGAGACATTGCTCGCTCATCGTGAGACGGAACGGCAAGCTTTGATCGACAACGGAGGCCCAGACATACCACTCAAACCACTTACTGTTTGGGCATCGACGAGGCGAAGAACCGTAGAAACGAGCCAATTTTTGTTTGAAAAAGGGTATCGAGTGCGACAAAGGAGTCAGCTTAGCCAACTGAACCCAGGTGTTTGCGAGAAAAAAAGTGAAAGACGAATCAGGATTGAGTACCCTGAGGAAGTAGCAAAGCACGGGCAAGATCCTTACCATCACCGTTATCCAAGGGCAGAGGTATGTATGACAAAAATCGTCTGTGCATGGACGAACTGATGAAGGCAGTCTTACCATGATCTTGCTGTTCGACTAGAACCAATCATTCTCGAACTCGAGCGAGAACAGAATGATCTCTTGATTATTGCACATGAAAGTGTTTTACGGGTTCTATACGGCTATCTTATGGCCTGCAATGCCACAGACATACCTTCGCTCTCTTTCCCCAGGGATGAGATCATCGAAATCATCCCGGCGTCCTACAACAACGAAGCCTCTCGGTAAAACCACCTTCAGCGAAAATCGCTTAGCGGACATTGCTGACTCCAAGGTCTTCTCAGTATCAAGGTGCCGGATCAACCACAAGAACTTATCCCACCGTCACCGGAGGATATCAGAATCCCCGTTCCTCCAAGCGGATCTATCACGCCCATGAAGCTTGACACGCCACCAAAATCGGGAGTCAATTCTCCACGTGTGAACATCGGTTCATCCTCAAACGGGAGTCTAACGCCGCTCGAGTCGGGAGTAGGCCAGCATTTGCTGGTGGAAAGGGTGAAGAGGAATTAGTACCTAGCTTGTACATGCACGAGAACCATCAAATATTCTTACGCGAGCGACGCCGCTTGAAATAATCCATAGACCAAGAAAGCCTTAGGTGCTCGGACAGATTGACTATGACATGGCCCATGGTGTTTTACTGTACTTGCTTGAAGTAAATGCCAAAGCCATCTAGTGCTGTAGCTACACGGCTTGTTGGTGGAAATGGGGTGAGCTGCTGGTTTGACAGTGCAGTGGATAAGGAAAGGACTTCTCCACAGGGGATGAAGATCAGCCTCCATGCAAGGTCGAAACAAAGAAAATATTATCGTTGTGTTGTATTTCATACTGTTCACCGCCATCAAGTTCCCAGTCGGCATCGTTGATGAGAACCAGAATTCCAGGCCTCCTACGACACACTGGGTTACCATCAAAAGGATTTACCTCGTTAAGATTGACGTACACAGTACCGTCCAACACAAACATCTCTTTTCGGGGATCTCTCATCAAGTTGTCGCACAGGTAGTGGACAAGGAAAGCGATGTTCACTGGTTTGCCGTTTTTCTGGACCTTCGGGACGGAAAGGGTATGTTTCCTAATATTTGAGAACAGTATTTCAAGGCCACCGCTGGTGAAATTGAGCGAGTCCGTTAATGAACTTGGCAAGAAACACACCTGAATTCTACAATGACCGGCAGATGGTCGATTCTCTCATGGTCGATTTCCATACTGAACTTCCGTTGGAGTTATGTGGTATGTAAGGCTTGATGATCAGGAGGGTGCTATCTGGTGTACCTTATCAAAAGTTCTCGACTCCTTTACTTGAGCTTTAGAAACCCAGTACAAGATATACTCGTCCGTGACTCCCCTACCCCGCCACACCCTTCAACTGGCCAATATGTAGGCTGACTAGAAGTGATTAGAAATGCGCATCTCCACAGCTGCGTATATCTAATCATTAATGCATATCATTTGGACTAGCCGGTTGGAGACTGTGGCTTAGATAATTGCCACATCCAAAAGTCACCACTTTTTCCACACATACGACCACAGTATGCTTCAAGCACGGCAAAACTTAATCCACGCTTAGCTTCGAAAATTTTCCACACGATTGATTGCTTTTATGTCTGAATTCAAGGCAGCCTACTTTGCCGCTGGTGGTAACAGGCATCCTTCAGCAGCTGATTGGGACTGTCGATCCGGACTACTAGCATTCGGAGCTGATCAAAACGTAGCAATTTGGAGCCCGTTAGTAAGTAAAGACCCTGGATAGTGTCATTATTCAACGAGACTTAGTATGCAGCCAGTCAAGAGACCATAAATCCGTAAAATGTCTTTTGGCTGGCCACAAAAACACCGTCAATGCTGTCAAATTCTTCCCCACGCTTCAGGGATGCTCTCCAATTATCGTCAGCGGCTCTACCGACAAGACAATCCGGATATGGAGGATGTCGGAAAGTGAAGGCCAAGTGATTCGAATCCTCGACGATCATGCTTCATCCGTTAATTGCATATCTGTAAATTCGCATCCGAATCTAGTCGTGTCTGGCTCAGCAGACTCGATAATCAAAATCTGGCATCTAGACTTAGAGGGCCCGGTTGTGGAAACAACTTTACTACAGACAATTGATCTTGCTCCACGATTTTTACCTCTTACTACAGCACTGCACTCTTTGAATCAAAATCGAGATCTTGTTCTGGCCGTCGCTGGCACAAGCAGCACCGCTCATGTCTACGTTAAGTTGAAAGGGGGAATCTTCGAGCATCAAGCCTCCTTGACTGGCCATGAAGGCTGGATAAGATCCCTCTCGATCAGTGAAGAGTTCCAATGTCCGCAAAGCGATTTAGTCCTCGCTTCTGCAAGTCAAGATAAGTATATCCGCCTCTGGCGTATTGCTAGAACGGTACCGACTGTTCCGTCTCATCAAGTCGATTTGGTTGATGCTTTCGAAGAATCGCTTTCTAACAAGAGGCACAAGCTGCAAAGCTCATCGGGACATCATATGCTTACGTTCGAAGCGTTGTTGCTCGGCCATGAAGATTGGATTTATACAGTTTCGTGGCACCTACAGCAAGGTAAATTGCAGCTTCTCTCTGCGTCTGCAGATAACTCTCTTGCTATTTGGCAGCCAGAAGCTTCCTCTGGCATCTGGATACCAGTGACAAGACTTGGAGAGATTAGTCTCCAGAAGGGCTCGACAACGGCAAGTGGCAGCACAGGAGGCTTCTGGGTTGGGCTCTGGTCTCCGGATGGAACGAGTGTGGTCAGTCTTGGAAGGACTGGTAGCTGGAGATTGTGGATGTATAATGAAAAGGAAGATCGCTGGTTGCAACATTCCGGTATTAGTGGCCACACAAAATCGATTACTGACATAGCTTGGTCCAAAGACGGAAACTATTTATTATCTACCAGCTCTGATCAAACAACTAGGTTGAACGCTGAGTCGATCAAAGACGGTCTGGCATCATGGCAGGAATTGGCACGGCCTCAGATCCACGGCTACGATCTCAACTGTATTGACTCTATCAGCTCGACTCAATTCATTTCTGGAGCGGACGAAAAGCTCCTTCGGGTCTTTGACGAGCCTCGGCAAACCGCGGAGCTATTGCGACGACTATGTGGCATACACAGCGCGGAAGAGCACAAACTTACAGACTCAGCAAGCATGCCTGTCCTTGGTTTATCCAACAAAGCCGGTACAGAGCCAGACGATGAGCGGAATACCATGAAAGGGACCGTGGGAAACGGAGGGATGATGGAGAATAAGCAGATAGATACTGCTGCCATGACCATGCCAACGGAAGATCAATTAGCGAGGCATACTCTATGGCCTGAGCGAGAAAAGCTTTACGGTCACGGCTACGAGATATCAGCAGTAGCAGCCTCTCATGACGGCACGCTCGTCGCAACAAGTTGCAAAGCTAGCTCGCTGTCTCACGCTGTCATAAGGCTGTACACTACCAAAGACTGGCGGGAGGTCAAGCCCGCGCTGAAGGCGCATTCGTTGACGGTCACGGCCCTTGCATTTGCGAATGATGACAAATATCTCCTTAGCACTGGTAGAGATAGACAATGGGCTGTCTTCGAGAGAGATAGCACAAATGCCTCCAACTACATAGTCAAGCATGCCAATCCAAAGGGCCACTCGAGGATGATTCTCGATGCTTGTTGGTCCGCAGAGACTATGGGAAGAGTGTTTGCGACCGCTGGGCGTGACAAGGCGGTTAAAATTTGGCTCATGGGCAATGGGCAGGTTGGTTTAGTATCGAACACGTTGTACCCCTCTGCAGTTAGCGCGCTTGACTTTGGGCCCGAGCTATTCAAGGGACGTCGTCTGTTGGCCGTGGGCACAGAATCTGGCGATCTCATTCTGCAAGAGGTCATTTTCGGATCATGGGAGACTTCGGCGATGGTAAGGATAAAGGAATCGTGAGTTCTGATGTTCCTCACTGGGAGTATGAGGCTAACGAGTCAAGTTTGCGGCCCTCGAAAGCTATTACCAGACTTAAGTGGCGGCCGAGGAGGGACGAAGGGGAGAATGCGCGTGTGGAACTTGCCATTGCCAGTGATGACAGCTCACTGAGGATCCTCCGTGCAGTTGAGGATGGGAGGAAGATCTAACATCAGCATTCCCTAAAATACTCTTCAGGCGTCGACAGTCAGAAAGGCCAACAAAAGAGCAGGACCCTTGGAAGTGATATCGATTATCGCCAAGATATCTCCGTGCTTAGTCATTGTACGCGTTTTCCCCCTTCCCCGAGCCGTAGTGGGAGCCAAGCTCAGACAAATGCCAAGACATTAGTTTCGGGCGATGAACGGAGATGAAACAGCCAACCCTAAAAAATACACAGCCCTATGGACTAGCGAATCCTTTCAGGACTGCGCAATCTCAGCCTTGCTCACTCTCACTCCCTCCCCCCCCCGACCAGCAACAGCCAACAGCATTATTGCGGATGTTACATGACACTGGTCTGAAGATCGCACGAAGGATTTCCCGTGATTACCATTTACCATAGCTGTCTGACTGAGCGGCTACCTCTGGGGCACGATGCCAATTGACAAATCACAAGGCCCCTCAGTCTGGCATAATTGGTCAATCCATCGTCTAGTTCCGTCTATCACACTTCAATCTGACTACTGCCTTCGCTTAGCTGCACATTTAATCCGATCATTCGTACCTGTCTTTGACGTGGCTGCCGGGCCCAACAAGTTCTGTGCACCCCTCATCCCGGTAGGTGCCTGCATTGCCTTTCAGCGTGACTCTGCTATCATGTCACTCATGTTGGGTCGCTCTCTCTGAATCTCACTGTGTAACCACAACGAGAACAAGTCTCAATGGATTGAAGAAGCTGCTGTGCTATCCTAAATTTGTCGGATTTTGCTGGTCATACCATGTTGCCGTCCGCTTGCATCGGGCATCGAGCTAGCTGTTAGACGGATTCCCTAACGGTATTTGGCCCCTTCATGCTGATCTAGCTGCATGTTAGCTGCTTTTAACCACCCGCACAAGCTTGCCTCAATCTATTCGCAGTTCTGTTCAAAAGCTCAGCCTCACAGGACTCCACTTCCCCAGGTGGCTACTTGCTTCTGTGAGGTGCCACTTCTCCTACCTCTTCAGGTCCACTAACCAGCTCGCAATGGGCTCACCAAACAGTGAAAAACTCCAGGTCAGTATCTACCATGAGCCACCGCCTGTGGCGACAATGTGCTGATTCCTCCAGCCTATCGCTGGGTATCGCGAGATCCATCATGATGCCAGCGGCAGGCTCGAAGACAATTTCGATGGACGGTAAGTCGAGAATATAGGCGGCGGACAGTTCAAGTATCTGCTGAAACCAAGCGCAACAGAATCATCAATCCTATCGCGCATTACAACGATGATGAGCTGTCTCGCGATGTTGAAGACTTTTACAGGCATGAGATCCTCCGTCAATCGCCCGAGCATCGTATCCAGGATCCTATAGACAGGAGTAGACTCGGTCTCTTTCAAAAAGCTGCGCGAATCGCCCGAAATCCTCAGAACACGAACAACATTACCGAACTCACGGAAGAAGACAAAGCCGCGTTGAGGCAGGAGAAAGAACACATCCTCAGACAACCCTGGAAACTCTGGCTTACACTTATTACATGTTCCTGTGGAGCTCTTGTTCAAGGATGGAGTCAGACTGGCATCAATGGCGCCAACACCGCCTGGGGAGACGACCTACAGCTTACGAAAGAAAAGACCGCCCGTGATTGGCTTTTTGGATTGGTGAACGCTGCTCCATATCTTGCGGCTGGCTTGATTGGATGTCTGTTCATTGACCCACTCAACGACGGCTTGAAGCTGGGTAGGAGGGGCACGATCTTTGTGGCCGCAATATTCTCTCTTTTTGCGGCCATTGGCTGTGCCGTATCGCAGATATGGTATCAGCTACTTGTTTCGAGACTATTGCTCGGTATTGGTATGGGTCTGAAAGCCAGCACAATTCCAATCTTTGGTAGGTCCAGGCTTTTCTTTCGACTTAATGCCTCGGGGCATTGTGCGTACACACTATGAAATCGCTGCTAAATTGAATTTTCATCACAGCGGCTGAGATAAGTCCCACAAGAATCAGAGGTAGTATCGTCATGTTTTGGCAGGTACGTTGATCGTCGTCAAATGGTAGCGCAGTGGCTAAATTAATCTCTCTGTCTTAGCTCTTTGACGCATTTGGCATCCTACTGTAATTATTGACCGCCAGCTATACGACACTGAGGCCCACTGACATCAATTCAGGGGCTACTGTGGGAATTTAATCGTTCTCAAGTCTAGCATTGCTTGGCGCCTCCAAGCAGGGTCGTCCTTCATTCCAGCGGTCCCTCTACTCTTTTTGATATACCTCTGTCCAGGTGAGCCTCTACCACTGCCGTAGTTTCCCAGACGTGATGTGTTAACTTTATCTCAGAGTCGCCGCGCTGGTACATCAAACATGGACAACTCCTTTCCGCCTTTCAATCCGCCCACGCACTGAGGGGAAATGAGCTATTGGCAGCTCGGGACATTTATCTGCTCTTTAAACAAATACAGGTCGAAGAAGACTACCTTATTCGATACCAGAACAGCGGCCTACGATATAACCTAGAGGGTAGCCAAGTTGTGGTCCGCAAGTCGAGTTATTTCCGCCGCGTCAGTGAACTCATCACCCTTGGCCGTATCCGGCGAGCAACTCTAGCTTCAGTTATCGTAATGCTGTCACAGCAACTCTGTGGGATCAACATTGTAGGACTGCCCGTTCATTCCTTCGCTTTCTTCTTTTCCCTCCGGAACAAATTCTGATGGTTAAACTAGATCAGTTTCTACAGCTCCAACTTCTTCCTAGCCGTGACGGTCAAGGACAAAAATGCTCCAGCCTTTGCAGAACTGAGGAAGGTAAGCAATATCGCCTCCAGCTCTTCCTGGATTTCTTGAGATATTAATTCTACTCAGGCCCTCCTCTTCTCCTTCGGGACAGGTCTCACCAATTTCATGTAATTACCCCTTAAATCAGCCGACAAGTCTTTTCATAGTAAGCTTACACTCTATCAAGCTTCACCTTTCCTGCGATCCGCACCATCGACAAGCTCGGTCGCCGTAAACTCCTTCTCTACACGTTTCCAAATATGGCCTGGCTCCTCCTCGCCATCGGCTTTTCCTACGAATCCAAAGGCGGACGTTCACTTCCTCTCGTAGGAACTTTCACCATCATTTTCGTCGCCGTCTACTCCCTTGGTGGAGGCCCCGTGCCATTCACGTACAGCGCTGAAGCCTTCCCGCTCAGTCATCGTGAAGTCGGTATGGGTGCCGCCGTCGCTACAAATCTATTCTTCGCCGGCTTATTAGGGCTCATGTACCCTCGCATGAACACGAAGCTCGGATCGGCGAAGACATTAGGAATATTCTGCGCACTGTGTATGATAGCCTTCTTTCTAGTATTTTTCTTCGTGCCCGAGACCTCGCAATGCTCGCTTGAGGATCTGGACTTTAGGTTTGGAGTCTTGACCAAGAAACACGTACGCCATCAGAAAGACACCATCCAATGGTATTCGAAGTCCAAAGTCAAGCGGGGCGAGAAACCGAGTTTGTACTTCATGGACCAGCCTATCCATGTCGTTGAATCTGGCAATTGGGACATGGGCGGAGGAAGTGGGTATGATCCTCGGGGTGTGGAAGGCTTACAGGATGATGTGAGTGGGCGGGGCAGCATGAGTTCCCAAAGGGTATACGAAGCTGGTGGGTACGCCAACGGGCCCCCAGATGATGTATCGCGCACGAGCTCGGTGCATGAAATAGTGTATGAGATTGGCGAGGGGCGGCCAGCAGATCAATCCGCAGATTGGTACATCCGGCCTGGCGAGATCGGGGAGTCGAAAGGCTTGAAGATCTGACGGCAAAACCCATTTAGTCAACGGCAGTAAGAATCGAGTAGTCTTCAGCCGGGTAATTATTAATGGTGAATGATATGAGAGGTCAAGATTCGAGCCCGATTTCCAAGTCTCATGGTACCTCACAACCTGACATATAAAACCTCATAATCGCTCCGTTCGAATATTCAAATAGTGAGACCAACGCGGCTTTGTTCTTTTGCAAGGGTATCTCATCGCCGCATAGCGTTGATATCATAATCATACTTCCTGTATACAAATTGTCAAGTCCTGATAACGCCAAAATCCCCAATGTCGCCTCTGCCATGCTGAAACTCATTGCCAAGGGATACAATTTCTAGCTTGGCACATGTCTCTCGAGATCTTCACCCTTGACTCCACAGCAAGGCCTCCAGCAGGCCATTGCTATTATTGTATCGACATAGATACTTCCGACCACTAAATGTTCATCAGATATTTGCAGAATGAATTCCTCGGCCACCACGGCGATGCAAGTCAAATAGACCGAGAAGAATCATCCACTTTCCGCGGCCACACTCGCGGCTCCCAGACAGTCTAAGAATGCAGCAAGCCATTAGACATGACAAAAGCAGTTTGAGGGACAGAAGTAGATGGGTTTAAATGGCCTCGCTCAACTCTAGCCAACCAGAAGTACGCGGATTCTTAAAGGATCTGGCCCTCATTTTATGCAGCAGACTTGACTGCTTTTGAACTAAAGTCTGCAAGCCTTTCGACCTAGCGCTTTCTAAGGAATCGGGCCAATTATTTTCTTAAAACTTTGGTTTCTGGCTCGGTCGTCTTCTCCTGGACCAAGGTTCGCCGCTATGTTGGGGAGGTAGATCGCCATTGCTGTGACTCAAGCCAGAACTTAGGAGAAAGCCAGCAGACAAAGTTCGCATTCATAGGACCCAACTCTCCTGAGCTCTTCCGGCCATTTGCTATGAGCTATAGGACCTTATCTATATATCTGGCTTTCATACAGCAGATATCCTTAGTAATATCGAGTGGCTATGACTCCCTGCCAGTGGTGACAGCTAGGCCTTCTTATATCTGGAGACGATGTAGTGTGACTTGACGACTTCATAGATAGAAATCGGGATGAAGTACGGCCAGGTCTGCTGTCTTAGCTGGCAAGGTAGATATGGAACCCTGCTTTGAATTATGCCTATATTATACTTTTGTGTCTAGATGATGTTTTGCCTTCCATTTAGCGGAGAAAAAGCCTAAACTTTTCTCCGTCGAGGAAGATGACACGGTGCCACTCCGCTCTATGGGACTTAGAGGCAGCGGCTTATCGCGATATGTGTGAGATGATGTCCGGCCTGGACTAGGAGGTGCTAGGGTGGTCCATGAACGTTGCGGGACCAGTGTCGTTGTCGACGGACGATGACTGTGCTGAGGTGAGGTAACTGTAGAAGCATTCGAAGATGCATGAGATAGGAGATGATACAGTCGAGAGTTCTTGCCCTTGGCCTTCGCCGCCTCGATGGCTGTGCGGCCTTCACGGTTACGAAGTGATAAGTCTGGTGGGGGTCTATGGTTGAGCAATTGTGTAATGAGATCGATGGCATCATTGTATACAGCTGTGTGCAGTGGCGTTCGCCAGTCGTTGTCCTGTACATTGACATTGGCCCTTCTATTGAGTAGCCACGTTACTAATTTCTTAGATTTGCGTTCGACTGCGCAATGAAGCGGCGTGGTGCCAAATCCATCTGCGAAGTGAATCAATTCCGCGTCGTAGTCGTACAATCGTTGAGCCAGGGAGGTGGAGTCTTTGTCCATTGCAACGTGGAGAGCTGTCCTTCCACGCACGTCAGGTATACGAGTGTCAGGTCTTGCATTGAGAAGAAATTTTACGGCCCCTTCATTCTTACACCTAACAGCCCACATGATTGGAGTCATTTGCAAGTCTTTGTCACCATCTGGAATGTTGATGGAAGCTCCGTCATCCACAAGCCGACGTAGCATTTCAATCCCACTTGGGTCGCTGGATTGAATAAGAGTAATGATCGGCGTCATTTTGGTTTTCATGTGAAGTCGGTCTTTATAATCTCGAGGGCCAATTCCGAACCCCTGATGGAGTAGCCAATGCATCTCAGGGGATAGCTCAAGCTGTCTTTCAACCGAACTGCCAGAGACGTTTCTTACAGGCTCTTGTTGACGCCGAGCTTCTGGTGATGGGCTAGAGACTAGATAGTCGCTGTAACTAGCTCTCAACGCGAAGGCCATCGACGCAGAATCGGTATCATTCTGCTTCTCATAGAAGTCAATCAGAAATGCGGCAGATTCTTGTATCAGTGCTGCGGGCGGACCAGGCAGATTCTCCCGTTGATCGAGCGCAATACCGGCATGTAGTTCAGCATACTTCCAGTCTTTCTTACCGTCATAAACGACAGCTAGCATTTGATGCAGCGCACTAGTTACCTCCATATTATCAGTTGCTATGTCTGCCAACAATCGCTTAAGTATATTCGCGGCCTCCTCATAGCTCCCAAGTGTGTCATCTTGCATGTAGAGCTGGGCTAGTTTCTTTACATATGGGACCTTCTCCTCAAATTTGACATTGTGACTTGCTTCTAGCTCCTCGAGTAGATTGATTGATTTGATTTGATTCTCGCGCGCGTCATCAAATGCTCCAGCTGCTGCCTGCCTAGTAACTTCTTTCTGAAAGAGATCTACCCTTTTACGTATGAAATTAGGATTGCGCGAAAAGCTGACAGATATATCTGCCTTGACTTCTTGAATTGGCGGCAAAGAACTACGAATGCTCTGAGGTGGAGTCCTCAAATCGCTTGCCCCGCCAGGAATTGCTTCTGTTGCCACTTCAGCTCTCCACTGGGCAATTGTGCCCGGCTGAGAGCCAGTATCAGACCCATAGGCAGTCTGAGCTTTAATCTTCATCTGTTCCTCAAATTGACGACCTGAGTCGAGCATGTGCCTGGCATACTTAGCGAGATACTGCTCGTGCCTGAGTCTAAAATCTTCAGGCCCTCTCGAGGTTTCAATCAACGTCCTGTCTTCGCTGTCATCATCGTCGCCGGAGATGTGCTTCTCGATCGTGGCTAATTTAAACTGCACGGCTCGTAGGATTGGTTCTAGCTTTTGGATTTCCTTCTCCGTCCGCGCCTGTGACTCTTCAATGTGGTCTTGCGTACCTGAGATGTGGAAAGTCTTCACGCTGCGACATCATCATATGAGCTTCATGCATAGCATTGCACCAGGTAATTGGACTTACATAGCTATCCTCTGGAGCTGTAGCGTAAGGATCTGGGCAACCATCTGCATGTGGGCGCGTGAAGCCACGAATGCGTCCTTCTTCACGACCAGCCGAAGTCGCTGCAACAGTGACACATGAGGGTCGTACTCATTGGGCTCGGGGAATTGGTGTTTGGCCCGAATCAGATAGTCGCTGCAATTTTCCAACAGCTTCTTAATCGGTAAAAGCTGCTCTTGGGCCTTCTCGGACTTCTCTTCATCGTCAAGTAGGATGCCTTCTATTTGGCTGAGAAGTTCCTTAAATTGGAACAGCTCTTGGCGAAAGTCGGTCAAAATTTGGGGTGCATCCTTCGCCTCGTGCACAAGGCGAAAGATGGTGAGGGCAAGCTGAGCAGCAGAGGAGCTCACGGCGACGATCGTACCGAGTATTGAAGCTGAATCGGCCATGTCGGTGGTACATCATGGGACAGCCAGATCGGGAGATGTTCGTGAAGCACGAGGTGCGCGATAAAGTGACACGGGAAGAGCTGATAATAACTAAATGGGCACTTGTAGGAATAATTATTATTAGGCAGGCTGGGGCTGGGCCAGACCAACTGGTGCAACAGCAGAGCTCCTGGCTCTGGCCCTGGGGATGCTCTATCAATCATCATACGCGCTGTAGATAGCATAGCCTTACGGCTGCCCTATAATAATCAAGGACATTTGTTTTAGCCTGAAAATGTCATGCTTTTTGGCTTTCTTACAATCCTAATGAGGCAATATCAATGTCAACTGACGTGAGCTCAATGTAATCCTCAACCTCCACCTCCTGCGAACCATGCTCCCCTCTATCAATCTACCTTTTATCAAGTTAGCTGCCTCCTTAGGGGCTTCCGTGGACGAGCGTGAGATTCCTACCCTTCGCTGCTTCCAAGCTCCATGGCCAGAACTTAATCACACCAGTCAAGCTTATTGCCTCCTTTCTGTTCTCTTACCCTCTCGCGGCGGTTCTCAAACGTTTGCCGGACAACAAGCCATGGCAGAAGAATGCCTTTAGCATCGCGTACGCACAATATAATACACGCTTGAACACCTTTGACACCAGCTAGCGTCTCCTTATTCTACCTCGTCGGCCTATTTGACTTGTGGGCAGGTCTAAGGACCGTGCTCATAAGCTCAGCCGGAGCATACCTGATTGCATCCAAAGTAGCAGGCCCATGGATGCCATGGCTTGGGTTCGTCTTCTTGATGGGCCATATGTCAGTGAGCCACATATATCGGCAATTTGTCAACGACCCTAGCCTTGTCGATATCACGGGTATGTTGGTATCAATTGCTGTCTCCGAAAGCCAAGTTTGACGATCCCAAAAGGAGTCCAGATGGTCCTCATCATGAAGGTTGAAAACACTATTGCTCGTCAATATGACAAAAGCTAAAATGCTTTGTAGCTTACCGCATTCTGTTGGAATGTGCATGACGGACGTCTACCCGAAAGAGATCTTGCCGAATTCCAAAAAGAGGGGCGCTACATCAGCTTCCAGGTTTATTGGATTTTGCGGGATATGTTGTGAGTCACGAAACCATATCATCCCGGCCTATTCGCTGAGACGCTCTAGCTCTTCTTCCCGTCCCTCTTTGCAGGACCTGCATTTGACTACGTTGATTACCGTCAGTGGATAGAAGCTACCATGTTCGATGTGCCACCAGGCACAGACCCAGCTCATTATCCCAAGACGCGGAAAAAGAGGAAGATCCCTCGCAGCGGTACACCAGCCGCGATCAAAGCAGTGATCGGACTGTTTTGGATATTAGCGTTCCTCCAATTCTCGAGTTGGTACAACGCTAGTCTTGTCTTGGGTGACTCCTACATGCAACATGGCTTTCTTCGAAGAGTATGGCTTCTAGAAGCTTTAGGCCTGACAACAAGGATGAAATATTACGGCGTCTGGGCTCTCACTGAAGGAGCATGCATACTCTCGGGTATGGGATATAAAGGCATCAATCCAAAGACTGGCAAGATCGATTGGAACAGATTGCAAAATGTGAATCCTTGGGGCATCGAGACTGCACAAAACTCGCGGGCTTATCTCGAAAACTGGAACATGAATACGAACAATTGGTTGCGGTACTACATGTATCTGCGAGTGACTCCGAAAGGGAAGAAACCGGGTTTTCGAGCCAGCTTAGCAACCTTTGTGACAAGCGCTTTTTGGCATGGCTTCTATCCTGGATATTATTTGTCCTTTGTTTTGGCCGCTTTCTTGCAGACAATCGCAAAAAGTTTGTATCGACCCCCTGACCCTCATGAAACCGCTCTAAATGACATCCAGACTTTCGCCGCCACGTGCGGCCATTTTTCTTGACGACAGACGGGCAACAGCCGACAAAGTACAAGGTGTATTACGACTTGATGTCGTATATTGCTACGCAAACTGCCTTTTGCTTCACGACTGCTCCGTTTGTGCTACTTACGCTTCCCGACTCCATACTAGTTTGGGCGCGTGTGTATTTCTACACTGTGATTGGGGTCATCCTGTCGACGGCGTTCTTTGCCTCGCCCGGGAAATTGTGGCTCATCAAGAGGCTCAAAGCAAGAAATCAGAGCGCCGTACCAAAAGCTCAGAAAGAAAAGATCCATCAACAGCAATTATTAGGGCTTCCCGAAGATCCCGGTGCAGATATCGGAGAAGTAGTCGCTGAGATAAAATCAGAAGTTGAAGCTAGACAACGACGAGGAAGCAAGATAGAAATGCCAACAGCCGAAGAGATGAGGAAGATTATCGGTGAAAAGACGGGTAAAAAACTTGATTGATCCAAAAAGCTTAGACTTTCCAGCCAGCTTGGACCCAGTCTACCAGTCTGAAGTGGATACGACGATAAAACATACGTCAAACTCAGAATATAGACCTTCATTTATTCATCAAACCCTCATTCGGAATCGCTTGAACGCATCAGAAATTACCCGAAACTATCTTACATGCAATTGCACCCAGGATTCCAAGCCTATAGTCTCCTCCTGCGTCCAGTTTGAACAGATCGGGCACCTGTAATTTTGGCCAAATTGTATACCAGGGTCGCGTCCTCACCTTTCTTCACAGTAGACATCACCAAGCTCCCACCGTCTCTTTAGCCGCTCACGAAAAGCTCACAAACTTGGGATCTCTCGGTCTGCCATCCTCGCCGATGCCCTCATCCCTAAACCTTCTCTGCATATACAGCCGTCTGGCCTCGTCAAAGCCGACCTTCATCCTCTTCATGATCTTCCCCACTTCTCTCTTGCCCACTTGATCTAGACCCTGTCTCTGATCAGTGCCTTCAACATTCTGTTGGAGGTTAAAGTCGGCAGAGGTGAAGCCATTCTCGATATCGTTCTGGAATGAAGAGGGGAGGCGTGTATAAATGTAGTCAGGAATTGGAAGGTATGGGAGCCAGTGAGTACGGGTGAGGTAGAGTGCTAGAGAGTGCGAACGGTTAGTCGCAGTGTGTAAGCCGCCGGGGAGGAAGGAGTGAACTGGGCTCTACGTACCTAGGAACAGGGCGAAGAAGGCGAAGGTAAGGTAGTAGAGAAGATATCCCATGGCTATACGTGCATGGTCTGTGGGCTGCGAAGTTGTCTCAAAGGAGCGAAATGTTTGGTAGATGGATGTGGGAGGCTTGTTGTCCAATGTTGAAACCGTGGCCACCTAAGGCTGGGTGAAGGATTTGGTGCTGGCTGGTCCAACTTGCTCAGCCTGATGAGCGGCTGAAATGGGATGAGGTTGGAATTATGTAAGCTTGCACAAGATATTTCACAAAAATGTGCAGAAGTCTCGGCATCAAATTGCCGTTTAGCCCCAACTGGACACCTCGATCGAACCTATTTTCAGATCTGACTGCTCAACAACTACAATAACAATTATTATCAGTATAGCTGCATCTTAACTAGCTTATTATAAGCATTTAAATAATACCTACTTTAGGGCCTAGCCTATTATAGTTGCTTTTCGCTAGCTTAATAAGCAGAAATTATTATAGGATAGCTAGCCGGCTATTATAAAAACAGTAACTATAATAATAATAATAGCTAATAACAATAAGCCTATAAAGTTCAACCTAGCTTAATAGATTATTAATATTATATAAAAGTATTTAGAAAATAGGGCTTTAAAGAACTTATATATATATTAAAAAACTATAAAAAAGATTATTACTTTTACTAGTTAAATAGCTAATACCTACAGCGTATTTAATATACTTAATAATATTGAATTTTTATTATAGTTTTTAATTATTAAAGCTTCCTTTTAATAAAAGGCATAATATATTAAAACTATTAAATATATTAATAAACTATAAGCTATAAAAATATAAGCTATAATTGCTACTACAGCTATTATACTGCCTATTCTTTTTTTATTTATATATATAACTATTATAGCTAAATCCCCTCTAATATAAGTATAGTAGCTATAGCTTCCTTTAAAAAGTGCTACTAAAAGTAGGAAATTATAATTAATATAAAAAACTTTATAAACTAATTAGTAAGTTCTGCCTATAAAAAACTTAATTATATATATAAATAAAAGTATATTAAGTGCCTAGAAAAGAAAACTAGCATTAATATCTATATAGAAGAATATTTATTAAAAAATAAGCTAAAATATATACTTAGCTTAGCTATAGTTTAGATATTAATATTAGTCGATTTTAAGCTAGTTAAGCTGCTTTTTAGCGGCGATATATGCTTAACAATATATACTACTAAGGATAGCGAAATTATAAAGAAGAATATAAAGTAGCTAAAAGCCCTTATACCTAAGGGTAAGGCTATAATTATAGTCCCTATATATAATATAATTATTAATAGAATCTATATTAAAAGCGTAGATATAGATAACCTTATAATTATAATTAAAAAGCTATAGCGCTAGAATATAGTTATTTTAAGAGGATAATAGATCTAAAGAATCTACTAGCTCTAGAAGCTTTAAAAGCTATAGATATATATACTTTTAATACTTAAATTTATATCCCCTATAGACTATAATGCAGTAATTAATACTTATAATATATTTTAAAATAACTAAAGCTGCAGGGTATATCGATATATTAGCTAATATATAATAAACTAATATTATAAATACTATAAATATAGATATAAAGCTACTTTATATAGGAACTTAATTAAATATAATATATATTTAAAAAATTATTTTTCAAAAGATTATTTTTATTTAAAAGATATTTCTAAGTTTAAATATATATAGTATAAAAAATTATATAAGTCTTAGTCTAGTAACTATAAATAACAAAAAAAAAGATAAAATATATTAAGTAGAAAGTTATTACTATAGAAAAGTTTTAACTAAAGCTTATATTAGCTAAATTAATTAGCCTAAGGCTTTTATCTACTTTTATATTTACTTTTAGTAAGTTAGCCTTAAAAAAGGCTATAAAAAAAAAACAACTATAGCTTTTAAGCTAAAAACTAATAATTAGCTAAATATAATAAAGAAAAATAGGGCAAAAGAACTATTAACTAAATAGAAACTAATTAATAGGCTTACTATTAACTTTGCTTATAAAGAACTTAAAACTAATAAGGAAAATAAAGTTAATAATAAAAAAAAGGCTTAAATCTATTTTTTAATAGCTTAGAGCTATAGCGATTAAGCTATACTCTAAAGAAGCTTTAGCTTTTTACTAAAAAGCAGATTTATAAAAACTTAGCTATATAAAAATAAATTATACCTAATACCTATTAATACTATAGTATAATATAAGGAAAAATAAAACTAAAGTTATAGCTAAAGTACTTAGGGATAAATAAGTACTAGCCTACTATATTATTTATATATTAAAGCCTTAAAGCAATCTATTTTAAATAACTACCTATTATTTATAGAAATAAAAATATTACTTTTTTTAGCTTATAAATAAAGTTCCTAATAAAATAGGCTGAAAGCTAGCTTAAATCTATATATATATAAGCAAGAATATCGACTTTAGCTCTATATAAATTATTAACTACTCTAGTATATTCTAAATACTAATTTTAAGATTTTTAAATAAAAAAAAAAGATTATATTATTATCTATAACGTTTATTTAGCTTTATTTAATATAGCTAAAAAAATAATAACTAATAGCAATACTTTAGTACTAGTTGAAAAGAAACTATCCCTCTATAGCAATTACTAATAGCTTATTATAAAAAACTTTAATATTTAATATTTAGACTAGTTTAAAAAACTAACTATAATTAAAAGATAAACCTAATACTTCTAGGAAATTATAATAATATATAATCTCTAGCTAATTATATTGCTTAGAATAGTAATAAGATTTTTAAATAATTTTAATTTAAAAAAATCTATAATTAACCTAGCTTAAGCTACTTAAAATATAGTATAATATATCTTTTATTATAAGTCTTTAGAATAGCTTATTTTTAGATCTAATTATAACTTAATTAGAATAGTACTTAGGTATAAAACTTTAATAATAGTAGTACCTAACTATTAGAACTTTAAAAAAATAAATATAGAAAAATTTTTAAACTATTTAACTAATGCTATTTAAAACTAAAAAACCCTTAGGATATAGGCTAACCTAGATAATACTATTAAATACTTAATTAAATCTATTACCTAAGTTTTAAAAGCTTTTACTTTAAAGATTAAATAGTTTATAAAAATAAAGTTAAGCTAGAATAAAAATTGTATAAAAGCTATTAATAACTAAAAGAAAGCTAAGTATAAATATATAATTATATATAATTTTAAAAACTAAGTAATAAAAAAAATAACTAATAGCTAAAAAAAAAAAATTATTTAAAAGGCCTAAGCTAATAATTATAAATAAAAAGTTTTTAAAGCTATTAATATAAATTAACTATTCGTTTTAAATAGATAGCTAAAGATACAAGGAGCCCCCTACTTTACTTTTCTTCTATAGATTAAAAGCTAAAATAAAACTTTATAGATAAATAATATAAAGAAAGCTAAAGCTTTCTAAGTTTCTTTCTTTTTAAAGCTATTACTAACAGATTTCTCTAATATATATTATAGCCTAGAATGCTTTTTATAGCTACTTTTTTTCTAGATATTATAGAATAAAAAGTTATTAAAGCTATTAAAAAGTCTAAAGCTAATAATATTCCTAAGCTAGATATAATTATTAATTAAATTTTAAAAACAGCTCTTTTAGTAATTAATAACCTTTTTACTAATATATTTAATACAAGTCTTAGGCTATAATACTAGCTAGTAATATTAAAGGAAGCTATAGTAATAGTAATTTATAAACCTATAAAGAAAAACTATTTAGATCTAAAATTTTATAGGCTAATCTCTTTACTAAAAATATTAAGTAAAATAATAGAATATATTTTAGCTAAAAGAATCTTAGCTATAGTAGAAATTAATTACCTATTCTTAATTATTTATTATAAAGGAAAAAAAGCTACCTCCTATAAATATATTATTTATTTATTTATAAAATAAGTTTATATAGCTTAAAAAAGCAAAAATAAATCAGTAGCAAGCCTAATACTCTTAGATATATTAGGGGTATTTAATAATATTAATTATAAATAACTTTTTTAAAATATCTATAAATTTAGATTTAACCCTAACTTAATAGGCTAGTTATAAAGCTTTTTAATAAGCTAATTTAGCTAAATTAAAATTATAGAGGGGCTTATATTTTCCTTTAATATAGAGATTAAAATTCTTTAAAAATTATTATTATTATTAATTTTTTAGCTATTCTATAATTATAAAATTCTTAAGGTAGCTAAAAGTAAAAGCCTATTAATAGGATATATAGATAATATATATATACTAGTTATTAGAAAAAATACTAAAAAAACCTATTAAAAGCTAGCTAATATTTATATTAAATTCAAAATATAGATAGATAAATATAACCTAATTTATTTTTTTTAGTAACTAAAATAAATAAAAGAAAAGGAATAAAAGAAGCTAGTAAAGCTAGAACTTTAAAAAAGAATATATACTTAGGAAATTTACCTTTTTAAAAGTATTTGCTATTTAAAAGTTTAGTTTAACTTAATATTAAATAAACGATTATACCTAGAAATTGCTTTAAAAAAAACTAAAGCTTATAAAGAGGCTCTAAAAAGTTTAACTTAAATAGCATAAAAAGTTGCTTTGCTAGGAATAATAAAGCTATTCTAAGCTACTGTCTTTTTAAAGCTATTTTATAGCTACTTAATATAAGTCCTACTCTAGCGTAGATAAAGCTATAAAAGCTACTATTAAAAGATTATTTAAAGATTTAGAGCTTTCTAAAAAGAAGCTATTATAGCAGCTATAAAAGCTTTTAAGTATATTACTAGTACTATACTAAATATAGAAATAAATACTAAACCTATAGATCTATAATTAATAAAAATAATTTATTATATAGTAAATAGAATTTACTACTTATTAATCTATTAAAAGATCTTTTAACTATATAAAAAAGCTAATATTAAAAGCTAAAAAAACTAAGACAGTCCCTTATATAAGATTAAAAATATTTTTAACAGCTAAACTAAAAACGAAAATATATTAATTAAAAGAAATATTCCTTTTATAATCTACCTTTAATAGGTTTTACTAATAGTAAATATAGCTAAAAATAATAATTTAAAGATTGCAACCTATAATAAGATTTTAGAAGAAGCAAAAAAAAAATTTAAAAAGTAAATTATTTACTACTTTAATAGTAGTAATATTAATGAAAGAATTAGGGCAGTAGCAGCCTTAATTAATCCAACATACTACTAAAAGCTTATTACCTATAATACTTATTTAGGCTTAAACTTTATTAATATTGTTCCTGCAGCTAAAATAATTAAAATTATTTAATTACTAATTCTTATGCTATTGAATACTCCTAAGCGATAAATAGTACTATTTATTAATAATTAAAAAGCTTTTTAAATATTCTAAAATCCTAAAAACAAATCTAGCTAATATTATATATAAAATATAATAAGACTTTTTAATTAGCTTAAAAGTATAAGAACTATAATTAAGCTTTATTAGATACTAAGCTATAAAAAGATCTATAAAAATAAGCTAGTTAATAACTTAGCTAAAAAAGCTACTAGCTAGATAGGCAATAATAAACTACTTAAAATTACTGCTTTTTATTACCTATTAATCTATAAGCTTAGATTAGCTGCAAATTAAAAGACAAAAGATATAGTTTTAAAAATATAGAAAAATAACTAAAAGCATTTACCGATAAACTGTAATCTTTATAAACTAGTAAAAAAACCTTTTAAAAAAAACATTTTTAAGTATATAAATAAGTTATAAATTATAATATCGATTATAATCAAAGCTAAAATAGGGGCTATTAAGCTTTATAGCTATTTATATTTAAAGAAATTAGCCGACTTAGCTATATATAACTATAAATAAAGCTAAAAAACAGTTAAATACTTAATACTTAATTATCTACTATATACTAATTTAAAAAAAAAATACTAGGGCTAAAATATTTTAGCTATAAACATTAATAACTAGCTAAAAAATATTTAAAAAGCTATAATAGTTATATAATTTTTATTTTAAACTAAAACTTTTAAGTATTTAGGAAAAGCAAAGCTATAGATAAAGGTTAATTTCTATTTTAAATAGAAGGTTATAAAGCTAAATAACTTTTTAGATTAATATAAATATAGTCGGCAGCAAAAAACAAATATTTATAACCTATAATACTATATATTATAAGAAAAAAAGGAATATAGGGGCTTATTTTATATTAGTTTATTAAAAAGGTAATAGTTGTTAAAACTATTAATAGTTTTAGTAATTTAAGATTGCAGCATTTTAATTAAATTTTTAATTTTTAATACTTATTCTTTAATTTAATTATTTTAATTGTCTAAGGAGTTAGTAAGTATCTTCTATTGATATAAAGTAGCTCGTCTGCGTAGATAGCACCCGGCATAGCCCATAAGGCTGAAACGGCGTAGGATTTTAAAAAAAAATAAAAAATAAAAAAAAAGCCGTTTAGCCCGCACTCAAGGCCGTTCGCAATGCTTATCGTTTCTTTCTTTGGACAAAGCAAGAGGCAAGCAACTTCAAGCGCTGACGTGCAACAATGATTCTCCGACATCTGTGGGACTCTGAATTACTCGTCTGACCTATGACCCGCCACTCGATATCGGAGGATACTGCCTCCAAATGAGCCTTACGTCCGCTGACAACAACATTTCATCCGCTTCGTCTGCTGCTCAGCATTCTTTCCTTGAAGACAGCTGTGCAAACAATACTATGGGTTGAAGAAGTCGTCACAACCATCTTCTCTAAGTCGTCATTCTTGCCCCATCTATATCTTTGCCTACTTTCAAATCTATTGAACCATTCGAGATGCCAGGACTCTCAGACACCTTCACCTACCAGAATTTTTCCTGGAACGGTGACGATCGATGGGCGAAGACCTCCAAGTTCACGCGACAAGCTCCCACCGTTGTCTCCATCCTCTGCTTCATCAGCATGATCCTGGTAGCACTGGGCTCGACCTGGCTCGTTCAAATGCACCATGTAACCTTGTTAGCCTTCCCCAATCTTCCGCATTGTGTGTGAGCTTACAGTTGAATGTTCAGTCCCAAGATCTTCCAAACCCTCTTCATTCCCGGCTTGTCGTTTTTCAATACTCTCCCAAGCCTACACGCCCACCTGCTCATCCGTCGCAACCCCCCATGTCAGCGTTCACCCTCGGCATCTGCTTCGTCATCATGATGTTGCTCTCCCCAATTCTCATGCTTGGTTCCTGCGTCAATTCGCCTTCCGCCTCAGCCTCCCTACGACAAGCAGAATGCTATGCAGGCACACCTGGGAAGGGCGGGGATTCCGGAGTTAGTCTGTCAATATGGGCTTTAATCATTCTGTTCAGTTTTCTAAGCGCAATCGGGTATGCCATCCATGCCGTGATGGCCTGGCAGGTGCGAAAAAACCTCAAGTGGAGGAAGACAGAGGGGATCACGGAAGCGCCAGATCCAGAGGAAGAAGAGAGGAGGAAGCAGAAAAGTCATGAGCTATGGGTCAAGATGACAAGTATGGAGGGGCTATAATTATGAGCTATGATTGCATGAAGATTTCTGCTTACATGCTGCGGCATGCGCTACTTGTGCTACATAGGTGCTGATCGAGGATGCATATACCGGAGGCTATAATTGCATAACGTGCGTTGTATTAAGTAGGCATTTACATCTACCCGCATCAAAGGCGGCGCATATAAAATCAAAGTCATGGCAGCTGTCAATGATCGTCAATTATTACTGCTTTTTACGAGACTCGAAGGTCGTTCGTGAAGTTGGGTCTGTGCCCTTCGTCCAACAAATTTCTGAAGGCCATGCCTGATAAAAACGCCACAGAATGGAGGCAGGGCTTGTTATGAAAAGTAATTGGATTAGCTGAAGATTATTTCAGTTCTCATAATACATATTTAATCTAGATAGCAATACATAACACGATCCTCGGACTTAAAAGCGTCGTCATATTTGTTCATGTGTTCCAAATAGCAACGTGAAACTGACAATTCCCATACGTGACATTATCGCTCGCTCGCTAAATCGTAATGAGCCTGGCTATGTGCCAAAGAATCGTTATAAAAGATGACGACAGTGTTGTAAATTCTGTCATCGAGCATTCTCTATGATCGTAAAAATATCGTCATCGTGGAAGCATATAGAATGAAAATTCGGAGCAGAATCCTAGGTGGCCGTTACAGCAGCTATGATGATCTACCATCAATCAGCGGAATTCAATGCGTGGCATATCTATGACTTACAACAATCAATATCACAACCACCCCAGTGACGCACATGATGCGATTGATTTTCCGCCACCACCTTGCATTCTCGTATCGCGCCCAATCCGTGGGGCCTAGTTGTTTTTCAAGGTCTTGGGAGATCTGTGTATCACGGACGGCGCTCTTGCCTTTGTCCGACATGAAGACAGGCTTTGGGGGCAAAGGTAGGAAAGCAGCCAGAAACCAGGCCAGGGGAAAGATAAATCCTACAGCGAACAGAATGATTTGGTTATTGCGTTTGTTCATAACGTTCCCTTCTGCCGCTTCGTCTATGCTTGGGGCTTTGAAGATGCTTCTTCGGCGGCCCAAGGACATTCGATCGTGCCATAGGTGAGGTGACCATCGCGGAGACATGCCTTGCGGCCTGCGTGTTCCGACCACGGGCATCTCGTCTGGCCTGGTTGGGTGCATATTAAGCCCGCTTATACGGCGATCGGGCCTATGATTGTTCCCTTGTGTTCTAGTCCTTGGGCGAAAGACACTGATAGAGATATTGTCTGTTGCCGTAGAATCCCTCTGACCGGACGAAGAACTTGATGACATTGGCCGTGCATAGTAAGATCTAGCCCATGCTGGGATACTATCTCGAAAAAAGCTCGCTCGGGAGCTTGGCCGCGTCACCACAGCAGACATTCGGTTTCCAGGCACAGCAGGTTCCATATTGGTAGAGTCTCTCGAACCAGGGATGGTGTATGGGATATCCAGCCTAGAGGGCGCTTCCTCCTCCACCACTCTAATTGTCGAACCCGAAAAATCTCTTGGGCGAACAGGTGGTGGGCTTACTGACCCAGAGGTAATGGCCTCATTGTCTGAGTCTGATTCCAGCCTAAGGGTATTGATAGGAGCACTTGGTGGTCGTTCGGCACTTGGCCGAGGACTGAGTAGCTTTGACGATGCTTTGCTGGCACGTGAGGAGTCAGAAAGCCAAATTCCCTGGCTGGTCCGCTCTGCTGAAACGGAGCTTCTTCCTTCGGAAGGAACCGTTGAGAGATGAGGGTTCCAGCACTGCTGGGCCCGTTCCGCCGCTCTTGGAGGTACCTGAGGTGGTCCATGTGATGACTCGGCCCACGACCCCGAAACAGAAGGGGGTTTAATTACCGGATACTGCAGTCTTGTCTGATTTGCTTGGCTAGGCGCGGTATGATTAACAGAAGCAGTCGACACCTTGCGCTCTTTTGCGAAACCCGTTGGAGAGTCTGGAGTATCTGGGGAGCCAGTAGATTTCAGAGAGCTTTGTTCCTCTGGTATTCTCGGACTTGACCTCTGAGACGAGGGTGTTGATAGGTTTGATCGAGAAGAGCTCGGACGACCAGTGTATGGGAATGCAGAATATGAAGCACGCTTTTTCCCATCTCTGGGTTTCCTTACTACGACAGTACCAGTAGTATTTGTCGAGGATAGCGAATTATCGGAATCTTTATTGGAAGGCTGACGATCTGACGATGCAGCAGATTTATGGAGGTCCGACAGTGCCTCATCCTCTGTTACCCTCCTGATCGTCGCTGCTGGGGGATTTAGGGCTAAAGCGCTTTCACTTCTTCCTGCATTAGGAGTGGCGTAAGCGGTCGACTCCCGTTTCGATGCTGTATCAACCGTAACATCTGAAAGGTGTGACTGAGTAAAGGAGCCTGTATCACTCCCGTGCCGGCTTCCTGCTAAGTTCCACTTGCTTATTTGGTCTCCCTCTTCTAGATTGGCGGCATCTGCCAAAAATGCTGGTGCGGAGAACTGCCCATTGGGCCTCAAGATCTGCGACGGCCTCGATGGATAAGGGCTTTCCTCAAAATACTTAGCCTGTGGCTCCACGAATGATCGTGGTCTGGGCGAGCCCCTCTCGTTTGCTTGCGAGTCGCTGCGTTCGTGAAGCGCTCTACGAGGAGAGCCCCTGGATTGACGAGGCGGTGAAGGCATTGTTGGGCAGGTCTGTCATTGCTTTGACTGAGGAAGGAAGAGGCTGCCCACGGGCCTTGGTTCTTCCATGTGCTTTGATTGGCAATTGGTAGGCCTAATGTGGATTAGAGTGTCCTATCGAGCAATCCTCGCACAAGATGTGTGGACTTCTTGAGGCTAAAAAAGGTAGAGAAAATTGTAAGAAAAAGGTGCAAATACAGGACAAAGGAGCGTCGTGACTGTTCCCAATGCTTATAAAAGAGTGACTGGAGATATCAAAAACAAGAAAGAAAGAGACTGTGTTTCAAGAAGAGAAGAAACGAAAAAACGAAGAAACGAAGAAACGAGATCAGGGGAATTACGGAATAGAGCTAAGCCGTGGGCTGTCTTGGACGCTAATGCAGGTACGACACCAATGGTGCCAATGGCCTTCCCAACTGCGACTCTTCGTTCAGATATTACGATTGCGAGTAAAATGAGAAGATGGGGAGAGAGCGAGGTTCTATATCAGATATCAGATGCGATGTTGCCCAGTCTGATGGACCATCACCTTCTCGTGCTGCAGGCCTTCCTTCGTCGTTTTCCCTCCAATTCCAGACCTAGCGCTGCGGGAGGGAAGGTATCGATTGGCCCTTGACAGGAATAGAGTCAAGAGAGTCTGACTTCGGGCCTGCAAGACTACGCGATCTGCCGTGGACGATGCAGAAATGGCTTGGATCAGTCTAGTGTGGAGTACTACCTTGGGTTTCACGTATGCTGGAAATCTGTAGATGCCAATCAAGCCAGGTATAACCCCTTGCTTCGGGATGGAAGCCTCCTTCGCAATCGATCGTTGTTCGCCTCCATCGCCGCCCTGAAGGCTGTAGAGAGGGAATCGGCAAATCGCGAACCGCACCTTCATGATGCCTCCGACATTGTACAACAGGCTGTCAAGCATTGTCAAGAAACAAGGTTCGTCGGCCGCGTACCCAATCCATCCCATCGCTCATCCTCCTCACAGAAGAGGTAGAAGCGCCCATGCTCTCGACCACGTTGGTCGTGGCCCTCTCCGTTGCCTATACCGCCCTTTTTGTCCTTCCGTTCTATCTCTCTCCAACCACACGGCCTTCGCCAACCCTATCTAGAGATGCGCCGAGCGTCATACGCGAGCGCATTCGATTCGTCACTGCATCAATCACGGTGTCGACATGTATTACAAGCTATATGCTATCGACGCGCAGTGATGACACTATCTCCACCATCGCTCACTCGTTGGGCCTCTATCCTATCAATCTTTTTAGCATACTCAAGACCCTCTTCTTGACCGCCCTTTTGTTCGCCGGTCCACTCTTCGAAAAGGGTGTTGCTGAAGGCGGCCATCGCGAATGGCTCAACGGACGACTCTTGCAAGAGACCCTGAGTAGCTGGATTGGGTGGCGGAATTATATCGCAGGACCATTTACAGAAGAGCTTCTATTTCGCTCTAACATTGTCTCCCTGCACACCCATGCGAGACCCCTTCTACCAGCCGCCACTCTCACATTCGCAACCCCTCTGTACTTCGGGATCGCCCATGTTCATCATTTCTATGAATACAAACTCACACATCCGTACACCCCTTGGCTACCCGCATTACTCAGATCCGTCATACAATTTGGATATACGACAGTATTCGGTTGGTACGCTACCTTTATATTTCTAAGGACCGGTAGCTTGTGGGCTGTTGTACTCATCCATGCTCAGTGCAATTGGATGGGTCTACCTAGAATATGGGGTCGCGTTGGCGGACTTGAGGTTCAAGGTGGCGTAGTGGGAGGGCCAACAAGAGGTAAAGAGGATAGTGGCACGAATCAAAATGCCGAGGAGGAGCGACTGGGATTTGTCTGGACGGTGATGTATTATAGCATTCTTGTTGTGGGTGCTTTTGCGTGGTGGCAATGCTTATGGATTCTGACCGAGAGCGACACCGCACTGGCTGACATCAAGCCGCCATTACCGCAAGCCCGATAACGAACCCGTTGCATCTCAGCTGTTGCCGTCTTGCTCTCTTCAGGGCAGCCGTCCATTTGTACTGGTACGAAACAGACGCTTGACGTCCTTGCCGGCAATTATTCGCAGACCTGCCAAGTCCTAGTATCTTAAGGCGGAACGAACAGTTCAGGCTTCATGTTGATCTTACAAAGTCTTGCCACGACACCACTCAGCTGAACCAATGTCTGCACGCCTTCTAGGATCCTCATGTGGCAGAACCCGATTTCTCTTATGAACTCCAGTCGGGCATGCTCGCTCAATCCTGGCATTGTTTTTGTGACACGGAACATGGTGGATATGATATCATGGCAGCTGTAGCCAAGAGTCCACAGCTCTTGTAGTCCTTCAACGGCTTGCTCGATCTTCGTCTCCCAGCAAGCTTTTAACATTGCCTGCACTTTGACCGGGTGGGGTGAGTCAACAACACGGAACACATTCTCCCCGCTAAGGAAGCCGAAACCTGCCCAGGTGCTTTGCAAATTGTTGATTGCCTGACGCATATCGCCTTCTGCTGAGAATACAAGCGCTGCGAGCCCATCATCTGCATATTCGACCTTCTCCGCCTCACAGATCTGCAAGAGCCGCTGCACTACTTGAGCGTCTGTCAACCTGCCGTATCTCAAGATCGCGCATCTGCTCTGTAGGGGCTCAATTATTTTATTAGAGGCATTGCAGGCAAAAGCGAAACGTGTGGTTGACGAGTAGATCTCCATTGTTCTTCGCAGGGCTTGCTGTGCACCCGAAGTCATACTGTCAGCTTCATCGAGGATGACGAGCTTGTGTCTGCCTTGAGGAAGGGTGACTTTCTTCTGAGCGAAGCCTTTGATGCGATTGCGGACGACGTCGATACCGCGCTCGTCGCTGGCATTCAGTTCGAGGACCGCTTCTTTGTAGGCGTCGCCCAATAGCTGGCGCGCAAGGCACAATATTGAGGTGGTTTTCCCGATTCCAGGCATGCCAGAGATGATGATATGGGGGAGGTTGCCATCCTTTGCGATTATTTTGAGTCGCTCAATTGTCTCGATGTTGCCGACTACGTCGTCGAGATAGACCGGTCTGTATTTCTCGACCCTGTTTCAAGGTTAAGACGCGTCGAAGGAAATAGAGTGGATGTGATGGGACCTCTATACCAGGGTAGATCGGGGGTAGCTGCATTGGCATGTGACTTAATGCCATTGGTAGCAGCTGCCTTGGAAGACTCGGCTTTAGCCATTGTTTCGCAGGTCTTTCCCGCCAGTGAGTGAAGATGTAGTGATCACCATCGATAGCAGGAAGCCGCACAAGACGCGCTAAATGTAATGAGCCTAGTCCTATTCCGTAGCTAGGGCTTAGCTCAATCCACCCACCTTATGTCTAGCTCTTCGCAAACCGTCGATCAGCCTGCACACGACAGAGGGTGGCGACAACAGCAACATAGCTCGCACAAGCTTCTTAGTGGGGTGCATACGTGGAGCTTGCTTGATGAGCTCACAGCTCGCCAGACTAGATCGCATTCTGTTCGCCAGGCCACCTTCCTTTTCCGTCCAGTGTGCTCAATATTCTGGGTCAAGACCGGTCATTTGTCCCGGCATAGCCACAGCCTACAAGGCACTAGGATCTGAAAGGTTTCGGGTCGGCTTGTAATCGTCCTTTCCATTCTCCACCTCTAAACGCATGAAGCACCCGCCTGGCACAAACACCCATGAAACATTTTGAGCACAGTTTGTCTACCAACCGAATGAGCTTCAACATTCAAAAACAAGAGTGGCGCATCAGCAGCGTCTGTACCCTGATTTGTGTCACCAAATTCCATCGAAAGCGCTGTATTTCAGACGCTTTTCCTGCATCCTATCTTCGGCAGTATCCTTGCCGAAGAGTACGTCAGCTCAATGGACACTGACATACAATCATCAGAGCTTGGCCCTCTCGCCACCCAGCACCGCTTTCTGCCTATGCCCTATTGTGGAGTGGGTCCTTCCTTACATTTCCCCCTCCCGTCCTCTCCTTCGGCCTCTAGAAAGTGTAAGGATTGATATTATCTGTTCGCCTCACTGCCGCGTCACCCTTCTTGACATGCTGAGTTGAACAAGAAGTCCCATTTCCTATGTCAATGTCCGTAATTCCCTTTCTCCTCAACCTCATCGCCTTCTGCACTACCTGTAATCTCATCATTACAAGACATGTCCCATTCCTTCAGGACCGCCCTGGTGGCGGCTTTAATGGTATTTGAATGCGCTGCTCTGAATTTCATCCCTTCTCGTGATGTGCCACCCGCCGTCTTTGGCTTGAAAATTGAAAGATCAGGACCAAGACACCTCAATGCTCTCCGACGAAGAGACTCTGTGACCGTTGGTCTGGACAATCAAGTGAGCGTAACGTCTGTCCGGCGCTTGAAGGAGGTGCTGACTACTACTTCCCTTCAGATCAACTCATACTCTGCCAATCTTAGCTTAGGGACTCAGGAGCTGCGCGTCAGGATAGACACCGGCAGCAGCGATTTGTGGGTGAACACAAAATCTTCTCGAGTGTGTTCGCTCGGATCAGACCCCTGCTCCGAGTCAGGCACATACAATGCAAACTCCTCCAGCTCTTACAAATTTCTTTCCGACGACTTCAACGTAACTTATGCCGACGGGTCCGCAGCTCTTGGAGACTACGCAACGGACACTCTGAGTATTGGTGATAAGAACTTAGACGAATTTCAGTTCGGCATTGGCTACCAGTCTAGCACAACATCAGGAATTCTTGGTTTAGGATACACCGCGAATGAAGCTCAGGTCAATCGCAACAACAAAAAGCCGTATCCGAACCTGCCACAGGCTTTAGTTGACGCCAAGCTCATAAATTCAAATGCCTACTCTTTATGGCTTGATGATCTCCAATCTAGCACTGGGTCGATCCTGTTCGGTGGTGTAGACACCGATAAGTATACGGGTAAGTCAACCACAATTTTCTCTTATTCATTCAGTTTGTTTCATAGTCTGAGCCCGTTGCCTCGAGTTCGGGTCCTGCCGTTGATATCATTTGAGACCTCTTGGACGGCCAGAGAGGACGACATCACAAAGTACAGTGAACATAAAGAAGCAAGACTGATTCTGGTGTCTCTTCAGGATCGTTGCAGACGTTGCCTATTCAAAAGGTACAAGGAGAATTTGCGGAGCTACTCCTTTCTATTAGCGGCCTGAGCATCTCCCAAAGTGGCAACAATCAGAGTACCACTTCCGATCTTCCAACTGCCGCAATATTAGATAGTGGGAGTACTATGACTTATCTACCGGACGACCTAACGAGCGAAATCTACAACGCGTTAAACGTCCAATTCAGTCAACGCCAAGGCAGCGGCTTTTGTAGCTGTGACCTTGCAAATGAAAACATTACAGTCGGTTTCACCTTCACGTCACCGACAATTTCGGTGCCTATCAGCGAATTGGTGATCAATCCCAACGAGGACATATCACAAGACCGTCTCGAGCTCGAAAAACGCCAGGGATTATCCAACCAGGACTCGCTTTGTATCTTTGGTATTGCACCCACAGGGGGGATATAGCTGTGCTTGGTGATACCTTTCTGCGGTCGGCTTATGTGGTCTATGACTTGGCGAACAACGAAATCTCGCTGGCGCAAACTAATTTCAATTCAACTCAAAACAATGTCAGGGAAATCGGTACAGGCTCTAGTAGTGTTCCTGACGCATCAGCTGTGCAAGATCCAATCGAGGCGACCGCGTCTCGTACAGGAGGTGCTAGAATTGGCAACCCAACAAGTACAAGCACCTCTGGGGCGGGGAGTGACTCAGAATCTGGAGCCAGTGGAAACTCTTCTTTGTTCTCACTACATTTAGCTGTCACTGGATTACTGGGAGGTGTCGCGCTTTTCTTCAGTATATAATTTATAGATATTACTAAGGACGAGTCCACGAGGCATGAAGCGTATTGCACAGGGGCGCGGCAGCTATCATTTTAAATTTCATTCGTGTATATAATTTGGCATCATAATTAAGAAGTCAACTTGTTCTAATATTTCTCTCAAACCGCCCTTAGAGCCTGACAGCACAAATCAGATGTTGTTGCCCGTGCTATAGTGGACAACACTCTTAGCGTCAAATCACCTACCTGTTGGCCTCATCTTCCTTCTCTAGTCATTATTCTTCGCCTCAATGACCATTATTCTATGCAATGACGTCTAAAACTAAGAAGATTCAAAAGACTATAGAGCGGCAGCAAGAGCGGTACGTATCTTGCTTCTCGCAAATTGAAAGCCTCAATCTCTTCTCTCACTTCCCCTTGAGACTTAAATCTAAGAAGCGTTGCTTAGCTCTTACTGACCCACCAAATTTCTAGAATAGCAGCCGGAGACTACTATGAAGCGCACCAGCAACTCAGAACCATCTCAGCTCGCTATGTGAAAAGTCAGGATTGGGATAGCGCTCTCGATGTTTTACACGGTGGAGCATTAGCACTTCTCAAGGCTGGGCAGGGTGGAAGTGGCGGCGATTTAACGAGAGCGCTCGTCGATGTGCTAGAAAAGAGTGAGAAGACCGCGGATAGCACGAACAAAGGTCGGGCTCAAACCTGTGGATGTACACCCGATTGTGAGCTGATGGAGTTGGGATCAAACAGAAAAGCTGTTGTCATTGCTACGGGCATTTCCGCCAAACGAGCCTACGAAAAAGCAATTCGTGACGGAGATGATACAATGGAGTGCAAAGGTTGGAGAGTATCCAGCAGGGGACCCAGAGCTACATCACGTTGCTGGTCTGTTGTATGCTGAAGGTATGTCTCATCTACCACAGTGACACGGTGATTGACAGTAATACAGAAGCGGAGCCATATGATGCGGAACGACATCTTGCCCTCGGCACTAGAGACTCCCCTGAAGTCCTCGCTCGCGTCGAATATGACTGGTACACACAAGACGACTCTCACACAGCCGCCCTTTACTGTGCGCGTTGCATCTTTCCCTATCTCCTGACTAGCAACCTTCGCTCTGCAAACAAAGCATACCTCATCTTTACATCCCGCCTCTCCTCCTCAAATAAAGCACTCATGGTGCAAGAAGTTTCAAGCACATCCTCCGACATGCGAGTCTACCCCTCCTTACCCCTCCTGAACTTTCTAGGCTTGCTACTCCTCGCAGTCCAGCGAGGAAGCGCCGATCTTTTCAAGCAACTAGCAAAACACTATACGTCATATGTGAAGGAAGTGGCAGGTTGGAATGACGCGCTTGCACAAATTGGCGAGATGTATTTTGGGATCAAGATCCCGAGGCAGGGCAATCCATTATTTGATATGATGGGGAGCATGATGGGTTTTGGAGGCAGTTCGAAACCACAGGCAAAGAAGCGGGAACCTGTACAGCTGCCCCCAACTGAAGGGTTGGATTGACATCTCGGCTTCACCGGAGGTCGTCTTGAAGGTGGTGTTTTGTTTAGGCTGTAGACGAGTCGGAAATATGTTCGGAGATGCATATGGTGTGTCAGCCTTGATTCATCCGTCTTGTGACGGCTGCTCTGCTTCGAATATCCAATTGTCATCATCTAGCGAGGCTACTTTGCGTTTGAGGGTAGCTTGCACTGCTGCAAGAAGTTCTATAGATATCAAGTGTCAGTTTTGCTGGCATAGATCCAAATATCAGCCAGTACCTACCGGTTGGATCTCCAGGCTGCAAGCTTCGATCTTTGTATAGCTCTAACATCTTCGCTTCGAGCTCTGTTCGTGCTCAGCTTGCGACCGTTCTAAGCAAGACATTTAAACTCACTGTCCCTCTCGTTGCCCAGCTCCTCTTCTTGGGCTTGTTCATCTTCTAGGGGAGGCAACTTAAGGACACGAAGGCGAAAATTGCCGTCGCTATCCTTTGCGACGATATCATCGGCATCGTCTCGCTTTGTGTTTAAAATTGTGGTCGACGATGTGGACGCAGTCGACGCGTTAGTTGGACGTCTGCTGAGATGATGATGAAAAAGCTTGCGACTGACGCCGGCTGAATTGGTACGTGAAGGAGGGGCTTTGGATGCCATGTTGCCATGACTGGTTGTCAAAGGCTCTGAAGTCTGTTTTGTTGCAACTATGCGATACGGAGCGGAATAACCATTGTCCGGGGCAACTCATGAATCTTCATATATTAAAGGAATAACTATTAACTAACAACAACCAGTTTATATATATATAGCTTAATATACCTTATAGATATATAGCTAATTAATTTTTAGTAGTTATTATTAAATTTTATATCTATATAATAGCAATTTATTTTAATAATAAATTAATAATAAAATATACTAGCTATTTATTACTAAGGCCTAGATTATATAATTATAATATTCTTTTTTAAAACTATTCCTTAAATAATAGGTAAAAAGTTTAATTTTAATTATAAATACTTAAAGTAGTTTTTATTTAATAGCTTAATATATATATCTATAAGCTAGTCCTTTATATTAATATACTCTACCTTTAAAAAGCCTTCCTATATATATTTATAAATATAATAATACTAGACAGTAATATACTTTATTTTTTAGTAGAATTTAAAGTTTTTAATAAAAGTAATATTCTTAGAATTATTATTTTTTAATAAAATAGGATATTTTTTATTTAAAATTAATTCTATTAAACTATTATAAAGCTTATATATTAAATTTATTTCTTTTATAAAGTATTATATATTTAGCTTTAATTATTAATATAGCTATTATATATTATTTTTAAATATACTATATATATAATATACTATAATAAGTTATTATATAGCTATAAGTTAATTATTTATCTATATAATTATTTATATATAAAGTATTTATATAATAAGTAGTAATAGAGTTTTATAATAAAAATATAATTACTAAATTAGGAACTTTTTTTAAATATTTAAAAACTTTTATTAATAAGTTTATATATTATACTATAAGATTATAATAGAACTAACTAAGCTTTAATATTACTAAAGTAATATTTAAATATATTATATTACTAGCGTATATTAGCTTTCCTATTAAATATTAATACTTATATTAATTATATTGCTTTTTATTTAACTAAGCTTATATAATACCTTTATAACTATTTATAAAAATATTTATAAATTAAGCGATAGTAAGACTATATTACTTAATTAGTCTTTTAATATAGGAAGTTTAATCTATTATAATATAATTATTATAATATATTATCTATAATTTTAAGACTTTTATTAATAGTTTAGAATCTATAATTTTAAAATAATATTCTAGAAACTTTTTAATTTTAATATAAATTAATTTCTATTTATAAATAATAATAATATTATTAATACAAAGTATAATTAAATATATTTATCTATTATCTATTGTCTTTTTAAAGATATAGCTATTTATAAATATAAGTAAAAATTTAAATTTACTTATAACTTTATAAAATTTAATTACTTAGATTTAAACTAATTACTTTAGTTTATATAAGCTTTTTTAAGCTTTAAAACTTTTCTTTTTAATCGCTTATTATTTAGTATACCTTCTAATAAAAGTATAAAAATCTTAGCATTAAAGTTATTATTTAAGTAAGCTATTATAATATTAATAAAGAATTTTTATAACTTATATTTTACTATTAAACTAATAAGTAAGTAAAGAGATTTAAATCTAAGTATTAGTATAAATATTTTATTATAATTAATCCCTTCTTTTTAAGTAAATCTATAAGCTACTAGTCTAGTTTTATATTTATTTATTATACTAAATAATAGGAATTTTTTTTTAAAATTTATTTATAATTTATAAGTTTTTAGCTAGCTAGTTTATTAATAATCTCCTAAATATTATTTAATATAAAAAAGTTAAGCTTATTCTAAATAGCTTTATTCTAGTAAAATAAGTTTATAGAGTTAATTACTTGCTTATAAATAATTAAGTCCTTTTCTATAAAAACTAAAAGTATTATATTAAATTACTATTTTCTAAATATATTATTAAAAATATAAAAATTATAGGTTCCCCTATTATATATAGAATAATAAAATTACTATTTACTATAATTACTACTAATATTAAAATTAATATTAATATTAATATTTATTTTTTTATTAATATTATTTTTAGTTTAACTTTCTAATATAAGAATAAATATTAATAGTAGAAAGTTAATTTAGTTTTACTTTATATACTTATATAAATTAGACTTAAATATACTTACAGAATTACTTTTTTTTCTAATAATCCTTTAATTTAAAAAGATTAAAAAAATTATAAAAAAATTATTTTTATTCTTTTTCTAAAGAAGAGACTATTTATATATAGCGTTATTATTAGCAATAATTTATATATATTTTAATATTATTAATTTATTTATAATAATAATAAAAATAATATTATTATTACTATTTTTAATATTTAAATTAACTTTACTTATTTATTAAAAAGTAAATAATATAATAAAAGCTAAAAAATATATTATAGATACTTTTTCTTTTATATAGTAATAATTTTTATTATTAATAAAGACTAATAGTTCTATAATACTTATTAGCACTTTACTAATCTCTACTAGTAAGTATATTATATACTTAGTATTAAAAACTTTTATTTTAATAAATATAATTATTTATTATTTATATAATAAATAAACTTTAGCTTAAATAATAAAAACTACTCTAAAATATATATTATCTTTAGCTAGGCTATTAAGCTTAAATTACCTTTTTTTTAATATACTATATTTATATAATATTCTAAATATATATTTAGACTTAATTAATAGTTTCTAACTTATTTAGCTATATATAAAATAAAGTTTTTCTATTAATAGAATATAATTTCTAAGGTAATTTATATAATTTATTATATAAAGCTAAAATCTATCTAGTAAACTAGTATATTATATTATATATTTTATTATTATTATAATTATTCTATTAAACTATTTAGCAATACTATTTTACTTAGATATATAGTCTATAATATATTTTATTTATATACTTTACTATTTAAAACTTTTAATAATAATAAAAATTCTTTTATATTATTAAAATATATAAATTATATAATAATTTTTTAGCTATTATATTTTTAGTAATTATAATAATTTACTATTTTTATAATAAGCTTTTATACATATTTCCTATTTATTATTAGAAATAGTTTTATATAGCTATATACTTTATTAATAATAAATATAAAATATAGTTTTACCTTAATCCTAGGAATTACTATTTATACTTTATATAGTTTTTAAATATTATAAAATAAATATACTTCTACTTTTATTTACTTTTTATATTTATATTTTCTTATATATTTTATATATTTATTATTTTTATATATATTATAGAAAAAGTCCTTAAGGATTTTAAGTTTTTATAGGCTATATATTATATTATATAACTTTTTTATATATATAATACTAGGATATTTAAGTTAGTTATATAGTTATTTAAACTTATTTTTTTTAACTACAATAGCGTTATTTTTAATCGATTTTATATTATTAACTACTTTTAGATTTTTAATATTTTCTATATTTTTAGAATTTCTTTTAAAACTAAAGTAGCTTATATTAATATATTAGCTAGTAAGTATAAATTATTTACTTTATACCCTACTATAATTAATATATTTTTCTATATAATCTCTACTACTTTTTACTAGAATTATATTAAAAATCTAAAATATTTTAAAGCTAAAATTAATAATAAGTTATATTTTAACTTAGGTATATATAAAATATTTTTAATAATATATTTTTTACTATTTACTATTATTTTAATTTTTTTTAACTAGGTAATATTAGTATTTATTTACCGTTAATTCAAATAGTGGCTAAGACTTTATTATATATAATAAAGTTAATTCTTAAGGTTATTATATATTTAAATACTCCTAAATTAATTATTTATTTTATAGATAAAATTAAACTAATAAATATAAATTTATTTTTAATTTCTATAGCTAAAATATAATTAATTTACTATAATTCTATATTAAGTTTTATATAACTTAATATTAATTTATAATCTTTTTTCTTATAATTAAAGTAATTAATATTTATATATTTTAGTAATAAAAGTATTTAATTATAACTTAAAGCTTACTCTTTAGCAACTTTAGTATTTTCTATAGAAGATTTATTATTATTAGTATTATTAGCTATAGCTATATATAACTTTTTTAGTATTAATTTTTTAAGTTTTTTTTATTACTTTTTTTATTTAGTTTTTTCTAGTTACTAGTTTAAATATTTTTTTATTTATTAGTAGGTTTATTATATTCCCGCTAAGTATTTAAAATATTATTTAAATTATTATTATAATTATAATTATATATTATATATAGTTTATTATATTACTAATATTTAATATTCTTTTTAAGCTTATAATTTAATTTTTTTTATTTAATATAAGTAATATTATATTTATAAGTTATAGTATTTACTTCTATAGCTTTAAATTATTAAATAATTATTTTTATATTAAGCTTATAGGAAATATAAAAGTAATAGATTACTATTTTATAATTCTTATTATATTTAAATATTTTAATAATAGTGATTTTAATTATAGTAGTACTTTATTTATTTTTTAAGCTAGTTTCTTTAATTTAGTTATTTAATTATCTAATTTTAAATACTCCTATATTTATAGATTCCTTAGGTTTAGCTTTTATTACTAGTATTTATTATATTAATAAGATAAATCTAGTTATTGCTAATAAATTATAGACTTTATATTATATATATTAGATTATTTTTAGTAAAGCGTTAATAAGGAGATATAATTTCTATAAAAACTTTATAGTATTTTTAGGAATAACTTTATAAAAGTATTATATTTTTTTTAATTAATATACTCGATATTAAATACTAGCTTTTATATATATTTAAGTATATAGTTTTATAATTATTTAAATATTAAAAAGTCTTTTATTTCTATTAATTACTTTAATTAATTAATAGCATTTAGTTTTATTATTTTATAAAGTACTTTATTTATTATATCTTTATTAAAAACTTTAAAATTAAGAGTATCTATAGATTACTTTTAAGCTTACTATTTAAAAACTAAATTAATAGCAGATAAAAGATCCTTTAATAAGTTTATATAAATAACTATACTAAAGCTTATCTACTTTCATTATTATATAGTATAGATATTATTATCTATAGCGATATTTTTATAGTTACTAGATATAGTTAGTAAAATAAAGAAAGTAAAGCTAGCTTATCTAAGCTTATAATTTATTATAACTATATAATATAAAGCGAAATAACTATTGTTTAAAATAACTTATAAATTTTTATATATTAAAAGAATAACTATTAACTAATAATAACTAATTTATATATATATAGCTTAATATACTTTATAGATATATAGCTAACTAATCTTTAGTAATTATTACTAAGCTTTATATCCGTATAATAGCGATTTGCTTTAGTGGCAAACTAGTGGCAAAGTACGCTAGCTGCTTATTGCCGAGGCCCAGATTGCACGATCGCAACATGTTTACCTAGGAATTTCACAAGCAAGCCATTCTCAATATTACGCGCTTATGACGATAAATACTGAAAGGCTGGAAAGGTGACTGCCATCACAAATACGTAATTGTTGAAAGGGCGGGCTCCCAGTCAACTCTTCTCACTTAATCTATAAGGAGCTCTCATCCATTTCCACTGACAACGTTTCGTCTTCGCAGGATTCCGATGCTTTGATGAAAAGAATGAAAGACGGAAGACAGGTTCCTAAGAAGTAGTTGATTACCATTGAGTATGAATCAATTTCAAATTCATCCTTTGAAAAGATTTGCTCCTGAAAGTGGTCTGAGTGCTGCAATTCGAAGGCCAAAGGTGTTGTATTTCATGTAGGGAAAATGGTAGATCTAATATTTTCCTCAGGAAATTGCATACTTCTCTTACGACGATGAGCACCATTTCCACCTTGACGACAGATCTCTCCGTCATTACTATACGCCTAGGATAGGGGCCAACCTATCTCAAGGCTTCGAAACTTTTCGGCAACTTGATGATAGTCAAGATGACCATCTCGATAGTTTACTTCACACTATTGCCGATCTCGAAGCGAAGACTGGCTCGCAATGTGCCGCAGATATCATCACTTGGAGAGGGATGATGACAAAGGTGAATCTCCATGCAAACTGAATAGCCGCAGCTGACGGAATATTGTAGATAATGGCAACGCCGTATGACAATCTGAGCGGGTAGATTGAACGTCATCCCCAATTCGGTTTCAGTCTTCTGATGATTGTCAGCTTTGAGATGAATGCGACTAGGTTTCAGGTAGGATAATCCGAAGCATATTCATCATTTTCAGATGATTGACCGTTTAACCATCCTCAAGGAAACAATGTAGAGTTCCCTTTACGAAGAACTGACTTGCCTTCGCATTGAACTTATCTTCTTAGATATATTGAAGAGAATCACGCACACAAACTCGAGTCTCGGATGGCACAACATATGCAACCAAGCCGACCAGGTGCCCCGTCCCAGGACCTGATGAGTTTTTGGGGTGAGTCATCGAAGACAGCAATGGACAAATTGTACTGAATTTTGAAGGCTACAAATTCGAAACTCTTTCACTCTTACCTGATCGGTGGGATCCAACGTCACGGGATTTCATCGAGAATCGCGAGAACTTAATCGTGAACAACTGTGCTCAATATTGCTCAATAGTCAAGACCGGCATCGGCAAGACGAAATTGATCCTTGGTGGTGAAGTTGACGCTCGTAAGTCTGCAGAGTCGTGCCTGAGAAACTCAACATGGCTACTAAAATACTGTAGTCTGGGATTGTAGACCTGTAACCCCAGAAGCACCAGTCAATTGGGTAGAGTTGAAGACCACAGCCGAAATCAAGATGCCCAAGGATAGAACCAAATTTCAACGCAAACTCCTCAAATTCTGGATACAGTCATTTCTTCTCGGTGTTCCAAAAATAATCGTTGGCTTTCGAAACGAGCTTGGCACATTGCAGCGTCTGCAAGAATTTCAGACCCAGGACATACCTGGAATGGTGAAGGAGACAGGCGGTTGGGATGGATTTGTTTGCATCAATTTTACGGCAGCATTCCTTGAATGTATGTACGAGCTTTTCACCCAAAAGATTGTCTGTCATCATAGACTTACTCTTCCTCAGGGTTGAAAGAAGTAGTTTCGAGCGATGGGATTTGGCGCATCCGGAGACAGGAACGGTCGCAGGTAATCGAGGTATTCAAGTTAGAAGAGTCTGGGAACGGGGACATCTTGTCACGGCATTTCGTTGACTGGAGGACGAAGGCGCAGGATATCAAATCCGCAAAGGCAAGTCTATTGGCTGCCACCAACACTGGTTAATCCGCACTGCGAAAAAATCTCAGCCATCGTGGAGGTGAAGTGGTTTTTGATTCCGGCAGGACACCCAGTTCTATGGATCACCGACTTTAAGGAATTGGCTATGATGGCTATTTCTTGGTTGCGTTGCTTTTCGATGGCCTCTACCCTTCAGATGTTGAGTCCATTCAGCCTCACACATCAAGGTTTTGTCGCAAGCTTCGCAGTACTGCGCCAACATCGCTGGCTTCTCCTCTACCACGAGAGATTCCCGCGCGAGTTGAGACAACGAATCTGGCATTGGTAGACGGCGACCATCAAGAAACTTTCGCAAGATGTCAATAGCTAGTGCCTCCACCGTTGATGACCAGGTTGAAGGATCGGAGGCGTCGAGCAAGAACAGAAATCCATCCTTTCGCACTTGTCTCAAGGCTGGGAGCATTCTCAGCCGCATCCATCGGGACTGCCGCTTAGCATACTGCCTCGTCGATAACTTTATACGCTCAACACACTGTACTTTATCGGTAGTTGAAGGTTTTGGATGTGAAAGGAAGGGTAGCAATTCCTTGTAACCAATAGCGATCCAGATACCACGTCCTTGATCAACTGTGAGTCCTTGGGTGCGACTTTCCTGTGAAAACTCATGCATGGACTTTACTTCCTCGACAAGTCCCCTTGATATCATCTCATCCACACGTCTATCGAGTCTAGGATGCAATTCTCTAGCAGACGCATGAGTCCAAAAAACCAGATGATCGTCCAATACAGATGATTCAAAATGCTCCGCTGGTGGAAAAGAATCATCCTGCGAAGTCGTTTTGAGCTGTTCCTGGTATACATGAGATGCCGGCTTCCCAGTCTGTAACCAAATTTCGAGGCTACGGCGGATCTTACGGCGGTCTTTTGGATGCCACCGATCAGCCATGGCAGGATCTACGCGACGAAGCTCATCGATCATCTTTTGCGTTGGAGCCTCCAATATAGGCCACCTAGCGGCCTGTTCCTGGGGGTGAGAAATCGCGACTGGCTGTCTTCAACAACTGCATTTGGAACCAAAAGAGACTGAACGTAATATTGCGTCCCACCAACAACAATTGGGAGCTTGCCTTTCAATCTGATGGCTTCGATTGCATCCTGCGCTTTCTTCAAGAACTGCTTTACCGTCCACGGCTCCTCTTCTAATCCAATGCTTCCCAGAAGATGATGTGGAATGCCTTCCTGCTCACTTTCTGATATCTTATTTGTCGTGATCGGTAGACCTTTGTAAATTTGTAGTGCATCGCCGTTGATGATTTCACCGTTGTAATGCCTGGCAAGCGAGACGGCAAGCTATCATGATCAGCCTAATTATAATAAGGACACGGGAGGACATACTTGAGACTTGCCAGACCCAGTGGGACCGACAATCACAACCAGCGGCCGCATCGGTCTCGATGCTGACATTGTCAGCCATTTGCCAAGCTGCCGTAGCATACAGTGTAACACCACCTTTGTGATACACCATGAGGCAGTGAATCGACCATAGCACCCTCGACCGTTGAACGGGACGGCCCTCGAGTGACAGCAACGGCTTTTCTTGGCGACCAATGGCTTGGCGACAAATCGAAGCCGAACCTGCGATGCTCTCTGAATCATGTTTGTCATCTTTGACCTGGCGCTCAATGTTGCAGAATCTTTCGAGGTTCTCAAGCTTCGTCTTATGGGGCCATGGCCCTTGCGTACGGTCATTTGCACATCAACAAAGTAGGCTATTCGCCACCGTTAACGAAACATTAAGGTGAGCTATTCCAGCTGGCCTTTTACACATCTTGAGAGCTAATTTACTAGGACCTATGATGTGGTGGTCATTGGAGGTGGTCATGCGGGGACCGAGGCATCAGCAGCATCTGCCCGTTCTGGAGCACGCACCGCAATAGTCACGCCTTCAGTTTCTGACCTTGGCGTATGCTCGTGTAACCCCTCGTTTGGTGGCATTGGCAAGGGGACGATGATACGAGAAATTGATGCATTGGATGGGATTTGTGGTCGTATCATTGACAAAGCCGGTGTGATGTTTCGTGTCCTGAATCGCAAGAAGGGTCCTGCGGTTTGGGGTCCTCGAGCTCAGATTGACAGGGACTTATACAAGAAAGAAATGAGAGCAGAGCTTCAGTCCACGCCGGGACTTGGGCTCATTGAAGGCAAGGTCGCTGACATTGTTTTGAAACCAGATGTCGAGGGGCATAGAATCAAGATCGCAGGGGTTAAGCTTGAGTCAGGAGAAGTACTGGATTGTGAGAAAGTCGTGATTACGACAGGCACATTCCTTGGCGGCGAGATACATATCGGCCTGGAAGTCTATCCTAGCGGGAGAATTGGTGAAGCAGCCACCTTTGGACTCAGCAAGTCCCTTAAAGATGCTGGCTTTCAACTTGGCAGGCTGAAGACCGGCACGCCTCCGCGCCTTGACAAGCATACCATTGACTTTTCGCAACTGGAGGTCCAACCGGGCGATCATCCTCCAATGCCCTTCTCATATCTCAACGAGACTGTGGCAGTGCAAGAACAGCTTCCCTGCTATGGAACTAACACGAACTCTGCTACCCACGAGATCATCCAAGCGAACCTAGACAAGACTATACATATTAGAGAGACCGTGAGGGGACCGCGATACTGTCCATCCATCGAATCCAAGATCCTACGTTTCGGACATAGAGAGAGCCATAAAGTGTGGCTGGAGCCGGAAGGCTTTGACAGCGATGTAATCTATCCGAACGGCATTTCCATGACAGTACCTGCAGAGGCCCAGGAGAAAATGTTACGTACGATTAAGGGACTGGAGAAAGTCAAGATGCTGCAGCCAGGATACGGAGTTGAATACGATTACGTGGATCCTCGCAATCTGCGTTCTACTTTGGAAACCAAACGCATAGCCGGCTTGTACCTGGCGGGCCAGATTAACGGGACCACTGGGTACGAGGAAGCTGCCGCGCAAGGCATTGTCGCAGGCATCAACGCAGGCCTTGCAGCACAAAGCAAAGATCCGCTAGTAATCGGCAGGGGTGATGGCTACATTGGGATTTTGATCGACGATCTTATTACTAAAGGAGTGACCGAGCCGTACCGCATGTTCACATCCCGCAGTGAATACCGTATGAGTTCCCGCGCGGACAATGCGGACCTGCGTCTGACAGCTAAGGGCAGAAGCGTGGGTGTGGTGGGTGAGAAACGGTGGGACAGCCATAAGATCTTGACATCGGAGATGCACAATTTAGAACAGCTCCTTCAAAACATGCGAATGAGCTCTTCTACGTGGGTTTCCAAGGGTTTCCAAATTCACGCTAATCCGACCACCAAAACTGCTTATGAGCTCCTACAGCATGTGGGCGTCTCTATGGATACCCTTGACATTTTGATACCTCAGATTGCTTCGTATTCACCCATGGTTCGGACTCGTGTGATGATCGGAAGCACATATGCTCCGTACGTGGAAAAACAGAGGATCTCAATCAACAACCTACAACGCGACGAACAACTAAAATTGCCGGAAGACCTCAATTATAATAACGTCTCTGGGCTCAGTATGGATGAGCTGCAAGCGCTCGAGATTGCACGACCTGAAAACATCGGGATGGCCGGGCGAGTTGAAGGTGTCACGCCAGCTGGCACTCTGAGGCTGTTGGCCTTTGTAAAAGGAGCAAAGGACCAAGAGCGACGTGGCGCAGTCTGGGAAGGAATTCAATCGCGCAAAGAGCGATATGCAAAGCTCTGACCTGAGCTCTGTCATCCAGCACCTCATTTCATCTTTCTTCAAAAGCTGACATAGCTTTTGTGCACCAAGGTCACCAATATGTCGCTCAGAATATACTGTGAGACACATAAAAGCCATGCGCTGCCGCCGTGATGGCCATTCAGACACGACCACGTGCCGATCGAGACGCCCAGACCATGCTCTAACAGCTGCGCAAGTAAGAGCCTCAGAGCTTCAGGTCGCCAAAACTGCGTGTCCAAGCGCAAGCCTCTCCTGCCTCAACTCGCGAGTAGGTCGAGGTATCACACAACGGTCCTCACGCCAGCAGTCCGAGGTATGGAGGCAATGACGTACGGCGTATCCTGTCCTGAAATCTGCACGGTCGCGTCCGTGTGATGGCGTTGCACCAAGATGCCCCTCGAAGCTTGCAGTCGCAGTCAAATAAGGGGGTTCAGAGCCACGACGTTGTACTGTCTCACATCCCCAGGTTCAGAAAGCGGACCTAAGGCACCCGAACGTTTGTGTGGGGAAAAGCTTTATCCAACGTCTATACTTTATATTCTCTCAGTCAGGGCCAATCTAACGCTGTCAATGTGTGCTCTAACCCTTTCTGGGCGGTGGTAGGAGCCCGTCCCGCGGCGTCGCCCCTTTCCCTAGGGACTCATGCACCCCGCAGTCGGCTATCGCATCCGACCCCAGATTACCCTAGAGCACCCTAGAGCCCCCTGGACCACCCTAGCCTAAGTTGCCCGCCCCAGTCTCTGTAGGGCCAAGCTCCCGCGGCAATGCTCAGCCGGCCCTCTAAGAAAAGTTTCTGGAGTTTCTGTTGGCAAAGCGCTTTCTCTCGCTCCTCCCAGAAGCTCCTTCTCTTATGTAACGCGGTAACACCATTACCCTTTCAAATTTGCATACTCACTCTGCGGCTGAGGATTGAAGTCTAAACTGTTTGCTAAGTCAAGCAACTCCAGCCTTGATTTGTCTCTGCCTGCGCTCGGCCTGAGCTTGACTTTGATGCTGGATCACGTTCGCCGTCCTCGGCCGCAGACTCGACGTCAATTGCAGTCAATTAGCCAATGCATCGGCCGTCGCGACAGAGCAATCTGCCCACCGTCGTCCAGGACTAGGAAGGGCGGAATGACCTGCAGCGAGCGGTCACGAGGATGATATTTCGATCATAATAAGCACTTGGTCCCTGGGTCCTGCTCAACTCAAATGCCTCTTCTTCCCGAGAGATGCTTTCCACTTTGGACCAGATGTCACTTTGCCGAGCACTGACTTTTGGCTCTTTTCATACAACCCTAAAGTCTCAGTTTCACTGCTCCCAAGCTGATATGCTGTTATTCCCCTAACCATCCTCGTCCATTCTCACACACGCAATTTCTACCCTCATCCGACCCACTTACCGACGCGCTCTATACAGTATTCACTATTGTTGGACCCATCACTAATCCAGTTCGGGCCCAACAGCGCTTTGACTCGAGCTCGTCATGGACAGAAGACCAGTCTATAGCATCTTTCCAGCGCCTCCTACTTCGCATGCAACCCAGCAGAGGAACCGCCCATCCACCGACAGCCGAGCGCGCCCTTCCCTAGAGCAGCCTCCCTACCCTCCACCTTCTACACCACTTCCTCCGATACCAAAGCAGCATCCTGCATCTGACCAGGCTTCAGCCTCGCCTCATCAGCCGCTACCACCAACGCCAGACTCCTTGAGGTCGACTCGCCCTCCGTCACGGCGGAAAGCTTCCCCCAGTCGCGAGTTTGCAGATTTCCAGAGGGAGCTCGCGCAGCCCTCGCGCAGTCAGGCCTCCTCAGTACGTGGCAGACCAAGCTCGCCCCGTCAACGATCCAATTCACGACAAAGCAACTTTGCCCCATCCACAGGTAGTCGGCCTAAGCCTCTTTTGGGGCCCCCAGAAGATCCAATGCAAACTTCCACCCTCTCTACATCGTCGACCTCGTCTCTTTCCCTCTCCAAGCCACCGATTCTGTCCCCTAGCACTACTGTTGCCCCAACTCCTCCGCCCGTATTACCGAATCGAACATCTCGACCTAATACCGTTTACTTCCACGGCAGCATCGGCGGCGCGGGCAACTACCGCAAAGTCATTCGTGAAAGTAATCGAGCTCCTCGAGCCTACGCTGAGAACGCTGAGCCAGTTCGGCGGTCGAGCCCGACCCGGTTCCTTTCCAGTATATTTGGAAGCCAAAAGGGCAGAGGCAACGGTGGGGGGGCGGTCAATGCTTACGACGAAAGAGCGAGTGGCAGCGAGGACAGCGTCCGAGAGGAGGTAGACCTGGGAGCTGCAGAGGCCTTACGGCGGAAGATGATGGGGGCCGGACGACGGAAAAGAGGGGGTTCGTGACGAGCCTTTATTGCCTTACAGCTTCCTTGAGCTCATGGACTGATGGATTGTTCTCTCTGCAGGTAATCTGGAGGAAGGTCTGTACATGTGGATGGACTGTTTGAAAAGTTTATACGAAAAGTTTCGCGTTTCTCAGCGGCATTGAGCACCCAAGCGGAGTTTGCTTTGGGAATCGACTGGGAGGCATTTGATTGTGTAGTGTATGAGACGAAGATACCATAGCTAATCAGATTGCACATGACTTATTCATACCCTCATGTTGTGCGGATAGATGGCCATACTGCTACACTTACTGTCTAAGACGCATCACCCATTGCTCATCTTCAGCCGACACTGGGCCTACAGGTTCGGTTGTCAGCCCACATGACTGCGCCGAACTGCCTCCACCTCAGCTCCATCACATTTCTTCCCTCTCACATCTCCCCAATGACATACTCACACCCTTCCTCCCCGATCCAAACCTCATGCACCCGTCCCTTCTCCACATCCACCCTCGCCCCAACACCGAACGTCTCTTTGCTTACATCTACCTCCTTGGGATATAGGACAGTCATTTCACCGCGCAGTATCAGGTGCGTTGTCAGCATCGAGTGAGAATGGGGGGCATAATGAGCATTTCTATTGAAAAGGATGTTGGAATCTCTTTAAATGGGAAAAGGTAGCATGCGAGTGTACATACGGTCCGTCAATCCATGTGAAGACACGAGAGAAACCAAAGGATCGGACGAGAGATGCTGACTCGAGGCGGGAAGGTAAGGCCATTCTCTTAGAAAACCAAAGAGAGATTAGGCAACGTCACTTAGTTGTTCGAATATAAGAGATGAAAACATAGAACTTCGAAAAAAAATTGGTGGAAGATCAAAGTAGAAGACCGTGGATGCGACTAGAAACGCGTGAGAATGAATTACGCCAATGTAATTTCTAAGACGCCACTTACCAACTGGGACTCGAACCCAGCCCTCGAGCATGGGAAGCTCGAATTCTACCCCTGAACTATTGTCGCGTGAAAAACCACGTTCTAGTATGTTATATATACTCTGTTCATTAAGCTCTCGATTCTTTAGGTTATGTCCGCAATCTCCCTCGCCAATGTCCTGGCAGTACGAGAATTGCAGGTCTAACAATAGCAAATTGATGGAGCACGTTCAGCATTGATATCAAAGTTATAAAATTACAATCAATCGTACTTCTATGATACTACTCTATCGGGTTCCCTGTCCCCAGCGCCAAGCTAAGTACCATAACCTAAAACAGATTCACATGCCTTGCACCTTCCGATAATTTGGTGGATGTAATGTCCGCCTCAACAGCTTGATGCTGTAGGGAGGTATCAGGCTCAAGGCGCTAATAGCAGCAACTCTCCACGCAAATTGCCAGCCCCACACAAATTCCAAGTCAAAATAATCGCCCAAGAATGGTATGCTTCCGACGTAAATCATTGCCGTGCCGAGGATGCTCACATACATGATCCAGTGCCATGTCACGACTTCAAATGCTACCATTACAAGCTCGTTGACCACAAGGACCGTAAAACTGACACTGACCATGCGGTCCGAGTCTCGGTCTACCAGGAGTTGGCTACAGCCCTGGATGATTCCGCCTTGATACACAGAGACGGCTACCCAAATGAAAAACGTTTTGTAGCTTAAAGACTTGCCCAGCGTGAGTTCTTTATAAAGTTCGGGGTAGAGATTTGCAAGACCTTCGTCAACATCCTTGTCGAGGACCAGACTGAATACAGGTGCCATCGTATAGACAGTTGCATAGCCTACAAGTAGCCAGTCCCGATAAAGGGCGTGAGGCTGCAGCTCAGTAGCTACGCTATAGAATGTTTGGCAGACAGAGATGATCAGTCCCCGATGGATGACGAATTGGGCGAGCTTCGCCGAGCGTTTGTACGAATTTCGGCCATGCCAGACTAAGAGCTTAGTCAAGTGATGGAAAGACGTGATGGAGAAATCGGCTGCTAACGAAGCTTGCCGTCCTTCTTTGCCGACGATACCCACACCAATATCGGCTGCTTGTATCATGGAGACATCGTTGCCTCCATCCCCGATACAGGCGACACGTTTCTTGGTGAATTGTCGGATCAAATAGGCGACATCTGCTTTCTGGGTTGGAGAACACCGGCAAGCTATCACGGCTGGTAATTGTACCGCGAGAGATATGAAGTCGTTTCGATGATTGATGAGGAAATAGGATAGGGAGTCGCCGTCAATCAACAATGCTGTTGAGTCTGGTTTGGAACGGATGATCGAAAGAGCGTCTTGCGCCGCTGAGCCGCCTGATGCGGAGGAGATCTGGGTCACTGTGTGAATGTACTGTGTTCGAGAGACAAGCTTAGCAGAGACCGCAACGCATTTAGCAGTCTCGACTTTGTCGCCTGTTAACATCCATATCTTGACTCCGGCATTTCGGAGGAGCTCAAGTGATGGCCTGACGTCTCTTTGCAATTTGTCTTCGACCCCTGTAACACCGAGAAGTTCCAGATCATGTTCAAGAAACTCCCTCACAGCCGTAGACATGCCCGCATCTCGATCATATAAAGACAATGATGCTTGCCTGTATTTTGTGGCAAAATCACGATACTGTTGCATGGACAACTTTTTCCTTCCTACTACCAAAGTTCTAAGACCTTCTCTCGCCATATTCGCCGTTTCTTCATCCAACCAGTCGTTTGCTGCAACAATAGCACCCATGACAGTGTCAGCACCCTTTTGGTAAAACCATATCTCTTCGAGGCCGTCCGCCATGGATACAGTAGACAAGTCTCCTTTGAGAAACTGCAGAATGATGCCCATTCGTTTACCAGCAGAGGTGAATGGGAAAACCTCCATTATCTTTACGCGCACCACAACTTTGGCAGTATCAACTGACTGCAGACTGATATAGTGCCTGTCTCGATGGACCAAGCGAAGTCCCACGCTCTCAGCCCACTGCACAATCGCGATCTCATCTGGAGACGAGGCCTGGTAAGTGGTAATTGTTTTGCCTTCAATCTCTTCCGATGTGGGAGTGACGTTGTGGCAGAGCGCAAGAGCGAGAACGAGATCACGAACTCGTGAGCTAATTTCCCGCCGGCTCCTAGTATTTGAAGCTCCAGCTAATGTAGATTCGGGAGCCGATGAAGGGGTCACCAGTGCCGAGCTTTGAAGCGCGTCAGATGTGGTACTGGTAGAGTACATCTGGCGTATATAGGAGCGAACTTCATCCATGGCTTCGTTTGCGTAGGATACTGTCCCAACGTGGATCTTTCTCAAATCCATTTCGTTTTGGGTGAGTGTCCCGGTTTTGTCACTAAGGAGATACTCAATCCGCCCAAGCTCCTCGGGAATAGTACTTGTCCTCACCACTGTGTCAGGAATGCCTTGGTCTCTCTCGATGAATCGAGCGTAAACTGTCTTTCCCATATCTAAGTTGACGCGCAAACTGATAGGCACGATGGTTGAAAAAAGGACCAAGAACTTCAGGACAGCGACGTACCACTGCTCACCAGGCCGACCTTCTGCACCTCGTACGGCCACCAGAGCGATCGAAAGTGTTAGCGTTAATGCACACAATATTTTCGTCAAGTTGTTGATTTCATGCTCAAGGAGCCCTGATTTAGAGCGTGAAGCAGACGTAGAAAGTGCTTGTCGAGTTTGAGCACCAGTGTATACAATTACAGCCAGGACTGTTGCGTTGGAAGCCAGAACTGTATTCGCCCAGGCGGTATTGTCAATCGTCAGTGGGGTTGACAACACCTCTTGTTGCAGTTGGACGTCTCCAACCATCCTTAACTTCGCGCGCGGCGTGTACTCGAGGGTGCCCACGAAGTCATGGACATTGCGATCTGGCTTACCTGCAATGATTCGGAGCCTCATGAATTCTTTAGGGTCTAGTTGCTGAGTGATTGGAGGTGCTAGACGAAGTTTCCAATCGGTCTCTCCGTCGAGCTGGTCGGTCCGAATGAATGCTTCCCCAACATCACCTGCTTGGCCAGGCTTGTGTGAATCGCTGTCGAGCTGTGCCTGCCGGGCCACTGCGTCCATAGAAGCGCCAAGAGAACCAACTTCATTGTCAACATCCTCAACCAAGAGGCTAGGAACACTCGACTCAACCTTCTTCATAGCGGCTGCAACAGGATTAGCAATCGTTGTGTCACTTGTATAGCTCTTTAGAATGACGAGATCCGCTGGCACTCTCTGGTCCTTTCCGAGCTCCACGACATCACCGACTTTGAGATCTCGAGACCGAACTAATTTTTTTTCAATAGTGATATTAGAGCGCTCGGTCTCCGTATCCCCCTCCAAATCTTCTTCCTCCTCTTCGATCGAGTCTAAGCGCGTGTACTGGGATACTTGCCTTGCTCCTAAAGCTCGACTTCGCATACGCAGCTTGCTGTTTTGTCTTCCTTTATCTGCATCTGTACATGCCTCGGGTCGTAGTTGAAGTATTGTATATTCTTCCTTGTTAGCCTCGGCGTCCCGCCTACGCCGTGCTATGTCATCCGATGCCTCCTTTCCCAACGTCACTGCCAGAACAAATACTAGGGGCGCTATGTATGTTGAGAGATATCCGATTCTCAAAGAGGGAATGATTTGTGAGAACGCTACTAATAGGAAGTACATGTTGAAGAAGAAAGAGAACTCATTGTACAGGGTGCGGGGAAGGAAGCTCCAGGGTGTATACTTTGCATTTGAGATTGCATTTGGAGGAAATCTTGGTGGTGGAATTTGACCTATGGTGATGTTGCGTGAGGTTTCCGTGCGCGCTGATGTCCCTTTCGACCGTACGAGCATGTCCTGGCTTCTGTTGCCGAGTCTATCACTTTCTCCAAGCAGAGGTACAGCATCCTGGGTAGCACTCGAACTTTCTCCGAAGCCTCTGTCATCAATATCGTCTTGACTAGCATCTCTCAAGGGCTGCTGCCACGGCCCCTCGCCCTGGTCTTCTTGTCTTGCAGTTCGAAACGACCCGGGACGGCCGACGTTGAGCTCTCGAAGGGGAATCTGACGACTTGAACTAGACTGCTCTCTGATTGCAGGATGCCCACTTGAGTCTTTATACCCTGGATCTAAGTCGTCCAGATCCAGCTCAGATCCGAATTCTGGACCGCCAACATGCAAGTCAGGCGCTCTCGGCCGATGATATTGATAAGCTCTGGACATAACTTCATTTACAATCTTGATGTGTCTTCATGAACGACGGGCACAAGTAAGTCAACAGAGATACCACGTACTCTTGAGAACACTGAGCGGTTAGCATCTTCAAATAAACTTATTGAAAAGACTGGTAGGTAGTTCTAGGACAACAGCACCCTCGGCAGGCTTCCAATTCAACGTGCGGAACTCTCCCGCTTCCGAAAAATGACATTTAAGCAAATCATTCTTCGGCAGTGGAAGAATAGTCCCTTTCTTATACTTGAACGACCCTAGAGACCCTACGATGGGAGGTATAACAGACTATTTCTGGTAAAAGTGGCCTCGTGAAATGAAACCATGATCAAAGACATGTTGATGCCAATCGCGCATTGCGAAGTACTGCTTACCCATCCCTGGTTGTCTTTGAACCGATTGTGCGAAGCTGACTTCTAAGGCTTTAGCAACGTAACGGTGAACTTGCATAATGGACATGAAAGCTTCTTGGAATCCTGCCCTGCGACCCGATTCTGAGCATATAGTCCAGGATCTCGCTCCAAACAACACATCTAGGATTGAACAGGAGAGGAACGCCACCTTGTCAGGGTTCAGTGAACCCTCTCGAAATCCCCCACAGGATCTATGCGGGGAAAAGGTATCAAAGCTCGGCGTCGAAGAAAGAGATCTGCCCAAGGCAGAGGCCTTGAGCTTGGAAAACTTGGCAGGGACTGTAGTGCAAAATGGGAACCGTTTTGGCGAAGTTTTCGAGGCCTCGGTAGGAAGCAGAAGGGCTTCCAAAACCAGTCGTGAAATGGATCGAGCCTTTGGGTCAGAATCGCGGGAGGCGAAAGTGCCGCTCACAAATGGATCTACTCGAACAGACTACTTTCCTGATATACCCCAAAGCTCACAGCTAGCAACTGTAATTCCAGATTCATTGCCGAGGTCTCAGGCTGAAAAGATTCTAGAGGAAGAAGAGCTTGTGAGCGCACTGCAGGAGCCTGCACCAGTCATGGCCACGACCAAAGAAAGCCTAGACGACCGGGAGCCTTCTTTCGGCGATGATGGTCGGACAATGGCGGGTGTTTCCTCCGTAGGGCTCGAGGACAAGCTATCCCCAGCCCACGTCTTGAGCCTAAAGAGCGAACAGATTCGGTTTGAGGAAGGGCTACCACTAGTCGCCCAAACGTATCAATACCATACGCCGTCAGTGAGTCAGTCGGATGATGTCGCCGGGGAACGTGACCCCGTGGAAGAGGATGATTCCTTCTTCGACAGATCAGACAATTCCCTTATTCCAAAATTGTCCACTCAAGTACCATCGCTCAACCGCAAGTCCACGGACCAAGTTTTGAGCTCAATGAATCTTGCATCCCATGACGCGGATCACGCTGCTGCTGAGCCCGAAGTCAGACTGATGCTCTCAACATCATCCATTGGCGAAGCCAATCCAGCCATGTTCGATGTTGTAGAGTCTCAGATACAATCCGAGCAACAGCGCGAGGATACAGAGTTAAAGCTCCAAGACGAGGATCTCTCGGAATTATGGAAAGCTGCGTTAGCTGATGAAGGTCTTCTCGATGAGAGCGATCAGACTGTTGATCCTTCATCGTTTTTCGTGGACGACGGGGAAGATTTCCTTGAAGATGACGTTATTGTGAATGACTACGCGAAACAGTCTCTACCATCCACGTCGTCCAGCTATCCACAGCTAATCCATCATCCTGCCAAATCGATACAAAAGCATACTAACCCGTATGCGCCTGCTGCTAGCTCTTCACAACACCGCCCGGCACTTTCATCTTATTACACCAATCAACCTGACGATTCATCTAGCTCTACGCATCCAAGCCGCCTTTTGAGCACCTTCCAGCAAGAAAGACAAATCTTGGCTACAAATCCTTCACCCGCTCGGCCCCAACTACCAGAACCTGCTCAAAGCTTTGTTGACAAGTCAAAGGGTGGCTACAAATCTCCTTACGACCTTCCAATGGATGTGACTCGATCGAGGAGGCGCGCACCTCTTCCAACAGTGCCTCAAAGTCCTGGCTTTCCGCCTCCGGACCGCCAGCCGCCACCACCAAGAAGCAGCAGTATGACATCTGGCACGATGCCGCTTCATAGTACATATCATCATGATCTCAATCCCTCCAGTGGACGGTCTCCGCCCGCAATAGAACAGTCAGCTGCTTCAGTCTTGGCTGCCAAACCAAGCTTGGGTAGTTTCTTCGAAGATCTGCCCGATACTAAAGCGCGACCTCCGAATACCATGGGGAGAGCTTCTATACCTACAGCTGTGTCGATGCCTACGTCTCAAACACAGGAAATCCGTCTAGCCCCATTTGCTGGTCAACAACAGCGAAGCAGCTACAATGCCTCTTCGCATGCGGCCAGCTATGAGCTTTTGCCACCAGAGAAGCTCAATCTTTTTAGTGACACATCTCCCCCGCATCAGCCAAAGCCTGCAATCCCTATTATGAATTCCAAGTATTCCCCAATCCCTAGCCATACTTCCAGTGTCCCTCCGCCCGCAACTCGCTACGCTTCTTCGCCTGCACCGGCCCCTCGTCCACCATCCACTCAAGCGTTACCCCATCAGCCGCGAATGTCAAGTCCTCTGACGCAAAGCGATCTGCTCGGGCTCGAAGGCGGACATCAACAGCGTCTTGCATCTGATTCAGCACCTTATCCCGCCTTACGCAGTCACACAAACCCAAAGCCTGCGGATCTAGCCCAATACCGTTCTCCCACCAGGCCAGAGCAGTCTCAAAATGAAGGTGGCAACGCTCAAAGCCAGGCGGGCACAGTCTCGCAGAGCCAGGTCCAGGCACGGGTGAATGATTCTTCTCCGTTTCCTTTACAGCCAGTTCCACCCAGTAGCTCTACTTCAGCATCGTCACATCCTATATATACTCCAGGGGCAGATCAGCCGTCTCCGAATTCTCCCCAAGAGGATCCTCATGATCAAGGCGACATAAGCAGAGGTCCGCCCAAGAGATCCCAAACACAGTCACCCGGGGCTCGTCGGCCAGTCGTGGCTTCTGCAGGATCAAGAGCTCCTTATCACAGGCCTGCGTCTGTAAGCAACTATGGCCTTCAATCGTCGTTTCAAGACATAAGCCGTAAGGTATTTTCACATGACCGCCCTGCCCAGGTTTCATCTTCGGCTATCAACTATATCATACCAACGGATGGCCGCGAACTAGACCAACTTGAAAGGTGGAAGGGCTGCCCAATCTTTTCTTTTGGATTCGGAGGGCGAATGGTAAAGATGTTTCCCCGGCAGATTCCTCGCTACGCAACGGGACAAAAACTTCCATTGATCAAATGTAGTCCTGGCGAGGTCATGATCGATCAAGGCACCACTTTTTCGCTTCCTGAATCCGTGAAAGCATTCCCAGGGCCCCTCAAGGCTAAAGCCAAGAAGAAAGAAGTTATCGACTGGTTGCATCGAAAGCTCCGTGACATGGAGACTAATGCTTTTCCCCCTAGGATCGGTGAAATGACCCTCCTAGATCCAACGAACAATCGTGAAGAGAGAATTCTACTATGGAAGATCATGGAAATTTTCGTGGAATACGATGGGTTGATCGAAGGTAACGCACTTGCTGAGAAGGCTGTGAGAACCCTTCTTTCGCCTGAGCTGAATGATGGCGACGCAACTTCTCTTCCTCAAAATAACTTTACTGCGCCGCCAACCGGGATCACAAGACAGAGCAACATCACTAATGTGCATAATTCTCCAGAGCCCGATGCATTAGAAGGGATACGGAAGCAACTACTTCGTGGCGAGCGAGAGCAGGCCGCGTGGCATGCGGTGGACCATAGAATGTGGGCTCATGCAATGTTGATTGCTTCCACTCTAGACAAGACCATCACTAAACAGATCACTCAAGAATTCGTTCGTCAGGAAGTAAAAACTTTTGGCGAGAATACAGAGTCGTTGTCTGTTTTATATCAAGTCTTCGCCGGTAATTGGGAGGAAAGTGTTGACGAGCTTGTCCCACCATCGGCTCGGGCAGGTTTGCAACTGGTCAGTAAAAAGGACAATGCAGGACCAACCAGAAACGCGTTGGATGGCCTAGACAGGTGGCGAGAAACCTTGACTTTGATCCTAGGCAATCGAACTGCTGATGACGGAAAGGCTCTCCTTTCGCTCGGGCAATTACTGGCAGGTTATGGTAGGACCGAAGCAGCTCATATTTGTTATATCTTTGCATCAACACCAGGATTATTTGGCGGTCCGGATGATCCCCAAGTAAATGTTCACCTCCTAGGGGTAGATCATCTACGCCGACCATTCGATTATGGTCGCGACTTTGATAGCATCTTGCTTACTGAAGTATATGACTTTGCTCGCACGGTATTGTCAGGGACATCTGTTTCTACCCTCTCCCCGCATTTGCAACCATACAAACTTTACCACGCAATGGTTTTAGCAGAGTATGGTTTGAAGCCGGAGGCTCAGCAATACTGCGAAGCTATATTCAATACTCTGAAGTCAACAACAAGGCCGTCGCCATACTATCATGCCCTGCTGGCTGGGTCCCTAGAAACCCTTCAAGATCGGCTACGACAAGCACCTCGAGATGCCTCTGGGTCTTGGATTTCTAAACCAAGCATGGACAAAGTTTCGGGCTCCATATGGGCGAAATTCAATTCATATGTAGCTGGAGACGAAGATGACGCCGCATCTTCGAAGTCCGGAAAAACTCACGATCCAGCGTCAGGCCCATTCGCGGGTGTCTCGGGTGAATCGCCATCTCCCAGTCGAGCAACGTCCTCATCTGATCTGTACAATTCATACCAGGCCGGCGTTGTATCTGCCCCAACTGCCCCAGCCGCTAACGCTCGCTACACACCCGGAAGTGTATATACGCCTAGATCCTCGCTTGAGCAATCGAGACTGCCCTTCCCTGACCCTCCGAAGCACCCGAATAATGAGACCTTTCACGCCACTCTTGCACCTCCACAATACTCCTCACGACCCACCTCTTCATCTAATTTGAGCCAGGATCCCTATACTTACTCTGCACAGCCGTCACCACTCACAGTTCAATCCCAGAGCTATCTCCCAACACCGCCACTTCCTTCTGACCACAATGTCTCTGAATCTCTTTCTCCAGCACCACAGTATCAGTACCAAAGCTATACCCCATCTCCTCCAAACCCAGACTCTCCACAAGAGCATGCCCAGACTCTCCCACAAGCGGCGGTATCTAAAATTGCTGATCCATATTCTGCACATCAACACTCCACGAACTCATCGTATGGGCGTTCGCAATTATCCCGGGAAGCGCCATCGCCTACTCGAGTGTCAAATCTTCCCCAGCAAGCACCTTCAACTTACCAGCCTACCATGGCATCCTACGAAGCCAATTCTTCTGCTTATCAACCGCAGAGTTCTTACGAGCCTCCATCCTATTTTCCTGATGTCCCTCCTACAGAAGTATCGCCCAGGAGAGAAATTTCAAGCGAAATAGGCGCGGATCTTGATGAGGACGACGATTTCGAAGCCCGAGCGAAGGTTTCACGCCAAAAAGAAAGGGACCGTAAAGATCGTGAGGCAGACGAAGCTTTCAGGAAAGCTGCTGAGGCCGATGCACAACGAAACAACGCTCCAAGGCTTAATAGTAAGAAGTCTGGCTGGTTCGGCGGCAGCTGGTTTGGCGGCAGCAAGGAGGAGTCTAATGACAGCGGCAATCTGAATGCGCCAATCAAAGTCAAGCTTGGAGAGGAAAGCTCTTTCTACTTTGACAAGGAACTCGGGAAGTGGGTAAACAAGAAGGGTGGAAACACCGAAACGATATCAGCAGCGACACCACCGCCGCCCAAAGGACCCCCTTCCAGATCTGTCAGTGCGGCAGGTGTACCACCTTTAAGATCTACGCCCATTCCACCTGTCCCACCTATTCCAAAGAATCTAGGCTCTGATATGTACTCCCCGAGGGCTGTAAGTGGGCCAGCTCCATCTTTGGCACCGGGCCCTAGCCCATTAGCACGGACAGTTTCGCCAGCGACACAAACAGACGATGAGACTGCTTCAGGGCCACCTTCAGCTCCTCCGTCAAGGCCTGCTACCAGTCAGGGAGGCGCAAATAATATTGACGATTTGCTTGGGCTGCCACAAGCGAGAAAAGGCGGAACTATGAAAAAAGGGAGGAAAGGTAGAGGTTATGTTGATGTCATGGCCAAGTGATGATGTGAAGCAATGTGAGCTTTTCGGTTCAATGGATGTATTAGATTGTACGGCTATTGATCGGCGAAACCAAGCATGAGCGTTTCAGGGAGATATTCTGGGCCAAGGAAGGGTCCCCTTCCTCGCATGGCGTCGGTGCGATGCATTATTGATGCATTAGAACTAATTTTCCTGTTTGTCAGACTAGCTACAGCTAATTATTTTTAATGTCGACGAGCTTATGCAAACGATGCATGGGGTATATCGCTGATCAATCGAGACTTTGAACCCAGAAAATCCGTAGACGAGTGTTCAATCTCCTGTCAAATCCACCCACTCAGGCTCTCGGCCACTCTGACGAACTCGTTTGCGAGATCGCTCGGCACTATTCCCTTGCTGTTCACGCTTGATGCGAGAACCTGTCGTAGACTCCGATTTCAGGGGATTCGTTTCTTCAATTCACGCAAGGCGAGCCTTTTACAGTATCAGCAAGCATCGCATCTCAGAGGCTCCATTCTACGAATGCAATCATAAGGGTGCAAAGAGAACCTACTCTTAGTTCTCTGAGCTCGTCTCTCAGCTGGGGTTCCGGCGTTGGAGAGCGTGGAATTACTCCCAGAACCTGCAAGTTGTCTGGTTTCAACATTCAGTGATGCTCTGCTACACGCCGAAAGCGGCAGAAGGTTTCGCCAGACTTACGACGCGATTGATAGTGAAAAGTGTAGGAAAGACAGGATCCAAGAGGTCTGACGTTGTAAATATGTTGCTTTTCTCTCTCACATACCTGCGTATGGGCGAGTCTGGCGGCAGTCAGCGAAGAGGTTGTGTGATGTCTGATATACCATGATATACTTGACGATATTAGACACAGCCTTGCCTTTCAACGCTTTCTCTGGCAGCTCCTCACAACGATTTTGGTGGCCGTCACGTGACTCTTGATATCTGCCTGTTGCCTGCCTATTGATTCGTTGGATAGTGATTCGAATGCTCCCTAAGCCCTTTATATCTTCTGGCTTGATCTGTTTGTCATTGCTCTCCTCTGAAACCGAATCAGGATGTGTTTCTGTATCCTCAAGACCGGTATGCCACTTACTTGTGAGCAGTGCCCCAAAGCTCAGATCCCCTTTGAGCCACTTTCCCGTGTTCAGATCTTTCATGTGGATCTGTGTGATTTCCCGATAGGCAGGCTGTCCAGACGCGCGACACCGATCAATGTAGGATCTCTCAAAGTCGAGACACCAGCCTAGATTGTCATCGTCGAAGTAAAAGCAGGTCCTCACGACATCATCATGCTTCAGCAGGTGGATGTTGAAGGTAGGGTGCAGGATGACTTTCAATCTGAACGTGGATTCCGTGACGGCCTCAATATATTTACTGTGCTCATGGCTGCCGAGCTCGTGGTCTGGCTCTGGATCATCGTATTGTGTCAGGACTGAAGCATCTGACAGTACTTGTACAGAGAAATCCCTCGAAGAGACCATGATCGCTCATGAAGCGTGTCATGGGTTTGTCAATTTTAGGGCTGCTACGCGCCAAAACACGACGGAAGAGTCTAGGCCCTCCAAGGCCCGAAGCCCCCGTGCTTCCCGGGCGGGTGCCGTAGGCCCCGCCGCACCACAAAAGAAATAATAATGTCCGTGGTGGCTGATGGTGGGGCACCACAACGTCAGCGAATGATACTCTACGACTAGGCGATTTGGCATTCCATTTCAATTGAACTATATTCCTTCTCCATAGTACCTATCGTCTCTCTTTCGTACATAGCTCCTCTGACTGTCAGTCGCTCAAGCTACCCAGCATAGCAAGCATTTCTACACCTCAGGATGGTCAAAGCAGGTTCGCTCGCCGGCAATTACGACGTGGATTCACCCTTCTAATGCATCATAGTCGTTCTCGGGGCCTCCGGAGGCATTGGCCAAGTAAGTTCCTCTCAAACATCATGGTGCAGCACCCTGAAATTAGAATGACAGCCATTGTCGTTGCTTCTCAAAGCAAGCCCTCTGATCGACGAGCTTTCGCTCTATGATGTCGTCAATACACCAGGTGTCACCGCCGACCTATCTCACATATCTTCCGTCGCAGTATGTCAATTGTTCCATGCCCAATATCTGGCATACATTAAGAAGTGATAGAAAATTACCGGCTACTTGCCCGCAGATGACGGATTGAAAAAGGCTTTGACCGGGGCTGATGTCGTAGTCATTCCCGCTGGCATTCCTCGTACGTATCTTCAACGGTAGCTCCGGAACTAGGCATTCACACATTCTAGGCAAACCTGGAATGACTCGCGATGACCTGTTCAAGATCAACGCCGGTATCGTCCGTGACCTGGTCAAGGGTATTGCAGAGTCCTGCCCAAAAGCCTTCATTTTGGTCATCTCCAACCCTGTCAATTCTACGGTCCCAATCGCAGCCGAGGTCTTGAAGCAAGCGAATGTCTACGACCCCAAACGACTTTTCGGTGTGACTACTCTCGACGTCGTCCGAGCCGAAACTTTCGTACAGGATATCACCGGGGAGAAAGAGCCTTCCAAGACTGTCATCCCTGTCATCGGAGGGCATTCTGGCGAGACGATTGTGCCCCTCTTCAGTCTGGCCAAGCCCGCGGTGAATGTCCCTGCTGACAAATATCCTGCTCTGATCAAGCGTAAGTTATGTACCATGAGTGCACCTCTAGTTTCTTGTCTGATCCACTCTAGGTGTGCAATTTGGTGGTGATGAGGTCGTTGAAGCAAAGGGAGGAGCGGGATCTGCAACTCTCTCAATGGCATACGCTGGGTTTCGGTACGCATCGGTCACCAGAAATACGGGAAGTTTGTATTGCTCACATGACATGTAGCTTTGCCGAGCAAGTCATCAAAGCAAGCAAGGGCGAGAAGGGTATTGTCGAGCCCACCTTCATCGATCTGAATGGTGTTTCTGGCGGAGATGCCATCGCTAAAGAGACTGGAGTGGACTTTTTCTCTGTACCAGTGGAGCTCGGGGTATGCTCGCATTCTGATATTTCTTTCTAAAAGTCTTTTGCTAATGCAAGATCAGCCATCCGGCGCCGAAAAAGCCAACAATATCCTGGGCAGCTTAAGTGAGGATGAGAAGAAGTTGCTAGAACCTGCAAAGACGGGCTTGAAAGGCAATATCGCAAAGGGCATCGATTTTGTGCACAACCCACCACCGAAGTGATTCACCCATTCATCGCCGTTTGTTCAATCATTTGCAAGCAGAGCTGCATTGCTACTCCAGAATTCACGCTCTGGATCTCAAAAAGCGTGGCAACTACCATACCTAGATCAGATTTCTAAATAGAGCCATTCACTGACTCCTCTGTTCTTACTTACAGGCTCTAATATCTTCTCCTCTACTTTCTACTCTCGGGATGGGTGTCGTCTCTAGCAGCAAAAAGGATTTCAAGCATGCACGTGAAGCTTGACAGTCTCTGCTCATATGATACCGTGGCATTGTAAGGTCCTTCGTATGCATGAGTAGAATCGCGGAAATCTGGGATGGGTGACCTTTTGCATTTTATGATCTCGCAGAGTTCGTTTTGATTTGAAAGGTAGCGGCTGGAAGTTCTGACGTCTCCGCTTGAACAGTGGCAACAATTCCCATACTTGCAAGACTCCCTCGCACTATGCCACATGGAAACCATAGATGCTACGAGGGTCAGAAGGGATCATACTCTGTACAGTAAAGCGATAGAAGATTACCGGCTGGGCTTTTGCGAGAGCTTCAGACGATGTGGCCATGCTCATACGCGCGAAGGGTTTGAAGCTGTTGTCTGTAAGAACGTAAACACCCTTGACAGCAATCAATAAGCCATTGCACTATTGGAAAATATAGAGCTTCGACCTCACTCGGTGGTTGGTTTTAAGATTGTCGATTTGCTTCCTGAAAACGAGTGTCCACATGTCTTTGCACAGAAACTTGATCACATCGAGCGGATCCGTGAAGCGTGGCCTATCCCTAGAGAATCTACGCATGTTTTGCGATTAACAATCAATGGCGGAGCAAGCCCCTAAGGAGTATGCGAACCTCTCAGCAAGACCTTGTCCAACTCTGTATCCTAGTGACTCAAGCCGCCGATATGCTGCCTCCTTTTGCTCATCTTCGTCGGTCTCTTTGTCGCCTTTCAAGTTTAGAGGACGCAGCTCGGCAGCTAGACGGTACGCAGTAGGTACCATCTCTAAGAGCAATAATTCAATGCATGATGCATTGACAAATGAAGCGTAAGGATCCGAGGAAACCGAAGAAGGGTTGGAACTTTCGGCAGACATGAGGTTGAATGTGAGATGAAGGCAGCGTCCAGATGGGTCATTGGGTTTCCCAGCATTTCGGTTGTTGGCCGTTCATTGCTATCTTAGACAAGCGAATTTGTTCCGGGTTTAGACGGATGATACTTGACATTAGGCCATCTTTGGATTTGGATGTGCAACTTTCAGGATCCACGCCGCTTGATAGGATGATAGGAAACGAAAAAATACAGTCCCTTCGGGCATAGCACTAACGAAAATACGGGCTCTAGAGGCCGCATCAGCAGCAATGATATCAACTAAGCATTTGTATCTAAGATCGTAGAGGTTAACCAAAGAGTCACCATCGCCTTTGTGGATCCCTTTTATCATTATAAGATATCTATTCCTATCGGACCCCAGCAGAGAACCTCCATGTCAGGGGTATCGTCGCGCCTCAACGTAATGAGGATAATCACAGTCTCCGGAACGCCATGCTATTCATTTGTAATGTCGTTATAAGATGCTGCAAAGGCCAGTAAATGCTATTTCAGTAGCTTGAGGGCTGGTCGTAAGGTCGTGGATAACCTGTGGGCGGGTATTGATTTCGTGGAGGGTAGAAGTTGGAGGAATATGACGGGTGCTTCGGTGGGTATGGTGAGGCTGCACCATCAGTGAACTGTATTTCGTCAGAAGTATTGCTGCTAGGCGCGCCGTTTGTTAAGGGTGCCGTCTGCCGCCGCTTTGGCGTCCTTACAGGCTCTCCATCTTCGGAGTCAGTACAAAGATCAATGACATCTGCTGCGTATGGTGCTGGGCGTTTGTTGCCACCAAAGGATTGTTTTCCTGTTGATGTTGAGGGCTCCCGCGACGATACTGGAGGCGTACTTAGCATGTTTGGTTGCTGACTATATTCGCTTTTGACTGTCTTTCCACATGGCGGTTCGTCAATCTCCACCAGGTCTTTATCGGACTCATAACTAGTTTGTCTCTTGCTTGAGCTTAATAGGGGTTTCTCCTCACCTTTGATGCTCCAATGTCCGCTTGGCTCAATGGTAACTTGGTCTACTGAGCGTGGCGTTGACTTCAGTATATCCTCCACATATTGGTCAACCTGTAAGTTGCTAAATTTAACGTTCTCGTGGCAGACAGGGCAACTCCATGTCGGTGCCTGCTCCTGTAGTTGCAGGAAAGAAGTCGCATCAAAACACTGATTGTGTTTACAAACCGTTGAGCGACATGGAACATCGATTCTCATATACGATAACGGGCACTTTAAAGAAAGGACTGATGATGTAGCGACAATGTCTTGGTCCTCCGCCCGGCTTTGCATTTCACGCAAGACTCTATCTTTTGAGATCAGCTTGCCTTGTTTGAGTTCCAACACGAGGCTTTCGACGGGAATTTGCTTGACTAGATTCACCACCAAGTTAAAGCGATTTTTCGTCAGCGCATAGGTGATAAGAAGTTCGTTGTTATAGCCCGCACGTTTCCTTAAAAGTCCGGTAATATCTGCGGGGCGTGTAGTACCAGGTTTGTTTTTCAGCCCCCTAAGATTCGCCTTGACATCATCTCCGTTGACTTTCAGCTCGACTTGTTGAGGGAATGCTACGTCCAATAGGGTGAAAGGTGATGGTCCAACGTCTGCCGCACAGTATACCATTACCCTTGTGTTATTGTCGTCGTTGAGCATCGTGACAACATCTTGAGTCAAGTTCAAGGGATCTCTAAAAGTGTCTCGCGTAGCTTCGCGAGCTACGTCTCGGTTAGACAAGTACGTGTAGAGGCATGGAAATCACTCAAGAATGAATATAATGGCTCACCTTCCAGCTTGTGCACCTTTGACAATACCGTTATGTGCCTTGTGAATGGACTCTCTTTGAAATTAAGCTGGGACCCTGGTTAGGATTAGCTCTGACCTTGCTCGTGTGACAGCGCTTGCATACTCTGTGCAGATGCGCCCAGCGGTTGAGCTGTTCCATACGATATCGGGGTGACACCAAAAGAGTTAGGGAGATGACGCTGCGGGGTTGCCATAGGGTTGTGAGGCATGGTTCTTGCAGAGCTGAGGGGTATTGACTGATCTAAAGTTGGATTAAAGACGAGGCTTTTGAGTCTATGGAAGGCCTCATAGTCGTTCTGTGAAAGATAGTATTGGAGCTCTGGACGATCAAGGTCAGATTCAGTGGGTAGAATGAAGATAGGGATAAGCGAGTCATGATGAAGCACCAGAAGGTGTCGTAGAGACTGAAGGATTTCCTCCTCAAGAAGGTGGGGGAATAAGGAGCATGACATACGCGAGATGATTCTAGATTGCAACGCAGCTTTTGCGCCTGAGACTGGTAGGCTTGCTCCTTTGCAGACTTGTTTGAGTTGCGCAGCAATGAGTCTTTTCACTTGAGCAGAAGCAGAGTCCATACTCATTGCAGAAGTAGGAGCTGCCATTTTATTGATGCTGAAAGGTCGTCACGCTGGGTTTTGAGGCGCAAGATCGAGGGTCCTATTAGAGCCTTCCATTTGGAAACGCCGAGATTCTACGGTTTGACCTTGATCAAGGGTTTTCCTGAGCAGCTCGAGGGACAAGCCCAGAGAATTGCTGACCTCACGAGAACCTGAAGGCCTTTGATACTGCCACAACAATCTACGCTGTGACCACATGCCTCTAGCGCCACTTGGATTCTTGGCCCTAGAAGTGTTTCACCCCAGCTTGCGCACTTTCTCAGACCGGATATTTCTGGCCGTAAGATATGAATGAACGGCCGCAGCTTCAATACTATCATCGTGATCATTAGAGTGTCAAATCTAATAGTGTGTCCGACTTGGGGGTGAAGACTCCTAAGGCTGTTCGTCGCTTCAGAGCACTTCAAAGCACTCAACAAGCAAACGGCAAACAACTTGTCCACAGGCTCAGACAAATTGCAAGGGATTTAATTGTCTCTCATACTTGAGGGAAGCCTGAGAGTTCTACATTCCTAGTGGTTCGGCATACTTCCTCACTGCCATGGCGAAGGGGCTTCGATCAAGTGCCAAAAAGGTGAATAAAGCCAAGTTGCGCCGTAGGATCTTCGAACCAGCTGAGCTGTCAAGAAAAAAGCGTCTGTCTGCAAGGCTCCATGAAGTTGCATCCCAACCGCAGAAGCAGGCCTTCAATGAAGCGCAAAGTGCAACTCGAGGTCAGTCCATCAGCACAACGTTATGATAACACCTTTTGTGAGCCCATTCATGACCCTTAGTAGAGAATGAATCCGAGGATCTAGTGGAGGAGAGAACAAATGATGCCGGCGGAACTGAAGGTATTGAAAACCCTGGTCTCCTATGCTGTGGAAACATGTTCTTAATATCACGTCATCTAGCAGTCATGGATATTGAGCGAAGGGATGAGGCTTCAGATTTGCAAACACGTGCAATTAGAGGCCGGAAGTGGCTAAAGAAAGGCCGAACGAAGAACAAAGCCGCCATGGTCTTTCCCGCCTTGATCAAGCGTCGAGAGGCTGAAAAGATTCGCGCAAGGCAGCGAAGACGTTAATGAGGAGGGAGCATTCAAGATTTTTGAAGGTATTAGTGATTGATTCAGAGTCCAACGATCGCCTTTGCCCGCCAACTTTGACTGCATTAGACACCTTCGAAAATCCATGTGCATCGTTCTCCATGTTTCTGTAAACCTGCACGCTTTCACACCATACACTTCTTCCTCGTACAAGTATGTTTCTGCCTTCAGGGCACTCTTCCAGCATTGAGTAAGCTGCTAGTGAGACCGAGCTATCCTTGAACAAATCAAATCTCTCTCTCCCAGATTCCTAATTGAAGCGGCTTTTGAGACACCTACGCTCCTATAGTTGTGTTTCCATATCTCCTCGCAGGACTTGTGAGGCTTTCCAAAATTTTGAGGCTCGAGGGGGCTTTCCAAGACTCGGGAGATCTCCAGTGCTTGAGGTGGGCAGCCTTGGGCAGCCTTGGCAGCCACTGGCTGAGGCCAGTAGTGGGTACCTACCTTATTTATCAATCTACTCGTACACGCTTAATTTCCTTCCACCATGATGCCATCGAAATCTCACCAGCTTCAGTAGAGAATGACCCTCAGGGCCCCCAATGGCCAATATCTCCAATTACTCGATATTGACATTCGCCAATTTAATATTGATCATAGCTCTCGCAGTCTTTGCCGCTGGATTCTTCCCATTTAAACCGTTCATTGCCGGTAGAGCTCACTTTAGACACGGCCCACATGGAACCGCCACTGTACCTGCGCCATTTGATAAGGTGGTTTTTATGGTCGTAGATGCCCTACGGAGGTACGGAGTCAGTGTGTCGAGAATTGAATCCTACACTAAAGTACATAGTGATTTCGTATATTCTCAAGAATCTAGCTTTACTTTTGTTCAGAGGTGAGCCACTAATCAAATCAGTCTGGCCCGCAGACTTACGTCTATTCACAGTCTCATACGAGATGGCTCCGCTATCCCTTTCACAGCCCACGCTACCTCCCCCACAATTACTATGCCTCGCCTCAAGGCAATCACGACTGGATCCATACCGTCCTTTTTGGATGTCATCCTCAATTTTGCAGAGTCGGACACTAGCTCCAGCCTAACAAATCAGGACACCTGGCTATCGCAATTGAGGAGCAAGCCTGGCGGAAACTTGGTCATGTATGGGGACGACACATGGCTGAAGCTGTTTCCGGAGACTTTCGGGCGCAGAGATGGCACGTCGAGTTTCTTTGTTTCGGTTCGTTTTGACTCCCATAGAAAGCACCTGCAAGGCCTAACCAATCGTTCTGCAAAGGACTTCTCTGAGGTTGATAACAACGTCACCCGGCATGTTTCTTGGGAGCTCGAACAACAGGATTGGAATGGTTTCATAATGCACTACTTAGGTCTTGATCACATAGGGCATAAATCTGGTCCTCGAAGGTAATAACGTGCTCTTAGGTGTTGTTGTCCACGGATTTTAACATCAAGGCAGCCCAAACATGAAGCCCAAGCAATCAGAAATGGATTCAGTCGTACGAGAGATATACGAAGCCATAGAAATAAAACCTCATCTTCGATCAACACTTCTTGTGCTATGCGGCGATCATGGCATGAATGAAGGAGGTAATCACGGGGGGTCTGGTGAAGGCGAGACTTCTCCAGCTTTAGTTTTCATGTCGCCTAAGCTCAAAGCTATTTCCAAGGGGTATCAAAGTCCAGTTGCTTCGTCCAACAACGGATTTCAGTACTACACAAAGATCGAGCAGTCAGACATCGCCCCTACATTGGCGGGTCTGCTTGGCTTTCCAGTGCCATTGAACAACCTAGGCGTCTTCGTACCTGAACTCCTCTCACTTTGGCGAGAAGGTTAATAGCACTCCATTCGAATCAACCATATTCCGTTGACAGGCAGCAGATGATCAGCAGCGCCTTGTGGTTCAGAATGCTATGCAAATTCTTAAAATTGCGAGCAGTACATACCCCTGGCCCAATCTTGACCAAAACCGAAGTGTCGCAGACTGTGATGGGTTAGTTCCGGATAGCATCGCCCTGGGCTGTATGTGGAAGGAAGTGGATTCCTTATTGACCACTATACCTCAGTCACACCGCGAGGTGATTAGCGTTTCTCAAAAGGTGAGCAAAATCGTAGATGAAGTCACAGGGTTGACGATCCACAGTTCAGTCGGCGTGCTCAGAAAGTCTTGAGTAGCGTCGCCAGTGATTACGATCTTCTGAAACTTGGCATTGGCATTAGTCTTACATGTATGTCCCTTGCCCTAAGCATAGGGATTCAGGTTCGGCTCAGCTCCTCAATAAGGATTGGAAATTCAATGATTCCAATGATGACCCTTATGTACGGCTCAATGATGTTCGCAAGCAGCTATGTTGAGGAGGAGCAGCACTTTTGGTATTGGGCTTCCTCGGCCTGGTTTGGCTTGTTATTTGCGAAACAGTAAGACCACGATGCCCACATTTGCCAAAATTGCTAATGTAAATTGCAGACGGCGACGCATCTGCTTGACTCGACTTTCTAGCGCTCTTTGGGGGTTAGCCTTACTTATCACGTCCAGGGTCCTCCGTAGATGGAATCAAAGCGGTCAGAAACACACAGGTGAACCAGATATCGCAAGATTCCTGCTTCCTAAACACAATATGGTGCTATGGGCTCTCACTATCGCCACCTACGTAGACCTTATGTCGAGAATTTCCCATAGCGCTGTACCGTGGGCTCCTCGTCGGGTTGCTTCTGCGCTCGCACTGCCACTTGGCGTTACCGCAATTGCGTTCAAGGTGGTGTTCACCAAGGCCGACGCCCCAGAGCTTTTGAATGGGCTTGAGTTCTTGATCCCCCCACAGCTAGGAAAACCATCCCTCGTCGCTCAAGCAAGGGCGGTTTTCGTAAGCTCTGGTTTCATGGCTCTTATGACAGTGACGCCAGTCTTGATCAATCTTCGCTCGCGGTCGATTTCTTCACGAGGTCCTCGGCTTTCACATCTACAATTCCATTCAAAGGCTAATTCTGCTTGCAGACATTGCACAATCATTCCACGATCTGCTAACTCTTTTCCTCGTTACACAAACTCGAACAGCAAACGTCCCTATATTCCTGCTGTTTCAGATTCAACGAACCGCACTCGAACAGGCTGATCTGTCACTCAGCGCAATTTCGATAACGACGATCCTTTTTCGGTATTCAACCTTCTTCATTCTTGGTGGATCTAACGCAATCTCCTCCATTGATCTCTCCAATGCATACAACGGCGTAAGTGGATACAACGTCGCCGCTGTTGGGATCTTGACATTTGTCAGCAACTGGGCCGGATCAATATGGTGGACGTCTGCAGCGTCTCTGCTGCTCACCAGGGACAAATCGCATCGTTTGGATTCGACGTGGCTTCAACATACAACGCTGTTGACGCTAACAAACTGCGGGGGTGTCCTTGCTGTTATGCTAGCCTGCACTTTATTGAGGACGCACCTTTTTATATGGACGGTATTTTCGCCAAAATATCTGTATAGTATTGCCTGGAGTGTGGGTCAGCATATATGTGTAAACCTCTGCTTTGGTAGTACAATGTACTGGGCTAGCTCACGAAACCCCGGGTTTGACGGACGAAATCAGTAGATTATGGATAGGTTGAAGTAAATATAGGAACTTGAGCGTTCTAATGTGTCTAATTTGGGGTTTCCTCATGCAAATTGAAAACTAATCGATGCGCGTGAAAAGCTCATCGATGGCGTTTCGTGGCTTTCTATCGTTTCGCCTCAGGCCCAATTTTCGATCATTCTTGCCAACACTATCCTGAGCCCCCAGTAGTATTTCATTCTTGTTAGCTGTTGTAAATATATCTGAAACCCTCATTTTATCTGTGAGAGAATGAGCCCACTCGCCATCTACACCATTGCCCGTGTATTCACGGCAGCCGGGTATCTTTATAACTTTGTCGATGCCCCAGGTGACATCCACAAACGAGCATTCTCTTCTCAATCCCTCAACTATCGATTGCGCCTGTGCAAGTGCCGCGAGAAGCGTCAATCCCAGGGAAGAGAATTGGGAATCGGACATCAATTGACTGAAAGCTCTGAGGAACCAATAAGCCTCTAGCTAATGAGCCACCACTTTTGAGGGTCTGGCAAACCTGTGACATTTTGGAAAGATATGGCATCCAATATAGATGACGTTACATCGAATGTCATGATCGTGTGCCTGCTGACAAGCAAGAAGCAATTTGGCAAAGTTTCGCTTCAATATGCGAACCCACCTAAACCAAGGACTTCTACGATGTTGGTTCCTGTTGTGGTGGTCCAGCAGATGTAATACTTGTATGATCTTTGCCTGCTTGTCCGTTATCGGGCTAAGTGATTCGGGCATGAGTGAATCGGAATGCGAAAGGAGATGACTGCAGCCGAATTGGTGTAGGTAGATGAGTACGCCCGAGACTGGCTTTTGAGGGAACCCCGTATCATACATTAATGCTTGGCACACGAAAGTTCATTTGAGGCTCAAGGTTCAAATCAAGTAGCTGCCTACGTCTTACGGAGATTATGATCCTTTGTCAATACTTCTATTAGCTCGCTGATACTTTCACCAAGACGTCACCATTGGACACTTGTGTTTATAAGCGAACTTAGCAATCTTAAGCCCACATAGCCTTCAACATAACGAAAGCCCTCACACGTACGCTACAACCACATACACCAACGCAACAATAGCTAATTAGGTGTCCCACGTAGTTTTGCATTTGCACATTGCACCCCAATTGATTATCCACTGCCACAGATTGAATCTCGACTACTCTTTCATCTCTTCTACTCCATTGCAATGCCTGTGAGCCCAAGTGCTGTCCCGTCAGTAGTATGGCATACCGTAGCTCGCAGCCTGGTAGCTTGGAGGAAATTGATCAGAGAACATGCCAAAAGGACGAGGGGAGCGAGATCGTTGCGCGATAGCCGGCATTTTGAGACCGTCCAATTCGTAATTGGAGTCTTCCAATTCTGCAAGACGTGTGCCACGATCGTATTGCGAGCGCCGACTACAAACACACAATCTCAGCGCTTCTGCTTGCCTGCTTTCTCAGAGGCGATGCAAGCTTACCGACGTTGTTCATCTCGGAAATTCTGTCCAGCACGAGGTGCGAAAAGACCTAAATACTATCTTAGCATACTTCACGCGAGATATTCAGCACAAGAGAACCTACCAATATGTTCAGCATTCTCAACGCTGCGCCGCATCTTTGAGGGATTGTCTGGACCTGGAAAGGTTTCTTCTGATCCCACCAGAGGACCGGTACCAGTGCGGTAGAGTTTCGGGCGAAACGATGGATGCTCCAGCATGACAGAGCTGTTCCGGAATTTCTGAATTAAGCAGTCGCGACCTTGAATGGTGGCGTAGGATACCTCGGCAACTTTATCGCTGTTAAAACGATTCCAGCGGTGGCCAGCTCTGGCGTTGACGAAATCCACGATCCAGATAGGATCTTCAAAATTTATGAAAGCATAACCAACATTGCAGTTATTCGCAAAGTCGATACGAAGGTACATGAAGTCGTATTTGCCAAGACTAGTTTCATCAACTATGTCTTTGAGCATAGCCTAGTATAATTTAAGCGTTTTCGCTTGCTTTGAGAAGTACAGGTGTGGACGAACCTGATCAATCTTATTGGGGATATTCCGTAACATGATCTGGGAGACTGATTAGTTACCTTGGCTTGACCTCAAGATGCGAACTCTACCGTAGTTCGAACGTCTAGTCCGGCTCGAATGCGGTCCATATCTACCACATTGTGATGCCCTGGGGCATAATCTGGTTGCTGCCGGCCGCTAGACCTTGTGAGTGCCTTTGGTTGCGACGGGTGAGCATTTCGATAATCCCCAGGAAGTGAGGGTGAGCCTCGCTCTTGGCCAATAGCGCCGGGACTATACTGAGACCAAAGAGGCGATGTCATGCCGTAACCAGCATAAGTGTTGCAAGAGGTTGTCCATGTGGGACTGTACATTGGCCCCGGACCACCGTAGCTCGGAGCAAGGCTGTTTAGTGGTGAAGGTATATGTTGGCCTCCGGCGACCTTGCGGCCCGTAAAGGAGTCCTCTGTTGAGTTTGATTGGTACAGAGATTGGCGCGGCGTGTGAAGTAGCGTACTCTCGCGATAGCTGTCTAAAGTCATCTTTGAAAGGGCTTGGTCTAGTCTAGAATCGTCTTGACCGATGATTATTGGACCAGGAGTCTTAGCCGGAGTCTGTAGCTTTGGACCGACTTCTGGCTCATAGCGGCCAATACTCACGGAGCATGTCTCCTCATTGTTAGCATCAGTCAATGGACATGGCTACGCACACGCTTACCTTGAGTTTGATACCATCGGAGTGTAACATAACGTCATTGGCAGAGTTGATGTTATAGTATTCGACACGGAAAACAAGTTTGCGTGTCTCTGGAAGTGTGACACTGAAAGCCATTATCTGTCCAAAATCCTCGAGTGCTTCTTTAAGATCGTATGCGATTTGGTCTTTGTCAGGCTGCTGTGAAGTCCCGATGTATCGGGCAGTAACGCTGATCTGTCCTTCGTGATTCGACGTCTGGGCTTTCCCCACACTTTCGGCGCGATACTTCCAGGAGAACGTGGCTGGACTGATGTGCTGGACTTTCCAGCCCAGTAAGTGGCTTTGGACAAAAGAAAAGGCCTTGTCAGCGTCGCGAATATCACAAAATTTGACGTAGATAATACCGCGAACGGTGACATCAGAGGTGACAATAGCTAATAATGACGGATACATGGTGGTCTAGTGTACACGTGAGTAATAAGTCGAATCACACGAGTGTTGTCTTACATTGAGATGTTTATTCAGCTGGTCAGATCCACTTTCAGGACCAAGCTGCATCATCAGTGCTCTCGACGTGCCGTCGTCTGAAGAAAAAGGCCCAAATGTTTTTGACGCGTGCTCTAGTCCCAGAGTTACGGAAAAGGATTTGTGGGGGGATGTCTTTAGTGTAGACCTCGCTGTGGAGCCCAGCAGTTCATCTTGTGGACCAGACTGGGACGTCTTGAACACGGGAGAGCCAACGTCGGCCCTGAGCTCTACAGTGGCTTGACCATTCTCTTTTAGAGAGGATGATGAACCAGTGCTATTGTAATGCTCAAGGCCAGATGGGCTGTGATGTGAACTGGCAGGCGTAAAAGAGGTTGCGGCTGGAGACAGCTTCGATACATCTGCGGAGCTTTTCGTAGTCGCCGATCCTAAGGAGCTGCTGGTCACGAAAGGATCGTGGTAAGTGAAAGACGATGCATTCTCCTGCGAAGAACCATTACGACGGCCGGCAGTGGAGATGGTGAGGTCGAAGGCCGGGGGATCTTCGCCCTGACTATGCCACGACTGCCGGCACTAGAGAGTTCGTGGGTTTCTTCGGGTGAGAAGGTTGACACTTTAGTTGCTGGAGTTGCATGTTGAGATTCAATTTCCTCAGAGGAGTTGGGGCTCGGAGCAGAGCTTGAGTGACGAGCCATGCCTGCCATCTGCTCGGATCTATGGTATGGTGATGACAATGATGCTGTAATTTTTTCTGTGATCGAAAGAACGAATGAATATGGCAAGGGAGAGATGGACCGATGTGCACCAATAAGAGCTTGCTATTACGATGAATGAGGGTTGATAGTGGCCAACAGCACTGCGTTCCAAGTGCAGCTCGTCCGTCAAAAGAGCGAGATATGAACGAGGTATTGAAAAAGAAGGAACGGAGGTTAGGAACATCACCTGAAAGGTGAAGAAAGGAAGGCCGGCGCAAGTATAAGATTAAACGACGACTGCGTGTGATGGTAGGAATATTCGACTGGGCTGGGGGGCTAAGATAGCCCTTTCCTAAAGCGACCAGGGCCACGCCGGACGTGTGGAAGATGGAAATTTGGAGGTTATTCCAAATACCCGGGTCAGGCAGCCCTATCAGATCGCACTGCATCTAAATCTATCACCAAGAACTGACCATTCACGGCGCGCTGGCGACGGCCCGGCACCAATCTGACCTCGGGGACAACACGACACAACATCATGGACACCATCATCTCCATCGACAATCCGTGTTGTACAGCTCGAACCCAGACTATTCTCTGCTATTGCCCGCTGTCTGGAGATGGTGAGGGTATCGGGCAGAAAGTGAAGGGTGGGGCCAATACTCACGGTGCCATGGACGGTGATTGCCGTCCCATCTCCAGCAGAGTGGCGACACCATCACGATTTGAAGATCCCCCGAGCGACATCTCATCGTTAGATCGCGTCTTGCAGGTTGCCACTCTGAATTCGTGCAGAGCCGAACGTTTCAACGTGGATGTGCTTATATGCAGCTTCTCACGTGGAGATCGAGCGGATATGCAAACATGCAAAGGGCGCACAGACCTGAACTCTATTCATATGCACAACGAGCGTTTTCCCGTGACTTCGCGCCACCATCACAGTGTGAGGGGACAGGGCAGGCTATACACAAGTTGCGAAGACCGTTAACTAGATCGAGCGGTGTTGAGTGTCGGTTGAAACCCTATTCTCTAGCTCCCGCCGCTATCTCTTGGCCGTCCGCTCTCGCTCTCAAGGTTGCGCCGCTGGGTGGGGACCTTAACTTACTAGCTCGGTTATCCTTACCCTTCATTACCGGTCCCTGCCTTGACCGATTAGTGCTAGATCGGGACAGGTCGATGAAGCTTCGATCTTGGTCTGCTCGACTTGCTCTGATACAAGGACGGAGCGCATTTCCCCTCGAACGCCACAGCACTGTAAGCAGACGAGCTTCTCGACAAGAACATCGTTTGCGATGCTGCAGCCACGTCCCTGAAGGGGACTCTTGGTTTAGCACTCACTAGCCTATACCTCTACACAGAGCCGTCGCCGTGCAAGCTACCAGGATGCCTGCAGCCGTGAGCGCTTGGCCCGAATTAGGCTATGCAGCACAGCAGGTGTGTTGCAGAATTTCAACCTCGTCTAACACAATCACGCCTTCCTTTGGAAAACTTGGCCCGTCACTGACATCTCAGCAAGGTAGTGCAAGCACCGTCCGACGGCGAGTATCTCAACCATTTGTTGCGTGCAATTCAAGATGCGAGAAAGGGAGGCCAGAGCCAGCAGCTCTTGTCGTCCCTTACCCGTTACTCCACGGATAGGGAAGCAGAGATTGAACGTATCTGTATCTCGAATCACCAAGGCTTCGTCACCTCTGTCAACCAGCTTTTGCATGTTAGGGATGGGACAGGCCACCTGGCCTCTGACATATTGTCTCTAAATCAGTCCATGCAGTCCAGCACAGAGAAGCTGGCGGAGCAAAAAAAGGCTTTAGTCGATTCGAGAGGAGTACGGCAAAATATTGATGAAGCGACAGAGGCACTACGCGACTGCCTGGAGGTTCTGCGCCTAGCCAATCAAGTCCATGACCTCCTAGGAAGGAAAAGCCATTACTCGGCCCTCAGAGCTTTAGACGAGTTGCAAAACGTGCATCTCAAAGAGATCAGTCAGTACAAGATTGCAGACATGATCCAAAGGTCCGTGCCAGCTACAAAGAAGCTCATCGCTGAGGCGGTCATGAGCGATCTCAATACATGGCTCTTCCGGATTCGAGAGACCGAAGCTTTCTTGGGCCAAGTCGCGTTCTACCATACTGAACAACGGAGGGCTAGGCAGAAAGACCGTGCAGAAAGGTCCCAGTACTTGGCTAATTTCAAGTTGAATACTGCCATTGAGCTTGTTTCTGATGAGACTGACGAATTTGACGTGCTCGACAACGAGGATGTACAGGTGGATTTCACACCTCTTTATGAGTGTCTTCACATCCACAACGCCCTAGGCCAGACAGAAAAGTTTCGTGCTGAGTACGCAATGACCCGACGTCAACAAAAGGATTTGCTGATGCCTGTCTCAATAACGCTCAAAGAGGACGATGAGGGTGTCTCGCTCAACGAATTGCTCGAGGGTATGGCCGGCTTTGCGGTCGTGGAGCGCGCGACGATGACGAAAGCTCCGGAAGCTCGATCTACGTCTGATGTAGATGAGCTGTGGGACTCGATGTGCCAGCAAGCAATCTCTCTTACCTCTAGCGCTTTACAAGAAGTCAACAACGCTGAGCTAATCCTGAAAATCAAAACAGTTTTTGCCTTATTTATCCAGACTATGGAATCTTGGAATTACTCCGTTGCCACTCTCGATGGCTTTCTGCTGCAACTATTTGAAAAATACGCCGAGCTTCTGAAACGAAGGTTTAGCGATGATTTCCAGGAGATAGTCTCGACTGATGACTACATGCCGATGCCGATTAACAAACTAGAGGAATACGACAAAGTTGTCAGTGTCAGCTGGTATACACCGGATAAGCCACGGGTAGAGATTCAATTTCCCTGCGTTTTGCCATTTTCCCAAATGTATCCTCTTTGCTGCATAGATATTAGGAATTTCCTTAATCAATTCTGGTTTTTCCCCGACGACCATTTTCTCCAGTCCAAAATGACAGACGAAACCTTGAGGGGCTCACTTGATGAATTGCTATCTAATAGCGTCTGCCGCCTACTTATCGAACGGCTCAACTCACAATATCTGGGTCAGATCGTACAAATACTTATCAACCTCGAACACTTCGAAGTTGCCTGTCAAGAGCTTGAGATCGCTCTGGCGGAAGGGAGGCGTGGTGCTTCCGCACAGGGTCAAGTGATTCTAGGCGCTACCGAAGAATTCAGAAGCAACAAGAAAACAGCAGAGAAGCGAATTTTTGAGCTTGTCAACTCAAAAATAGACGATCTGATAGGCACGGCCGAATATGATTGGATGGCTCTCATTGTTGAGAAAGAACCTAGCAGCTATATGCAGACACTGACTCGCTACCTCTCTAACATCATGAACTCGGTATTACTTGGCTTACCGGCTGAGATTAAGGAGTTGATATATTTTGATGCTTTGAGCCATGCAGCAACAATGATATTAAATCTGCCTTTATCTTCGGAGGTGAAAAGGATCAATCCAAATGGAGTCGCTGCTCTTGCTAAAGATGTTCAATATCTTACCGAATTTGTGGATACATTGGGCAATCCTGTGTTGAGTGAGAATCTAGACGAACTACAACAAACAATTTCCCTTATGCAAGCGGATAATTCAGATGACTTTTATGATATTTCTACGCGAAACAAGAAATATGGCAGGGTCGACGCACTCCACGGCCCTGTATTACTCGAGAAGCTGACGCACACCGTGCAGTCTGCGTCCAGTATCAGATCAGACAAATTTCAAGCTCTATCGTCTCGCTTTGGGATGAAGTCTTGAAAGCACCTAATTACCTTCAAGGAATTCCTTCACTAGAGCACGCTGTTCAAATGGCGGCGGGCATGATCGAAGTAATCTTTTAAATTTGGCCGATCTTTACATGCTTAATCCCCAATGGCCCACCTCGGACACTAATATCTAGAGTCCTCGGCAAAATGGGCAAATGGGACGTTGGGGGAGATTACATGGCTCAGAAATTATACGCCACTCGTGATTATCATCTTGTTTTCACTTGCTAGGCTTAATATAGACATGAATTGCTGTAAGCCCCAAACCCGCGAAGTGCAAAACAGTTCGAAGACTTCTGGTCGCCCTCTTCATGATATTGTATTTCTAGCCAACTTCGTAATCCCTCTCGCCCTCTGCATCTGCATCACCTTCAGCCCCACCGTCATGTCTCTGATATTGATGTGTCGGTCCCTCACCGGCAGATGGATCTTGTGGCCTTTGACCGACCCCGTACATCTATGTTGGCAGTCAGCAAAAGGAACGACTCTTGAACGATTCAAGTCGCTATGAGGGCTGACCCGGCGAACGTACCTGCTGCTGCTGCTGCTGCGCAGCCATCGGATTATAGCCATATACATTTTGCTCAAACATTTGTTGTTGCGGATATTGGTTGGGATCCTGGGGCATCTGAGGAGGATACATGGTAGGCGGTGCCCGATACCCTTGATCTGGCATCTGATTATTCTGCATTTGGTAATCGGAAGGATTCATGTGATGTTGTGGATCTTGCGGCGGTTGACCACTCTGTGGCGGCTGAGCGACATTATTTGGTGTGGGCATCTGGCCGGGCATGCCCGCTTGAGTTTGTTGTGGGGCCGACCCTGCATTTGCAGCACTTTGCCCACCTTGTGACCTTTTGCTACCATGGCTAGCTGCCTCTTCCCGAGGGACAATGTCGATCAGGAAATCAAACATGTCAGATTTGGCTAATGCAGAAGCAATATCGGATCTTTGAAGTGTTCGTCTTTTGTTCTCCTCTGCATGTATCCACGCTCGCATTGTGAGCTCCGTTATGAAGATGTCGCATCCCTTTGCGAAAAGGATAGGGGCTTCGGCAGATATCATTTTTACATCTGGGTCTGCCTTCATCACCTTCTTGATCCGAGCCAAGGGCAGTTGGTGTATTTTGTAATCATGGTTTTCATTTTCGAGTTGGTGGATTGTTTGTTGCCAGTAGGTTGTAAGGATATCACGGTATTGATCCGTAAGTCCCTGGCTAACCTATGGAATCGGTCAGACTACCCAAGTCGACAAGTGATAAAAGAGATGGAGCACATTAGCCCATGTGCCTGAGTACAATTCGGGTCCAATGTAACCTCGTCTTGCGGCAGCCTTGAGTGATCATTGTCAATTTCATGGATCATCTTCTCCCAAAAAGATAGGCCAACATTGGGCCAAACACGTACTTGAGCGCTTGCACCTAGAGTCAGATGCGATTAGCATTCCATTCATGAGAGTACGTGTGCCTTCAGGCACACGTAGAGCAATGATCACTGCGGAGGACGTACCGTAATGACCACCGACGCTTGTGTCGTACATGGCGGCACCTGGCTGCTGCTGGCCTGGCCGGTGCGGGTCCTGATCCATTTGTTTTTCGATGAGTGGGACCAAGCCTTTTGAGTAAATTATGGCCCGTTCTACAGTTTTGTACTACAGGGTGGTAGTTTTCGAGAACGTAGGTAGTGGTGGAGGCAGGTCTCAAGGCGCTTGATTGCGGGTCTTGCCTGCGTCGGGTGAAGCGCCTGCAATATCGATAGTAGAACTATATGACGCGCCGACAATGATGGATCTCGAAAAAAACACAGAGTATTTATCGAGTCTCGAATGAAGGATCTCCAGTAATTAAGTACAGTGTGCCGTCCTTGGTCTCCGACTTCTGAGATGATGCCACTATTTGGGCATCATCCTCACGGTCGACGACAGTATTCTTGCCGCAATTTTGCAATTATGCCCAACGGCCTGGGCATTCAACAGAGCGTTCAGAATGGGCCGGCTGAGGATTCGACACAGTGTACAGACTGCGCTCATCGGGGTCCAATAACCCACGTACTAAACGCTTTCAAATAATCAGAAACAGGGAGATAGCCCCTGGAGCCAGTGCCTAACCCACACTTGTGACCCTTGGCACCCGTCCACATCGTTGCCACAAGCTAATTCTTTGTGCATTGATGGGGGTTGCTTGATACACTCAGGGATGGAGGTGTCTCAAATTTCGATAGCGTTAAGGTTGGGAGCAACTGTTCCTCGGTGAAGAGGTTAGTCAAAGATTGACCCTTCCGGACCCTCAAGTCCCTCTATTATTATTCAAGATTTGAGATTGCCTTGCTTGAGCTTCCGGGAGTCGGGAAAACCCTAAATCCTTAATAATGGCAGAGACTATATATACACCCCTAAATGCTACCTTCACACCCCTAGAATGCTACATCTACACCTCTCCTTAGAATATCTTATATAGGGTATAGCTCTAAGGGGAAAGCCTTTTAAGCTAAGTTTTTAATATTATAATATGTTTATATATTAAAGTAACTTTTTATAAATAATTATTTTAAATAATATAATAGCTTATTAAAATTGCTAAGTATTTTTATATATTTTATATAATTCTTTATTTTTTCTTTTTAATTCTCTCCTATATTTATATATATATTAAAAAAATATATAAATAATATAGCCCTAGCTCCAAATATAAGCCCCCTTTGAAATACCCCCTAGAACACCCCCTAGACACCCTCCGGAGAGGGGTATAGATGTAGTATTTTAGGGGTGTGGAGGTAGCATTTAGGGGTGTATATGTAGTCTCTGCCTTAATTTAATAACACTACCAGTTGCCGGTACTCCCTGTACCGGAGGCGTACAGGTTGAACGTATATGCACTATCAGTCTGAAACGGTTGCTCATGGCCGAAGAGAACTACTGCAGCGAGGAGATTAAGATTCTTTTACAGCAAGCTGAGACTCGATTGAGCACATCAGAGCTGCGCCAACATGCTAGTCCACTTGTGCAAAGGTACGCACACATGCCTAATATTGGCCTGGTAATTTATTGAGGGTTTCTAGGGTCCCAAAGCTCACCCAACACATGCTCGCCGACCCATACATTCGATCAGACGAGGATTTAGCCCTTGCAGATTCAACACGTCTTCTTGAAGAGCATGAGAAACGAGCTGCCGGCCAGATTCGAAGAGTCGAAGATCCAGCGACTATCAGGGAGCGACTTGTAGAGGTACGTACTGCCACCCACCCTTGATTACTTGTAGCCTATGAGGACAAAATCTTCCCAAAATATCTTGATGCAGTATCAGGTGCCGTTATGGCGATGACCTGCCCCAATGACGGACTTTTCTTTACATAGTTACTCTGAGGCTTCATTTTATTGATTTTTCGTGATGGTCATGATTTGGCAAGCTATTGCTGATATCCATACAGAATGAAAGGGTCTCGACAGTTGAACAGTGGTTCAATCTACCACGAACAGAGCTTACGCCCACTTCCAAAAGAGATCTGCGCCTCATGAAGATGCGTGGGGTGCTTGATCCTAAACGTCATTACAAACAGGACAGTTCGAAGGATATAGCTCCTACTTTCTCTCAAATTGCTACCGTCATTCAGGGACCAACGGAATTCTTCAACGCTCGATTATCCCAGAAAGACCGGAAGTCTACCTTTGTGGAAGAGGTCTTGGCTGCAGAATCGGCTACGGGACGAGTCAGGAAAAAGTATGGTGATATCCAGGCTACGAAAACGAATGGTAAAAAGGCTTTCTACAAGAAGCTGAAGGAGCGAAGAGCTAGCAAAACACGCAGAGCCTAATTTCATAAGCGAACTTGATAATTGAATTTCACAGCCAGCACTCACGCCTGGTCATTCAAATCGAACAGCACTGAGTTTGTAAACATCGACCACAGGAGGAGCTAGCAACTGGGTCAGAATACAAAGCAGGATGATGGATTTAGACTTACTTGGATGTCTGCTGCCGCCTTGTGGCTCGCATCTAGGATTCTAGGGCCTCTTCATGATCAGCTCTGCCCTTTTCCATGATTTGATTCTGCCGATCTAGTGCTTGCAAAGGAGCGTCATCGCCGTAAGGCCCCGGTTGCAAGACCGCATTATTCGTGACGAGACTAAGCGCGAGTACTCGCATTCCGCAATGTCTCGCGACGACGATCTCTGGAACGGTTGACGTGCCTACTAGGTTGGTATTCCAGGCCCGCAACATTCGGCATTCGGCTCTCGTCTCGTAATTCAAGGATATTTATGAGCTTGCACGTCAGACTGGGTCCTCGATGGTATCACCTTTGGGCCTATCACAATGCATAGACACCTTCTCGCAGTCTTGGTGATTTTGGATCTTCAGACTCTCCCACTCGTTGCCAAGTCCTGTGAGCGAGTCAGCGAAGGTCCAATTCATAGGTATCTGACATGGCGCAAAATCTCGGCCCAACGTCGCTCGCGTTGGGTCCACGAAGTGGGTGATTACCCGCCAAGCCTACAATGTGGATGTGCTAAAAAGTATCAGATTAAACTTCATTACGACGGATAAGAGCGCACATCTTACAGCACAACCATGTCGCCGATTGCATGGTCAGGATTCAAACTACCTGCCGCATTAGTGACTGTTTCAAGGACCAATTCGGCGGTCGTAAAAGTCATAAAGTGTCCTACCACGCAGTACATTAACACCCAAGGATTTCAAGATACTGATTGGCATGCCGAGCTCGCTGATGGAGTTGCCTTCATAATAGCTATACGCAACGCCAATGATTAGCAAAGATGAGGCGATCTAATCCTTCGACAAAGCTGACTGCGCTCCACCCACCATCAAAGCAACTGGCCATGCCGGTGCCTTTGTCGTTGCAGGATGGTCGAGGAATCCGAAACGGAGTTTGTTATCGTGACCTTCAACCAGACTTTATTAGTTTTGATTGTATCTGTTGGTTGACATAGTATACCTGAACACCACGGCATTTTGGGAAGTAAGGCTTCGGCTGAAGTCGATTTCGTAACGCGGCGCGGGTAGGAGTACACTCGCTAGACGACCAAGATCAGAGCCACAGATGATTCCAAGCCTTGGCCGTCTTACTGATTGGCCAATGTTTTGCTCGATGAATTTCGTAGCCGTTGAAACGCAGAAAGAGACGGAAGTCCGTAGATCTGCGTCAGATGCGCTGGAGAGGGGAGGAGATTCATTCGGCATATCGGTATCGCAGATTGGAAGACAGTCCCGCAACGAAGGGCTTTTAGGGCGTGGTGAAAGCTCAATTGGGGGCTACTAGCGAACCGAAGGATAAGATACTAGTGCGTCGTAATATACTTTGGAATAGGTACCCTTAGCCGTACGCTCTCAATCAATCGAATCATCTATTGATGAAGTGGTCGCTACATCACCGCTCGCTCTTTCCAGCTAGAAACAAGCTCTGTCGTCCTCTCCATACCTCAGGGCTGCCTATAAAAAGCATAGGAAACGTTCCTGCAAATTTCCCAGCGTGGGCCCATTTCAAAGTCGGTATCCACACCGCAAAATCAGAACGTTTCGAGACAAGACAGAATGATCTAGCAGATGCGTGAGATACCCGTATTGAGCTTTCTTCCGAATACACGGCTAAACTTTGCAAATCAAGATCGGAATGTGCCCCAACTATTGAACCTTCCAATATTTCCTCGAGGTATGGGCCCTATACGTCCGGTGTGCGTTGCAGCCCTGATAGGTGTTCAGCTTTGCCACGAAGTCAGCAGGAAGCCCTGAGCTAGATTTCGTGCGCCGCCATGAGCTCAACGTCAAGCCGAAAACGCCTGTCGCTGCAAATCTCGAGCCAGACAGGTCAGCCCCAAATTCAGGTCAGCCCAGAAGATTTCGAAGCCTACAAGCAATCTACTTAAAGCCACTCAAACGACAAGCACCGCATGGTGTCAGAACGTGTGATCTACAGTTGCGATCATACAGCGTCCGCAATGTCGAGTTCTTTGCGGACTTTGCTCTACGAGTGGCGTATTATCTAGGGTTGCCTGCTTCAGGACCTGTTCCCTTACCGAGAATTGTTGAGCGGTGGACGGTACCGCGCAGCAATTTCATTTTCAAAAAGAGTCAGGAGAATTTCGAACGGATCACCTTGCGGCGACTAATCCAGATCAAAGACGGCCAACCCGAGGTTATGGAATTGTGGCTGGCGTACTTGAGGAAACACCAGTACTATGGGGTAGGGATGAAGGCTAATGTATGGCAATTCGATTCGTTGGGTATGTCTACTCTGACTGTGACCGCACATCCTAGCGACGATGCTGACCAGCTCAGGGATTGGTCAGGCTATGGGTGATGGGCAAGTCGAAGCAACTCTGGCTTTGGAGACATGAGCACCTGATGCCGGGTAGAGCGAATCTTTTGGGCCACCGGGAAGAGCTCTAGTGCGATTACAGGGAGTTTACTGCGAAGAAGCAAGTGTTCCAACGCAGTCAATAATTTGAAAACGCCAAACCTTGGGCGTTGTGCATTGGGAAATTTCTTAGGCTGAACCCAGAACTTAGGTCAATACGTAGCGTTTTTCTGCTTCAGGAGAATGTCAAGCTCTCCACATAACAAGCGGCAAATCTTCTCACAAGCGCTATTCGTCTTTACCAAAAAAACACGCAAATTTACATTACATAATACAAGGTCTCGTTTTTATTTATTTGGCAACTACCTCAGAATTTTTCTTCGAGTAATGCCCGCTAACAACTATGCCCCATGGCCCACGTAGCACACATCTATTTAGCGGATGGCACAAGGTAGGCTGGATAGGACAGCCTTTTTGGAGGTTGAGAAGGCTGTCCATACGAGGACTTCACGGACATACTTCAGCGAATGCCCCCAAACAAGTGGTGCTCTCCGGTATACAGCCCACAGGGGTTCCTCACCTAGGTAATTATCTAGGTGCCTTGCGACAATGGCGGGCGCTCCAGACTGAGTTGCCGCTTTCCACGCGGTTTCTCTTCTGTGTAGTAGATCTTCATGCAATCACTGTACGCCAAGATCCAACCGAGCTGCGGCGATGCAAGCGGGAGACAGTTGCTGCCCTGCTGGCCGTAGGAATAAATCCTGAGCGTTGCACCATATTCTACCAATCAGCCGTATGCCTCGAAGAGAATTGCAAAGTTTAGTCATTCTGAAGAAGCAACAGATTGCCGAACACGCAGAGCTGATGTGGATCCTAAGCTGTACAGCATCAGTCGGACAGCTTTCGCGGATGACACAGTGGAAGGTAATAGTCCTGGATTGATCGCAGATGCACAAGTTGACTATTTCTACGCAGAGCAAGCTGTCGTTGTCAAATGATCTCCCAATTTCCAGGGGCGATACCTTTGGAAGACACCTTGAACTGGGCCTTTTTTCCTATCCTGTTCTGCAGGCCGCCGACATATTACTTTACGGGTCATACTGCGTCATCACTCTACGGAGGCAGAGCTGATATATCGTAGAACTACCCACGTACCCGTCGGACAAGATCAAGTCCAACATCTAGAATTTACCAGAGATTGTGCGGATACTTTCAACGCTCGCTATGGAACTGTTTTTACTAAGCCTGTTACTTTGTTGTGTAAGGCCTAAAAGATTCGAGTCCTTAGTGACCCCTGGCTAAATGAGCAACACAGCTCCAGCAAAACGGATCATGTCTTTGAAGTCGCCGGATTTGAAAATGTCCAAGTCTCACATGGACGATTTATCAAAAATCTACATCAACGATACTTCGGAGCAAATTTCAAACAAGATCAGGCTGGCTCTTACAGACTCAATCCCGGGGATTTCATATGATCCCAAATTGCGACCCGGTGTATCGAATCTGCTAGAGCTTCTGTCCCATTTTGATACGCGATCAAGGGCTATTGGGGATTTGGTTCGTGATTGTGGTGATCTATCTATGCGGGAATTCAAATTACTTGTTGCCTCTTCGGTCGACAAGGGCCTTGTAACGATTCGAGACAGATTCACTGAACTCCTTGAACCTCGGAATCAGGAATCCCTTGAAGCCTTAGCGCACGACGGCGCCTTAAAGGCCCGAGAAATAGCTCGAGGAACAATTAGCCGCGTAAAAGACATCATAGGTCTCTCTATTATCTAGTTTATATTAGGTGTCTATCTCGTTTATAGCTTTCTAGGGCCCTATATAATAAAAATAATTAAAATAAAAAAGAAACTCTATCTTAAGTAATAATTACTTTTTAAATAATAAGTAATAAGTATTTTTATCTTTATATTTATATAAAGAATTATAATATTTATTTAGTTTTTATATTAATAAATTTATATTATTAATTATAAAGTTTTATATTAAATTAGTTTATATTTTAATAAGTTTATATTTCTATTAAAATTATATTATTATTAAATTTTAAGAAAATTAAAATTATTATAAAATAATTTATTTTTAAAAACTATTATAATATTATAATATTTTTAAAATTTATAAACTTTTATTATTATTATTCTATATATAGCTAGGGCTCTTATTTTAAGAATATTATTAATTTTTAAGAAATAAGATATTTCTATAGCTAAACCTTATTTAAATTAATTAAAACTTATAACCTAAATTATATATACTTAGAAAAGTACTTTTTAAAATTTTTATAATTTATTTATTATTTTTAGACTAAAATTTAATATATTTTAAAATTAAAATTTATTAAGAAAAAAATACTTTTTTTTTAAATCTTAGATAAAATAATAAAAAGTAAATTAAAAGTACTAAAAATTATATATAATAGTATTACTTAAATATATTTTAAGAAAAAAAAGTTTTAAAAAAATTAATATAAATTAAATATTTTAATAATTAATTTATTTTTTAAGTAAACTTTTAAAATTAATTATTAATTTATATAATTATTTTTAGTTATAAGTTATTAAATTATATATTAAAAGTATTTTTAATAAAATAATAGTTTTCTATAAAAATATTAATATTTTTATTATTTTTATAAATTTATAAAATTTAATTATTTTAAAGACTTTTAATTAATAAATATATATTATATATCTTATATATATTAGTTTATATATTATATTATAATAATATAAGTAGCTTAGCGCAAGGGAAACTAAGTTATATATTATTATTTATCTTTTAAAATAAAGATTAAAATTTTAAAATTTTAAACTTTTAAAATAATATTATTATACTTTTTTATATTTAAAGAATATATAATTTTAATTTTATTATAATTAGTATATTATTTATTAACTTATAAAGAATTTTAGATAAGGGATTAAGATTTTAAACTTAAGAGCCTTAGCTATATATAAGATAATATAGTTCTTAAGTATATAATTTAATTAATTTAAAAAATTTAAATAAGTTTAATAAAAGTAATTATAAAATTAATTAATTATTATTTTAAAAATTTATTTTTTTAGAAAATATAAAGTATTTATATTTATTATAATTTTATTATTATTTTTATATTATTTTTAATTAAATACTTACTTTATTTATATAATAGCTTTAAGCTTAACTTAATATAAATATTTACTTAGAGTAGGCACTAAGCCTAATTAGGCTTAGTATATATACTTATTTATACTTTTATTTAATTCTTAAATAAACTTTTATTTATAGTTAAAATTTTATTAATTGTTTAAATTATTATTTTAAAACTTTAATATAATTCTAATTATTTTTAATATAAAAGACTTAATATTTTTATTTATAATAATAATAATAAAAATTATTATATTATAGTTTACTATATATATAAAAGTATAAATTAGTAGTATAATCTAGATATTCCTTAAGTAGATATAAGAAGCTTAGATTTTCTATATATAGTAAAAGCTACTTTTTAAGATATAGTCTTATCTATATTATAGTGTAGTCCTATATTTATTAAGCTTATTTTTAAAGCTTACTTCTAATTATATTAAATTACTTAGAATAAAAAATACTAGTAGTATTTATATTACTATATTATATATATAAGTTCTATTTAATACTTTATTATTATAAATACTTAAAACTTAAAGTCTAGAATAATTAATTATAATTAAAGTTTTAGTATTAATAAAATTTTTTACTAGTCTAGATTAATTATAATTAAAGTTCTAATACTAATAAACTTATTTATAGGTTTAGAGTAATTAATTATAATTAAAGTTTTAATACTAATAAAAATTTTTACTAATTTAAATTAATTATAATTAAAGTTCTAATATTAATAAAATTATTTATAAGTCTAGAGTAATTAATTATAATTAAAGTTCTAATATTAATAAAATTTTCTACTAGTCTAAATTAATAATAATTAAAGTTCTAATATTAATATATTTATTTATATTAATATATACTAAATTAAGGACTTTAATTATTTTTAACTAGAATTAATAGTATTAGAATTAGTATCTTATTATATAGGTTTAAAAATAGGTCTAAATATAGTTTTAGTTATATTATAGTTAATATTAAATAAATTTTCTATTTATTAGAGAGGGCTAGTTAGTATATTAATTAATTAATTTTTTTTATAATTTAAAATAGTCTTATATATTACTATAATAGCTTTTTTATAATCTTTAAAATTAATTAAATATTATAGCTTTTATAAAGATATATTAGAGCTTAATTTTCTACTTAGAAGTAAACTAATTTATAATAATAATTATATAAATATTTATTAGTTATTTATACTACTAAAATAGTATTATAAGCTATTATTCTAGTAATTATTTTATTTAGAAGTATTTTAGATTTCAAGCTATTAAGCTTTAATAGGAGCAAGTTAAGAGCTTTATTTAGTATAAAACCTATAGCTACTTTATTTAGTATAATACTTTTAAATACTAAAGAAAGAGAATTATTTAATATCGCTTATAAGTATAGTAATATATATAGCTATATAGAAGGCTTACTTAATATAATAATATAGAAGTATAAAATAATCTTAGTTATTTAGTTTATCTACTTACTAATTCTATTTATTTATAGGTAATAAGCTATAGAATATAGTAGTTTAATATTAAAGTATTTAAAAAAAAATTAAAGTTTTAATAAAAACTTTTAATTCTAATTTAAGATTAATACTTTAAATATACTTTAATCTATATTATTTAGATAGTTTATTAATATTAGAGCCTACTATAATATAGTCTATATTTTCTTTTTTAAAATAAATATTATTTTTTTTAATATTTTATTTAATATTAATATTATTAAATTTAGCCTTTTTTTAGTAGTAAGTAAAGTAAAAATAAAGTTAATTACTAGAATATAATATAGTGTTGCTAAAGTAATAATTAGTTATAGTAAGCTATATAAGTAATAGTACTTAATCTAAAATAATAAATATTTTAAATAATATTATATATAAGCTTAGAAATAAGTTAATAAACTATTAATATAATATAATAATAAAATAATTAAAAATTTTTTCCTATAACTTAGATAAGTATTTTTACTATATATTATAGCGAAAATATTTAAAAGAATTAATAAGGGAATATAAAACTTTTAAATATTTATAATTTAATTAATATAAAATAATAAATTATTAAATAATATTTATATATACTATATTAGTATTATAAAATAAACTTATTAATTAACTAGTAGTATTAAAATATATACTAGTATAAGCGTAATTAAATTTTTATTTTTTAAAAGTAAAACTTCCTATAATAAATAAATTATTTATTTATTTAAAAAGGTAATTTTAGATAAAATAAAGACTTTTTTAAGTATTTATTACTTCAGCTATAATTATAAATAAGTTATAAAAAAAAATTTTAAGTATAGTAAAAAGTATAGATTTAAATCTATAGCTAGATAGTTTTTACTTTTAATAAAAAAAGTATTATAGAATTTTTATTTAGTGTATTATTATTATTAATCTACTTACTTATTTATTATTAAAATTTATTTATTTAATAGCTATTAAGAATCTATTAATAGAAGGCTAAAGATATTTATATTAAAATTATTATAAAAAAGATTTTAAATTTAATATATAAGGAATCTAGTTTTAAGAAATCTTTAGTTAGTATATTTATATTTAATTTTATTTATTTAAGTTTAGAAAAGGTATTTAAAATAATATATTCTTTACCTAGTTTATACTATACCTAAAATTAGTAATACTATAGATATTAAGATATATAAATAAGTTTTATATTTATTTTTATTATTAATATAATTATAATAATAAGTTTTTAGTTTATAATATTATATAAAGCTAAATAATCTATCTATGCAATAATAAAGTACTTTAAAGATTTAATTAAATATTTTATTTTTTTTATAATTTAAATAAACTTAGCTATTTCTAACTCTATAAGCTAATAGTTTTTTTCTATACTAATTAGTATATATAAGAAATAAAGTATTAAAAGAATTAAAGTCTTTATTAGCTACTTATTTAAAATATAGTTATTTTTAATATAAAATAGTATTACTTTAAAGCCCTAGTCTTTAAAAGTATTTAAATTAATTTATAAGTTCTAATCTAAGTTAAAATAGCTTAAAATTAATAAGTTTAATAATAATTTTTAAATAAAAGAAAACAATTCTTATTTTAATATTAAAGGTTTATTAAAATAGTATTTAAAAGAATAAGTTTTTTTTAATTTCCTTAGAAAAGGCTTTCTTTAAAAAGTAATATTTTAAGCTTTTTTAATAGATTAAATCACTAGGAATAGAATAGGATATAATATTATAAATAGCTTATAAGCCCTAGCTAATATCTTAACTTTAATAATATTATAAAATATTTAAGCTTAGAAATTACTTTTAGTTTTTTTTATACTATTATTATATTAAGTAAAAAAACTTTTTTTTAAGTAATAATATACTAAGATATTTAAAAAAGACTTTCTTTAGACTAATAAAGATCTTATATTTTAATAAGAGTAAAAAAAGCTTATAAAAATAGTTAATATATTTTTAAAGTAACCTATTACTATAAATAATATTATCTATATATACTTTAATAAAATATTTAATTTTTTATATAATATAATTAATTTAATATTAAATATATATAATTAAATTTATATAGTCTATAATTAAAATATAAAAAGTTTCCTAGCTATAGTAGGAAATAATAATAAATATAAAATAATAGTTAAAATAAA